ATTTATTATAGTATTTAGCTATAACTATTAGCCTTTTAAGCTAAAGTAGCTAGTTAAGTAATATTTTATAAGTTTTAAGTAATTTAATTTATATATTAATTAATTTATTAAAAGGTTTTTAAAAAGGCTTTAATTATTATAAAATTAAACTAGGCCTAGCTTTTAATTATAATAATACCTTTATTAAGTTAGTATTAAAATTAAGCTATAAAGTTTAGAGTTTATAATAGTTTTTTTTAAATTTTAATATAAGTAATTTATAAAATATAATTAAAGCTAGTTAAAGTATAATCTTTTTTATATATTATTAAAAGGCTATAGCTAGCTTATATAAAGTTAATAATACTATTATATATACTATAAGAATATTAAGTTTAAGCTTTTTTAAAAGTTAAAAGGCTAAGTTATTATTAAGCTATTAATAAAATAAAGATATAGCTTTTATATATAATATAATTATAAATATTTTATAAAAAGTAATAAAAGTTAAAGTTATTAAAAAAAAATATATTAAAATTATATTAATTTTTTTAAAAGTTTAATTAAAAAGCTAATTTAAGAAATATTATAAATAAGAATAAGTAAATAAATAAAAAAAAATATTATCTTAATATTTATAAAAATAATATTATATTAGTTAAGCTAAGCCTTATATATTTATAATTTAAGGCTATATTATTTATATATATAAATTACTATTTAATTACTTTTATTAATTAAGATATAATTACTTTAGCTAAAGTATAAAAGGTTATTATTTTTATTTATATTATATAATATTACTTTAGGTTTTTATAAAGTAATAATATTAAACCTGCTTTTATTAATTAAAGTTAAGTATATAAGCTTTAATAACCTTTTTATATTTTATTAAAGGAATTTTATTAATTTTAAAGTAAAATAATAATAATATTTAAAAAGCTATTAATTAAATTAAAAAAGCTTAATATAAATATAAAAAAGTCTTTTTTAGCCTTTTTATAATTATTAATTATAGCTATTTAAAAAAGGTTTAAGGTTTTTTAAAAGTAGCTAATAATAAACTAAAGTAATAATATTATAAAAGTAAATTAAAAAAAGAAAAAAGTAAATAATATATTAATATTTATTAATTTTAATTTTATAAATTAATAAGGCTTTTAAATATAAGCTTTTTATACTTAAACTATATATAGCTAGACTTTAAAGTAAGTTTATAATTATATTAAGTATTTTTTAAAGTAAAGTAAGTATTTTAATTTTAAAGTATTATATTTTTTATTTATATATAAAGTAGCTTTATACTAGTTATAATATTAAATAACTTTATAAAATTTTATAATATATTTAATTTAAAAGTAGCTATAGTATTATTAAAGCTATATTTCTTTAGTAAAAGGTTTAATATTAAATAGCTAAGTATTAAAAATAAGCTTTTAATTATAAAGCTAGTTAGCTTAATAAACTTTATTAATATTTAAAATTAAGATTACTTTTATAATATTTTTATAATAGTTTTACTTTATATAAATTTAAATAATAATAATATTATTAGCCTTTTTTAATATTTTTCTTAGCTTATTATTATTAAGGTTATTAAAAAAGAAAAAAAATATATTTAGCTATAAGTATTTATATATATTAAAATAGTTTAGCTTTTAAGCTAAATATATTATAAGCTTAAAATAAATTATAATAATAATTATTAATAAAGCTTTAGAAAGTAATTATTATATTATTATTAAAAAGCTAGTATATAGCTATTATAATATTAAAGTAAGTAGCTATATTAATAGCTTATATTATTTTAATTAAAGTATAGCTTTTAAAAGGTTTTATAATAAAAAAGCTTAAGATTATTATTTTATAATTAAAGTATATAAGTATAGGCTTTAAAAGAGGATTATTAAGCTACTAGCTTAAAAAAGCAGTAGTTATATTTATTTAGGTTTTTATAATTAGTATTTTTTTTTATAAATAGCTTTTTTAATTAAGTTTTTAAAGTCTTTTTATATTATATATAAAAGAGTCTTATTATATTTTCATATTATAGCTATATTAAGTTTAAAGTAAATAATTTTTTATACTTTTTTAAGTATAATATTAAAGATAATTTTTATAATTTTTATATAAATTAAGTAATTAAAAGTACTAATTATAATTAAATTAACCTTTAGGCTAGATTTATTTTAAAAGCTTATTATATTTTTATTATTATTTATAATTAAGTAGTAAATACTTTATTTAAGCTTAGCCTAACTATTACCTACTATTATTAAAGCTATATTCTTTTTATATTAGCCTTAAGACTATTTTATAATTAATATATTATTATAATAAAAGGTAAATAACCTTAAGGAATTTAAATTTAATATTACTTTTAATTTTAAAGGTAATTTTAAACTATAAGAGGTAATTTAGTATTACTTATAGTGTTTTTTTTTATATTAAGCTTTTATTAAATTATATATTAATCTTTAAGAAAAATAAATAAATAAATAATTATTATTAAATATAATAGTTATTTATTATAATAATTAAAAAGTAATTATATTAATAAAAGACTTTATTAATTATAAAAGATTTAAGTATATTAAAACTTAATATTAATATTTATAAAAAGATTAAAAAAAAAGATTATACTAAAATATATTTTTTAAAAAAGTAATAATAATAAATAAATTAACTAAGCTATTAAAAAAATTACTTTTTTAAATTTTATAAAGCCTTTAACTTAAAAAGGATTATTAATATATAAATTAATAACTAGGAATTTTAAAAGTTATATTAATTAATTAAGATTTCTCTTAATATTATATATTTTTTTAATAAAGGCTATTATAAGTAATTAATAAAATTAAGTTTTAAGTTTTATATTTAATATATAAAGAAAGTAAGAGTATATTTCTTACTTTTTTTATTATTAAGTAAAAGTATTAAAAATAAAAGTATTAATATAAAAAGTATTTATATAAAAAAAGTAAAAGATTAATTTAGCTTAAAATATAAGTAAAGCTATATATTATTATATAAGATATATAAAATAATAAGCTAATTAATATATATTTTAATAATTAGCTTAATATTATTGATATATAACTTAGCTAATATTATAAAAATAAAGATATTATATAATAAGTACTAGTTATAAAGTAAATATTAAAGTTTTAAATACCTTAAGACTTTATTATCTTAAACTTTAAATATTTAAATACCTTTAGCTATTTAATAATTTAAAAAAGAATTATATTAATTATAAACTATATAAAACTTAATTTTTAATATCTTTTATTAATTATTAATAAACTATTTATTTATATACTTATAAAGTAAGTATTTATTAATTATATAAAATTAAGTTAAGTAAATATAATATTAAATTTAAAGTATATATTTAATAAGTTAATAACTCTTTTATTAAATATTAAAAGATAATAAATACTATTATTAATAAAGCTTAAGAGAGTATATTTAACTTTTTCCTTATTAAGCTTTTTTTACTATACTTATAAAATAAAGTATTAAGCTATTATACTTATTATTTTAATATTTAAAATATTAAGTTATTATTTAAAAATAAATTTAAATAGTATTTTATTTAAGGCTTTATATAAGCTTTAATATTATAAATAGTTAATAATTTTTAATACTTTTAATTAATATTATTTTAATATTTTTTTACTTATAAATATAAGTAATAGTTTATTATAAATTTTAATATTAAAGTCTTTTATAATTTTATTTACTTAATATTACTTTATAAATAATATTTTTATTATAGTTTTTTATTATATAGCTTAATAATTAAGTTTATAATTATTAAATTCCTTTATTTTATTAAAGTAAACTATATAATAATAATATTTTTATAATTCTTTATTTTTTAAAAATTAAATAAATAACTATATAAACTTTTAAGTATTTTATTTATTTTTAATAGCCTTACTTTTATTAAATTTACTATACTTATTAATAAAAGTAATTTAATATTATTTTTTATTTAACTTTATAATATAAAATAATTTATAAATATTAATATAAATTATATTTATAATATATTTTTCTTTTTTTAATTATTCTTAATATAGCTTTTTTTTATTTAATTTTAAAAGCAAGGTTTATATAAATAATATTTATATATTATATTTATTTTATTTATTATATTCTTTAGCTTAATAAAGCTATTATTATTAAAATAGCTTATTTAGTTATATTAAAGTTAAAGCTTTAAGTTAATAATATATAATATAAAAGCTTATATAAAAAGAATATTAATTTAAAAAATAAAAAGCTTTTTAAAATATCTTATTATAATTTTAATCTTAACTTTTTTTAATTATTTAGCTTTTTTAAAATATATATTTTTTTCTTTTTAAATTAAAAAGCTAGGTTATTAAGATTAAGTTTAATTTAAAAATAAGTATATATAAAATATTTATAAAACTAATAATAATTAATATATTTTAATTTATATATTATTAAATAACTATACTTATACTTTTTATTATAATTTTAAAATCTTTAATATTATTAAGTATATTATTATAAATATATATATATATATTAATTAACTTATTTATTTATTTATTATAAAAGAATATATATCTCTTACTTATACTTATAATTAAGTTAACCTTTTATTACTTTATATATAGTACTTTTTATATTAATACCTCTTTTTTTAATACTTTTACTTATTAATATAAGAAGATTAAAAGTAGCTTTTATTAACTTTATTACTTTTATTAATCTTATACTTTTTAAAAAAAGCTTTAGTATTTAAATTTAACTATTATTAAATTAAAGTTATAACTTACTAAATATATTTAAATAATTAAAATATATATATTTAGGCTTTATATATTTTTATTAATTTTCTTTTTATTAATAATCCTTTTTAATCTTAAGGCTTTATAAAATTTATAATAGTAATCTTTTTTTAATAGCTTAATTAATTTATTTATTATTATTTTATTTATTAAAATATACTTTAGCTTAACTTTACTTTTTTTTACTTTCTCTTAAATAAACTATTATTAAGTTTTAATATATTTTAGTCTTTTATAATTTATAAGATTTTTTATTAATATAATTACTTTTTTATTATTATAATATATAATAATAATATTAAAAATAATAAGGTTTTAATTATATTAAAGAGTAAAGACTTAAATAAAATTAATAATAATAAAGTCTTTATTAAAGATTCTTTTTAAAAGTTAATTTATAATTTTATAAAAAGATATTATAGCTAAATTACTTTTTTTATTATATTTATTTAAGTTATATATTTAGCTTTATAATTTAAAAGTATTATTATTATTTATCTTTTTAATAACTAGTTAATTTTTTTACTTTTTATATTAAATATATAATTAAAGGTTAATTATTAAGTATTAAGATCTTTTACTTAATTAAAATTACTATATTTATATAATAGCTATAAGTCTTTTTAAAAAATAAAGTAAAAATCCTTTATATTTAAAATATACTTAAGTATATACTTTATAGCTTATTTATAATTATTATTTAAATTTCTTAAGTAATAATTAATAATAAATATTATATAAGCTAAGCTTTATTTTATTTTTAATATTAAATATATTATAAAATTTTATTATTAATTAATATTTTTTTAATTATTTAAGTAATAAATAAAGTTATTTACTGCTTTTTATAACCTTTTTTTTAATTATAAGTATTAATATTAAGATATAGTTTATTATATTATATTAATAAAAGATCTTTTAAATATAGCCTTATTAATTAAAAATAACTATTTATACTATTCTCTTTTAATAAATATAAATACTAAGGTAATAGTAATATAATTTAAAATTAATTATTAAAGATTATTAATAAAGTTTATTTTTTAATATAATAATTTTTTTTATTTCTTTTTATAAAAAGTAAATTATTTATATAAATTATAATAAAAATACTATTTTTTATATAAAGGCTATTATTTATTAATATTAGTTAAAAACTTAATATAAATAAAAAGTTAATAAGAGTTTTATATTATACTTTTAAAACTTACTTAAGTTTATATAAGGCCTTTTTTAATTTATAAATCTTTATTATATTATTTTTAAAATTAATAAGTTATTTAATATATATATTTTTATTAACCTTTTTATTTAAAAATATTATCTTAATATTTATTAATTTAAATTTTAAGTTTAATATAGCTATAATAATAAATAATATCTTATAAGTTATTAGCTTAATTATTAATATAAATATCTTTATATACTTAATCTTAGTAATTTACTTAAAGCCTTAAATAACTTACTAAGCCTTATATTTAATTACTTAGTTATTAACTTTTTTTAATTTATATTTTTCTTTATAAGATATTTATATTAAGGTTAAGGTTAATTAAATTTTATATATTATTATTTTAAAAAGCTTATATTTTATTTAATATTTTATTATATTATTTATTATAAAAAAAGCTATATTATATCTTTTTATATATTATAAGTTTAATATTATTTATATATAACTTTATAAAAGCTATTAATATAAAAATATTAATTAATAAAACTTAATTATAAAATAAGTATTTTAGCTTTAAATATCTTAAGACTTTATTTAGTATTTTTATTTATTTAAGTTTTATAAATACTATTTATATTATTATAACCTTAATTATAAATTATATTAAACTTATTTTTTAATATCTCTTTTCTTTTTATAATATAAAAGTTATTTAAGCTTTTATTTATATATTTTATTTTACTTTTATATAAGATTTTATTTAAATCTTTATTAATTTTATACTTATAATAAATAGTAAAAAGATAATTTTATACTTATAATAAATAGTAAAAAGATAATATTAAACTTAAAGTAAATATTAAAAGAATTAATTACTCTTTTTCTTAATATTAAAAGCTAATAAACTATATTATTAATAAAGTTAAGTAATATATAATTAATTCTTTTATTATTAAGCTTTTTTTATTATACTTATAAAGTAAAGTATTAAGTAATAATTCTTATTATTTAAATATTTAAAATATTTAGCTATTAGCTAAAAATATACTTAAATAATATTTTTTTAAAAGCTTAATATAAGTTATAATTATAAGAATAATTAATAGTTTTTAAAACTTTTAATTACTATTCTTTAAGTATATTTCTTTTTATTATTATAAGTAAAAGCTTATTTTATATAATAATATTAAAGTTTTTAATAATTTTATTTAATTAATATTATTTTATTAAAAAAAAATTAAAAATAGTTTTATAAAACCTTACTTAATAATTAAATTTATAATTATTAAATTCTTTTATTTTATTTATATAAATAACTTAATATTAATATTTTTATAATTCTTTTTTTTAAGATTTATATAAAGTATTAAATAAGCTTTTATATATTTTATTTATTTTTAATTACTTTACTTTTATTAAAATTATTATAACTATTAATTAATATAATTTAATATCTCTTTTTATTATAATTAATAATAAAAAAAGGCTTATAAATATTAATATAAATAATATCTTTTATATACTAAGCTTAATAAAGTTAATTATAATATAATTTTTCTTTTATTCTTTTTTATAAGTATAGCTTATAAAAGTAATATTTTTATATAATATTTATACTTTTTACTATCTCTTTTAACTTAATAAGGCTATTATTACTAAGATAATTTATTTAGTTATATTAAGTTTATAATTATAAATTAACTATATATAAAATTAAGGCTTATATAAAAGAACTAATTATATATAAAGCTAAGGCTTATATAAAAAGAGTTTATAAATAAGAATTATTTATATAAAATACTAAAGCTTATATAAAAAAAAATTAATTTATAATATAAATAAATTCTTAAAATACTTTATTATTATTTTAATATTTAACTTTTTAATAATCTAGCTATTTTAAAATATATATATTCTTCTTTTTAAATTAAGTAGTTAAGTTATAAATATTAAGTTTAAGCTAAAAGTTAAAGTAAGTAAAATATTTATAAATATAATAATAATTAATTAATCTTTACTTATATATTTTTAAATAATTATTTTATAATCTTTAATAGTAATTTTTAAATTATTAATATTATTAAGTATTCTTTTATAAAGTTAAAAACTACTTAAAGTATTATAAAAAGCTTAAAATATAATATATTATATTATTATAAGTATATTAAGTATTTATATTAAAAAGTATCTTTTTATTATAAAATAGCTAAGTAATATATATTAAATTATAATATTAAAAGCTTAGCTAAATAAGAAAGAAAATAGCTTTTTAAAAACTTATATATAAAGCTTTTATAATTATTTTTTATATTAAATTAAAGTATTTTAAAACCTCTTTTTTAAAGCTTAATTTAAGCTACTTAAGTATTATAATAATTATAAGCCTAAGTAGTAATATACTTTAGTAACTTTTATAATATATAAGGATTATATATATATATATATATATATATATTATTTTTTATATAATAAACTTTATTACTTAAATAATAAAATTAATTAAATTACTAGCTTTTATTAAGCTTAAGCTTTATAATTAATAAGTTTTTTAATTATATACTTTATACTTTTATATTATAATTAAAGATATAAAAAAATATATTAATTTAAAGCTTATTAAATAATTAAATAATTTTTTAAGTTTAAGGTTATTAATTTAAATCTTAAAAAAGTTAAAGCTTTTATAAAAAAAAATCTTTAATATAAAAAAAGAAATAATATTAATTTTTAATAAAAAATAAAAAGCTTATTAAAAGCTTATTAATTATAAATAATAAACTTTAAACTATTAAAGTAATATATAAATAAATAAATAATATAATTTAAAATTAAATATTTACTATAATTAATTAAAGTATTTATTAATATACCTTTAAATAGCTAAAGATTATAATCTTTTTATAATAAAATACTTAACTTAATTTATTATTAAAGTCTTAATATTAGCTATTATCTTAAGTAATTTAAGTATTTATAAAAAAAAATATTTAATAATACTTAAAAATATATAGTATATAAATTTAAAGCTTAAGTAAAAATATATTTAATAATTAAAAGCTTACTTTAAGATATTAATATATAAGATTTTTAAAATTTAAAACTATATAATTATTAATAACTTTTTTAATATTATTTAAATATAATTTATATTTATATAAGTATATATAAAGCTTATTAAGCTTAAGAAGTATATTAATATTAATTCTTTTAAGATTATATCTTTTAAGATTATATTTTTTAATTAATATAAAATAATATTTTTATTAATTTTTAATAATTATAAAAAAAAGCTAATAAGCTAAAAAGCTTACTTAACTTTTTAAAACTATTTAAATTATAATAATTAATCTTTTAATAAATAAGTTAAAGAAAATAATTATAATAATTAATTTAAATATAAATAATTTTATTTAAAAAAAATTAGTAATTATAATTAAAGTCTTAAAAATTATTTAATTTTAAATTATTATTTTATTAAAAAAGTAAATAAGTAATTAAAGAATTCTTTTAATAAAAAGTAAGTTATTAATATACTTAATATACTTAATAAAAATTAATAAATAAAGCTATACTTAAATCTTAAAAAAAAAGATATTAACTTTAATAAAATCCTTATTTTAAATTCTTTAAAAAAAAACTACTTATTTAAGGTAATTTTTATTATATTAAATATTTAAATTATAAGCTTAAAAAGGCTTATTAATATATATATTATATTTAATTATATATACTTATTAAGTTATAATATAGTTTTTAACTTTTATAAATTAATATATTTTATTAAAAGTATTAATTTATTAAAGCTAGGCTTTTTTATTTTAATAAATAAAAGAAATTAAGTTAAGGCTAATATAAGCTAGATTTTAATTATTAAAAAAGATATTTAAAAGCTTAAAAAGATTTTTAATAATAATAAAAGTTTAAATATAATAAATATTATATTAAAAAATATAGCTATTATTAAAGGCTTTTATATTAATATTATATTAAAAGTAAAGCTTAAAGTAAAAGATATTTAATATAATAAATAAAACTACTTATTATATTTTAAACTACTTAAATATTATAAACCTTAATATAAGAGGATTATAAATATTAAATAAGTTTAATATAATTTTATTATTAAAGGCTTATAGCTTTAGCTTAAAAAGATTATAGCTTTATAATATATTTATAAGTATAAAAAAGTAAATAACTTATATTTTTATAAAAAGTTTAAAAATAAATATAATTAATCTTTAATTATTATATTTAGAATTTTTTTTATATTTAATATAAACTTATAATTTAATTAATATAATTAAAGTTATATTTTATTAAGATTTTTTTATAATTTAAATTTTTTTTACTTTTTAATATTACTTATAAATACTTTTAATATTAAAAAAAATATACTTTTAAAAAGATTAAGTAAATAATATAATTTAGTTTTTTTTTTTTAAATATAAGCTTTATTAAGTTTATATTTTTTATAATTATTAATTATATATATACTTTTATTATATTACTTAAAGGTATAAATAGTTATAAAAATAGTTTTTTATATTTATAATATACTTTTAATAATTAAATAAAAATCTTTTTAAACTTTAAAAGAATTTAAAGCTATTATAATACTTTTACTTAAAGTACCTTAGCTTATAAGTAATATAAGCGCTTATAGTTAATATTTAAAATATATAAATAAAGGGAATTAAATATTTAAAGTGCTTTATATATATATTAATATATATAGTATAAGTTATTTTAAAAAGATTATTAAATTATATATTATTATACCTTTTTTAATATATTTATTAAGACTTTTAAAATTATAAATTAAAGTTTAATAGCTTATAATAGCTTATTATAATTAAAAAAGAATATAATAAATAACTATATATATATATATTTTAATTAATAAGTAATTATAAATAATTTTTAATATTTTATATTATTTTAATTATTTAATTAAAAATAATAAAAAGGCTATTATAATAATTAAAATATTATATATTATTAAAGCTAAGTAAAAAAGAAAAGAATTATTCTTAAGCTTATATTCTTTTTTATATATAAGCTAAATAATAAAATTAAGTATTTTAGCTAAATTATAATAATTAAACTTATTAAAAAACTTAAAAAGGCTAATTTATTTAAAAAGCTATAAATTAAAAGTATTTTTATTATTATTTATTTATTTAATATTAGCCTTTTATATATATATATATAATATATAAATATTAATATATAAGTTAAGAGAATAGTTTTAATTATATATATTATTAATTATTTAAAAGCTTAATATAAACTTAAGACTTAATTAAAATAAAATATATATATATAGCTATAAGGCTTATATACTTTATTAAAATTAAAAAGCTAAAATTAAAAAAAGGTATTTTAAAGTAAATTTTAAAAAAAATAATTAGTTATTTAATAAGTTATAAAGCTATTAATATATATAGAATTTAAATTCTTTATTTTAAAAAAGTCTTTATAAAAAAAATTAAATTTAATAAAATAATATTTTATTTAAAAAAGTAAAAAGTAAAGTAATTATTTATTAAAAAGCTTAATAAGCTTTTTAAGTAAGTTAAAGAAAATAAGTTAAAATATCTTTTATTATTATAAAATATACTTATTAATAAAAACTTTACTTAAAATAGCTTAATAATTAACTTAAAATTATTAAATAAAGCTTTTTTAATAAAAAAAGCTAGTAATAAATAAAGCTATAAATATTAAAAAAGACTTTTAAAATAAATATATAATATATAATATATAAAAGGTTTAATAATATTTAAAAAAGTATATAGTTAAAAAATATAAAATATAATAAGCTTATAATTAATATTACTTTTAAAAGTTTATTTAATTTAATAAAATTAAAAAATTAATAAAAAAAATATTAAGTAAATAAAAAGGCTATAAACTATATAAAAGTATATAATAAAAAAGGTAATAAGCTTAAAAAATAATTTTATTATTATTATAAAAGTTTAATTAATAAAATTAAAGTAATAGCTTAAAGGTATATATTATATTTATACTTTTTTAATACTTTTATTATTAAGATAATATATTTATAAATATTAAGTATTTTATTTAAAATTATTATTATTATAAAAAAGTTACTTTTTATAATAATAATATTAAAGCCTTTTATATTTACTTTTAATTAAAAATAAGTTTTAATAATAAATATTAATAAACTTTATAATTAATCTTTTTATTTATAATAAGTTTATTTTATAATACTTTATAATTATTATTAACTATATATTTAAATATATATAACTTAAAGCTATATATTTTAAAATTATAAAAGACTATATTATTAAATTTAAAATAATTTAATAATAATTTTATAAGTTTTTAATATATATTATTAATAATAATAAATTAAATTAAGTGAATTATTTTTAGTTTATATTTTATATATTAATTAAAATAAAATAACTTTTTTTATTATATATTATTTTTAAATAAATAATAAAATAAAAGAAATTAAAAAGTATAAGCTATACTTTATATAATAATCTCTTTTTTATAATTTAATTAGCTTAATTATTTTTTAATATACTAGCTTACTTTAAATAACTATAACTTATTTATTATTAAGTTTAGCTTAAAATCCTTTTTTAATAATTATAATATTAATTTAATTTTATAAATACTTATATTTAAAGTAAGTAAACTTTTATTAATAAAATATACTATTACTTTTTTTAATTATTTAAAAAAAAGCCTTAAAGTAGCTTAAATAACTATTATATTTATTTAATAATAATAATAAAAATTAATAAACTAAAGCTATTAATTAATAAAGTAGTTTTAAATTAATAATAAAGTTTAGCTTTTTTTATATAATATTAAAATAAACTAGCTTTATAAAAAACTTAACTAGCTTTATATAAAATAAATAATAATAAAAGTTTTTACTTTTTTAATTATAAAATTAAATTTAAAAAAAAACTTATATTTTATATTTTATATTAATTTAATTAAATAAATAATAAATAATTTACTTTTATTATAATAACTTTTAAATTTTAGCTAAGTTTAATATAAGTTTATTTTATAAAATATAAAACTTTATAAAAAAAATATAAAATAAAGAAAATCCTTATAATAAAAATATAAATAAGCTTAAGTAAAAAGCACTTAATTTATATTAAATAAATTAAATATAATCTTTTAACTTAAAAACCTTTAAAAGAGTTTAAAAAAATATATATATATTAAATAAATTAAAAAAAATAATACTTAATATATTATTATAATAAGCTTAAGTATAGCTTATATATATATATATTAATTAATTATAAACTATTTATATATATATATAAAATAAAAAGAAATTAAGCTAAGATTATAAAAAATAAAATTAAAAAAATAATTAATTAATATAATAAAATAATAATAATAATACTTAATATTAAATATAAAAATAATATTAAAACTAACTTTTAAATTAATATAAGTATTATTCTAAAAAAAAGACTTTTTTAAGGCTAGCTTAATAGCTTAATAGCTATATAAGTTATAGTAGTTTTAATTAAATAAATAATAAGCTAAGCTTATATTAAAAAAGCTAAGCTTTAAAGCACTTTTATAATAATATATAAACTTTAGTATTTTAATAAAAATATAATTAAAAATATAAAATAAGTTAATAATAAAATAATATAAAGTAATATTAAGATTATATAAAAAAGAATTAAGCTAGTATAAATTAATTAATAATATTATATAAAAAATATAAAAAATATATAAAAAAAAGATATATATAAAGTAAAAGTAATAAACTACTTAATTATAATAGCTTATATATATATTAAGTTAATATAAATATAAAGTATTAAGTTATATATAGCTTAAGTAAAAACTTAAGTAAATTTATTAATTTACTTTTATAAAAGCTAAAAACTTAATATAAAAGTAATAATAATAAATAAAATATTAATAAAAAATTAAAATAAAGTTAAAAAATAAGTAAATTATAAGTTAAAAAGGTTATAAAAAGAATTAAAAATAAAAAAAGCTAAGGCTAAAAAAGTATTATATTAATAAAAAATAGGCTTTTTTAAAAATAATATACTAGCTATAAAAAAAATTCCTTAAGTAATAAAGTTTAAGCTTAAGCTAAAAGTAATATAAAAAAGAAAAAAGCTAATAATATAATATATAAGTTAAAGTATAAAATAAATATAAGCTATATATTATATAAAAGCTTATAAGCTTTATATAAAAATATTACTTATATATAAGTAATATATTACTTTTTTTTTAATAATATATAAGATTTTTATATTATTATTTTTTAATTTACTTATTTAATATAAAGATAATATATTAATTAATAATTACTTATATTTATATAAAATTAATTAATATTAACTATTATAAAAAAAAATATATATATATATATAAAATAAAAAAAATAAATATTTATATAAAAATATAATTAAATATATTATATATTATATTAGCTTTATTTTATTTTAAAAGTAAAAAATAAAGTATTAAAGTTAATATAATATTAAAAGTAATATTAGTCTTTATTATATAAAAAAAAAGTAAATTAAGTAATAATAAGCTTAATTAATATAATATTATATATACTTTATTAAGTTTTTATAACTTATATAAATAAATTTAAAAAAATAGCTTATTTATTAAGCTATTTATTAACTTTTTTTTATATTAGCTTTAAAATATACTTAAGATTTTATATAATAGCTTTAAATATATATTATACTTTATAAAAGTAAGTATATATAATAAATAATATATTAATTCTTATATATTTATATTTAGCCTTTTTATATAAAATATAAATATAATTATAATTATATTAATAATTTAAAGTATATTTATTAATTATATAAGTAATATAATTATAATAAAAATAGCTAACTTATTTTAAAAATATAATAAATTCCTTTTTTAAATCTTTTTAATAATATATATATTAATAATATAATAAGTAAAAAGAGAAAAAAGTATAAAAGTATTATTATTATAAAAAGTATTAATATTAAAATATTAAAAGTAATTATTAAATATTATAAAAATATTAACTATACTTAATAAAAAATAAAAATATACTTATTATTAATTATATAAAAAAGTATAATAATAATTAAATAAAAATAATATAATAATATTAAAAATAAAAAAATAAAGAAATTAAAATATAAAAAAGCTATAATATATAATTTATAAATATAAAAAAAATAATATATATATAAACTATAAGTATACCTTAAATAAATTTATAAATAGTTTAATAAATAAATTATTATAAAGCCTTTAATATATAATAATATATATATTATTTATAATAATAAAAATAAAAAATTATATAAAAAAGTATATTAAATTAAAAAATAAAAGTATTATAATATAAAAAAAGCTATAATATTTTTATAATATATATAACTTAAGTAAACTTACTTTTAAATAATAATAAAGCTAAAATAATATTATATTATAAATATTATATTTAAATATAAAAATAAAATAATCTTAATATAAAAATAACTAAAGTTAAATATAAAAAATAAAAAAGAATAAAAAATATAATATAAACTTAAAAGAAAATTTTTCTTAAATAAAAAGCTTAAAACTTAAATTATATTAATAATTAAGCTAAAAAAGTAAGGTATATTATAAGCTTAGGCTTTACTTAAGCTTATTAATAATTAAGCTACTTTAATATAATAATAGCTTAGCTTAAGCTTAGCTTAAGCTTAGCTTAAGCTTAAGGTATACTTAGCTAAAGTATATAATAAGTATATAATATATAATAAATAATTTTTTAAGTATATAAATTTATATATAAATATTTACTTATAAGTATTATAAAACTAGTCTTTTTATAATTTATTTAAAATAAAATTAATATAAGTTTATTATATTATAAAAGTATTAATAAACTTAAATAATAATACTTAATATTAAAAAAAACTATAATAATATTAAAATATAGTTTTTTTTAATTATTTTATTAAACTTAAATATAATAATATATATTTTTAAAATTTAATTTTATAAAAGTTTTAGTATTTTTTAATTAATTTAAAACTTTATAAATTAATAATAATAATATAATATTTTTTTTAATACTTTAATTAAGTTTTTAATAATTAATATAAAGTTTAAGTTTACTTTTTTTTAATATAAATAAAACTAAAGCTTTATATAAATTAATAAACTTAATAATTTATTTATTTTATAATATATAATTAATATATTTATAAAGTATTTATAACTTTTTTATTATAAAAAAATATATAAATTTTTAAAAAAATATATAATTAAGTTTAAGATTTATTATATAAATAGAATTATTAAAAAATATAAATCTAATTATAATTTTACTTTTTATAATATTAAAATAATTATAATATTATAATAATATATAATAAAGTTTAAGTAGAATATTATTTATATTTTAAGTATATAAAACTTATTTATTAAGTGCTTTTACTTTAATAATAATATAAAAGAAATTAAAAATATATTATATTTTTTTAAATTAATAATATATAAATTTTCTTTTTATAAAATAAAATAAACTATACTTTATATTATAAATATAAAAGATTTTTATTATTTTATTTATAAAAATCTTAAAATAATATTTTTATATATATTTATAATTTTAAAACTTATTTTAAACTTTTATTTTATTTTTTAATTATAAAAGCTATTTATTATAATATTTATAAAAGTCTTAAGCTAAAGTTTAAAAAGCTTTAATTTTTTAAAAGTTTATAAAAAGTAATAAAGTATTTTTTATTATTTATTTACTTATTATATTAATATTATTATTATTATTAATAAATATTACTTTATATTATTATTTATTTTATAATTTAATTTATATTAAATAATATAAAAATAAGCTAATATTTAAAATAATAATTAATAAATAATTATTAAGTTTTTAAGCTTATTATATTAAAATAAAAATATTATTAAGTATAATAATTAATTATTTTTAATATATTAAGTAATTATAATATTTAGTATTATATTTAAAGCTTTTATAAATAATATAGTTTTTAACTTAATATTAATTTTTATAATAAGATTTTTTATACTTTTAATATTTAAATAATAATTATAGCTATTTTAAAAATTCTTTTATTATAATAATATTATTATTATATTAAAGTTTTAACTTATTTAAATTATTATTTTTTTTAATATAAGTTTAATTTTAATAATTATTATTAAGTTTATAATAAAGTTATTAATTTTTTTTTCTTTTATTTTATTTATTTTATTTATATACTTATATTATAAATCTTTAATTAAATAATTAAAATTCTCTAATTATAAATACTAGTTTATATCTTTAGTTAATATTTTATAATAAAAAAGCTAATTTAAAAAAAGTTTAATAATTAAATAGCTATTTTAATTATAATAATTTTATAATAATAAAAAATTATATTAAAAAACTTATTAAAATATTAATATAGCTATATAAAAATATAAATAGCTTTATATACTATTATAATTTTATTAAAAAAGTAATTTATATAATATTTAAAATATTATTTTTAAAAAAATCTTATTTTAATTATTATATTTTAAAATTTATTAAATTTATTATTAATTTACTTTTTAAGTATAATATAATAAAATATATTTTACTTTTATTATTATTAAATATTATTAAGATTATTCTAAAGTAATTATTAAGGCTATAAAAATATATTTAATATTTACTTTAACTTTTTTAAATAAAAAAAGCTTTATAAATAAGATTTTTATAAATATAAAATTATTAACTTATTATTTTATTAAATATTTATTACTTTTTTTTTATATAATAAAGTTTAATTATAAGTTTTTTTTTATTTAAAACTTTTTTATAAAATTAGCTAATTATTACTTTTTTTATATTTTTATTAATTCTTTTACTTACTTTTATAACTTTTTTTTTAATAATAATTAAATAATTTTAACAGTTTTAAAGTTATATTACTTATACTTTATTATAAAATTACTTTTATTTTAAGTTTATTTTAGGTTTTTTTTAAAAAAATATAAAGTTAATTATAATAAAAAACTATAACTTATAAAGTTTATTTAAAAATTATAAATTATTATAAACTTATATATATTTTTTAATTAATAAATTAAAGCTATAAAATTATAATATTTATATTTTATTATATTTATTATTCTTTATATTTATTATTCTTTTTTTTAATAGTTTTTATTTTTTATAAATAAAATAAATAAATTTATTAAAAGTATTTAAAAATAATATTAAAAAGTAAAAAGAATTTTAATTATAATTTCTTTTAATAAAGTATAACTTTAATTATATTAATTAAACTTTAAGTTTATATTAAATATAAAAAGAATTTTAAATATAAAAGTTAAAAGTTAATTATATTTATTTTTAAACTTTTTATAAAAATATAAGTTAATTACTTTTTTATATTTATAAATATATTAAAAAGCTATAACCTTTTTAAGCTAAAGCTATAAGCTTTTAATAATAAGATTATATTAAACTTATTTAGTATTTATAAGCCTTTTATATTAAGGTTTATAATAGCTTATTTATAATAATATTATATATTATAAAGCTTTAGCTATTATAAACTAGTTAAAAATATATTATAAAATATATATTTTTTATTTATTAATAAAATTATATATTTAAGTTATTATATATAGTATAACTTATAAAAGAAGCTTTATAATTTATAAAATTTTAATTTTTATATTATTTATAACTATTCTTAGTATTTTATTAAATAATATATTTATATATATAATTATTTAAAACTTTTTATAAATTATATAAAAAAGCTAGCTAAAACTTAATTATATTCTTTATTAAAGTTATTAATTAATATAAATAAATAAAAATATTTAAAAAATATTTATAAGTTAATTATTTAAATAATAAATATTATTTTTTAAATATATTTTAAATACTTTTCTTTAAGATATTTTCTTAAATAAAAGATAATATAAATATTATTATTTTATTTACTTAAGCTAGTTAATACTTAAATAATAATTTATTAATACTTTAATTATAATACTTTTAAAACCTTTTTAAATTAAATAATAAAACTATTATTATTAAAGCTTTAAGAATAATATTTATTAAGAAGAGATATTAATATATAATATATAGTATATTATATAATTATTAACTTAGCAAGTTAGTAATTTACTTTAAATAATTAAGAAAGGAATTAGTCTTACCTCTATTAACCTCTCTGTTAAATCGAAACACTCGCGCCGTATCTCCTCCCCGAGATCCTGAGAGGAGAACCGCCACAGCCCTGTGAAGCCCATCTCATGTAATGCGTCTATAAGTGGGCGCATTGAGCCCATCTTGTCCTGGAAGGTTGCGTCCGAGGCAATTGTGCGCAGCAAAGTGTTGGCGGCCTTTAGAGCGCTTGTGTCTTGACTGTGTAACAGTACCTCCTCTATCAATGATGGTATTGCGCCGCACCTATGTGACATCAGTTCAACTTCCCCTCGTAACGAAGCAGCAGAGTTACAACTTACAGTTGTTCAAAGACCAAGGGCCGCTGCAAGGCCAGCTCGTTCAGCCATTGCAGACTCCGGACCTGTACTCGTTCCTCAAGGTATTGGAAGTCAACTAGTTCAATAGCGGAGATGAGTAGCAAGTCTCTGTCCCTTACGTTGTCCATTCTTTGGCGGCCGGTGAGCGTCGTGATGTTGCCGGCGTCCTCAGAACCCACTCCAGCTATCCAGAGGCCGTCCCTGTAGTCCTCGGGAAGAACGCCCCGTGCCGAAATCAGGGCGAGATATGGCAAAGAATCCGTTGTGGGATCATCCTTGGATGCAGGAGGCACAGTGGTAGAGTTGGCAATCTCCACGAACGCGGAGAGAACGCGGATTGCCGTTGGGCGTGTTGATGTATCAGTGAGCCCGCGGACCAGGCAAGCGCAGACGGCAAAGTGAAAGCTCTCGTGATCGAAATGGATTCCATACGCATCGTCCAGCGGCAATGCGGCCTCTTCAAGCTGGCCGCGGCTTTGCAAAAGAAGCGAAACAAACTTCTCCCCAGTAGCACTACACACGGCGCCGAGGTTGGTCAAGACTGCCTCAAGGAACTGGGCTGTGCAGTTGAAGAGACCAATGGGGACAAGTCGGACGAGAGACATGGCCAGCCAGAAGAGCTGAAGACCGTAGCGAGAGGATGAAGGGAGCTTGATCATCATCTTAGACAACGACGTCACGATGGAGATTAGCATTTCGCTATTCCCATCTTCGCCAAACTGACCGATACTATTGCGCAGGGCAACGAGCACTTGGTATAGCAGGTCGTCGTCCACCTCTTCACGAGCCAGGTATCCCATTACCGCAAAAGCCCTCGGCTGCACAGCCGGGTTGTTCTGAAAGGCGGTGCTGGCTACCAGGCTCATCCAGCGTGATCTCCAGCTATTCGCCAAGTCAACCGAAGGCGCTGCAATGGAGCATATGTCAAACAGGATGACAGTCAAGTTCTCAGTTGCTGCGAGTGTCGAGCTTGAGTCGTGTGCCGTGGAGACGGAGGCGCCGTCGCGAATGGTCGACGTCGTCAACGAAAACGCCTCGCCTCGGGGCTCACAAAGAATGTCAAGGTTCGCTTTCAGCTTGGTGAGCTTCGCCTCATCCAAGTTGAACGCCGTACATATTGAATGAACCGAATTGATTAACAGCTTGTACACGAGAGAGCGAACGCCATTGTCGCCCGTGTTTGCCAGCATCGTGACAATATGGAAGATTTCGGGCAAGAATAGCCGGGACTGAACACCGCTATCGAACGACAAAGCAACGCAAAACTGGAGAAGAACGCAAATCTCTGCCCAGACTGGGCTGTCCTGCAGATATCTCGTCGGCCTCAGTGATGAACGATTGAGGGTTTTGCGCAGTCGGGAGAATATTCTCCCCCGAATGGTTACAGTCCCGATTCCAGTGACGACAGGTGCAATGACGTCCAAGGACTCTTCATGAGCCCCATAGCTTAGAGCAGTCTTGATGAGCTCATCGAGGAATATGTCGAGGAGCAGCTCGTCATTGGTGATTGAGGGTAGGACAAAGTGCTGAAGAGGATAAACGAGGTGTTGGTCTAGAACAATAACGTCGATCATCTTCCTTAGGAGGGTGGCGACCTTGTCTCTTCCCTTTTCGCTGTCTTGTTCACTTGTCAAGATATTCGTTCGAAGGCCACCAAGCCAGGGTGACATGTACGCCAGGCTGAGCGGCCTTTGCTCTTCAGGAAAGCTTTCCCATCCAACAAAGAACTCGGTCAGGAAATCAGACGTCAGCTGTGGCTGCGTGGTGGCCAGGATCCTGCTAATTTCAACAACGAATTTTGTGGGATCAGCCGGAATAGAGATGTCTAGTGCATATGATTAGCATTGGTGAATAGGCCCGGCCGATCAATTTGGCTCAGACTGGCCAGCAACTTTACCTTTTGCACATGACAATCGGGAATCTGCGCTGAATTTGAAGGCCCTGCAGAGAGCTCCCAGCAGATTATATGATGCCAATCTTAGAGACCGGTCCGGACTCAAGAGATTTGTAAAGGCAAGATTAAGCAATGTGCCGGGCACGTCTTGGGGACGCATAAGCCGTTCAAACGGCTTGTATGTGCGATTCTCCTTTCCGTGCTTGCTCTTGGCGCTGCGGATGGTCTGGAGCACGTCTGCCTTCTTTGGGCTGGTAAAGTACATGACGATTTTCCCGCCATCTGCGCGAAGCCCAAAGGACGAATCATCCTCTGATTGCAGTGATGTTGTTGTTGTTGCCTCGTCCACGTCCCCCAGTCGGAAGATATCGTTGACGGTGGTACTGAGACGGAGACCGGACAAAACCTCCTGTTTCTTGGTCGTCGTCACTTGGACGAACTGGCTTCCAACCTTGATTGCGACATCTACCCTTCCCTTTGACTTGGAGAGCCTCGTGACGGGCTGGAACATGTAACGAGTATCTGTGACGACGCTGATCGTTTCTTTGGGAAGATGGAGTTGACTGAGGTGGAAATGAGCTTGAAGGTCCTGGAGGCTTCCTATCAAGTGGTATTCCACGTTTCTCGGATGGAAGGCACTGCTATCACTTCTCGTAGAAACCCGCAAAAGGTGTCGGAAGCATCTCCTGCATGCACTGCATTAGAATCAATGGGGACATCAAAGATGTGGGACATGGCAAACCTGAAAGCGCTGTTCATGTTGTAAACGTAGACCCTGGTGAGGTTGAGCGTCAGCTCTGAGGGAGTTAGGAGATCCAGCATCTTGAAGAATTCATCCTGGGGATCGTTCCGTCCATTGTAGCATGTAGCATCTATGAAGAGCCCGAAGGGTTCATGCCAAAGCCTGCTGGCGATCTGGTAAAGCGCATTAGTATGCTTCGCTTTGGGCTCATGGTAACGGGTATGGGATGTCTAAAGGGGGACCAAGTGACTAACCTTGAGATAGCAGTAAAGCATGGTATCATAATCGATATTATCAGCCTCGATGTGCCGTAGGATAATGCAGATAATCGAGAGTCCATCCTGAGGGGGAAAGCTCAGCACATGCTCGTGAACATTTCGAGACCTAGATTAGGCTCTGATGGGAAGTTGATGGTATAACTCACCTTGCTTTCGCCGCCGTCATACACCGCACGGGACGTCAGATAAGATTCCGTACCACGGAAGGCATTTCGAAGCATGAAATTCTGGAATCGGGAATACAAGGGCGGGCTGTTCGTCGAGATCTGTGGGCGATTCCATGATATGGCCAAGGGGGGAGGGCCGAGATTTGCAATGAGATTTCGCAGAGGTTCCATGGTCGGGGACCGACCGCGAGCATGCTCTCCAGGAGACCTGACATAATCTCTCCTATCTTTGGCAACGAGAATCTGCTGAAGGTGATCCCAGTGATCGTAGAGAAATCGATGCAAAGCCACGCACGAGCCGAAATCAATGGCCTTTTTGTTACTACTGATTTCAATATGACTTGGCGGAATCTTCCTCGTAGTTAGCTCATCTTGCTGTCATAGAAGTGGAATAAAAGGAAGAATGAAAGCAGATGAGAGGGAAGGGTATACACTCACCGATATTTCACGCAGGAATCCCATCACGACATGAATGTTCTGGACTAAGAAGAGGTTCAGTGGGAACATGTAAGGCTCCTTGGTTCCGAATAGGACGTTGTTGGCCAAGTTTTGGATAATCTTCGCTATCAGCAGCAGTCCTCGCCGCATTTCCTTTGATGGAGGCGTCGGCACGAGCCCTTCGACTTCCGGAGCAACGATTGCGGGACAGAAGAAACGAAGAAAGATGAAGGCACCGACGGCAGTGTATTTGGCGTTGGGGAAGCGGTGCAAAACGGCATCTGAAATCTTATAGAAATGTCAGTGGCGCCCGGTTATCCAGTCAATAGGGGACCATGTGGACTCACTATGCTGCAAATCTTCCTGAAAGAGGGGGGGATATTGGCAGCAGAGGCGCAGATATCGTCCATGAAGACTTTGGCAACGATCTGAAGCTGGAGGGCATTCTTTTGCAGTTCTTCCTGAGTGCCGACCCGGGCCGGATCGAGCTCCAAGTCCAAGTCTTGCGATGTGAGCATGAGTCGTTCGAGGACTTTATGGAGAGTTCCCTGCAAGTAGGCGAAACCTTTCCATCTCGCGTAGACAGACAGCATCTTGGTCGCGACGCAGTTTCGACGCAAAATCTCCGTCTCGTTTTCTAACGTGAGGTTAGCCGCAACGCCGTTCCTGGAGACAGCGAGCCAACAAGAGCGTATGGCTTACCAGTCTGCTCAATTTCAGCTCGGATGAGCGCCTCAAACAGCTCGAATATGAGGCCTCGCTGCTCGAACACTGTCAAAAGACAGATTGTAAGTTCGTCGACTTCTGTGCTTGGGCATATCGCACTCATCGAAGCAGGCAGGGATAGATCTTTTGTGAGTAGCTTCATGTGGATTGTTAGCCTCTTCGAAAGGAGTTCGTGCAAAGGCGAGACAACGAACCTCTAAGAGCTCCTCGTATTTCTTACTAACAGCCGAGTCTGTCAAATTGCTGAACTCTGTCCCTTGGACGAGTATGTTGTAGAGAACTTTGACGAAGGCCGTTCGGATTTCCACATTGTCGTGATAACCGATATTGATGGAATGCTTGAGACCAACATCGATGTTTGCGCTGAGCAGATTGGAGAGGATGGTGATGGCCAAGTCTGAGTTGGATATTACCTCATCCCGGCCAGCCAGAGTTGCAGAAAGGTCTGATCTACTTGTTTCAGCAGACTCGTTATTCAACAGAGAAAGGAAGCGATTGAAGTAGTTGTGGAACATCTGGGACTTCATCTCGCTCATCCCGACATCTGACTGACTGTCAGCGGGCTGCAGCGGTAGGCGAAAGGTGAGATCAGCAAGGGATCGCAAGCAGGCCTTGTCAAGGTCCTTCTGAACCCTGTTCAGGTCATCCGGTTTCCCCCCTATGCCGGCCTGGTCCGCATGCGGTGACCGTGGTCGATCTATCCAGCCGATGGTGTACTCAAGGAGCTGGTTCCGAATATGCACATCATCGCGGAGGTTCAGATGCTCCTTTCTCTTCGTCACGGCCTCACACAATTGACAGACCCTTATCTTGACACGTAGCGTATTCGCGGTATCTGCGATTCCGTCGATGAATTTGGCAAAATTCAGCGTCATCAGGCCCAGGTGAACTGACGAGGCCGCTCCCAAGTCGGCGGGAATCTCCAGTCTTTCGACCAACGTTTTCAAGAGAGAAGCGGCCTGCTCTGCGAATATTATGTCCGTCTCCTGAGCCTTGTCTGCCGGAGCGAGGACACCGGCAAACAGCACATCTAATTCTGACTCGAGAGCTTTGAACAAGGCGGGATAGAGAACTGATGATACCTCACTCGATAGGATTTCGCGCATAGCTTCACGAACTCTGACGTTTGCACACGCCAGGAGCTGGATAGCCAACTTGAGATAGCGTTTGAGGGATGACTCTTCAGACTGCTCAGGCGAGGATCGATCGATCCACTTCAGGTTCTGGAGCGACGGTTCTTCCAGAATGATGGGCTGGTCGGCAGTACAGACGCCCCCAAGAGAGGCAAGGAAACCTGAGAGGTTTCGCCACTCTGACAACAATCGGTCATCGACGGAGTTGGGATGAAGCGCCGAGACTTTTTGAACCAAGTATATCCAACGTTCGAAGGCCATTTCCCAAGCATCCAATATGCCTGATGTAGGAAACTGTATGCGACGCAGGAGGTTTCGAATGCGTTTCTGAAAGGCGACCAGTCCGGTGAAGCGGAAAGCCGGAGAGGCGATCTCACGGAAAATATCCCCGTTGCGGAGGACCGAGGCTGAAGACTTGATAGCTTCAGAGGACTCGCCGATGCAAGAGCACTCTGCCACAAAAAGGCCGATACAAGAAGTCACCAGCTGACAGACGTCAATGTCGGCGGAGCAGAGGGACACCAGAAGAACGGTCTCCAACTTGGAGGAAGCGGCGGCCATGTCAGGGAGCTCCTTGGAAAGGCGAGTCAACTCCTGTAGAAGTTGGGAATCTAGGAGTTAGCGAGGATGAAGAGATCACTCGAGACGATCTGCGGATAAGCATCTTACCGGTATATTTCTCAGTAGTGTGAGACGTGCTTTGAGGTAATCGCGCATCGTCGTCAACTCAGAGAGTCTGGGATGAACCATGCGGTCACACAGCTCTAACAGAACCTTGGAGCTGGAGAAGCGGTATTAGTCGATGCCGGCTGTCGCAAGAGAGACTTGATTCGTACCTTCGAGCCCAGAACGTCTCACGTAGGTCAATGATATCGGGGTGGCTTTGCTCATTGAAGGACTTGACAGCCTCTGGGTGCTCCGTGAAGAGCCTCTCGGCAACTTCGGTTGCAGTCTGGCAAATAGTCTTGTTGGATGAGATGACTGTGAACATGAAGGGCCCCAGAGTGTCAATCGTCTGCGTCTGACGATTCAGCTCATTCAACAGAGGCGTGGGTAGAGCACCGAGAAACTTGAGGATGCTGCGCGCCATGTTGATGGTCTCATTACTGAGATTTACCGCTGGATCCCACGACACGGCTACACAAGTCTAACAACAATCAGCATCTTCATCATCATCACGGCGAATATAAGTAAGACGTTGTGTGGCAAACCTTTAGCTGTGACTGAATAAAGGGAAGAGCTTCGTTGAAGAGTTCATTATATCTGGTAGCGTCTGGCTGATTCGCAAGATGACAGCAGGCTTGGATAACAGCGACTTTGAAACTATGCGGCGACGAAGGCGAGATACAGGTATCAAGGACAGTATCAATACACACGTCCAGGTTCAGATGCGCTAGAGTAATGAAAGCGGCAGTAATCATATTCTGGTCAAAGTGGGCAGAGGGCGAATTCGTCGCGGAATGGCGAAACACTGCGTCCCGAACTTCGTCCTGCACGTCCATGGCATAACTGACGAGCGCAGAGTCGCTTTCTGCGCTGAAGTGCCGTGCCGCACGGAGCAGGGAGATGACACAGTATCCAGCCTGCTCGTTCCCGTTCTTCATGGTTTTACGCAGCCCATCCAGAAATGACACCTTCTTCATGATATTGTTGCTCTTGGCCTCCCTCAAGTTACTAGCGACCTCGAACACGTCAGGCATGAGGAAAAGAAGGGTTGTTTGCAGAGGGAAGAGGAGAGCCTTGCGTCTACCATTGTCAGTCACGGTTTGGGTCATGTCGAAGAGAGTATCCGCGCCTCCGTCAAGCCGCCGGTGTAGACGGTGTAGACGGACAAACTCCTGCGGATATCGGTCAATCCATCGAGCTATCAGCAACGGCATGGTCGCGGCGACGGTATTCTGATATGACTTCCGGAAGTGGAGGAAGCTTGAGCATATCTCCTGGATGATGAGGCCAAGCTTGGCGCCGTCGACCCAGAAGGAGGAAATCAGCCGCACGATGATGAGCGAGCCTCTCCCTGGATCTTGGGAGCTCCAAGCCTCCGAGTTTGCATCCGCCGCTGCGGAGACACGGACGTTGTATATGACATCCCTGAGGTAGCCAAACGAATGCGACCAACTGGAGGCCGTGACATAACCCACGAATGTCTTGACAGGCGTCTCGACCTGGTCGAGGTACGACGCAAGGCGGCTTTCGGCCTCGAATTGTTCGTTGTGGGCGTCCTGCGGCGCCTCGCCGGACCAGCGGGCCGCGCTGGTGCTGCCCCCGATACTCTGATCCAGGAGCACATGTGCTGAGAGCATGTAGTTGTCGGATATAGGCTCCAGCAGGTCCTTGAGAGCATCAAAGATGCGGCCAACAAGCCGCTCACTCAGGGGGGCAGACGGCAAGGCTATGTCCTCGTCCGGGGCGTTGGGCTGCGCGCTCCAATTGGCAGAGCAGCAGTCTGCCGCCAAGCTCAGCACAAAGAGCTCCGACGACAGCACATGGCTGGGATGATCCGAGACGGCACTGTAGGGGCGCGCGAGCTCTTCGAGCAGTCCCACCAGCGACTCCAGTATGATGCCAATGGACGCCTTGCTCAGGTCGACGAGCGTCGACCTCGCGATCTGCAGCACTTCATCCTCCAGGGGGCTTTGGCTGCTCGTTCCGGTGACGTGCGGCAGCTGCGATGCCCCCGATGGGCTTATACATTAGCCGGGCGTCCGCAGCAGTCGGAAAGGAGGCGATTGACGCGGATTGATGCTTACCCTGCTGGACAGCCGCTCAACCAGGCAGGCGACCAGGCTTGAATCCCCAGACATGGCGGTGATCTGGAGATGTCGGAACGAGCTCGGTGGGAGTGGATGAGGCCATGATGGAAGCCCAGGGCCTGGAAGTGCAGCGCGGGGTACTTTCTATCATGTACTAACCTGCCTACTTTCTCATGGCGCGACCCCTGGATTGGAGAGCCCAGGCCCGTACCTCGATTAGTAGTACAGCAGCTCTGGTTAGTGGCTCTATATCCCGAGGTCCGCTAGAATGGGGCATTGTAGGCACTAACCCGGGGCGTGTTAACCTCTAGCTCCAACAAGGTAGTAAGCTGCTTCAGCGAGCTTCAAGCCTGTCACCGAGATACTACCTAGTCCACCTCCAACCACCATTCTTCCAACAGCACCGCCCTCTTCATCCTACTGCTTGAGGAGAGCCAAGAGGTGGTCTATTTTTGATCCTTTCCCCTTCTCTCCTCTGCTTCCGGAGCCGGTATGCAACAATGCCTCGCAGGCACGGGGCTTTAGACGACTACACGTCTGCTGTGCCTCAAGTCCGTCAACCCCCCCGTGATATGTGATATGCTGCTCCGTCTCATGGGCCGGCCTAACCAAGTCGCAGATCATCTTGTCGACGTCCGACTCCGACTATCTCGACCACCTCATACCCGTGCTTAAAGATGCGACCAACTCGCGACGAACGCCGGCGCTGCTGCAGTCCCTCTCCCGCTACTCCGAGGACCGCGAGGCGGACATTGAACGGATCGGACTGACCAAGCACGAGGAGTTCCTCGACTCGGTCCACAGGCTGCAGGAGGTCCGCGAGGGAACCGTGAACCTCACCACCGAGATTCTCAAGCTCAACCAGTCGATTCAGGCAAGCACCGAGAAGCTTGCAGACCAAAAGGGCGCTCTGGTCAATACAAAGGCTGTGCGCCAGAACATTGCGGACGCGGCGGATGCCCTTCGAGAATCCCTTACGGTGCTGCATGCCGTCAACCACTCCCACGAGCTTGTACGCCGCAAGAAGTACTACTCGGCCCTCAAGTCGCTGCAGGACTTGCAGAATGAGCATCTTGTCCCGATCCTCCAGAATCGCTATGCGACCCAGCACCGTCTGGCAGATGCAATCCAGAAGTCTCTCCCTGCCTCCCGACGGGCTATATCAGAAGCGGTCATGTCTGACCTCAACACATGGCTATATCGTATCCGCGAGACCTCGCAATTCCTCGGCGAAGTCGCATTCTATCATACCGAAATGCGTAGATCTAGGCAGCGGGCACGAATCGAGAACGAGAAATTCCTGGAGAATTTCAAGCTGAACTCGTCCATTGAGCTCATCTCGGATGAAAACGAAGAGTTTGACGTGTTGGATAATGAAGAGCTCCAAGTCGACTTCACACCGCTGTTCGAGGCGCTGCACATTCACGATGCTCTTGGGCATAGCGACCGATTTCGCTCGGAATACGCCTCTACCCGCCGCCAGCAGAAGGATCTCCTGATCCCAACCTCGATTGATTTGCTCGCCGAGGATGGATCGTCTCTCAGCAGCTTACTCGAGGGCATTGCAGGATTCGCAATTATTGAAAAGGCGACAATGCAACGGGTTCCGTATCTCCGTTCCGTGGTTGATGTGAGTGTCCAGGCGTCATCTTTGTCTCGTCGGGCTCCCAGACTGTTCTAATGCTGTACCACAGGTAGAAGAGCTGTGGGACTCCATGTGCACCGCGGCCATAACTCTCACAACAAAGGGCCTTGCGAACATCGATAATGCCGAGATCTTACTGAAAATCAAGAGCGTCTTTGCCTTGTTCATTCAGACCATGGAAGTAAGCTTTTACCCTGTGAAAAAAAAGAGAGAAAAAAAAAAGAAGGTCTCGCTATACTCCGACGAATGCTCACCCGTATCTAGGGCTGGGGATACTCTGTATCTGCTCTTGACAATTTCCTCCTGCAGCTCTTTGACAAATACGCCCAGCTGCTGAAGCGCCGATTCAGTGAAGACTTTCAAGAGGTTCGTGATCCAGACTTTGGTCTTCTTGGACCAATTGACCGCATGCTTACGAGGAATGTCTGGCAGATTGTTTCGACTGATGACTATATGCCGATGGCTATCAACTCCCTCAGTGACTACGAGAAAGTGGTCAATGTGAGCTGGTTCACGCCGGATCGGCCTACAGAGGAGCTTACGTGCGCCTGACACAACCCTCACCTTTCTGTAAGGAGCACTGGATGCTGATAATCATGATAGGTTCCCCTGTGTGTTGCCGTTTTCGCAGATGTACCCGCTCTGCTGCATCGACATTCGCAACTTTTTGAATCAGTTCTACTTCTTCCTTGATGACCACTTCCAGCATTCAGATATAATAGATGATACACTACGAAAGGTTATCATCACCACCCCCCCACAACGCTCCGCCGGCGGCATAGACAACTAACTATTTGAATCATCAGTCGCTGGATGAGCTTCTTAGCGAGAAGGTCTGCAAGTCTCTCGTCGAGCGCCTCAGCTCCCAATACCTGGGCCAAATCGTGCAGATTCTCATCAATCTGGAGCACTTTGAAATAGCGTGTCGCGAGTTGGAGCAGCTACTGATCAGAGCGAGGTCGTCCACTTCAGCGGGCGGCCCCCTGAGATTGAATGCCACGGAAGAGTTTCGCAACAATAAGAAGACTGCGGAAAAGCGAATATTCGAACTGGTCAACTCCAAAATCGACGATCTTGTCGACACGGCAGAATACGATTGGTAAGGGCTTCTCTGTTCTTTTCGTGTTGTTGAAGGAGCCATCACAGGCACTAACAAGAATCATCGACAAAGGCTGGCGAACGAGGTACCGACCGAGCCAAGCAACTACATGCAGACGCTCACTCGCTATCTGTCCAACATCATGAACTCGACGCTTCTGGGACTGCCAAGAGAGATTAAAGAATTGATTTACTTTGATGCCCTAAGTCATGCGGCCGAGAAGATTCTGGTACACTGCCCCTGCCGATTTGCTCCCAACTGACCAACGCATATTGACCAGCTTACCAGGCCCTCCCCCTTTCACCCGAGGTTCGACACATCAACGGCCATGGAGTCTCGGCCCTGGCCCAAGACGTCAACTATCTTACGGAGTTTGTCGGGAGCCTCGAAAACGGACAGATGCTACGTGAAAATCTGGACGAGCTCCAGCAGACTGTTAATCTGATGCAGTCCGACAACCACGAGGAGTTTTTCGATATCTCAATTCGCAACAAGAAATATGGCCGAGTTGACGTCCTCAATGGGCCGATGCTACTCGAGAAGTATGCCGTCACCGATACACCCAAAAACAAAATGAAATCCCAACACAACAAAGGACACCTTCGGAGACACAGAGCTGACAGACACGGTGTAGACTCACTCCTACCGCGCAGCCTTCGGGGAGAGCTGCGCCACTCTCCAACTTGTCTCGCTTCGCCATCATGAAATGAGGCAAGGCGTCGTGCGGATGCCTCTCCAACGTACAAGACATGCTTAATCGTCTTTTGCATATCTGGAGGCTTTTTCTCTCGCACTGGCCACCAACCACAGAGCAGCTCCTGGGCAGCAGTCGTGACATGCCACCACGGAAGTTGATGAGAGTGCTTGTCACATTGGTGTTTTACCCCCCCACGACCTTTCCACCCTCTCATCGCCCCGAGCGACGATCCTATTCAAAGTCTTCGGATTGCATGGGCGGCTGTCGGCGGTTAGCAAGGCATTGAAGGGCTGCGGCGGAAACGGAGACTCCCTACCTGCTGTGGTTGCATTGCTGAATACTGGTACATGTCCGGCATCTCACCATATGAAAGCCCCGGTGGCGGCGGTTGTCCATAGGCGGCGGAAGGGGCTTGGGGGACCTGATTGGCATACATGTTGGGGGCCTGCCTGTAGTCCTGCTCAGACGGAAGCGCATGCCCGCCCATGTAGTCGGCAGAGGCCATGGGGTGGGACGACGGATGGCCGGCCGCCTGAGCCATGCCAGCGTGCTGCCCCGGCATGGGCGCCTGGCCTGCCCCGGGAACGGACTGCGCGGCGGACGGCTGTGTGGTGGTTCTTTTAGCATGTGCTGTAGCCTCCTCGCGAGGGACAATGTCGATTAAGAAATCAAACATGTCGGACTTTGCGAGCGCAGAGGCAATGTCGGAGCGCTGCAGCGTGCGCCTCTTGTTCTCCTCAGCATGGATCCAAGCCCGCATGGTGAGCTCCGTGATGAAGATGTCGCAGCCCTTGGCGAACAGGATCGGCGCTTCGGCGGAGATCATCTTGACTTCCGGGTCGGCCTTCATGACCTTCTTGATACGGGCCAGGGGGAGCTGATGGATCTTGTAGTCGTGCGTGTCGCTTTCCAGGTGGCTGATTGTTTGCTGCCAGTAGGTGGTCAAGATGTCCTTGTACTGGCCCGTGAGTCCCTGATGAACCTGGAGAGCGCAAGCGACGTTAGCAAGCACACCGGAAACCGACAGAGTGGTAGGAAGAACAGGGGGAGGACAAACGTTGGCCCAGGGTCCGGTGTAGAGTTCCGCCGGCGCAAAGCCTTGCGAGGCAAGCTGCATTGCTTTCGTTAGCTCAGAAGCTCACCATGGCAGGGAAACAGATCGGTTGAGCGAAGTCGTTGGGGGAAATACGAACTGCAGCACAGGCACCTGGATAGCAAAGGGCGCATTAGTCTTTCAAGCAGTTTGGAGCTCTCGACGAATCAATGAAACGAACCATAGTGTCCGCCTTGTGTGGGATCATAGACTGGCGTCGGCCGGTTATGTGACGGGTGCGTTGACGCAGATTGGTTTTGGGACTCCATCGTTGTCACAGCTGGATAGGCCGGCTTTGGTCGAAGAGATGCTATCTCGTGGCGGTGGTGATGCTGGGATATGCTGCTCGGCAACTGATGAAGCAATGACGGGCGTCAGTCCTCAGGACCGATGCTTCTTGTTGCTATAAGCGGGGAGGAAACGCACCTGTATAGCTCGTTTCCGTATAGAAGAAGCAGTGAAACAACAGATAGAAGAAGCGTACAATAGCTAAACTAAAGTATTATCCAGGTACCGAGATGGGCGCGTGTCAGTGTAACGCAGATGAGAAGCGCAAGCGATCGCGTTGTTGATTTTGTTTGGGCTCGACACTCTTTGTTAGGTGATGTTGTCAGAGGTGCTTCCCAAGCTGCGCCCGGCCTAGTCAACTCATCTAACTGGGGCAGCCAATCAGCGGCGCAGCGCTGGACAAGCTCGCTTTGCGCATGTCCGTTAGATGCATGAGTAGTCGATAAAAGCATCTCGCCTTACAGAACACAATGGCGGACGAGTGATGGGTGGGGCCCGGAAAAATATGCTGTAGTGGAATAATGGAATATCCACTTCTCTGCAGACGGAACCCGCCTCCAGAAATTTGACCTACAAAAAGAGAAGAAAAAAAAAATCACCACGAAACCCGTTTTCCTGGAAACTTCCACTACGACAAGCCGGGCTTTCTCACCAAAGGCGGCTTCGAATCTTCGTCTTCTCCTCAAAATCACCCCCCCATCGCCATATGATGGCTGATTTTGTCGACGATGCCGTGCAGAAGCTTCTCCAGCAGGCCGAGGAGCGCCTCAGCGGCGGCCGCATAGTCGCGAAGAAGCAGCAGCAAGCGTCGACAGATTCCAAGACGGCGGCGGCGGCGGCTTCGACGACGACTGCCCGGGCAGCAGTGGTGGGAGAGGCTGTCGACGCCTCGTTGTTGCCTCCTAAGCAGGAGAAGACGGAAGTCCGCGTGCCGCGACCTCAGGGAGCAGCAGCACAGCGGAAGGGTAAGGTAAGAATTGTCGATTGATTTCTTCTGCTTCTTTTCCTGTCTGTTCCGAAGCGTGGCTGGTATAAAGATGAAAGCTAGCCGCAAGGCAAAAATGACACGGGACAATGTCCGTCTTGGACCACCGTCCCGTGGCCCCTGATTTCTTTTATCATCATAGTTACTCTGAATACCAAGCGATGCCTCTCACGAGCCAAATCACCCTTCGCAGCCTCTCTCTCTATATATATTGGCCGGACCAATCGCTGACTTGCGCAAACAGGACACAGCAGGCGCCGAGTGGTTTGACCTCCCCAAAACCGACATGACGCCAGAGTTCAAGCGAGAATGGCAGCTGTTGCGTATGCGAAACGTTCTAGACCCCAAGCACCAGAAAAAGGCCCTGCGGGCGTCCGCCCCCCAGTTCTCCCACGTCGGCAGAGTCGTGGCGAGCCCGTTCGAGCCGCGCAGCGCAAGGCTCGGGAGCCGAGAGAAGAAGAAGTCGTTGCTCGAGAGCATCATGTCCGTACACAACGACTCAAAGCTCGACTCCAAATACTCCTCCGTCCAGGAGAAGAAGAAATCAGGGAAAAAGGCATACTACAAATCCGTGGTTGCCAAACGACGACGAAGAAACTGAGACGAATGACCATTTTCATGAAAACGATACCCCGGCCACAGTTGAGCGCCAATTGTATATATATTTGTATATAGTACATAATTCAAAACAAGAAGAAGATCGAAACCGGTCTGAACAAGGCATTCTCATTGCAAATTTTGAATTATCAGCGTTGTATATCTAATCTCGATATGTGAATTTGATTCTCCCTCCGTGATACGTATATTCTCGTTCTCATTATACCGTTTTGTAGTATATAGTCATGATCATACCTGACGGGCATTTGATAAGAGTGTAGTATGTAGTAGTATTTGAGTACGTGATAGCCAGGGCTGTATGTTGCCGTATTGTGTTGTTATTCCAAAACTGAAAGATTTAGCCTATCCTGCCCTCGGCCTTGGCATCTATCGAACTTGTCAGTGTCCAGGGTTTAATAATGGAAAGCCTGATGAGGTTGGTGATGAGAGGGAATTTGACTCACCTTTGACTTGCTCAAAGACCTTGAGCATCTTACGCCGTGCTCCAAGGGCGTTTACGCCCCGCTCCTCCAAGGCCTTATCGTCCAGTTCGATGAGGTCTGTCCACTTCATATCCTTCAGATTGTCTGTGTACTTGTGTAGCCGCAGGCTGCGAAGCCAGCTAGGGATATCCTGAAGAAGCGTGGGGTCGGTCGGGTCTTCCGGGGGCTTTGAGCTTCCCCTTCTTCCTCTCGGTGACCGTCCTCGAACCATGTCGGAATGGTCCGACAGGTATCCCTCGTGGGAGTTGATCCCCAGCTGTCCCAAGCCGACAGGAGACATGCCGCCGGCCATCAAGGTCGAACCATCATATGCGCTGAGGAAGCCGTTGTGCTGAGGCGAGGTAAAGTGCGCCATGGGCCCCATGTTCGACTGCATGGGCAGGCCTGGAGAGTTGGGGCGAGACCGCTGTCCTCCAAGGGTGAGGCCTTGCTGCGCTTGGATGGCCATTAATTGGTCGCGGTTCAAGATTTGCCCGTGCTCATTGATCATGACGACATTGGCGTTGGGAATGTTGATGTGCGAAGGACCGGGCATCTGGTTGTGTGCGTTTCCCGGGGCATCGTTTGACCTGGCCCTTCGGTACTTGCGAACGTCGTCCAGGGCGAAGCGGTTGTTAACGGTAGAGAGAGCCGCGAGCTTCATTGCAGTCGCGTTGGCCACCATGTCGGCCTGCGTGGCACTTGAGTTTCCGGTGTTGAACGTTGGGGCCATTGGAGTGTTGACCATGGACGCCCAGTTGCCGCTGCTCGCATACGGCGACAAGAGGGGCAAATCAGGCGCATTCTTATCTCGCGTCAAGGTGGTCGTTTGGAGAGTCGAGTTGCTGGTCAGCTGCGGTGGCCTCGGCGACCTCAAACCTCCGCCCGATGCCGGGGGCTGCACAAACTGGCCCATGGGAGTCTGGGACGAGCCCGCCTTGGATGACGTCGCGGCATCTCCGCCGCTGCCCCACGGCGACGCTGTCGAGCCAACATTTCCCTCCCTGGATTCCGAAGTCGCCCCCGTCATCGCGGCTCGGGGATCGATGGCAAGGCTGTTGCGGTTCGAAGAGGGTGGGTTCCCCGTTTGCTGGGTGAATTTCGCCTTTTCGGTTGCAATGGCAGCCGCAGCATCTGGGAACATGGCATTAATCGTAGAGGCATCGAGGCCAGAGTGTCGCTTGGTCGATGATATGGCCGAGTTGCGGGCGAACGAGTTCCGAGCAGAGTCGACATTGAGTTTGTTCATGGCATCGCTAAGCCGACTGGACATTGGGTCTTGCAGGGGAAGAAGAAAAAAAAGTTAGCTTGCAAAGGCCCGTCCGAGTCAATTCCAAACGCAAGTCCTACCTTTGTCGAACGTCGCGGGGGACAGAACACCAGACATGGGATGATTCTTGCCCATCTGCTGCAGAACCTGGATGAAGAAGCGGATCTGGACCTGGGTCGTCTGCTGCAGCAGTGCATACAGAGCGGCCGTGCGCTCGGCCTCGCTCAGGACGCGGAACCACTGCTCGATGGCGCTGAGCTCGTCCTTGAAGTCCTGGTCGAGCGTGGCCGCGGCCATTTCCTCCAGCGTCGTCTCGTACTGGTCAATGTCCGCGATCCACTGCTGGGCAATCTTGTCCTGGGAGTCAATGTCGAGGCCGGCGGGGCCGTGGCCGCCCTGCTGCGGCTGGCCGTAGAAGTCGGACGACGGCCTGATGCGGTTGGCCGGCGAGGTCCCTGAAATCGCCGCCATGTCGGCAGACGCGCGCAGCGAGCTGCCAGAGCCCACTGCTCGCGACGAGGGCGGCCTAAGAGAGGGCGCGGCGTTGACCTCGGGGGTGCTGTTGCGGTTGCCGGCGATGCCAGACATGTTGAGCATGCTTCGGCTGCGTCAATAGCCGGGCGGTTGAAGCCTTTGGAAGGGGGACCAAGAGTGAGGGAGGTGGGAAAAAAAGAGAAGAGGGGCTAAGGACGGAAGAACAGTTGGCGAATTCCTGCAGTATCCAGCTGAGCAAGAGACGGTTTGACAAGACACGCAAACCACGACGATGCGAAATTATGACGAGCTATAACATGTTCCCCGAGCAAACTGGGCGGGCCACGCGTTAGCCTTTGCACGAACGACGTTTTCTTCTTCCTTGTCTATCTCTTTTTTTTCCTGCCGTAATAACGGAGGGAATCTGGAATCCTACCAGCGAGGCAAACCGGAAGCGGGCGAGGCTCACCAGAGGGAACGCACTAGTTGTTTTAACCAAAGATTGGCGGGAGAGCGTCTGCTTCCAGGCAGGCAACGCAATTCAATCCAGCTACCGACCAGACTTCCGGAAGAGATCGTATCAAACGCACTGCCTCGGGAAGAAGGATCTGGTGAGAAGAGAAACGGAGGGCGACCGACTGTGGATGCCAGAAGCAGAGACCGACGGGGTCTTTGCGAGAAGGAATACTAGCAGTACTTGGTACTAGTAGTAGTAGCACTCGGGCGATGCTCAGCCGCTGCGAGAGATTTGGACGCAACAGATGCTTACGCCACAACAGGTTAGCGATAACTACAATCGAAGAATAGCTAGAAACAATATTCTACGATATTACTAGTAGGTAATAATTTATCAGATTTGATACTCTTATTATAGCCCAGTGATATGTGCATTAAACATATATAAAAATACATATTTATTATAAGAATAAATATAAATATTTTATTTATATATATATATATATATAGTCATATATAATATTAGTTTAAAAAGTATTATTTATTTCTACTTTAAAAGTACATTTTGAAAAAAGATCCACTTTTTTCAAAATAGCAGGGGCAGGTGGTTCTCCCCAGGAGCCGTCTTCCAACTCGCCCAGAAATACAGTACTTCGGTACTCCGTAGGCTCCTCAGCCGCAAGCCCACCAATCAATTCGCACGCCTCGCTTACTCGCCCAAAAGTACACGCTCGCAAGTACCCTCTTCCGCACACACTAGGGCTGGTACCACCCACTCGTCATATTTCCGCACGATCTGAATCTCGACTTTGGAAAAATCCCACCGGACAAGCACGTTCAAACCACACAGCAGCAATGGCCAGTAAGTATCGCCATTTCCACGGACATGCGTCTGGACGGTCGTTGCTAACGCTCGGAATCTCTCAGAGTCAAAGAACTCGTCCCAGCACAACCAGTCGCGCAAGGCGCACCGTAACGGGTTTGTCAAACCTCCAGCAGATTGAGATTTCCGAAGTCTCCCAACGCAGTTTCGCTCACACAACACCCCCGTCTGCAGCATCAAGAAGCCCAAGACTTCTCGATACCCTTCCCTGAAGGGCACCGACCCCAAGTTCCGCCGAAACCACAGACATGCTCTCCACGGCACCATGAAGGCTCTGGTACGATTTTACCCCGAATTCTCCCCTGCGAGAGGGGACAAGAACCCCCGGGAAAAAACTGCAGCAGACCGACTAACTGGATGAACAGAAGGAGGCCAAGGAGGGAAAGTCAGCATAAACGTACCTTTGACTCTAGCGGGTAGTGAATAAAAGGGGATCTTTTGCAAAGTTTCAGGCCAGTTGGCCGCTGCTTAACACCATTAGACGCGAGTTTGCGCAGGAATCGGTACTTCGACAGCTAATAGGACAATGCATCACTATAATGCTGGGAAGATCGATTGGGTTTCCTCTCAATATGAGCTCCAGGTAGACAATTTGGTTGTCTAAATCATTGCAGCGCCGCGTGCCTTTTTCCACAGTCCATTCTGTCCTCGGTAATTTTTATTTCATTTCGGTGAACGGTGTGGCAGTATTGTGTCCCTGCTCCTAAAGATCCTACGACTTGTTTCCGCCGGACAAGCGACTCTTATCTATTCCATTCCTCCTTTCTTTGCCTGCCTCGGGTATATATACAGCAAATGATCAGGAACTTGTTGTTATTCGACAATTGGAGTTCACCCTATAGACATTACAGCCTCAGGTTCTTGACTAGCAGTTCATGTGCTAGACTCTTATTGTTGGTCGACAGCAAGGATATGATTTCGTTGACGAGAATGATATCCTTCAAGAGCTTGTTCTCGCCCGCCGCCTTGTTTGCTTCCAGTGCGCGGGTGTAGTATTGCAGGCTCAGGTATCCAATTCCAAGCAGATGGAAGAGTCTTCCCACGTTGTAGTATCGCTCTGCTTGGAGCTTCGGCTCGTCGCCCCCGGATTGCACGTATTGGGTGATGAATGATTGGCCTTGCAGTAGCAGATACTGCCGGTTGGTCGACTGACGCTTGAGGCCATAATGGACATATGCAAGACCCAGACTCAGGTTGACCATGGGGTTCTCGCGGTCGAGAGCCCACGCACGCAGGAAATATCCTATGGGTGTCAATTGTTAGTTTCCGTGTCGTCAGTCCCGGGACGAGACGTTCCAATGCTCACCTATCGCATACGTGTAACTCGTGGAGGTGAAGAGAATGTGGCCATAGAGCATCAACAGACAGATGTCCATGTTAAGCTTTTCGGCAGCCGCTCCATCGTGGTCGACGGTGCTCTTCCCAATCAAGTTTTTGTTTGCAGCTTCGTATGTCATGTCTATCGCTTTGATTTGTCTCAATATGAACTTTTGGGCCGGTCCGGAAGTGTACCAGGAGACGGGCGACTGGCATAACTTGGAGAGCAATGCAAACATCCGAGAAGAATCGGATATTCCACCGTCTCGCATCAAGTGGCGAGCCACCGTGATACACTTCTCTTCGTCGTTTGTGTTGATAGCACACACTAGACCAGTCAACATGATGTCGGCACCGCTAAGCATTAGGCCTATACATACCGCTCCAAGCCATGTGGATGGCGAAATTGTGCTGAGGGGACTGAAATACAGTCGAGTCTCTTGCAGATTCGCATACCTGATACGCCTCTTCGCGACGATGTACAAGCGATAAGCCAATGGCATAATCAAGGAACAAGTCAAGCCAGTCATCAAACGATATGCCCTGGTGGTTATCGAATCCTGGCGCCGGTATAGATTCTCCCTGAGGCGCAAGGGCTACCAATAATGGTCAGTGTCAGAAAAACAGCCAGCAGCCGAGTGCCTTGCGCAAAAATAGGAGAGGGGGGTGGGCACATACACCGTGTGAGGCGCTCAAACATCTGAGATAGTTCGGTACTTGCTCCTTCACTAGCTGGCTGCTCCGCCAACTGCTTCTTGCCAAGGAAGTGGAGATATTTGTCCCATGTATAGAATCTTTTGAGAGACCGGAAGTCGTCAACAAGCTCTTTGCAGGACTCTATCCAGACCGGGATGAGATCGGTGGAACCAGACTTGATCTGCTGCTTGAGGCCGCGAACATATTCATACTGCCTGGAAAGCTTGATTGCGCGTGAATGTTCCTCTTGACGGCGCTTGTCAGGGTTGGCGAACCGTTTTGCGCGGTATCTCCTGGGCAGAATACGCGTCGTCGGGGCGGCCTTTGGTTTGGCCTGTCGAGGGCCTTGCCGCGGTTGAGAAGGCGCCATGCCCCTTATGCCACGATCCGTCTGCATTGAAAATTTGTGAAGTTGCTCCTGGGTAAGCGGCTCGTTTGGAGGGATCCCCTGGGCTTCCCTGAGTGCCATTGCCTCGGCCGCAAGAATGAGGGCTTCCTCGTCTTCCTTGGCTTTCTCGTACATGTTTGCCAGCTCGACACGGGCATCGATGTTGTACTCATCAGCATCAATGGCCGCGTGGAAGCACTCCTCTGCGGTCGACTGCTGCCCTATCGCTTGGTAACATCGACCTAGTTGAACCAGCAGTGTTGCATCTGGTTCTTCAGTCGTGGCTCGGAGTAACTCGAGATACCTGATGGCTCGCTGCGGGTGACCATACTTGGCAATCTCGCTCGCAAGGTCATAGGAGATGAAGGGGAATTCCGCCATGAAGTCGAATGTACGTGGATTATCCGGGTCCAGCCAAGTCAAATGCCTCTGTCGATACTTCTCGTCAGTTTAAAGCCACTACGCTGAAGATACGCGGTGATGGGGAGGCTATCGCTTACAAAGGCCTCTTCTTCTTCACCAAGTCTGAGCCTGTAGATCGCCAGTCTAACCCTGAGGTCTAGGGGTAGGGATAGGCCGTAGAGCTCCGCGCCGAACATTGAGTCCTGAAATTGAGGCACATGGCTTCTACGTTCGTCGTCCTCGTCCCATTCGCAGTCGTCAATCTGCCACTGGTCCCAGTAATGCTCCTGGACACGACCTACCAGCCATCTCGACAGCGCCTTGAGTTCGTAAATGGCCTCAGCATACCTGCCAGTTGCTGCAATGAGCTCGACATAGATGCCGATATCAAGCCACGGGGCAGTTGAGCCATGCAGTGCTGTGTTCTCGATTTCATAGTCAAAATAGCGTCGATATGCCGCGATGGCGGAGGGAACAGCAGACTCGGTATTCTTATTGTCAATGCAGGCTTCCGCCAGCTTCCGCACAATCTCCAGATCATACGGATGATATTTGAGGACGAACTTGTACTCTTGAATTGCAGCGGCCAGATGGCCTTGTCGATGACAAACAGTCGCTTTGCCCAGCCGAGCCTCTATGTTCACGGGGTCCGCTCTGAGGGCAGCAGAATAACACAACCGCGCGGTGTGCAGATTACTCGCCTCATCGTCTGATATCGTGTCCAGAGCAAAGGCGGCACACTCGAGCCAAGCAGAAACTTCCTTGGGCCGCAGATGAGCGGCATACACCATGGCAGACAACGCTCGGGCATGTTCGCCCTGCTCGCGGAAGATGGACGACAGTGCGGTCCATGCTTGGTGGGTTTCGGCATTGATCCTGATGACTTCGGATACCAGATCCAAGGCCTTATTGTAGTCTCCACTGAGGAATGCCTGGTTGACTTTGGCCAACCGAGCTGTGATGTCGCCTCGGGGTTTAGCAGCTTTGCGAGGACCTCGAGCTCCACGAGATCCTCGTCCTCTAGCTACCCCGCGTCCGGGGAATGGCGGTTCTGACTCTTCTCGGTGAGAATGCAAGAATTCTCTTACCGACTGATCAAACTTGGCGATATCATGCTGGAGGAGCTCTTGATCCGAGTCGGAATCGGACGCATTCCCACTGGAGCCATTCATCAAGCCTGGGGATTAGCAATCCGACTTCACCGTCCACGGGCATTCAAGGGTAGACTCACCCCGCGAGCGACTCTTCCAAGCCATGATTGCCCGACATTTTCATCGAGGATCCGCATCTGTCATGTTCAGTGGCGATGATGATGGAGGAATGCAGAGCAGAGAGCTGTGGCTTGGGCCAAGGTGGGCATAAGGTATCTCTAATCGATTACGCCCAGCACTTGCCAAGTTTTACTCCAGGTAGAAGAATGTCGATTATAATACAGCTGATTTTCCTTGAAAGCAGCTGCTGTTTATCTACAACTTCTTACATGAGCCTCGAATCAATCATAAGGCTTGTCATCGTACTTTTACCAGCCCTGTCTAAGCTTTTATTCCCGATCAAATGTCGGTTGATGGTATCCGGGAGTAATGAAAACTGCCATTTCGAGTTAAGCCATCTTGTTAGCGCACTGTCATTCTAGGAAGTTTCACCCCACTCCAATTGGCTGAACTGATCATAGCAGATTCTTCCAGTCGCAAACTCGCGATTTGATCTCGACATAGCCGAATAAGAGACGTTTGGATATGTTCAAGCAGAGCTCGCAGCGTCTCTCGCAGCTCCAGGTACAATGCGCGACACTACCAGCAGGCAGAATGGCAGCTAATTGCAGTGATGATAGGCCGCCGTGCCATGGGCTGCGAGGAAAACCCCGGCCTTGGGGTAAGCATTCCCTGACGAGAGCAACGACATTCGAAGCAGCATAAGGTCCTGACAAAACGCCAGGTGCATGATCAACGAACCGAGATCGAGGAACTACTCCACTCCGGCCAAACCAGATCGCAACAACGAACCGAGCATACGGAGTCCACGCTCCCTCCAAGCCCTCCATCTCAAGCCACTGAAACGCGAGGCTGAATACGGCATCCCGTCCTGCGACCTGCAGCTGCGGTCATTCAGCTTGCAACCACTCCAATTCTTCTCGGACTTTGCGCTGCGAGCGGCGTATTATCTTGGACTGCCGGCGTCCGGCCCAGTCACCCTTCCCCGAATCACAGAGCGATGGACCGTGCCGAGGAGTCACTTCATCTTCAAGAAATCCCAAGAGAACTTTGAGCGTGTGACGCTGAGGCGCTTGATCCAGATCAAGGATGGCAATCCAGAAACGGTGCAGCTCTGGCTCGCCTACTTGCGCAAGCACCAGTTCTATGGTATTGGTATGAAGGCGAACATGTGGGAGTTTGGCACCACAGAAGAGTCCAAGCCGCTAGAGGAAATCGAGGCATTGACTTCGGGGCAGGATGCTCCGTGGTCTCATCTTGGACAGACGAGAAGCATCGGGGATGCTGACAAGGTGGTGGACATTCTGAACTCTCGCCGGGTCAAGAAAGCCGCAGACAACAACTTTCCGATTCACGAGATATCATAGAGAGAATATACCCATTCAGAAGCAGTCCGAGCAGGTCCGAGTCAGTTGCTTGACTTTCTACTTTTGACATAAGGAAACGTCAGTGTTGGGACAGCAAAAGCATCAACAGGGAGCTTGTCCATCCCGTCTCAACTACATACAACAAACTCGCTGGACATCCCCAAAAGTGCTCGCATACAGTGAATCGATGCAGACTACGGCTGCAGGTCTTACTCTGGAGACAAACAACGGGCAAAAAGGAACAAAAGCAATAAAATAGAAAAAAAACATACAACAGCCGGTGTTCGCCAGTGGTCACCCACCTGACTACTAATCTGCCTCTCATTGGCTTGACTCTGGGAGAGCAGACGGGATCCCGTATTTTCCAATGGATATGGTCGTATGTGATTGACAGGCCACCGTAACAGCTCCATGAAGCTCTCTACAGCATCAAGAACGGCAAAAAAAGAAAAACATACAACAGCCGGTGTTCGCTGGTGGTCACCCACCCAACTACTAATCTGCCGGTTGGTGGCTTATCTATGGGGGAGCAGACGGGACCCCGAGTTTTCCACTACCTATGGTCGTATGTGCTTGAATCTGTGAGCAAATTGGGTTATAGCTGAGAAGCGGAGATGCCTTCTTGGTGGAAGCATGGCTTTGCGGTTGATATAAAGAAACCCCCCGGGAAAAGCTGTGGCCTTGAGTAGCGTTGAGAATGTGTAATCAAGAAAGGTTGTAGGATCAACCCATGAAAGACTTATCCAAGTAATGGTCTAGTAACAAAACACATATGGAAACACTTACAAGAATTGGTTTTCTAGGGAATATACTCACATGAATGTCCAGCGTCTATATTTAGACGTTGCACCCTTCAATGCACATCTATGCGTAATGTGGGGTTCAGGCACGCGTCTGTTATCGATAATGGATGTCGCTCTTCAAGCTCCCACTCCATTTTCGACTTCTGCCAATGCTGACCATCGCTTAAACACGGCGAGTCAATTCCACCACAGGGCTTTGTCGCCATGCTGCTCTCTCGCATATCGCGGCCGATGCCGCTGTCCGCGAAGCCCATCACGAGGCCAGTGATGCTATGTAGGCGATGCATCTGGGCAACGACGTCAGCGGGCTTTGGGAGCCATCGGCCGCGAAGGGACATGTAAGGCACTCCAAACCGAACCTTTGCCATGCATTGCACGCAGCGGGAGAGCAACAGCAGGCCTCTCCAGACAATTGGTCTCCCTTCAGTTGGAATCTTAGGTAGAAGCGATCGTGTTAACATGCCTGTCGTAGCGCCCCTGTGCCGCCCACCTTGAAAATCATAAAGCGATTCAACCACCAACCCGGTGACCAGGCGGATAAAGGCGTCGCGAAGAAGGCACTCGTCAGCCCAGCCATTCACGAGGACATCTACACGATACCGAACTTCCTCACCTTTACCCGACTCGTCGCAAGCCCAGTCGTAGGATACCTCGTGCTGCAGGATGCGCACACCTGGGCCGTCGGCTTGCTGGCCTACGCTGGCTTTACAGATCTGCTGGACGGCTGGATAGCGAGGAAATGGAATCGCAGGACAGTCGTCGGCACGATCATTGATCCAATGGCGGACAAGGTTCTGATGACTGTGTTGACGGTATGCCTGGCCATCAAAGGAGCACTGCCTGGTATGTGAACAGCCCATGTCTAGACTTACAGGTGAAGGGTGCATTATACTGACTGACATGGCTCTTGTTCCTGCAATCAGTCTGGGTTGCGAGCATCATCCTGGGCAGGGATGTCGGACTCGCTATTGCAGCCATATACTACCGCTGGATCTCACTGCCGCCCCCAAAGACATTCACACGATACTGGGACTTTTCACTGCCATCCGCCGAAGTCCGACCCACGACCATCAGCAAATACAACACCTTTCTTCAGCTGGCACTGGTTGGTCTGACGACTGCAGCACCGCTCTTGAGTGTCGATTTGGCGCCGACGCTTACAATTTTGCAGTACGTCTTTGACTATCTACCAAGTTACCCCCAGCCGTGTATGTTGTTGCCGGTTTTGCTTACTAGCATCGCAGATATGTGGTAGCTACGACGACTGTGTGGAGCGGAGCGAGTTATGTCTTTTCGAAAGACGCCATCAAGATTCTGAACAAGCCTTGACGTAGAATCAGGGTTCCATTTGGGTGAGACATTCAGTCTCTTGTTGTATATATTAGCATAGAGTAGAATATGAATAGCGAAGCATTGGTGTGGTTTACACAAAGGGTCCCGGGTAGGTGGCAGCTCCCATATTCCGCCCAAGGTGTTCTATCCTTACCACCCGGGATTGAGCCTCTGATATTGCACACAAATTACAGAAACTCTCTCCAAGGGGGAACCCATATTAGTTAGGTCGAGCACTGCCTCACATAGCGGCGCCAAATTACGATGTAAGAGGTCAAGGCGACCGCGGTTGTTTAACCATATCTGATCAAGCTGACCTCGCTCAGCATCACACACATACAAGCAAGATGGCCTTGGTACTTCTTCTCTAACTGTATCTTTATTTGGTTTTGTTTTTGAGATTTACGACCACGAAAAAACAAACTGGTCGGCCTGGAGCTGGCTGTTTAACAAGGCACTATTAAATACATGGATGAACCCCAGAAATCCATATACCGCACCCAGACATTCGAGGCACTTGGGCTTGCCCAATACTCTAGTAGGTAATTGGGACTTACTTTGTTTCGAGGCCCCATTAGGGCTTGGCTGTCAGGAGACACAGGAAGAGAGAAAAAAAAAGAAAAAAAAGAAAGAAAAAAAAAAGAGAAAAAGAAAAAGAAGCCAAAAAGCCAAAAAAAGATGCCTAGGAAAAACCCTCTACGGCGCGAGGATGAAAAAACCTAGGACGCACAGAGACGTTGCTTTCGGCTGGCCCTCGGTCTCTATGGCGAGTCTGCTGCCTCGCCCATGCGATATGGACAGGCCGCAGATGTTGCCACGAGTGCCGATTTGTGATGATGTTTGTCCCGATAGCACTGCACAAGGTGCGGCGTTTGTGTGTTTGGTGCCGTGTGGTTGTGAACGACCGTAAAAGGTCATGATGCCGGTTACGGAAACCGGCAGTTTGTCTGGTCAGCGATGAGGGCTGAATGTTGTGTGTCTGGCCAGCCGTAAAAAGGCTGGAATGGAATGTTTCGTGCCAGCATTGAAGCTGGAGTGGTTGTGGTTGAAGCAAGAAGGTATGAAGCTCTCAAAGTTCCCTTCTTGTGGCGGCAGAGGGCTTGCTGAGCCCTCGCGGCCTGGTTTGGCGTGAGGCCCTGCAAAGATCCCTGGCCTCCATACCTGACTGCTAGCAAAAGCTAGGTATGGGAGATGTTTGCAGGAGAGAGTTGCCCTCTCCCAACAGACGTTGCCTGCTCAGGCTTTTATACTTGAGCTGCCAACAGCGTTCTGTCTGTCTGCCCTGAGGTATGCATAGAGGTCTTTTCCTAATTGGGCAAGTTGCGATGCCGTGCAAATGGAGCCTCCAGATTGGCCGTCGTATCACGTGCCAACGTGCCATCAAGTGGGCCGTCTCAATTGCGCTTGTCCCCTTTCCGGCTAGGTAAACGCGCTCCCTACCTTTGACTGCTTACTCAGCTGCCAATCTACATACGTCAAGCGTTCAACTGCTGCTAAACCTCTTTGCCTCTTAAGCTGGATATAGCGTGAGAAGCTTCTACAACTTGAACCGATCATTCACTCATCCGACGCTTCATCAGACACGACACAATGAAGTTCAAAATCGAGTAAGCTGGTCTTTCCGCGATGTTTGGCACGTGCAGGCGAGCTCACGAGTCAACAGCGACCTCCCCGTGTTATTTCCTTACCCAAGGATATATCCAGGTATGTGCTGCCCGTCACTCTCATCCCCGTTCACGCTTGGTGCAGCATCGTATAGATAGCTAATACAGCCACAGAACAATATGCGTGAGTGTCTTGCTAGTACATGAATTGACCGCTTTCTGTACACACGCTGACCGCCGAGAATTGTTGGTAGGTATATGTGTGATCTGAAAAGTATGGCCTTGAGAGCCCCTTGACACGTTTGGCCGTTTACTCACCGATGCAGAAACGCTCGATGCGGGCGGTCATTGCGTCTTGGAGATGCCGTCAGGGACCGGCAAGACGGTGTCACTGCTGTCTCTCATCGTCGCATATCAGCAGCACATGCCCGAGAAGCGAAAGCTCATCTACTGCTCTCGTTCGTGACCCCTGCCGCAGGCTTGTGAACCGACCGAAGCTGAACCGCTCTACACAGGAACCATGTCTGAGATTGAAAAGGCTCTCGTCGAGCTGCAGTCTCTGATGAAGTATCGCGCCGAGCAGCTGGGATACGAAGAAGAGTTCCGCGGCCTTGGTCTGACGAGTCGAAAGAACTTGTGTCTTCACCCCTCTGTAAAGAGGGAAAAGAGTGGCTCCATCGTCGACGCCCGCTGCCGAAGTCTGACTGCAGGCTTTGTCAAGGAGAAGAAAGACCGAGGCGAAAACGTCGAAGTTTGTGTCTATCACGATGTGCGTTCCTTCCAACATCTACCCGCTACTCGACCCCTGGCTGAGTCACTGTCCCTTGTGTACTGACACTATTCAGAATCTTGATCTCCTCGAACCACATAACCTGATACCCAACGGCGTATGGTCCTTTGACGCGCTGTTAAAATATGGAGAGGAGCATAAGCAATGCCCCTATTTCACCGCCCGACGCATGGTACTGAAACCCATAAAGATCCGCGACTTTCTCAAGGAGTCATATCTGACGCTGCCAAACAGATGGAATACTGCAATGTAGTCATATTTTCATACCACTACCTCCTGGACCCCAAGATTGCGGAGCGTGTCTCAAAAGACTTTTCCAAGGACTGCATCGTGGTCTTTGACGAAGCTCACAACATCGACAACGTCTGTATCGAGGCGCTCAGCACCGACATCACCGAAGACTCAATACGCAAAGCGACCCGCAGCGCGCAGCATCTGGAGCGAAGAATTGCTGAGATGCGAGAGACAGATCAGGAGCAGCTCCAGAACGAATACGAGAAACTCGTTCAGGGGCTTCGCGCGACTGATGAAGCGAGACAAGAGGATGCCTTCATGGCAAACCCAGGTATGTGATGCCGTTTTACATTTACGCTGCCATAGCTGAGACATCATTGCAGCGCTACCGGATGATCTTTTGAAGGAGGCTGTGCCGGGCAACATCAGAAGAGCAGAACATTTCGTGGCTTTCTTGAAACGATTCTTGGAGTATCTCAAAGTCAGTGCAGCCTTTTATCTACATCCCCTCCCCTGCCCCTTGGTCCGTCATACTGATTGCCCTCGTCTCAGACGCGGATGAAAGTCCGTCAGGTCATATCAGAGACACCGCCCTCGTTTCTGGCGCATCTAAAAGAGCATACATTTATCGAAAAGAAGCCATTGCGGTTCTGTGCCGAGCGACTCACTTCCCTTGTCCGGACCTTGGAACTCACAAATATTGAAGACTACCAAGCACTCCAGGAAGTGGCAACCTTCGCAACCCTTGTTGCAACTTATGAAAAGGGCTTCCTGTTGATCTTGGAGCCGTACGAGTCCGACACGGCAGAAGTGCCAAACCCTACCCTTCACTTCACTTGCCTGGATGCGGCCATTGCCATCCGGCCCGTGTTTGAGAGGTTTTATTCAGTCATCATCACCTCTGGAACGATTTCGCCCCTGGAGATGTACCCCAAAATGCTGGACTTTGCGACAGTCATACAAGAATCCTACAGCATGACGCTCGCACGGAAATCCTTCCTTCCCATGATTGTGACCCGGGGCAGTGACCAAGCTTCGATCTCGTCAAGCTTCCAAGTTCGAAACGAGCCGAGCGTTGTCCGCAACTACGGCAGCCTCTTGACGGAATTCGCAAAGATCACGCCTGACGGCATGGTCGTCTTCTTCCCGTCCTATCTGTACATGGAGTCCATCATCAGCATGTGGCAGGGCATGGGCATCCTCGACGAAGTGTGGAAGTACAAGCTCATCCTGGTGGAAACACCCGACGCGCAAGAGACGTCGCTGGCCCTGGAGACATACAGGACTGCCTGCTGCAACGGCAGGGGGGCCATCCTGCTCTGCGTCGCGCGAGGCAAAGTGTCCGAGGGAATCGACTTTGACCATCAGTACGGCCGGACGGTGCTGTGCATCGGCGTCCCGTTCCAGTACACGGAATCGCGAATCCTCAAGGCGAGGCTCGAGTTCTTGCGGGAGACGTACCGCATCAAGGAGAACGACTTCCTGTCCTTTGACGCCATGCGCCACGCCGCGCAGTGTCTGGGCCGTGTCCTGCGAGGCAAGGACGACTACGGCGTCATGGTGCTGGCCGATCGACGGTTCCAGAAGAAGAGGAACCAGCTGCCCAAGTGGATCAACCAGGGCCTCTCGGACGCCGACACGAACCTGAGCACGGACATGGCCGTCAGCGCTGCCCGCCGGTTCCTCAAGACCATGGCGCAGCCGTTCCGGAGCAAGGACCAGGAGGGCATCAGCACCTGGGGCTACGAGGACCTCCTGCAGCACCAGAAGAAGATGGAGGAGGAGAGGGGAGAGGAGCCGCCGCCTGTGATGGGTAATGCGCGGGCCACGGCTCACGGTAGCATAGCTGCTGGGTACGAGTCGGATTACGGAGACCTGGATCCAGACATGATGGAGCTGGAAGGCTTTGAGTGAAAAAGGGGGGCTTTTGGGGAGTTGGCAATGTTTCTACGAAGCAACGACATCTGGACATGGGGGGTTGAGGATGAGCAAATATTGGAATGTAATCTGCAGAATCATAGCAACCCGCAATCTAAGAACGGTCCTTTTTTCAGGAGGAAGCGACATTAAACAGTCTATGTAAATTACTCGCCTGTCAAGCAAATGTTCAGTCCGCCGTTGCAATCTATCATTCGCATCATATAAAGCATAGGACTAGACCAGTCGGTCAGTTTCCATTGCCAGTCATTACATCTCCCGTGAATAAGAAACCATCGGCCAGGAACAAACTCCCCCAAGAACCGTACCTCACATCCCAACTCGGGTAGAAAACAGAAAGTGTAAAAGACGGGCAAGGGGGGTATTGAAGAACATAGCAAGCAGTCATTTGGGCGCCAAAACTCCCGCATATCTAACCGGCAGCGGGAATGCGCCTCGACGCCTTGACAGCCCTCATCGCAGGTAGCGTGTTCGCCCGCCCGGGTCGCCTGCCAATCTCATAGCACAGCATCCGGATGAAGTCGGTGTTGCTCCAGTAGCTGCTGTGGGCGCTCAGCATGTTGAGGTACTGGATCTCCAACGGCCCACCGCCGGACCGGAGGAACCAGTCGATCTGGCCGTTGTCGTTGAGCAAGAAGGCCTTCTTCTCGGCAATCTCCTCCCTCGTGAAGTCGTGCACCTCAAGCTCCAGCTGAGAGGGGAGGCGAACAGTGGGCGGGCGGCCCTCGCTGTCGGCCGTCGTCAATGAGCTGGGATTGTTGGTGGTGCCCATGACAGTACGCATGGCATCGCCAAAGGACTTGAAAAAAGAAGTCGAAGCGGTGGGAACGTAGGCAGTCTTCAGGCTGCCCGCATACACGGGATCGACCGCGCCATTGAGGAAGTAGGCGATCGGATCTTCCCTGGCAAGGATGTTGTAGATGTTATCAACGGCCAGACACCCAAACATGCCCTGCTCACCACCGACATTCTCAGCCATGGTCTCGCTCACATCCACGCCGGGTTTGGCGCGTCCGCGGCGGGGCATAAGAGCCCCCCGTTCGAGCAGCAAGAAGAAGCCGGTAGGGCTTCCCATCAGGAAGAGGTTCCTCGTATCGAACTCGAAGAAGTTGGTCTCGGGCTCCGGCCGGGACAGGTCCAGCGGCGGCGCAATCGTTGGCTGCCGCGACAAGACTTCAACCGCCATGACGCTGCCGAGAGAGTGCGCGACCAGGTGGACACGTCCGTTCTCGGCAAAGCCGGGGTTGTTCCTACACCAAAGGCGGTAGACCCGGTTGGCCTCTGCGACCAGGGCCGCGATCATCTTTCCCTTGTGGTGAGACATGTAAAAGGGGATGTCGAACATGACGTCGGAGATCATGCTCCTGATGGCGGGGATCGTGTTGGGCTCAATGTCCTTGAGGCTGAAACGCTGGGCGGCACTCGACTTGTTGCCCCCCATGCCAGTCTGAAGGGCTCCGTCGTCTTCAAAGGACAGCCCGAGTCTCCAGTTGAGCGGCAGAACCATGAGCCTACTCTGGCTGTTGTGCAAGACCTCTTGCACCGCGGGACTCTGGAACTCGCTGTCAACGAGTCGCCGGAAGCCGTTGACGGCGTGTGTAAAGTGATAGCTCTCGACCCGCTCGGCAATCTTTTGGCCAATTCCGTGGGCCACCAGCACCAGATCCGTCACCCTGCTGCGATCTTTCTCCGCCTCGCAGGCAGGGCAAGTATCTGTTGCGCCGCCGTGAGACGTCGACTTGGTGGGCTGCGTCTTCTTCCTACGGTGCAGACGCTCCCAGGTCAGTCTGTCGAATCCCCGAACGACGGGGATGCCAACCGTCATGCCCTTCATAATTTTCTGAATGGGTCGTCTGTTGTAATAGGAAGATGGCTGGAGGCTCGGCTTCAACAGAAAGGCGTTTGTTCGATCTTTGTATATGACGCTGTAGCTGGAATAGGCGCGCTGGTGGTGGTTCTCGGAGGCCTCGTCGTCTGATTTGGGCGGCTCCATGTAGCCCTCTGTGGCAGCTTCGCCCTGGAAGCAATGGGATGCGCAGAATGGATGCGCAGAAATGGCGGGCTCGGTCGGCACAGGGGCATTTCGATATAACCCTTCGCCTTCTCTGGGCCACAATCTGTAGGAAACCTTTTCTTCTCCCGACGCCCCGACATCGATGGCGCACCGTATCTCATCGCGCCAAGTCTCGGTCCAGGGGCGCAGCTCCTGGTATCCGGTTTCGAGCTGGTTGGCTACAGCCGCCGAGACCGGCATCATGGTATCTCTGCGGGCAAGGTCAGAGCCTGGAAGAACGAGGGAGATGAATCACGAAAACATACTTGTAGAACCATGTTCCCCTCGTCACGACAGCAACGTCGTTGATGGGGGACCAGTACACGGGCTTCATCTGCAGCGTATGCAAGCAGACCTTGTGCAATCTTGCCAGTCCTACCACGACGTCCTGGTCCTCGTCCTCGAGATCCGGAGCGGTGGTTTCTACGGGAATCGGCTGCTCTACCGGAAACTCACTGTCCGTCTCAGTGACAACATCACTGAGCTGTGATGGGTCCAAGGGTGGCTCGTCGCTATGCTGTTGTTGTTGTTCTTCTTCTTCTTCTTGCTGCTGCTGTTTTGAGGGCGTAGTCTGCGGTGCATGGTCTGTACTCGGTACGCGCACGAATGGTTTGCCAGAAATGCCATGGTCGTCTGCAGCCACGAGTTCAACAGCCTTGCGCTGAGCAGAGGCGCCGTCGGATGAGTTGCCGTGCTCTCTCTTGCGGGCCAGCAGGGGGTGGCGTATGGAGACAGGCCGGCGGGAGCTTGGAACGCCTTGGAGCTCGTGGGACTGGTTCATGGCGGCCGTAACGTCCTTGACCACCTCGTCGACGTCGAACAGCCGGTTCGTCTTCCGCACCAACGCGCAGAACGCCGTGTCGAGTTCTGTCAAGGCGTCGGTAGCGAGGTCGGGGCAGCAGGCGGTGAGCAGGGTCTCTGGGATCGCCTCGGCCACCTCCGTCGTTGATTTTCGCGGCTGCTTCTTCTCGCTGTGAAGGCGCTTGTGTTTCGAGGCGAGCTTCCGGATGAGCAGGCCACGCTTCTCCAGATCGGACTTGACAGTGTCCGGCGCCGGCTCTCGGCCGCTTCTGATGTCGGCATGCTGGACCCGGTGGCTCTCCGACGAGAGGCCGAGCCAGGCCTGCTGCAGCATGTCGTTGTCATCGTGGGAGAAGGGGCGGAGCGGCGCCCTGGAGGGCTTCGAGTCGGCGCCGCCGGCGGGCGCGCTGCCGGACAGCGGGTCGTCGATGGGGTAGACGGCCGTGTAGAAGAACTGGGCGTTGACGGCGGGCACTCCGTCTTCCTTGTCCGCGTCCGGTCCCGCGTCCGGCGCCGGTCGAAGGCGACAGGCAGGGCCTAGCGAGTGCTCCATGGAGGCCGCAGACACGGAGGCATCTAGAGGGGTTGGGGATTCGATTCGATTTCGGACGCGGATCCAAGTGCTATGCAGACGTACGTACAGTAACGCATTACCAGAACAAGGGAAGACGGAAGCGGTCGGCACGCGCCTCGGGAGTCCTCGTCAGCAGTGCCATAGGGAGAGGCTGATGCGAGGGCATAACAATGGAAGGCTTCACAAGGAGTTGGAAAGGCGGGATTGGAATCCTAGCGCGACGAGAAAGCACATGGGCCAAAGGGCTGGCTGCTATGACGTGGCTGACTTGTCACAGTCAGTGTATGCAGGCGGGCAGGCAGGCAGCGGGTGTTATTTAGGTACCTACTTAGGTAGTGGCAGCGGCCCGGTGACTTCGAGTTGTGCTGCGTGAGGTGCTGCAGGATGATGTTATTGATGGCATCACGGCGGGAGATGAGGTTGTTGTGTGTTTATATCTGGCGAGATGAATTCACCAGGCATTCACCTAGAAACCTTAGGTATTGCAGCTAGTATGTACATTCAAGCTGCTCTCAGCAATTCTCACGAATCAGCTCCCCCGAGTTTCCATTCCCGAGGTACCAACCGGGTACATCCCCGCTTATGTCATTCCGATCGGCGCTAAGCCTTTCGGGATCTCGTCTAGTGGTCCAGGCGCTGCAACTGTCTTGTGACACCTGAACAGCTGCTGCATGATAAGCAGGGGCGCGCTCATTCACTACTAGTACTACTACCTGGTACCTAGCATTATCCGGGGCGCAGCTGCGGCTCCGTCTTCATCCATCTACCATCCTCATCCATTCATCCCATCCCATCCCCCGTCTGCTCTCCTTTTTGCCTCTTTCTCCTCTTCTCTCTCTCTCTCTCTTTTACTCATTTTCTCATCTGCAACAAATCATCATTTGACCACTCATCAACACTCTTGTCAAGCAAAAAGGAGAGAATCAATCCGCCTCCAGCCGCGTCGTCGCCCAAGATGGCGGTTTCCCGGGGCACCGTTCCCTTTCTCGTGGCCATGATGCTGCTGACGGGTGTCTGCAACACATTGGTCACCAAGTACCAGGTGCGTTCTGCAGGACCAGGAGGGACAGACTGATGGAGCAGTGCACTCTGCACAGCACGACCAAAACTGACAGTCAGTCGTGCAGGACAAGCAATGTGTTCGCAACTGCGAGGATGAGAATCCCGCCCGTCACATCTACTTCAACCAGCCCGTGCTGCAGACGGCGCAGATGTTTGTCGGCGAGATGGGCTGCTGGCTCGTCGTCGGCGTTGCCGCAGCGTATCGCCGCATTGTAGCCAGGCGATCGCCCGCACAGCGCGGCTACCAGGCCATCGACTCCAGCCGGGCAGACGACGAAGACGACGACGACAACACGCTCGACGACGGCCGGCCATCCGTCCTACGGGGCTACCGAGTCCTGCTGCTGGCCCTGCCTGCCATCTGCGACATCTGCGGCACCACCCTGATGAACATTGGCCTCCTCCTCGTCGCCGCCTCTATTTACCAAATGACCAGAGGCGCACTAGTTCTATTCGTGGGTCTGTTTAGCGTCGTCTTTTTGCGGAGGACGCTGCATCTGTTCCAGTGGATCTCCCTAGTTGGCGTGGTCCTTGGTGTGGCCGTTGTTGGACTCGCGGGTGCCATTTGGCCCGATGTCAAGGCCAACCTCGTCTCCAGAGGCCTGTCTGCTATCACGGACTCTCCAGACGGTCTCTCCGACGTTGCCAAGGCCGTCATTGGCGTCGTCTTGATTGCCGGGGCGCAGATATTTACCGCCACCCAGTTTGTCCTGGAGGAGTGGATGCTCGAAAACTCCCCCATTGACCCGATCCAGGTGGTCGGCTGGGAGGGCCTCTTTGGCTTCGTCGCCACGGTTGTGGTCATGATTATCCTGCACTTGGCCATTGGCCGGACAGAAGCTGGCCGATATGGCTATTTTGATGCTGCCGAGGGACTGCGTCAAATGTGGGATGAGAAGGCGCTGCTCGTCTCGAGCGTCATTATTATGATCAGCATTGGGTGAGTCGAAACATGCTCTTGGAACAGGATGTAGCTAACACTTTGCATAGCGGCTTCAACTTCTTCGGCCTCTCCGTTACCCGTACCGTCAGTGCCACCTCTCGCTCCACCATTGATACGTGCAGAACGCTCTTCATCTGGGTCGTCTCTCTCGGCCTCGGGTGGGAGTCGTTCAAGTGGCTGCAGATTGTTGGATTCGCCTTGTTGGTGTACTCCACCTTTTTGTTCAACGGCATCGTCCAGCCGCCCTTTGAGTTTCTGCGCGTCGAGGAAGAGACCGAGGAGCTTCTGCCCGAGGAGCCCATCGAGCACCTGTAGAGGTTATACAAGATTGTTTTCCCGGCGATTTTTGCTTGCACTGTGGCAACCAGATTGATAGTATATGCATAATTTCATGGGATTTCTGGCGTACCGGCAATGCCTGGCTGGATTGGAACACGGACTGGTTATCATTCGAAATGTACAATATGGCTTTGTTTATCGCAGTTGATTCATGTGGGAAGCAGGCAGTTTTGAATAGATGTGGTGTCTAATTCATGCTCTTGATTTCGTCGTCACTTCAGCCCAGTGACACTCTGCTGTCTGGACGTGAGGTGCGTGAGGTAGCTGAAGAACGCCAGTTGAAGTCAAATGAAGAGCAACCCATGGAAGACGCGGAAACCCCAGGAAGCAAAACAAACGAAACAAGAAGCCCTTGCCAGTAGAAAGTTGTGTATGCAACAGTAGGCCAAAACAATAATACCAACACACAAACCTCAAAAACACAACATGCCTGACAAACCTGAAAACCGTTGCCAACAAACTGACTGGAATAAAAAACAATGTATGCAAAAGAAACAGGTCCCAAGTCCAACAAGAAGAGGCTCTCCCAGATCAGGCTCAAGCGACGTTGCACAGCAGCTCGGCCTCGAGGATAAACTTGCCCTCCTTGTACTTCTCCGACGCCTCAAAGGCCTTGTCGTACTTCCAGCCGACCGTCTCCTTGCACTGGTGGCACGTGATGTCGCGGACGATGTGGCGGCCGGTGGTCATGTTGCGCTCATTGGGGTCGCCGGTGTCGATGTTGACGACGCGGTGGAAGAGGTAGGCCTTGCCGTGCTGGCCGCGGAAGTTCTGTCTTTGTTGTTGGTTTGTTCATCCTGGAGATGACGAAAAAGTAAAGGGGGATACTGATACGCACCCTGGAGATAATGTCCTCGTGGTTGGCAAGATGCGCCTTGCACGTCTTGCACCCGTAGATCTTGTTGCTGGTGAGATATGTGTTGTACGCCAGGCCCATCGCTGCGGATTTTCCCAGTGGTGATGATGCACCTCTCTCTCTTCCCTTTCCTTACTTCTCTTTCTTCCTTCTTTTTCCTTTTTCTCTTTTTCACAGTAGGTCGTTGTTCAAGCTCCGCCGACTGTTCCGTTCAAGTGATGACGCTTTTTCGCTTGTTTTTTGGCGGGCACGTCGTCGGGGCAATCGGAATGTCACAGGTTACGTCGTTGGTCGGGACCTTTTTTTGCGGCTGTAAATCACCAAGGCAGGGGAAGACGGCGGGGGTTGGTTTGGTTGCTTTTAGAATAGGTCGCTACCTAGAAGTAGTGTAGAGACAAGAGAGACGAGTGGGTGCCTTTTGAGAGAGGGGAGGAGAAGCTGCTGCCTGATGGGAAGAAGGTTGACAAATTGCTTGCGAGCGAAGTCGTTGGTTTTAAAGTGAGAGAAGTAATAAACAAGAGGTAAGTGAGTGAGAGCGTGGAGTGAGTGAGTGAGTGAGTTGAGTGAAGCGACGGGGGTCTGGGAATGCAGTCACCGGATCAAGTAGAGCAAGGACGAGAGAGCGGCCGAGAATTTCCCGGGCGATGATGCTGGCGGTGCTTATCTGGCGATATATGTGTACCTATGTATTTGGGTGCTGCGCAGTATCTTGAGGTAATTGCAGGTGATGAAATGCTGTTGCAAGGGCAAATAAGGTATATAAGAAGTTGTAAGTTGGGTCATCTCGTTGCCCCGAGAGCAAATGTCACTGCCTATTCATCTATTCATCCATTGCGTAATCGTGCTCGCCTCCTTAGCCTTGGCCGTTTTGGTGCTGTGGCTGGGACTGGCACATGCTTTGCGATTGTTGCTGCTTGCAACCACACGAGATGGCACATGTTCTGCTGTACAAGGATAGCCGATAAGACACTGCATAAGGTAAGGTAAGTAGGTAGACATGTTAACTCTGGCCTAAAGATGGTACAAGTTCTGCTGAATTCTGAACCAGACAAGGTAGGGTAAATATGCTGAAACCCATTCTCCCGTCAGCCATCTTCGGTATCACGATATATGAATAGTAAAGTAAATAGGTACACCTCATATCACACAGCTCATAATGACCACCCGTCACCACCATCATGAATAGCCCTTTGCCAGAGACCAGAAGCTCTCCATCTTGGCCCGCGCCAGCACCTCCCGCGCCTCTGCGTCCGTCTCGCAAATCTTGCTGCCCCATTTCTTAAACGCCCTCGCCTTCTCCTCGCCCTCAAATATCAGCTTGCACTCGTTCGTCGACAAGTCCTTGAGCTCCCCGTTGGCGCCCTCGGACGATAACCAGTCTCGCCCACCCGCGCTGTTCTTCTCCGGGTCCCTCGCTTGCGTGTTTTCCGTCCAGTTGATGCGCTGCAGCATCAGCTTCTTGTACTTCTTGATGCTCCACTGGCCGCCCTCCACAATCACCAGGCTGAACTTGGGGTGCATGATGCATGTCCCGGAGAGCGCCAGCTGGTCGGCGTTGCGCCAAATCTTGTACCGGTGCTGGCCGTTGGCAAGGCTCGTAATCTTGAAGACGAGAACGTGGATGCCCTTGTCGGCATCCTTCTGCTGGTTTGTGGCAACCTTCTCGTGCTTCTGCTCCTTTGTCAGCTTTCGCGCCTCGTTGGCTTCGATGTGGTGCTCGTATCGCTCGGCAATCTCGCGGTTGACTCGCGCCTCGACGGCGGTAGGGTCTTTGACGGCAGCTGTGGCACGGACAAGTTAGCATCATGGTCAGATTCGTAGGGGGATACTTTTGCAACATACCATCGCCCAGCACTCGCATGAGGTTCCCCTTCTTCACCTTGGGCGGCGGCGCGGGCACCAACCCAAGTCGTATCTTTGCTTGCATCTCCTTGAGCTCTGCCATTCTCCGTTGGCGGCGGATCTTTGCCTGCTCCTTCGACGTCAGGTACATTGGCTTTGTCGGCACTGGACGTCGTTCCTGGGGGGGCTCGAGCGCAACCGGGTGCTGGATGTATTCGGTCACGATGCTGTCGGGGGTCGTAATCTTGAGCTTGGAGGGGTCGTCGATGTCGTCGTATGATGATCCGTCCACCAGACCTTCATCCCACCACTCCAGGGCGGGAGGGGCTTCAACCACAAAGTTCTTCTCCACGTCCAGATCCTCGTCAATGCCTGCCTTGCGGGTTTGCTCCGCAATGCGCCGTTTCATGGCCTCGAGGGCCGCCTGACGACGCAAGGCATTGCCCTGCTGTATGTATTTTCCCTTCTGGTTGAAGGCCAGCTGTCGGGGTATCCGCTGCCGCCCAGTCGGCTCTTGGGCGGCGGCTTTCTCGTCAAAGTAAGGGTTCGGCCCATCTCTCAGCTGCTTTCCGTGCGTGTCCTGTGCGGTGCCCCTGTCGAATCCGTTCACGCGCGCCGGAGAGCCTCGCGACGAGCGGGACTGGCCGTTGGTCGAGTCCGATTTGCTGCCAGCCGGCTTCCAGGAGCCCAGGTCCTCCAGGGCGGGATGCAGTCCGACATTCAGCCCTCCCTTTGCCTTGCTCGTGCCGATGGCGGCGGCCACGCGAGCCTTGAGAGCAGCCATTCGGTCCGCGGCCGAGTCGGGCTTCTGTACCCGCGACGACCCATCGTGGTGAGGGCCGAGGCCTCCCGGCGACTGCTGCTGTTGGCTCATGACGCCGCGGTAGCTGCTTCGATCCGTGGCAGGACTACCTGGGGTATGCGTGCATGGGGCGACAGTAACTGTGCAGGAGACGGGGCCGTTGTTGGGCCTCTCTTTCGAGCTTCTTCGTGTCGCGCTTCGGTGACGTGGGTGCTGCAAGAGTGAGGTCTTCTGCTGCTGCTGCTGCTGCTTCTTCTTCTTCTTCAACACGTCGAGGGCTGGCGTGATGGTGCGTAATGATGATGATGCTCAGACTGTCTTCAGATCCGGCTCAGATTTCGCAGCCTCGCGGGGGATGTTGATTGGATGCAGTAGAGAAAGAGCAAAGAGAGCAAGAGCCTCCGCAAGAACCCGATGCGGCTTTCAAACAAACGCGACAGAGGAGCACAACAGACAAGATCAAATCCAATCTTTAACTCTCTTCTCTTGTCGTCTGCATCTGATTATCAGTAATATCAGCCGATTCCCATCTCGATAACAAGGTCCAGTGGGGACGCTTCCGTCAAGGCCAATGCCGCCCACCAGCAAGCCAAAAATTCTGCCATGGCCCACCGCCAAAAAATTCTAGTGGCGCCTGCAGCTCTCGCCAATGCCCGTCGGTTTGCTGCAAAACACTGGCATGGCCGCTCGACGACGAGGCTCGCCAGGATCGATCAATTGCCCGCCCCCGATCCCGAATTCGCCATGAACATCGCGCAGCCCGTCGCCTCCGAGGTGGAGAGCGTCGAGTTCACCTTCCTCTCGGCCAAGGAGATCCAGGCCATCTCCGTCAAGCGCATCGAGAACGAGAGCACCTTTGACAACCTGCTCAACCCGGTGCCGGGCGGTCTGTACGATCCGGCTCTGGGATCATGGGGCGATGCACCGTAAGTATTGTATTGTATTGCCTTGGCCGGCTTTGGCTCTGGCTCTGGCTCTGGCTTTGGCTTGGGACACCGGTGGCATGGCTTCTAACCGTCTGCTAGATGCGCTACCTGCAACCTGAACCAGAACAACTGCCCGGGACATCCAGGCCACATCCAGCTGCCGGTCCCCGTATACCACCCAGTGTTCCTTGACCAGGCCTACCGATTACTCCGAGCGACATGTGTTTACTGCAAGGGCTTCCGTCTACCTCCCAAGGACCTACACAAATACACCTGCCAGCTGCGCCTCCTGCACCATGGCCTGATACACGAAGCGCACATGGTGGCTACCATTGGCGAGAACGATCTGGCCGTGGAGATACGAGAGGCCATTGGTGAAGGAGACAGCGAGGCCGAGGAGGAAAACTCCGGCTCCGATGGTGTGACTCGACAGCGTGAAAAGTACGTCCGCCAATGCCTCCAGGGCATCAAGATGAAGAGGGGCGAGGCCAAGAAGGGCAAGCATGAGGGCGCCACCGAGATGCGCCGCGAAATCATCAAGGAGTTCCTCGCCGAGATCATCAAGAAGCGAGAGTGCTCGAGCTGTGGAGGCATTTCCCCGACCTATCGAAAGGATCGATTTGTCAAGGTCTTCGAAAAGGCCCTCTCGGCAAAGGAAAAGGCCAAGATGGCGCAGAAGGCTCTCAAGTTCGGCGACGCCATGACACGAGTACACCACCATCGCAGGGCGACAACAAAGAAGCCCAACGGGCACGCCGTCCAGACGAATGGCTCCGGGGAGGATGTCGAGATGGGAGACGCAGACGCAGACGCAGACCACTACGATGACGACGACGATGTTCCGGAAGAGGGCGCCCAGAGATACATCAGCTCCATGGAAGTGCGCGCACGGCTCGAGGAACTGTTCAAGAAGGAGCAGGATCTTCTCTCGCTCGTATACAATGCCAAGCCCCCGACCCAGAGCTCGCAGAAAGTCACTCCCGACATGTTCTTCATCACAGTCGTCCTGGTGCCGCCGAACCGGTTCCGACCAGAAGCCCGGACGGGAGACTCGCAAATCTCCGAAGCCCAGCAAAACGCCCTCTACAAGAACATCCTGGGCTGCTGCTCAAAGATTGCTCGTGTCTACAAGGGCCTGGAGGACAAGACCTCCGACATGGCGAGCATGCATCAGGCGTGGACGGAACTCCAGGACGCCGTCAACTCGCTGATCGACAAGAACAAGAACCCCGTTCAGGGCGCCGCCGCTGCGCGAACTGAAGACGGAATCAAGCAGCTGCTTGAGAAGAAGGAGGGTCTTTTCCGTAAGAACATGATGGGAAAGCGTGTCAACTACGCCGCGCGAAGTGTTATTTCCCCCGATCCCAACATCGAGACCAACGAGATCGGTGTTCCTCCGGTGTTTGCAAAGAAGTTGACGTATCCCGAGCCCGTTACTAGTCATAACTTCAAGGATATGCAGCAGGCGGTGATTAACGGTGTGGACAAGTGGCCGGGGGCCTTTGCCATTGAGAACGAAAACGGCCAGATTGTCAACCTGCGCAACAAGTCTGTGGACGACCGCATCTCTCTGGCGAACCAGCTGCTGGCGCCGACCAACAGCAACTCGGCTCGCACGCGGAACAAGAAGGTGCACCGGCATCTCACCAACGGCGACGTCGTGCTGATGAACCGCCAGCCCACGCTGCACAAGCCGTCCATCATGGGCCACCGAGTCCGCGTCCTGCCCGGCGAGAAGACGATCCGCATGCACTACGCCAACTGCAACACGTACAATGCCGACTTTGACGGCGACGAGATGAACATGCACTTCCCGCAGAACGAGGTCGCCCGTGTCGAGGCCCTGCAGATCGCCGACACCGACCACCAGTACCTGTCGGGCACGGCGGGAAAGCCGCTGCGAGGTCTGATTCAGGATCACATCTCCGTGTCCGTGGCGCTCTGCAGCCGAGACACCTTCTTCAACCGCAGCGACTTCCAGCAGCTCATCTACAGCGCCCTTCGTCCCGAGAGCGGCCACATCCTCGGGGAGCGGATCCAGCTGCCGCCGCCGGCCATCATCAAGCCGGCGCCCCGGTGGACGGGAAAGCAGGTCATCAGCACAATCCTGGCCAACATGAGGCCGCCCAACTGCGGAGGGCTGACCATGTGCGAAAACGCCCAGCTCAAGGCCGAGCAATGGGGCCCCGGGTCGGAGGAGGGCGTCGTGCTGATACAGGATGGCGAGTTCATAACGGGAATCCTCGACAAGTCACAGATCGGACCCAGCTCAAGCGGTATGATACACGCCGTGCACGAGATCTACGGGCCCGCCATCGCCGGCAAGCTGCTCAGTGCCCTGGGTCGGCTGCTCACAAGATACCTCGGCATGCGAGCCTTTTCCTGTGGAATGGACGACCTGCGGCTGACGGCAGAGGGAGAGGCGGCGCGACGGCGAGAACTGCTCGCAGCCGACAAGCTGGGACTCAAGATCGCGTCGAGCTACGTCTCGCTGGAAAACCAAGAGGATTCCCAGAACCCGCTCCTGCTGGAGCGCCTCGAAGAGGTCATGCGTGACGACAGCAAGCAGGAGGGTCTCGATCTGCTGATGAACCAGGGCTCAAAGGACATCACGGACGCGGTACAAAAGGCCCTGATCCCCAACGGCCTCGAGAAGAACTTTCCCAAGAACCAGATGCAGGTCATGACCACCTCCGGTGCCAAGGGATCTCGTGTCAACGCGTCTCTCATCTCCTGTAACCTGGGACAGCAGGTTCTGGAGGGTAGGCGTGTGCCGGTGATGGTGAGCGGAAAGACGCTGCCCAGCTTCAAACCGTTCGATACCAACATTCGGGCGGGCGGCTACATTGTGAACCGATTCTTGACGGGAATTCGGCCACAGGAGTACTACTTCCATCACATGGCCGGACGTGAGGGTCTGATTGATACAGCCGTCAAGACCTCCCGCTCAGGCTATCTACAGCGCTGCATCATCAAGGGAATGGAGGGCCTTACGGTCAACTACGACACTTCCGTGAGGGATGCGGACGGCTCGCTGATTCAGTTCCTGTACGGCGAGGACGGACTGGACGTGACGAAGCAAAACTACCTAAAGGACTTCCGCTTCATCCTGCAGAACGTCACGTCGGAGGCGGCGCAGCTCAAGTACGACCCCAAGGTCGGCGAGCGCCTGGGCGCCAACCGACAGGCGTTCCAGAAGTACATGAAGAGCGCCGTCCGACACGCCAAGGCCGGCGACCGGAAAGGAAAGGATCCCCTGACGGCCAGCTTCGACCCGGCCACCAACGCGTTTGCCACCTCGGAGACGTTCTACGAGGCCATGACGGACTACATCAGGGAGAACCCCGACGGGCTTGTGCGGGAAAAGAACAGCCAGGACAAGGCGCCTCTGCAGAAGGTGACGCTGAACAAGAAGAACGCGGAGATGCTCTTCGCCATGAAGTATCTCCGGTCGCTGGTCGAGCCGGGAGAGGCCGTCGGCATCGTGGCCGGCCAGTCCATCGGCGAGCCGTCGACGCAGATGACGCTCAACACCTTCCACTTGGCTGGTCACTCGGCGAAGAACGTGACGCTGGGTATTCCCCGTCTGCGAGAAATCTTGATGACGGCCAGTAAGACGATTTCCACGCCCGCAATGACGCTGTATCCCATCCCGGAGCTGTCGGAGCACGATACCGAAATCTTTGCCAAGTCCATCAGCGTGCTGCGCCTGAGCCAGGTGCTGGACGGCATCGTGGTGGAGGAGATGGTCGGCAAGGGCAAGCTGCGTGGCCTCGCCAAGATCTACAAGATCAAGCTCAAGTTCTTCCCCGGCTCCGAGTACTCCAGCACCTATGCGGTCACCGTCTCGGACATCATGACGACGGTGGAGAAGAAGCTACTGCGGAACATCCTGGCCATTCTGAAGAGAGAGGTCAAGAAGCGCCAGAGCCAGTCGACGACGGCAACTCCCGAGGTTGGCGTCAAGGCGGGCGTTGTCGAGACGGCTAGGCCGGAGGGAGCGGCAGAGGGCGGCCGAGACGACGACGACGATGCCGACGAGGATGACGACGACGACGCCACCGGCGCCAAGAACCGAGCAAACCGGAGCGAGGTTGTTTCCTACGGGCCCAACGACGACGATGACGATGCTATCCAAAAGGACCTGTCCAAGGGGGCAGACTACGATGTATCAGACGACGACGACAACGAAGAGGGTGCACCATCATCATCATCATCATCATCACGACGAAAGCAGGAGGAAGAAGACGATGATGAGGATAACGAAGACGACGACGACGACAACAACAAGGCCCCTCAGTCATGGTCAGCCAAGCTGCGGACGGAGCGGGTGCTCAACACGTACGCGGAGGTGACGGACTTCCAGTGCGACGACCGGGGCGGCGAGTGGTGCAACGTGACGCTCGAGTTCGACGTCAACATCCCCAAGGTGCTGATGCTCAACATTGTCGAGGACGCGGTGCGGCAGACGGTGGTGCAGCAGGTGGCGGGCGTGGAGTCGTGCCTGGTGGCGCAGGAGAAGGGCAGGACGGTCATCAACACGACGGGCGTCAACCTGCGCGCGATGCAGCGCTACAGCGACTTCATCGACCCGCACCGGATCCAGACCAACGACATCGCGGCCGTGCTCGAGGTCTACGGCGTCGAGGCCTGCCGCGGCAACATCGTCCAGGAGCTGTCGGGCGTCTTTGGCGGCCACGGCATCAAGGTCGACCAGCGCCACCTCAACCTCATCGCCGACCACATGACGCGCAACGGCGACTTCACGGCCTTTAGCCGCATGGGCCTGCGCGGCAACGTCAGCCCCTTTACCAAGATGAGCTTCGAGACGACGCTCGGCTTCCTCAAGGACGCCCTCATGGACGGCGACTGGGACGACCTGACGACGCCCAGCAGCAGGCTCGTCATGGGCAAGCTAGGCAGGGTCGGCACCGGCGGCTTTGACGTCTTGACGCAGCTGCCGACGTATTACGTGAATGCGTTTGCACATGGAAATGTTGAAACTTGTATTTAATTCATTTGAGAGAATGTAGACTAGGCCTAGGATCTTTTAAAAAAAAGCAATGGTACTCTGTTAGAGATGTTATTTTCAATTTCACACCTTGATGCCCAACGACTCATGTTGTGGGATAGATGGATTCTGGGGGCGGCCATGAGGAACGAGTCAAGGTCGTAAGGATGGCCAAACTGCCCAGTCAGGGCGCCTATTGGACTGCCATTGAATTACAGTATAAGAACTTTCTTGAAAATACTTATAACGCGTCAGAATCATCAGAAATGTCTCTCGACACACTCACGACCAAAGAGACGCGTGCGCTAGTGCTCGCGATGGAGTCACGACACAGCACTCAACACTCGAAACATTCGTGGGAATGAACGCCTTTTTGGCGGCTGCTGCCTAATCTCGGCAAAGGCAATGACGCGATTCTCCAGTCACTGGCGCGAGATATTACAGAGTCGCGGCGACAAGGACATCACAGAGGCAAGATGGACGCGATGGTTGTAGTTGGTGGTGATGAGGCCGTGAGCCTCGTTTTGCATTCATGCAGTGCCATTATTCCCTGGCGCTGCACTGGTAATATACATTCCAAACCATAATGGGGAATAGTAAGGCAGTAAAACAGAAAACATCTCATTGGTGTGAACGCCTTGATTATCCCTTTGTGACCCCAGAAACACTCATTTGGTGAAAAAGCAAAAAGTCATGACCCTCAACGTCCCTTTGTGTATCCCTCCCAGAGTTGATAAAAGTCATCGCTGGCTTGCTTAGTTGCGCTCACCGCGGAGGCGGCGGGCGAGCTGGATGTCCTTGGACTGGATGGTGACACGCTTGGCGTGGATGGCGCACAGGTTGGTGTCCTCGAAGAGGGAGACGAGGTAGGACTCGACCGACTCCTGGAGGGCGCCGATGGCGGAGGACTGGAAGCGGAGGTCGCTCTTGAAGTCTTGAGCGATTTCACGGACCTGTGGCGATGCTTGTTAGCGGCGATGTTTGGATTGATGATGACGGTGATGATGGTGACAGGTGCTTACCAGACGCTGGAAGGGGAGCTTGCGGATCAGAAGCTCAGTCGACTTCTGGTATCGTCGAATCTCACGGAGAGCGACGGTACCGGGCTTGTAACGGTGAGGCTTCTTGACACCTCCGGTGGAGGGAGCGCTCTTGCGGGCGGCCTTGGAGGCGAGCTGCTTGCGGGGAGCCTTGCCACCAGTGGACTTACGGGCGGTCTGCTTGGTGCGGGCCATTGTGATGGTTTGATGTGGTTGTTTGTTTGGAGTTTGTATTGATGATGAAACTCGGTGTGGGGGAAGAAGAGGAGATGGGCGATGCAGAAAGGAGAAATTCCGGACTGCGGGCGGGGGGGCAGGAGCTTTAATACTTGAGCCTAGCGCCAGGCTGCGGTGGCGGCTGATCTGGGATTGCGCGGTGGACCGTGCGCTGGTCTCTCCTGCGCGTTTGGGAAAAATAATACTGATAAGTGGCAGAAAAAATGAGTGCGGGCGGCGGGTAGAAGGAGCAGTGCAGTGAGAGAAAAAAAAAATAGGGCGCTTTAGCGCTTGATTTCTGGTCTCGCTTTTTCTGGCGTGGCCCCACCAGCCATCGTTCCTTCTTTCCTTCCTTTGCTTCCCCTTGTGTGGAACGCTGGGAGGGACCCACTCTGTGATGCAGGCGCAGGAAAATGAGGAAAACGGGCCAGATGCATTTTTGTGATTGGCTGACGGGCGGTATGCTGATTTTACGATCGCGGTTTAGGCTCGATTTGCGAGTGTGGTTTGAGGTACGTACATGCAGCCGGTGCTCTGTGCCTGAGCCTGAGCCAGAGAGCCGAGTGGAAGCATCTGGGCTTACCCTGGATGCACGATGCGAGATCCGTATTGCAAAGGCGTTTTGGCATGAGGTGGTAGTATTTGCGGAGATGTGGGTGTTCTTCTGTAAGCTGGACATTGCGATGCATGTACAATTGGATTTCTGTGTCCTTGTAGTTGCGGTGTTGTGTGAGTTGTTGATGATGGGGTCATGCTCGTCTTGTGTATGCTTTACATGGAATTGAAGCGAATATTCGAAAATCCAACACACGACATGCAACACGCCACATACAGATGAAAATACCATGTCAGTTACGAAAGCCATGCACCACAGTAGAATATCGAGCAAGCAATGGTCTGGAAATTATCATAAGCACGATTGACTACAAAGGAGACAGTATATGTGGTTGTGGACAAGAAGCAATAGAGCAATACCAACATCGTGATGTCCTTGCTGTTCTACTTCAGGATGTTCAGCACCAATACGTCTCATGACTAGAGATTCCAGTTACAGAATAAACGCAATACTAGTAGTAGTAGTACTACTAGTAGTAACGAGAGTTCAGCACATTGGAAGCATCCCGAATAGAAGCCAAGCCACAGCCAGCTTCAACAGACAGCAACAGTCACTGACATCATCAACCAAAGCCTCCCAGCTCAACCTCTCACAAGCTGCAAGCTCTCTCTCATATCCATGTGCTCACGAATGCACCAGACAAAACAAGTCTAGACCGTCCGAAAAAACAATAAAATCAAACGCCGTGATTGGGACGTGTCGACCTTGTTTACTCCTTCCCTCCTTTCATGCCTCGTGCCCCCCCACCCGCAACCGCCAACCCGCGCCAACGGTACGTACCCCCAGCCGCGTCTTGTGTCTGATTTTTCCACTTACTCTCCCTTTGTTCCACAGTGAATCACTGCACCAAAAAAAGAGCAAAAAAGAAAAAAAGGAAACCAATCAGCCCCACACCCCATTTTTCGGGCGCGTTTCCCTTTTTTCTTTTCGCCCTCTATCCGGATCCGATCAGTGATCTGGGCCGCTGCTACTTAAGCTGGCGTGTTGCCACTCCTGGAACCTTCTTCTCCCCTCTTTTATGTGCGACTCGTCTCCGTTTATCAACATCTCTATCTGCATCGGCCGCACATCTCGTTGACTCCTTTCCCAACATCTTCAAACCAACCCACATCAATCATCATGACTGGACGTAAGTGACATCTGTCCTCAGCCCTATCATCTGCATCTGCATCTACATCTCATCCATCGCCATCACCATCATCCACTCTGGCGACGCGCTGCTGCATCCTCGATGTCGCTTGTCGGCTCAGCTCGGCTCGGCTCAGCTCAGCCTCAGCCTTGACGCGTCTACCAGCTTTCCATCACCACCATGAACACCCATTACTACTCAAGCTTCAACAACAGTTGACTGACATCTCACAGGCGGCAAGGGCGGCAAGGGCCTCGGCAAGGGCGGTGCCAAGCGTCACCGCAAGATTCTTCGTGACAACATCCAGGGCATTACCAAGCCCGCCATCCGACGTCTCGCTCGTCGTGGTGGTGTCAAGCGTATCTCTGCCAGTAAGCCTCACACAGCAGCAACATCCCATACATTATAGTGATCCAAGACTCTAACAACGCCTTCCTACAGTGATCTACGAGGAGACCCGCGGTGTCCTCAAGTCCTTCCTCGAGGGTGTCATCCGTGACGCCGTCACATACACCGAGCACGCCAAGCGCAAGACCGTCACATCACTAGACGTTGTCTACGCCCTGAAACGACAGGGCCGCACCCTGTACGGTTTCGGTGGCTAAGCGCTGTGCCACTGCGTCGCTTCGATATAATGTCTTGTTCGCGTGTTTGTTACGATTGGGCTTTCTTCAACTATGGGCGCGGGTCATTGCTTTTTGAGTGTTTTTAGTACTGTACAACGTCTACGTACCGGGAAATGGGTGACCTCCGAGAGGGGGTAATTGAGACTTATTCAGTGGTGGCCTTGAAATACAGCATCACATTATACCAGTACCTCTACCAAAGAAAGATGCCCACTTGTGATTCGCGTAGACTCCCAAATGCCTTGAACATGTATGACTCACCGCCAGCCGCGGCTTTGGCCAGAGGGGGAGGCGAAGAGTTGTGTTGTTCCCGTGACGCGTGACGCGTCGATGTTTGGATGCGAGCTGCCAAGCCGAATACGGAGCTTGTTGTGCGAGCAGGCAGACGAGACTCGTGTGCAAGTACGAAGCACCTGTAGATGATTCAAGAGCCATGACTCGCTGTCTGGTCACGGCATCACTGCCTAGATACGATTGTCTTTTGGATGCCTCATGAATGCAATCCACGAATGATGAAACCACTTGCACCCGCGTGGCGAATATGGTGGCCAAATGTGGAAGCGCAATATGGGTGCAATATAGCAATATACGATGCCATATTGGACAGCGCTTCTACAACGTCCTGATGCCGTATCTAACCTCTGGTCTTTCCCGTATAATGGTTAGACTATAGATCCAATACGATGCGGTAATGGGCAACGCATCCAAGGCCTGATATACGCGCCCTACATAGAAGCCCAATACAAAAAGTCCAATATATGATGCCATCATGGAGAGCGCCCTCCAACACATGACTCACAAATCTCTGCCTTCTCTACCCAACTACCCATCAGAGTCCCCCCCTTGGAGTAACCACAGTAGAGAATCATGGCAGTTCCATTGGGCTCGCATCGGCCGTCGAAATGAACCATGTCAACGAATCGCAAGAGGTGGAAAAGTTGGTTCAAAACCCGTGTCATGTGGTTGGTCGCTTATGCGCTTCCACTGGGGCCCCCCAAGTAAGGCTCTCAAGGCTGCTTTTTTTCACCACGAGCCAGATGATCCCAGCAATCACCAGGGAGAAAGGGCTTTCAGCCGATGATAGGCGATTGGGTTCTGATGGCTGCCAGGCCTGACATGACTGATTAGACATCCAAGTAGAGAAGCAACAGCGCGCATGGAGGGAGAAAAAAAAAGAAAAAAGAACTGTTGTCCAATGGAGGTACAGGTCCGGGGTGGTGGTGAACTTTGGAGAGGAGAACAACACTTTTCTCTCTATTACTAGCCCGACACCCCCGTCTCTGTGTGCCTCTCAGTTTGTTGTCTTTGGAGGGTCCTGGTGTGCGTATCCCTGCACAGCGGAAACCAGACATGAAATAGGTAAAAGGGTGTCAAAAGACGATGAAGTATAGAACTGGGCGATGGGCACACACACAGCTGGGCCGGGGTTGACTCTGTTCATTTTTTTTTCCCTTTTTTTCCTTTTCCCCGTCCGATTCCTTCAGGCTGCGTTGCGTTGATACAGGGGAGAAGGGAAAAAAAAAAGGGGAACGAGATGGGAAGCACAGACGCACATGCATATGCATGCAGCGCAGTGCAGCAGTGCAGAACTTGGTACATACAGTTGCCGGCAGAACGGAGCCCGAAGAAGCCCACCCCTGGCAGGCAAGCTGCAGCTTCTCAAAAATGCAACCGCTGCTGCGGCTTGTTTCCCAACTCCAACGGGCCTGCCGATGCAAGAGCGAAAAATTTCTTTTTGAAGTAGGAAAATTGAAAGCAAAGATTGGACGATACAGACAAACAGCCAAACAGACACTTTTATGCCATGTGATACATTCTTTGATACTTATTTAATATAGGTAAGGTACGAAGTCTCGAGGCTGTGTTGCTTGGCATCTCATGTACATACCGAATGGGAATTTGTCTTGGAATCCCGAAATAGATCCCTCTCCACGTGGCAAAGATCAAATGTACGTACACGATACATACGACAAGTAGTCGTAAGTCCATCCACGCAGCTTGGGAGTTTTGGTTTGGAAAATGGAAATTAAGGCCTAGACCGGATCTGCATCGCGGCGGGTAAAGACGATCCGAGCAGGTGGAGCGAATGTCCGGTCCTCCTTCCTGCCCCATGTGACAATTGAGTGTCGAGACCTGAGACGGGACGAGTCCAGGCTTCAAGAGGGAACAGATGGGGAAGGAGGGCCTCGGCTGCGACATCGGCATCAATCTGGGATTTCTTGCTCCGGGTTCTATTCCAAGAGAGTACTTCCCCTAGAGAAACAAAGCAAGGGGATGGTGAGCAGATGCACATACTAGATGCACCCGCACCTGCGCATGTCGGGCTGATCTGAGATTCCATTGCCAGCGGCCTCGGTGGCGGCCAAGGCAGCAGCAGCAGCAGGTAGGTGGTAGTAGTAGCAGTACTATGGGAGTAGTATTCATTCTGGGCTGATATGCGCTGCAAGCGATGCGAACCAAGTGCCGAGGCGCGGTGCGTCCAATCCGGCTAGCATGGTCCGGTGCGGCGGGCCGGTGTCGTCTGTTATATCGTATGTACTATTGCATTATATTGGTTATGGTTGCGTGTTAGATTTTGATATATTGTTCGCTATTGCAGTTGGCCCAGCAGTCCATCACGAGACCTGCTAGACATGGAGCGGACTGCAAAATAGTAGGCTTCCGAGTTCAGCTGGCCGTTCTATTAGTTGTAATCAATACCCAGCCAGCTCAGCTCTTCACTACCCAACGTGTACCTACCGAATCCCGAATACCCAACAGAATAGATACATTACCAATGCCCAAAAGGCCAGATGGATACATACAGGCAAAACTCAAAATACCCAATACAAGAGAAAAGATCATCGCCGGGCACGTCGCGGCGAACCAATCGAACTGCCGTTCCGCTGTGCGGCGAAAAAAATCCCCAGTCTGTCACTGGTGCTGCTATTCCCGACACCCGTTGCCGTGCCTTGCGTGCCCTTTACTGTAGTCGTAGCCCCGCAAGGCAAAATGAATAATGCACGCATGGAATTTCGCGGAGCAGAAGATCCCGACCATTGGAAAAAGGACAGACAACGAGCTTGGTGCGAACTGGGCCGAGCCCGAAAAGTCTCTGAAGGGAAAGAGATGGCGAGCGAGAGCGAGAAGTTGTGAGGGTATAGTCTTAGTATCAGACAAGGCGGGAGAGGCAAAGCCATTCGGGGCCCGCGGTTCCGGGGGAGCGACAAGGGAACCAAAAGCGCCCAGATTCCCGACCTGGGCCCGAGCTGGCCGGCTACGCAGATCACGAGGCTGTGAACGAGGGCTAGCCTCATCCCAGGGGTTTGGTTATGGTGTGGCTCTACTAAACCGAGATCTCTCCATGTTTTTTTTCTTTGCAGCAGTCAGCAGTGCAGTGGTTTGCGTAGGGCAGTCTAGGTCCCCAGTAGTCGTACGAATACACGTACGCGGTATGTATGTACATGGAACTAGCACCTTCATCTGCCGCCGGCGCATCTCAGCCGCGCATGGGTTCCCTTCATTCCACTTCAGTTCACTTCAGGCTTCCGTCAAGCCAAGCCAAGCCAAGTTCGAGATCCAGGTTCCACGTCCTGTCAAACAGGGGTGGGTGAGAGCACAGGCGCATCCGCAAACCTCGGACCAGGAGATTCTCCCTCTTCCTACTGTTGTTTCCTCTAATCCCCAGCCCGAATGTCCGCAAAGCTGCATGTCGATCAGGCCGAGAACGAGTTCTTGCTGCTTCGTCTCCCTCCATCTCAGCTTCGGTCTCGCTCTCTCAAATACACCCCCAAACCCCCTGTCAAATGCCCATTACATGTACGAGTACTAGTGCCGGCATGCAGGAAGGGCCTGGACAAGCGTTGGAGGGACCAAGAGCCAGATTGCGGGAGGTGTGGCTGAGTTTTGCGCATCCCGGCCGCTGATTGGCCCGTCGCCAGCCGGACGTCTCCGAGCCAGAAGCCAAGTCGGCCTGCCCGACTCAGCAAGTAGCAGCAGCAAAAAGAGTGTCTCGAATTCTGCAGGACAAGACAAACATCTTCTTTCCGTTGCTCGTGTGCCTGATATGCAGGAGACGTGAAAAATTTTCAAAGCTCTTCTCCTTTTTTGTTTTACCGAGTCTGCCTTTTCAGGTATGTTGCTGTAGTGGTAACGTAGTACTACATGCTCCGGTTTAGCAGCATTCAGAGTGTACAGTACCTTAAGAATGGAAGCGCTTGGGGCCGGGTGGACAAGGTACTTGGTACCTGGTGCGACGAGCCACACATGCATTTGTCACGCAACCAGACATGGCCAAACAACGACGCATCACCCGATTCCACACCAGTTGCATGGGATGAGCAAACAGGTGCCCGTCTTGCCATTTTCTAAGACTGTTTCTCTTTTCGATTAGACTTCTGGAGAGAAACCTGACAGATGATGAGAAAAGAATGCTAAATCATGATTTATTAGATACCGGGTTAGTAAGAAATGGAAGAATATTGGATTTTGTTCATGCAGACACGCCCCCGTTAGTAAGGCCGGTGCCGGTTCTGGCGGTTCTGGTCAGCGAACCTTGGCCGTGCACACTCAGCAAGGGATAAAGTATGGGGGAGTTGCTTTCAGCGAGAGGCGTCATGTGATCGATCGTTCCAGTCATGGTTTGATTTTTATTTAGAACATCGATATGAGTGTTGTTGCGGTACAAGCAAGGTGTGTCGGGAGTACTCCATACACGAAGTACGAGTACATCCCCGTATTATGCAGTTCGCTGAATGGGGAAAACGAAGCAACAAGCAAGAATCTGTGACTCGCGCTGCCTGTGGCTGACACCAATGAGAATTTGCAACGTCCTGCTGTAACAAGGATTCCATTCGATCGGGCCTTTACTGTAGTCTGTGAAAAGAGAGTCACCAACTTCAGGTTCCTAGATGCTACATACGAGTACTACAACATGCTCCCATGCGAGCCCCATATACGCCGGCCGATACGTCACATCCAGCTGTTGTTGCAAGTGAAAATTACTGCTTGTGGTTCCTACCTAAGGTAGTCCTGCTGAGCTTAGTCAACAGCTGACAGCGGCATCGAGGTACAGTAGTGCCTTGAAAAGATTTCAGCTCGCCGGAGAAAACGTCCCCGTGCCCTGTCACCGACAAGAAAAGGAATGTTTGTGAGAATATAGATGTCTCGTCAAACTCAAACAGAACAAGGCTGTGAATAGATGGCAGCGGAAAATTCTAGAACTCCGTCGTCCCCTGCTGTGTAAGTATGCATCCAACTCATCACTAGTATTAATAGTACTCGCACCAATGGGTAAGCAAAGTGTTGTATGTCGACGTGGCTTGCACCAGCCAGAACGCATATCCTCGGCAAATGTCCTCGTCAGTGACAGACTGGACAAGCCCCAAGGACGGGACAGGCTGAGAGGCACCGGAGAATCCTAACCTTGTACGGCAGAACCGCCACAAGGCACAAGCCACAGCACGTTCTTCTCCGCGGCTGTGCATCCCTGGGGGGTGCCTCAGGTGGCTTGTGCCGGACGACGGACCGGTCGACTTTGCCGAGCAGAGCCCGCGACGCCTTCAGTCACTCTGGTAGGGGGGGAAAAAAGCACACGATGCCTGTTCAATACGATACGATGCCAGGCGATACGATGCCATTCGATGCCATTCGATGCCACGCGGGTGCCAATGCAGCAGTGATTCCAGGACGAATTTTTCATTGGCCGACTCCCCTTATCGCCGTCCATTTGATTCTCTTGTTCATTTGATTTGCTCGTCTATCACTTTTCGCCTGCTTACCTTATGCCCCTACCTTACCTCACCTGCGACTGCGACTGCGACTACGACTACGACTAGTAGTAGTTGTACAGACAGACAGACAGCCTCTGAATGGATGACTGTCCGGCGGGATGACGAGGAGACGGACACACACAACACACACGCCGGTTCGCACTCACGCATCCAGACCTGCTCCGATTCTCCCAGCACCTTCGCGCTCAACTGCCTAGAATCTGCCCGAAGTGCGTGCGCTCCGCTGCGCAAGAGGAAATCACGCAAACGACCCTACGAGTACATCCACGACTGACATAGTAGACGTCGTCACTGCCATGAAGCGGCTCGTATGCATGACAAATGACTGACGAAGTTAGTCATACTCGCCCTGCAGCAGGTAGGCATGTACGTACTGCAGTTGTATCATGGATGACGGGCAGGTTCCTGGGCTTGCAAGCCTGCGGTCCGCCATTGCCCTATCAGGCGCCGCTGCTGCCAATTGATCAACCGAGACCAATTCATCACTCAACAACTGGGAACCTGTGCTGGGCTGGGTCGTAACCAACCCAACGCAGTTCCAAGAAATGCCAAATTCCTTAAACCTGAACGAGTACGAGAGAGTACGAGTAACCTCCCTCCCAGGTAGCCGCGGTACGTGTGTAATGTGTCATCCACCAGCCCCGGGGCCAGACTCCCAGGCATCCGGATTACCAAACCTGCTCAACGCTACCACGACCGGTACCTGCGGCCTACGTACATGTACCAGCACCCGTTCCTGCTGCTCCCTCCCACTAGCAGAGCAGCCGCGGCTCCCCGGATGGTCCTGTCGGCAGATTCTCGCAGGGCCTGGCCAAGTCTGCGAGAAGAGGGAGAGTCAAAGGGCAGGAGGGGTCTTGGGGGTGCACGGTTCTCCTGCTTCCAAGCCCGAATGATGGCCTCTTTTTTTCCTTTTTCCTCTATTTATTTTTTCAAAAGTGGGACCATCGCATCGGGCTTAATCACACCCCATTACCCCCGGTTCCGCACGCCCCCTCCACTCAGCACCGCCCACGCCCCTCCTTCACGGATGTCTGCGTCGCTCTTGACGAAACCGGCCGACCCGGCTTGGGCCCTGGGACAACTCACTTGATCGATATAAAAGAAAGTCGTTTCGCCACATCGCCGTTCAAAGATGGAAACTTGCAATACCCCATACAAACCTCTAACCTTCCTCAACCATGCTATCAGTGGACCAAAATCCTACACAATACCAACACTTTCAACAACAACAACAGCAACAGCAACAGCACGACCAACAACAACAACAGCATCAGCAGTATAACGACTTCAACAACGACATCGACGGCAATAACGACCAGAACAACCACGGCAATCTGCTTCTAGACGACTTCGCCTTTGGCCAGGCCGACAACGACTTTGACTTTTCGCCATCGTCCTTTTCGTCCTCGGAGCTCTCCTCAGCCAATCTCGAGTACCTCAACGCCGCAATCGCCTCTGCCTTCCCGCAAGACTCGATGCGGCCCGACTCCTCCTGGGACGCCGCCGCTCGTTTCTCGACTCCTTCAAAGTTCGGCCGTCTCCCCCATCAGCGCGAGTCCTCTCTGTCGTCCCTGGGTTCGACGGGGCCGGCGTCGCCCTTCAACTCGCACATCGCGAACCCTCAAATCGCCGTCACGGACGCCAACGGTGACGGCTTCATGGACATGCATCACGACATGTCTACCATGACCTCAGCCAGCCCCTACTACCACCACCTGGTCAAGACGATGCCGCCATACTCAAACTTCCACCATCTCGACAACGGCTCCATCAGCGACATGGCGTATCCCGTCTCCCTCCCGACGGGCAACCACCAGAAGCCGCGACAGGAGCGCAACCTCCTCCCCGCCCCCGAGTTCGCCAACGGCTTGACAAGATCCCACCCTGCCTCCGTGGCAAGCTCAATAGCTGGCGACTCGCCCGCCACGCCCATCACCGGCGAGATGGAGCTGACTGACAGGCGAAGGCAAGGTAGGCGACGACCTCTCAAGGACAGCAACAACAACAACAGCCATGGCGAACATCACGACTCACACTATTGGCTTGCAGGTCAAGGCAACGGCACCGTCCCCAAGCTCGACCGCACAATGACAGACGTCTACGGCGACGAGCTCTACAACCCAAACTTCACAATCACCTCGTCCCCCCAGCAGAGCCAGGTCACGACGGCGCCCAGCGACGTCTTCAACCAGCGCATCAGTGCCGCGAATAGCCAGCACCTCAGCACCATGCGCCATTCGCCCGCCTCGAGCATCTCTCGAGACATCTCTCCCTTCCGCCACGGGTCCCCACTTGCCCCTTCGCCACTGCACGACTGGGCTGCCTCCCAGGGCAGCATGGCTGTCAACTCCCAGCCGCGGATGGCCGCTCAGGACCACCGCAACGGCCAGCACGATGCCCACTTCTTCCAGCAGCAGATGGCCAAGACAACACAGCCCGGAACGCCCCAGACCATTTCGCCCAAGGATGCCGTGCTCGAGTTCAACGAGTCGGGCGAGGAGAACAACATGCCCCTCTTCTCTCAGACTCCCATCAACTTTGGCATGGACCACATGGGCAGGATAGTGTCCGAGGGAGGCGCAAACGGTTCCGCTGCAGGAGCAGGAGCTCCCAACTATGGCCAGGGCGATCACATGCACAACTTGCCACAGCACGCCCAGGTACAGGTGCCGCAGCGATATCCGTTTATCCCTTACCCGCCAACCAGCCAGGACGCATCCGCCTCGCAGTTGAGCTCGGCAGACTCCAACTCAACCGGATCTGCGTCCTACAACACCCCGGCTCCCCAGAGCCGGCCGGCTGGTGCCAACGCGGATGGAGGCACGTATACTTGCACATATCACGGCTGCACGCTACGGTTTGAAACTCCCAGCTTGCTGCAGAAGCACAAGCGCGAGGGCCACCGGCAGTCGCACGGGCTTGCAGGTGCTCGCCCGCACCACGACCACATGGGCATGACCTCGAGCCTCCTCAACAGCCAGGCTGGACCCCACCGCTGTGATCGCATCAACCCGAGCACGGGGAAGCCGTGCAATACCATCTTCTCGCGGCCGTACGACCTGACACGGCACGAGGACACGATTCACAACGCCAAGAAGCAAAAGGTGCACTGCAACCTGTGCACGGAGGAGAAGACGTTCAGTCGCGCCGATGCGCTGACGAGGCACTATCGAGTCTGCCACCCAGACGTCGAGCTGCCCGGCAAGCACCGACGTCGTGGTGGGGCTTGAGATACGGTGGGCGATGAACCGGCGGCACCAAGTTTTTGCAATCTGCATTCCCTCGCAAACGGCTCAATTCCAGCGATAACCACCAACATGGGCTGAACGGTGCTCTGCATGACGTTCACCGTTTGTGGTGGAGGGGGGCCCTTGGCGGGGAGAAACAGCATCAGCAAACGTCAAGCACAACGTCAACGACGGCGATGGCGCGCGATTAGGCCTGGGGAGTGCACGACAAATCGAAGATGGGCGATCCTGGCGCTGTGCCCCAGCTCCTGTGCGGGGGCCAATGAGAAGCTGCCAGTGGCTTCTCTGGCGTTCTCTCTCCCCTAGCTGGCGTGTCCCAGCGGCCGGCGAGTGGGGCTCAGGGTCCTGCTGCAGCTGCAGGGTCTTGGTTGGTGAGCCGGCGGCGCTGACGTCACGCTGCCTCATACCACCTCCACCGCTGACATCACCCCCCGGCCGCCCGTGCCCTGATTTCTCCTCGACGTCGACGGGCCTGGCTTGCTCCATGACAGCAATGACGACAGCCCGCTGCGATGCTGTGCGTTCGATGATGCTGCCCGTCGCAGATGGGATGAAACCACACCGCGATCATCTCCCTCGCAACAGGCTCCGTCGCGCGCCAACCTCCCTGCTGGTCTCGAGATTGGGGCTCGTCAAGATTACGCTCACGCCCCCCCCTCCTGCTATGACCGTTTTCTGCTTCAACGATGCACACCCACAGTTGCAACATCTTTTGCAATTGTCCGTTTCCTTTGTTTCGATGGCCTGCCCGCTTGCACTTGTGCATCACTGGTTTTCATCATCGTTATCACTGTACTACTCCCGGTTATTACTTCATTTGTTGCACATGGAAGCGGGGCCGCACTGGACGGCGGCATGGGTATTGGGCTTCTTTTTTTCCTTTTTCTTCTAGACCAAACGAGCAACCTGCTTTCTCAGCATCATCGATTCGATTCTTTTGTTTCCCTGTTGGGGGAAGTGTATTATTATGATAACAAAGGTCCACCAGACTGGATTCTCTTTGCACGGACCGTTGCGTTGGACGTTGAATAGGAAATGATTTGGCAATCATGAGGGCATGGGCGCACACGCTGGCTGAGGACGAGCGGGTTGCGAATGATGAGCCTTTGTCATGATTACTTGTATTGGGATTTTCTTTCATTCTTGCTTGCGCGCAAAATCCTTGGATAGACAAAAAGAACAATGTACAATAGTCTTACTAGCCTACCATGGCTATAAATTGAAAGCCCTCATGAATTATTACTCAATGACTTGTTCCCCATAAAGTGAAGTATTACTCGATTGTAGCATTACTGGATTGGAATCCTTTTTGGCAGTGAACAAGTGCAAGGCGTGATAATGGGATATGCTTTGGAAAGCACAAGTACAAGAGTACTTGCACACGTTGTGAGGCTGAGCGCTAGAGGCGCTTCTCCACAGCCAGCCCTGTACCTACATGCAAGGTTCACGTGTCGCTGCGTTTAAAATAACTAGTGAGGTGTTTTGCATGTGATGACTTGGATGATAGTAGTGTATATGTGGTGTGAGTTGATGTCTATGAAGGAGTTTGCGTATATCTGTAGAGTCATATATGCCTGGTAAGTGAGTGAATCACTGATGGGTCAGCGTGTTTGCATTATGAAGTAAGGTGCGCCTTGGATCCTCTTGTTCTTCGCAACATCTCTACCTATATAACACATTCTGTATACACAAGCCTCCAAGGACGACCTAGAACAAGACACGGCAAGATGAAAGGAAAAGCAAAAAAAGAAAAGACATACAACAGCCGGTGTTCGCTGGTGGTCACCCACCCAACTACTAATCTGCCGGTTAGTGGCTTATCTATGGGGGAGCGGACGGGACCCCGAGTTTTCCACTACCTATGGTCGTATGTGCTTGGATTTGGGAGGCAAGCGGGTTATAGACTTGTCCGGATGACTGAACCTTGTAATGCCATCTGCGACATCTATATCTACAAGGGTGTGTGTTGTTATGTCTTGCCTCATATGCTGGGTTGAATTGCTGAGCAGAAATCGCGCCTTGGAAATAGATGGACTGTTTCTATAAGTAAAAGTATTACGCCAAGGTGCTTTTTACTAGTAGAGGAGTGAGCAGATGGCTTCTGTTGCGTATATATGTTACTGGAGTTGATGCTATAGCGTTGAGAAGTAACCGAAACAAGACGTAGTCTGGTGTTGTATAAATCTCAAAAGGCAAATGTAAAGATGATGAAGCTGCTTTACCTGGCTAGAATGGGCGGATTTTTTCTTTGGCGACTTTTATACAACTGCCTTTAAATGTCATTTGATACCTTGTGGAAGTTGTAAGGGTGGACATGGATCAAGGTTATCACGACACTGGGTATGAAAGTGATGTGGCTACTTACGAAACAATCTATTGACGAGTACAGCTTGAATTCTTCTCGACACATAGGGTAAGGTAGAGACATGGAGTGTATTGTGGTTTCTGCAGACCGTTTACACATATATCATACTCTTCACCTAATCGTTCTAGTCGCTCGATGAAAGACATGAAGGAGGCATCCTGATCAAGCCTCTGCGCTGCTTCCATTCTGATAGTCAGATGTCAAGATCCACGTTGATTCGAAAGATATTCATCAAGTATGATAGCGATTTCACAACAACACTTTCCCAGACCTGTTGGACAGATTTCTTATCGAACAAAAGAGCCCTTTCCCTCCCCACTCCTACAGAAACGGCCGCCTCATTGCCAGCGCTGGTCACTGCCGTCCAAGTCCGAGCATCGTACGCTACCAAGGAAAAAGTTGATAACACAGCTCCTGTCGGATTATTCGTCAAAACATAAATCGGCAAGGTAGACTTGGAGGGTTGACACTCAGCTGTATCATGCGGCTCCAGCCACTTCCTGCCTTTGGACCGACAGCAGACGAACCGCGACAGGAAGTGGCAACTGGAGACGCTGAGATGTAAAAGCCATCAAAGCTGCACCTCCGCAATCTTCTTCGTCCCCTTTCCACCATGCTGTCGCTACCAAATGCCATCTTGACACATTCGCCTATGCAGTGTCTATCCGACAAGTGGCGATCCGTCTCAGAGCAACTCGCCAGTACGCTGGCCGCAATGGCCGTCACCAGATCCTGCGAGGATCTCGGTCGCGTTGGGAGGGGCTTCTCATCATTGACGGGCTTCTAGGTAGGGGCCCCTGATATGATCCCCCGGAAATCCCAGTGAAGAGAAAATCGGAGCCAAAGCCTGGCAAACCAGCTGCTTGCCATGCTCTCGACGACAACCGTCATCCTTGTGGGGGATGAAAGGGGTGAGAGGGGGGTCGGGTTCACGCTTCCTCTTCGGAGTTTCCTTGACGCCGCACCCTACCAGTGAAAGTGGCGCCTCCTGAAGCTCTACGTAACAGGTCAGAGCTCCCATTTAATACGCAATGGCAAAAACTACTTTTCTTCTCGATAAACTGCAGCGTCTCCTTGACACTCTGTGATGTTTTCTTCATACCAAATATGCGTCCAAAGCTTCGAATACAAGAAGCTCTCAGTGCAAACACAGCTTAATTAAGTGATGCAAGTTGTAGCAGCAGGTCTTGGTAGGAACTTGTGGCACGGAGATCACGTGGAAACTGCGACTACAGGTACGCCTCAAGGCCCTTAACATCTGGCTCATGATGTCCCAGAGACCTTATAATGTCGCCCGAAGCTGTCCTCGCAATGGGCCAGCTTATCTCTTACGTCGCAAGGCGTTCCACCGTTCCGGTTGACCTGTACTACGTACACCGGCACCGCACATACAGGATGCCCGAGTTCATGGAGCCTGAGAGAGACAAGTCGCCTTTCCGAGCAGATTGGAAGTAGGTGACTCTTACAGGCGGCGGGTGACACGCATGAGCCAGCCTGGCCAAGCTCCTGCTGCACGGCTGCCTGTTCTGCCTAAAGGATTTGGTCAGACAGCGACAGCTGGCGATTGGTGGCCTTGATGAGCCCAACCGCAGCCAGCTGGTTATCGTCACTCACCTTCGGCTTCAATTTCCCTCTTGGCAACCTCCAATCTCCAAATGTTGTAGGGAGAGTTGCGCATGCACGAAAATGGCGGACGAATTCAGTGACTATGTAGTCTGCGGCAGGGTAAGAATACTTCCAAGCGGTCTACTCCATCACTGACTTGATGCTGCTAGGATGATGCTGCGTCGGCCGCATCGACTGTCAGCTGGAACACGTTTCTGTCCCGGACCAACGTATCCAGCCTGGCCAGCGCCGTGTTTTCTGAGCAGGAGAACCACCCTCTTCACGGCCTTGACGATGTCATTCGAGCAGTCACTGCCCTGGGCCTCCGTCGATATCGCTATGAGGAAATTGCCAGGGAAGAGAAGGTGGGCGAGGGGGAGACTTACATCGTCGAGCGCTGTGTCGTGGCGAATCAAGTCCTCGCCGTCAAGCACCTCAAGACAGACTCGGCAATGGACGATCAGACATCTCACCGGAGGCTGCGGGCGGTGATTCTGGAGCTCCAGGTATTGAGACACCAACCCCTGCGGAACCACCCCAACTTTCCCTACGTCTTCGGATACGGCTGGAATATGAACGACGAACAGGTTATGCCGTACCTCCTCGTTCAATACGCGCCAGAGGGAACATTACGGCAATATATAAAGTCTATGGCATCGCCAATACCGCGACGGGATTTGCATATTCTTGCCGGCGACGTGGCCTCGGCTCTCTGTGCTCTTCACAAGTGCGGTATTGTCCACGGCGATGTCAAGCTCGATAACGTACTTGTGGTTCACTCCTGGGATCGTCCTGCTCAGGCTCTTGCAAAACTCACTGATTTTGGCCATGCGCTGATTATAAACGACAAGTTCAACAAGCAAGGCGGCATAATGAGATATAGGGGGACGCTCATGTACAGGCCCCAATTCATATTCACCGTTTGCCGTGCGCTAACTGGGTGCAGATACAATGCACCCGAGGTTCACGATCAGGATCTCTTTCCCATTGATCGAGCGGCCATGCCACTGTGCGATATCTGGGCGCTTGGCGTGCTGATCTGGGAGCTCTGCATCCTTGGAGAAGATTACGTCTCCTACGTTCAGAGGACATGGCCGGAGGTAGAAGCGCAAATGACGGAGCAGAGATTGAAGCCGGCGGACGTGAGGCGATACGCCATGTCGTCAGTGCCTGGAAAACTGAAGAATGTGCTGATCCGCGCAAGCCTGCATTACACTCTCCAAGAAGACGCTACGAAGCGGATCGCGCATCTGGAAGACCTCCCGCTACTGACAGAATGGAAGTGAGTATCTTCCAAGAAAGACCTTGGCGTTTCGAGTGATGGGTCTAGCTAACAGCATACACGCAGTGATGCCAGCATCAGTGGTCTCGAGTCGGAGCTCGCACTTCACCTTGAAAGCCCCTCTCTCACATATGAAGTACGAACACTTTTCGCGTCCAAGGTTCGACGGAAGCTAAAGTATGACAGATGTTTCGATTCGAGAATGGCCGCGAGATCCCCTGGAAGCACGAGGAGCAGATATTCCAGGCGCTCAACCGCACACACTCCAAGGGGCATGCCAAAGACGACTCCTCGATCTCATGGCAGCTCGCTCTCTGCCACCACGTGGGCTTCGGTACGCCACGGAATCAATCATCCGCTTGCAGGTATGCTCAAGAGGCTCAAGTAAAAGGACACCCTGTGGCGGTGGCTTTTGCTTCGCTGCTGGATCCAGACTTCTCGGGGCCTTCAGAACCCTATGTGAATAGAATCTCGAGCCTTCTTCGGTCGACTGCTCCACCTCATTGGCTGCCCCTTGTTGTACAAGCTTGCTTTGACGGCGACTGGAATGCGCTCGAAGCTCTCCTTTCTCAACATGAGGACCCAAACTCTTCGACGATCGATGGGTGCACGATGTTCCATTGGCTCTTTATGCTGGAAGATCCAGAGGCCATGGCGGAAACCTTGAACTCAAGGTTTGGGGAGTCAGCTCCTTTCCACCCAGACTTGCCCTTTTCATGTATACGCAAAGCTCACGATCAATGGCCCCTGCAATTGTTCGGGACTCCTTTGGCTTCGGCAATTTCGGTAAATAGCCTTCTGGCAGTCAAGGCTTTGCTGACCCTCGGTGCGAGTCCACTGTCTCACGTTTACCGCAAAGAGGACCTTCCCGCCGGGGACGCGAGAGTAGAATGGACGGCACTCCATCTGGCAGCCAAATATCACTGCAGCGAGATCCTTGGTTACCTGCTATCGTCAGTGCCAGATGCCTGCTTGTCAAACCTGTCTCCTCTGGCATGTGCCTTGCCTTACTCGACATCACTGGAGCGACTTGCTATGCACGGTGCTTGGCGGCGAGCGGAGCTCGACAAGACTGTTGCCGCCATCCGCAAGGTCCAGAGCCTCGAGACGCCTCTCCGGAGCGGCATGACGGCACTCACACAGGCCATTGACTTCCAGGACTACGACGTGGTTGCCGCGCTGTTGCGTGCTGAGCCCGAGCTTGCGTCACGTCGACTGACTTCGGCTCACGATCCAGCAGTGTTCAATCTCCCAATTCATCTCGCTGCGCAGCTCGCGGCCAGACGGGACGTTCCCGAAGCCTTGTCCATACTGCGGCTACTCAACGACCATACCATGGAGTTTAATTCCGATGCTGATACAGATCCATCCCGCGATCATCTCGGCATGACTCCATTGCATCTCGCCGTCACGGGGCCGTCCAGCCGTGCGACAAGGTGGATCTTGGAGAAACGGACCGGCTTGGTTGAAGTTGAGGACTATCTAGGGAGGACTGCGTTGCATTGTTGCGCATCCGAGGCCAACCTTGAAGCCATTCTCTCTCACGGCAGCGTCGTCATGCATACTGACAGATATGGCATGAGCCCTCTTCACAGGGCATGCTTGCGTGGGCAGTTGGGACTCGTTCGGTGCCTTTTGAAGCACAGCCAGCCTCTGGACTTGAAGGACAACATGTACGGAACTCCGCTACACTGCGCCATAATCAACGGCTCTGTCGATGTGGTCAAGGAGTTGCTGGATGCTGGCGCACCAGTCAACGCGCAAGACCTTAGAGGAAACACCCCGGTTCATGCCGCTGTTCGTATGGGAAGACACATCATTCTGAGGATTTTGCTCAGAGGTGGTGGCAGCTGCGTCATCCAGAATGTCAACAAAAGAAACCCGGAACAGCTGGCTTCCATTATTGGGACAACTCAAAGCATCGGCACGCTCCGTATTCTACAGGGCGACCGGAAAGTGGACATGCCTGACGATCTGTTCTCAGGGGAGAGGGATAGCACGACTGCCGACCCAGGGAGCACCTACTCTTCCAGCCCCTTTCCACTGAGCATCAACAAAGGGGAGGCTCCAGCCCCGGACTTTGCCTGGGACTCTGACAGTATCGCCTACGATGCGGTATCCGAGAGGAACGCTTCAGGTCTGTACGAGGCTGACAGGATTAGGGATGAAAAGCCACCTGCGTTCTCCGATGGCAGGAAGGAGAAGAGGAAGGTTCTGGAGAAGCTCACAAATAACATGGTCGAGGGCATGAGATACGTCGGCGAACGCGACGGCGAAAGACTGGAACTTGAGGACCAGGTTACTACCAGCCTACAGGCTCAGATATTACCTTATCTCGACGACTCCATCTGGCAGGACAACGGACCGCCTGCTGGCCCCATTGGCAAGACTCTGGCCGGCACTGTTTTTGGGATTGCAAACATATTGGAGATGTCAATGGCCGATCAGCAGCCAAGATCCCCCATTTCCGCTTCGTCACGGGAGGGCTTGAGCACGGAAGATGCTGCGGACATGGGCGTGGACGGTTACCAGCTGGTATTACCTGCTCTGTCTCAGGGCCATTCTAGCAGTCAAGTGATTGCCGACATCACTCCTACTTACCTAGATATTGAAGGCTACAAGAGACTCGCCATCGACCAGACGATTGAGATTGTGGAACAGACAAAGCCTAGATGGGCACTACCTCTTAGGTCGCGAGAGCACTTGAGAAGCATGATTGAGAAAGAAGTGGCTCGGATTCAGTTGACAGGCGACACGAGCGCCCTTGACGTTGTAATAAGAAAGGATCAGGTGCTCACGGCCCACCCGATATTGACAGAATCTCCCGCCACTGAGGATCGAAAGAGACTGCGGATTGAGCTACAGCAGAGGAAGTGGCATGCCGAGCGGAATGCAAGGGAGAGGGCCGCTCATCTATCCAAGCTTATCGACAGGAAATCAGGAGTGTCAAAGAAACTTGGGGACTCACCGGGAGCCAACTGACAGCCGGCATGGATTTGACAGTCTGGTGAGCGTGACCAAGGCCGTGAAGCGCGCTTTGGGACAAACTGAAGCCCACAATATCTCTTGGCTTCAGGCACAAGCATACAGATCACAAGATATTACAAGAAGCAAAAAGAAAGGGCAAAAACATACAACAGCCGGTGTTCGCTGGTGGTCACCCACCCAACTACTAATCTGCCGGTTAGAGGCTTATCTATGGGGGAGCAGACGGGACCCCGAGTTCTCCTCTACCTATGGTCGTATGTACCAGATGTTATGCACAAACGATATATAAGGGAGACATAATTGGTGTAGATTAGCCCAAGCCGTTATGGTTGCTCCGATCTGATTGACAAAGAACTCTACTAGAACTTGGAAAACAGCATAGAAAGCTCACAATATCTGCCTTTGGGCACAACTATACAAATAACGAAGTTATCAATTAAGCGCCGTCAGGTCCACACATTTCCATCTCCGTGTCTATCTACTTGCTCTCACTCTCCTTGAATCCTTTTCCAGACATGACGCTAAGCCACGGAGACTCGGTGGTACACTAAAACTTTGCGTTCTCACCTTATGGCAAAGCAGCACGACCACATGCACGACAAAGACGTCACAATAAGAAGCAAAAAAGAAAAAGAAGCAAAAAAGTACAAAAACATACAACAGCCGGTGTTCGCTGGTGGTCACCCACCCAACTACTAATCTGCCGGTTAGTGGCTTATCTATGGGGGAGCGGACGGGACCCCGAGTTTTCCACTACCTATGGTCGTATGTGCTTGGATCGGTGACGAACCAGCTTATAGCTTAGACAGAGGACGCTCGTTAAAATCATGGCATCTAGACGGCCCCCACCCCGACCAGCCGACGGTAGCCCCCCCAGCCGAAGAGCCGCATTGACCACCAAGATGCGTCAACTTTTTGACTCCTCGATGACTCTTTTACTTTGACTCATTTCGACTGGCGATCCATGTCATGGCAACAGCACCAGCTGAAGATTGCCTGAATTTGTAGAGAAATTAGAGATTGTGGCGAATGAGCCAAGACTGTGTCACCAGCTGAACATGACTACTGCAGTAGGCAAGGGGCAAGGCTGTCCCTGTGAGTTGAATGAAGGCGCAACAAGTACGTACAGTATTGCAGCAGCTGTGGAGAAGATCTCCATCCGATCACCATGGCACGATCTCTCCATACCAAGCCATCCAATCGCGTCCTTCTCCTGACCTTAGCCTCTGGTGTCCCCTGAGCTGAAGAGCATGACGTCGCAGGGAAATGATATAAACGACTTCCTTCGCTCTAGCCAAGCAAACCTCCATCACTCTCATCAACCATCCTCCAATCGCTACGATAACCACCAACGGCATCCCATCACCCATCTTCCCACCATGGACACGACGACAGCCCCAGACTCAACCCCCATCACCTTCTATGACATCGCTCACAAGCCCCCCGTAACCAAATCCTGCTTCTCGCCCAACCCCTGGAAGAGCCGCTTCGCCCTCAACTTCAAGGCCGTCCCCTACACCACGTCCTGGGTGCGCATGCCCGACATCCCCCAAACCCGCCGCTCCCTCGGCTTGCTCGCCTGCCGCAAGTTTGCCGACGGCACAGACTTTTACACACTGCCCGTCGTCCGAGACGCCTCCACGGGCGTCACCCTAGGCGACTCCTTTGACATCGCCATCTACCTGCAGCGCACGTACCCCGACTCCGGCGCGGGCGACCTGTTCCCCGCGCAGAAACTCGACTACACCTTCGTCCCGAGCTTCGCCCTCGCTGTGCCGCTGTCAGAGCGTGCGGACGGCGGCTACTCCGAGTATTACCGCTTCAACACAAGCGTTGACGCTGCTTTCACCTCCCACGTCCCGCTCATGGTGAGCCGCATGCCCTTTGACCCAGAAACAGAAGAGCAGACCAAGGCCGAGTTCATGCGTCGCGCGGGCGTCAAATCCTGGGACGACTTTGCCCTGACCAGCGAAGCGCGCGAGAAGCTCATGCAGTCGTTTGAGGCAGCGCTGAGCGATCTCGCGAGGCTTTATCGCAGGGACGACAGCGGGCCGTTTCTGCTGGGCAAGCAGGCGAGTTATGCCGACTTTATCGTTGGCGCATGGTTGAGGATGTCATGTATCTGTTTGCCAGAGAGCGAGTGGGATGAGGTGAGGAGTTGGCATGACGGGGTTTTGGGGAAGCTGCATGACGGGCTGGAGGCGTATGCCGAAGTGAAATGAGGGAATGAGGCCTGGGGTGAGGCAGTGACAGCATCCGCGAGCATTCTGTAGCCCTTTATTATCGTGAGGCTGGCTTCTTGGCTGAGCGTTGGCGTATATCGTGGAGGTTTTTCATTAGAATAATAGCTGGCCGCTTCTGTAAGATCAGAAATGGACCTGACCGATAGTTCATAGATCGAGTAGATATGTTCCAACTTAGTAAGCCCTTAACAACATCTCACCCGACATCGACCAGGCTCCCGTTCCTCCGTATTTGCCTTGTCTGGATCATGGCAGTCGACGAGTTCAAAGTCATTATTCTTGGTCCTGGTAGTCTGAGAAGAGGATTGTTGACGAAGAAGAGATGACCAGTCTCCAGCCAGAAGAAGATGAAGAAGAAGCAGAAGGCTGCAAGCCGCAGGACCGTGCTAAGAGCGATGGCTGTGCCCGCCAAAGCTCGCACCCGACTCCATCGCCCGGAGGACGCTCGGCTGTCACTATCGTCGCTTTTCCCATCATGAAGAGAGCCGACAGGATCCAACGTGCTGGACATACAAGGGCGATTGTTTCCCCTTGGATCCCGGATGCCTTTATCGTATCAGCGTTGTTGCCAGCGTTACTTGCTTGCTGGAAGAAGCTCAAGAGGTACAAGAGACAACAATGCCGGAGATGTCGCCGCTGTGCTGTAGTTCCAGGTAAGCAGCTGCCGAAACAAACTGTACGAGGCCGCCGCGAAGTGACTTGATATGGAATTCTGCAGTCCAGTCAAATCGTGCCAGAATCCAGAGAGAAAAGCGTGGCCATGACGAAAGACCCTCTCGGAAATCAGCCGAACCCATAGATTTCGAGGCTGGTTCGCCCCTTTGATAGAGAGCGTAGTCGCTCCAGACAGAACGAATCAGCATCGGTAGTTTGGACAGCTGAGACGATGGTATTGAGGGAGTTGATGATGATGCTGTCAAGATGGAGAGAGGCTGAGCAGAGATGATGATGATGGTGGTGATGTTGATATGGGGAAGCTGCTGACTGGTGCCTGCCTCCATTATCTACAGCATCCTACACACGTGACACACTCAGCATTCAGGTATGAAAGCTGAGATGCGGATGGCTCCAGTATAAGAAAGTCGTAACAACATGTTCAAGTGCTGGTCAAGGTTGGAGGACACAGTCTATGGGGAGGATCACGACTTACAACTCCCCTCACCAAGCAGCAACAAACAGTCTCTACATCAGTTGAAAGAAAGGGGTAGGTCATTTAGGGGGAAAAGCATGCACGGAGATAGAACACACACCCATGGCCACCTCGCCTTTCGATTCCTTTCCAAAGTGGCCAAGTGACCATTACTCAAGATCGAGGCGGTACATCCACGACTCAGTCATATATAGGTAGACAGGAATCTCTATTTGCAGTATATATCAACGATGTAAATATCCACTGAGCTGCCTTACTCCTTGCCCACAACGGCATCAAGCGCATCGCTGAACAGCGGCTTGATACCAGTCCACGTTTCAAACTTGAGTTGACATCCGGTCAGTATCACTCAGTCATTAGGAGTCACAAAGGGGGAACACGTACCTGGTACCAGCCCTGAGCGGCAAGAACCTCCAGCCCAGTAATCGTCGTCCAGTCGCCAGCCTTCTCCGCAATCTGAATCACAGGAGTACGAGGAGGGTGGTAGGCCATCTCAAGGAGAACCCGGCTCCGGCTCCGGCTCTGGCTCTGGCTCTGAGCATCAGAGGCCGACGGCTTGAACACCGCGCCGAGAATCTCCTCCACGCCCGCATCGATAGGCCTGTCGGCAGGAACGGTGCTGATGCTGACAACGGGCTTGCTGGCGATGGCCTCGGCCTCGGCAGCGCTGGCAACGGTCTGCACGCCGTACTCGGCAGGGAAGCTCGCCGCGAGGCTCTGCGCCTTGCTGGCGTCCCGGGCGACGACGTAGATGGGCTTGAAGCCCAGCGAATGCAGCGCAAAGATGGCAGCGCGGCTCGTGCCTCCGGCTCCCACCACGACGGCACTGCTGGCATCGCCGCTCTGCGTCGTGACGCCGGCGTTGCGGAGCACGTGGACCATGCCCTTCCAGTCCGTGTTGTCGCCGGTGAGTCGCTGGCGGCCGCCGCCCAAGGACTCGTCAGCCGTCGGGATCACGGTGTTGACGGCGCCAATGATCTTGACCGCTTCCGTCAGATCGTCAAGGTGCGCCATGATGTCCTGCTTCAGGGGGATCGTGACCGACGCACCGCCAAAGTCCGCGCTGCGCAGCACCTCGACGACGTCCTCGACCTTGTCCGTCTCCAGACGCTTGTACTCGTGCGGCAGGCCGACCTGGCGGAAGAGGGTGTTGTGAAGAGCCGGCGACCGCGACTTGCTGATCGGCTTGCCGAACAGGTAGAAGCTCTTGGGCTCGATCTCGCCCAGCAGGGACAGGCCTTGGCGAATCTCGGCCGCGGAAAGCTGGCCGGGCGCAGCCTTGAAGGGGAGGGCAGGGTGCGAGACGGGCGTCAGGAAGCCGTTTAGGACGCGGCTGAGTTTTCCGGCGGAGCCCATGTTGAGAGCAATGATGGGCGTCGGCTGGGCTGCCAGCATCCTCGACTTGAACCGGATCAGGTCAAAGTTGTCCTCGATGCTGCGAGCAGTGCCCACCAGCTTGATCACGTCGCCATACCGCAGAGCCCTGTTGTAGGCAGAGATCCACGAGGCGTTCTTCCACGACAGCGTGCCGGCGGGATCGTGGTGAGAGGTGATGATGACCGTGTGCCCTCGAGAGTCTCGGACCTGCTGGATCACCTCGTCGGACAGCGTGACCTCCAAGTCGAGATACTCGACGCCCATGCGAAGGGCCAGGCGGTAGAGCGCAAGACGCAGCTCGTCGTTGTCGTCGGGGAACTTGCCGCCCTGGGACTCGCTTCGCACGGTGAAGATGATGGGCTTGCCCGTCACATGCCTCAGCAAGGACACCTGTTTCATCACGGCTTGAGGCTGCTGGTCTTGCAGGAGATCCACGCGGAGCTCCACGGCGTCGCAATCGGCAGTAACGCGAGGCAGAATGTCGACGGCGTCCTTGAGATCGGGTAGCGTCAGCGAAACGAAAAAGCTGTGCTTCTTCTTGGAGACCGTCTCGAGCGTCTTGGACTTTCCAGAGATGACCGAAACGAAACGGGTGAAATCCTCGGGGATCTCAGCCTCTGCCACCGAGGAAGAGCCCTGCGAGTGCGGGCTGTAGTAGAGGAAGTTGCTGCACTCCCTGTACCACGGCCTCCTGCGCTCGTAGACCTCCCTGATCTCGTTGGTGTATGCCGGCCTCGTCTTGTCCTGGCTGAGGTAGTCAACCACCTGGTCGGTATCCCGCTGGACGAGCAGCACGAGACCACCATTGGCGCCATACGACTTCAAGAGCTCCCGGGCAGCCGGTGTCTCGACGAGTCCGCCTCCGCACGAGAACACGTAGCCGTTGGGGTGAGCCACGATCACGTCGCGCAAAAGGGCCAGTTCGTCCTCTCGAAACCCTTCCCAGCCGCGAGAGCCGGCAATCATGTCCGGAATCGTCATGCCGGCCCGTCGCTCGAGCTCGTGGTCCAGGTCCATAAACTTCCAGCCGAGCGTCTTTGCAACCCACTTGCCGGCAGTCGTCTTTCCGGCGCCTCGCATGCCAACGACGAAGATGGAGCGCTGGATGCTGGCGGGCGCCTTGGGCTTGGTCTCGCGGCTGCTTTCCGTGTCCACGCCCTCCAGGTTCGCCTTGAACTCGTGGGACAGGACGTCCCACCAGCCAGGCCAGGTCTTGCCGACGCACTCTCGCTCGGTGATCAGCACAGGGCCGGGAGCGGCGAGCGACAAGACGCTGAAGCTCATCGCCACGCGGTGGTCATCGTAGCAGTGGATGCTCTCCTTGGGCGTCGTCAGGCTTTCCCTGGGCTTGCCGACGATCTGGATGCCGTCCTCAAGCTCGTTGCACACAACACCAAACTTTGCCAGCTGGTCCTTCATCGCCAGGATGCGGTTGCACTCCTTCACTCGCTGGTTGGCAATTCCGGTAATCTCCGTCGTGCCCTCGGCCACCGCTGCCAGGACCGTGGCAGTGAGGAAGGCATCCGTCATGGTCGTCATGTCAACGCTGGGCAGAGCCTTGAGGCTTCCGGACTTTGGTCCAGTGACGGTAGTCGTGTAGTCGTCCTGGTGGACCTCGCATCCCATGGGCTCGAGGATCTTGACGGCGAACTGGGCATCGCCCTGCAGGGACTTGGATCCAATGTTGGGAATCGTGCAAGTCGTTCCGGTAATGGCAGCCACCGCGAGCGGATACGTGGCCGAGCTGGCGTCGCTCTCGACAGTGTACTCGGCCGGGTTCTGGTAGACGCCCTGAGGAATGTGGTAGGTGTCCGGCTCGTCGGCAGAAGGAGTGACGTGGATGCCGAACGACTTCATCATGGAGATGGTCATGTCAATGTACGGCTGGGAAATGGGCTTGCCTCCCACCAATCGCAGAGTGACGGCCTTCTTGGCATAGGGGGCGGCCATGAGGATGGACGACACATATTGGGAGGAGACAGTGGCCGCAAGCTCGATTTCGCCTCCCTCGAGACCGTTTGAGGCATTGATCCGGAGCGGAAGGCTCTTTTCGCGCTCCAGGTAGTCAATGGCAACGCCGTTGGTGCGCAGGGCATCGACAAGGGGGCCGATGGGTCGGAGCTTCATCCTCGCGTTGCCGGTGAGAACCGTGGTGGTCGCCGTGCTCGTGGGCGCGCACAGAGCCGCAACGGTCGTCAAGAAGCGCGATGCGGTTCCCGCGTTGCCAATGTACAGGGGCTCGTCCGAGGCCTTGAGCTTGCCGGAGTTGCCCTCGACAACCAGGACTTGACCCCCGTCTTCCCACGAGTAGGACGTGCCTCCCAGCGTCGAAACGGCCGAGAGCATGTACTCAGTGTCGTCCGAGTGCAGCAGGTTCCTGATTCTGCAGGAACCGGAGCCGAGAGCGGCGAGGATCAGGGCTCGGTTCGAAATGCTCTTGGAGCCAGGGGGCGTGATGGTGAGGCGAAGGTCGGCGGGAATGCCAGGCGTCACCTCGATGGAGTCGGACAGGACGATTCGAATGGACTTGTCGTCCACGGAGCTTGCCTTTGCCTCGTAGGTCTTGCCAATCGCCGACAGCAGCACAATCTTCTTCTGGCTCCCGTCGTTCTTCTTGTCGACGGCCATCTTCTTGAGCAAAACATCCACGGGGCACTTCTTGCCGGCGGTCAGGCTGACGACACGCTTGTCCTTGAGCGAGGTGGGCAGGCCGTAAGAAGCAATGCACTTCTCCAACCGCGCGACAGCCTCCGGCCGCAAGACGCCCAGGAACCGGGCCAGCTCGGCCTCCTTGACCATGCCAATGGCCACGGCCTCGCCGTGAAGGAGCTGCGGGGTCAGGAGCGCCTCGATGGCATGGCCAATGGAGTGGCCAAAGTTGAGCAGGTTCCGCAGCCCGCCCTCTCGCTCGTCGGACGAGACGACCTCGGCCTTGACCCGCGCGGAGCCGGTGACGATGCGCTTGAGCGCGTCCTTGATGGGCTGCAGCCGGTGCTGGCCCTTGGAGCGCACGCTGGCCAAGATGGTCGCCGCCGACTCCTCGAGGACGGTGAACTCCTTCTCGTCCCAGATGGCGGCCGTCTTGACGACCTCGGCCATGCCGTTGATGAACTCGCGCACCGGCAGCGTCTCGAGAAAGGCGAGGTCGATGAAGATGCGGCGCGGCTGCCAGAACGCGCCGACGAGGTTCTTGCCCATGGGGGTGTCAATGGCCGTCTTGCCGCCAATGGACGAGTCCACCATGGCCAGCAGCGTCGTCGGCACCTGGACGAAGCGCACGCCGCGCATGAAGGTGGCCGCGACGTAGCCAATCATGTCGCCGATGACGCCGCCGCCCACGGCGACGATGACCGTGTCCCGCGTGCATTGGTGCGCCAGCAGCCAGTCCTCGATCTCGGCCTTGGTCTCGCGGCTCTTGGACGCCTCGCCGGGCGGGATCGCATACGTGAGCAGCCGCGCCGCGGGGTTCGGCTTGGACGCCTCGAATCGCTGCTGGAACGCGGGCACGTACGTGTCGAACAGGTTCGTGTCGGTGATGAGGACGTACGTCGACGACGCCAGGTTCTGCGTCAGGTCCTGGACGATGTAGTCGGGCCACAGGCCATGGTCGACGACGATGTTGGGCTCGCCCAGGATCGAGATGGTCTGGGGAGGGGCTTTCGCTGCGTCCGCCATTTTTTTGCGTCTTTGAAAGGCGATTGACGCCTCTGACCAGTGCCAATCAAAATTGAGGCTTGTCCTTGTCTCGAGAATCAACACAGTCAGTAGTAGGAGAAAGGAAGAAAAGGAACCAGGAGGGAAAGAAAAATGAGCCTTCTTCCTGGGACGGGAGCTAAACTGAAAGTCTCGAAATTCTTTGGTGGGGTGAGCCAACCTTCAAAATGCAGCTCATCGAGTCACTACCGATATCGGGCTAACGCCAAAATCTATCAATAGCCAACGTCGGACATGCATGCAACTGCCCATCAACTCCGAGACGGAGGGTTACATTCAGGATTACACGTGTGTCTTCCTTCTTCTTCTACTGCATACTACGAGTATACATAATCTGACAAGCGTGCAGATTTCAGGTATGAGAAGAATAAGCCTCGCAATCCATCGCCGAAGAAGCCCACTCAGTGGCAGGGCAAGTGGTATTTTGTTTTTCTCGGCATGAATACACCTAGTAGTGCTTTATATAAGATACAAGTTCAGGCCTCATCTACTATACCTACCTGTACTCCAGACTCCAATTACGCCAAAGAAAATAGTTCCCATCTACTTACAGCACGCTTTCATACGCTCATGATGAAAAGCGAACATCCAATGGCGCCCCCTCCAAGCCCAGAGACGCCGCCGCCGCCGCCGCCGCCGTGGACGACCCCTGACGCCGAATGTAAGCAAGCAGCCGGATGCACCCCGAAGGAGTGATGCCCTCTGCGCGGCGAGCCTGCGCCAGGGTCTCGGGCCGCGTCCTCCTCAGCACTTCCTTTTCCGACAAGGCCAGGCCAGGGATGCTGTCGTAGTCGAGGTCCAGCGGCAGGCGAATGTTCTCGTCGTTGACGAACCGCCCGCGCTCGGCCGCCTGCATCTTGATGTACGGCGCGTACGCCGCCTCGATGACGACTCTGTCTCGGATCCGCGGCGGGTAGTTCATGACTTCGGGCACGATGGAGCTCAGCTGGTCCAGCTGCACCCGCTCGGTGGTGTTGGACAGCCGCAGCATGTCGACGCCGGTCCGGCGCTGCGAGCTCTTCTTGACCTGGAATCCTGCCTTGCTCCACTCATCAGCCGCCAAGGAAACGGCGGCCAGGGACTTGGTCAGATCCTCAATCTGCTGCTTCTCATCCGAAAAGACGCTCCATCTGTGGTCCGAGACGACGCCCCATTCCCGTCCCTTTTCGGTCAAGCGGAGGTCAGCATTGTCCGCTCTGGCCGCCATGCGGAACTCGCTTCTGGACGTAAACATGCGGTAAGGCTCCGTGACGCCCTTGGTGATAAGGTCGTCAATCATGATGCCAATGTAACCGTCCGATCGAGATAGCGATGCCCCAGGCAAACCGAGGGCAGCTCGTCCGGCATTCATACCGGCTATGACGCCCTGGCCGGCAGCCTCCTCGTATCCCGTGGTGCCATTGATCTGACCTGCCAGATAGAGGCCGCCGATTGCCTTCGTCTCCAGAGTAGACTTTAGCCCTCGGGGGTCGACATAGTCATACTCGACACCGTAGCCAGGCTGCAGCATCTTGACTTGCTCGAGCCCTTGTATCGACCGCAACACCTGCTCTTGCGCCTCTGCGGGGATCGTCATGGAAAGGCCGTTCGGGTATATGATTGGGTTATCGAAGCCCTCCGGTTCAAGCCATACGATGTGACGCTCCTTGTCCGCAAACCGGATGACCTTTGACTCGAGAGAGGGGCAGTATCTCGGGCCCCTTACGGTTTCGCGAATGTGGATCGACTTGTCCAGGTTTTCTCGGACAATCTTGTGTGAAGCCTCGTTCGTGTATGATATGCTGCAGGTAAGCTGGTCCTGCACGGCGACCTGGGTATTGAGATAGCTGAAGGGCGCGGGAGGGTCGTCGCCAAACTGCCTCTGGAGTATGTCGAAGTTGATGGTCGATTTGTCGAGCCGCGGAGGCGTCCCCGTCTTCAACCGTCCCAGTTGGAAGCCAGCTTCCCGTAGTGATTTGCTCAGGCCCGTTGTCGCCGCCTCTCCAATGCGACCGGCCGGATAGGCCTCGAGCCCAATGTGGATTTCGCCGCCCAGGAATGTTCCGGTCGTGATGACTACTCTTCCGGTCTGCAGGATCTCGCCGTTCTCCAGTCGGACACCAGCGATTGAGCCCTTGGTGCCGTCGCTTGAGCCTTCGTTCTCGGAGAGGATAATGTCCGACACGCTTTCGAGGACGATGGACAGGTTCGGGTACGACTCGAGCTCGCTTCTCATGTATTTTTTGTAGAGGTTCCGATCAATCTGTGCTCGCGGGCCCTGTTATAGAAGACAAACATTAATATCAAGGCCGGACATGGTAAATCAAAATAAGACGCATACCCAGACGGCCGGGCCCTTCCTCCGGTTCAGCAGATGAAACTGAACGCCCGCTTTGTCAATAATCCTCCCCGCCAAGCCATCCAGCGCATCAATCTCTCGGATGATGGTCCCCTTGCCAATGCCCCCGAAGCTCGGGTTGCAGGAACATGTGCCCAGGTTGTCCATCTTGGGTGTCACCAGCGCCGTCCGCGCACCGGCTCTCGCAGCAGCAGCGCACGCCTCGGCACCGGCATGGCCACCGCCTATGACGACGACATCGAAGGCCCTGTTTCATTGCAGCGTTAGCTACTATTTTCTCTCACCGAGATCTGTCTAGGGATTGTCGTAGAAAGCGCTGAGACATACCTGTGCCTGTCGGTCACGGTAGCAAACCGACGGCGCCCCCAACTTGGGCGCCAGTGAACTGACCGAGTACGCAATAAGGCACTCATTTCATCTCGCAGTCATCTACTACTGATATTGCTTGCGCCCCAGAAGACGTTCATCCTGCATCAAACATTCGCCTGCTAGATTCAAGATCTTCGCGGGATGGTCGCAATAAATTTTATCGATAAAGGTTTCGATAATTGCATATTTTGGATTGATGTATATGACGTATCTTCTACAGCCAGCATCCAGCGCATTAGTCCTACTAGGCATGTGCGAGAGACGAGCCTTCAAGTCTTCTGATGAGTAGATCTCTCGGTATCATTCAGGCATTACACAATATCTCGCTGTAAAATTGTCGCCCATTCGCTCGTCACCAACATCTGGCCCGGGTCACACTCTTCACGCCCAAGACAAGACGGCGTCCTCCACCTCCTCCAGAAACGTCGTCGCGTTGTGAACCGTCGTGCCACCAAGAACCACACGCACGCCGGGCATCGTGGCATTGACTCCAGCAATCATCTTGGCCTCCTCATATGTCACTCCCCCCACCATGAAGACGATAATGTCCTGCGGCTTGTCTCGGGTCGAACTGCCGTCATCCACGAATGGGTATTGTTGCTCTTTCAGCCGGCCCTTGATGAGGTTCTGCAGGGTGCCCTCTAGCAGCGAGTTGTGCTGCGTGTAAACGTTTTCGACGCCCTTTAGGCCCTTGAATCGGTTTGCTGTGCCGGAAAAGATGCCAGCCGAGTCAAATATATCTGTAATGCCGGTTCGGGAGTCCGGGGTGTGTAATGAAGAGTGATAGGTCAAGACTTTCTTAACCAGATCAGCCTGTCTCGGAGATACGTTGCCGGCCGCTACGAGAAGATCCATGAGCATGGGAAGGGCACTCCCGGGGTGTTTCTGATAGCGCAAAGCATATAGAGCCACAACACCAACTTTGCTTCCCGCCGAGATGTTAGGTGCTTGGATCATTCTTTGTACGGCCTGAGTAAATGAAGTTAGCTCCATCATTGTTACCTGCCAGCGCTCATCAACTCCGAGAATTCGGAAGGGTATCTACCTTGAGATCGGAGTTATGGTTGTCGTTGCAAGCCAAGCTCTGCTCCAGTTCGCTGACTTCCAACAGACTCTCGGCAGCAACTCTCCGACTGAGCTCGGAGACAAGCGTAACGTGCTTGCTCACATTCCCAGAGAGCTTCCGAAACTCCGGATACTCCTCGATAAAGCGCTTCATATCCGAGATTGACTCGATGTTGGCGTTGTTTTTCGTCTTTGACTGGTATTGCTCAACATATTCCTTGATCGTCCCGCCCAAATCGCCAAAGTTCAGAAACATGTTCTTCTTGAAGAAGGGGTCTTGATCCTGGGAGAGAACAATTTCTTTGAGCTCGGGCCTGATGTCTGGTACGTCGCTAAGGTCAACTCGGCCATTCTTGATGCCGAGAAGATGGTGAACCATTGCCTGGTAAGTCCACTGGGTCAGGAGCGGTGTTACCGGGTCCTCCCTGCGATCCAGAATGAGAAGGATGGGAGGCGTGTCGACTTTCCGGAAATCAAACAGCTGGTCTTCCTTTGTCATGAGGTATCGTACTTCGGAGGCAAGCTTTGCAGCAAGAGGGCTGCTCTTCTGATATCGAATCAGCGGCTTCTTCTTGAGGGAGAGGAGGACGGCGAGAAGGCCTTCCGAGCAACGCTGCAGAGAGTCCGGGTTCCATTTATCCGGGCCACCAGCCCATATCCGCTGCTGCGGAAGGGTCATGTTCAAACTGAAGAGATCGGGGTTGATGACGATGTAGTCGGCAAAATGCTCCTGGACAACCTTGACGACTTCATGGTCGTCCGCCTCGGCGAGCCGCTCCAGGGCAGACTTTTTGGCTACGTTTGTGAAGAAGAGGTAGTACTCTCCGTACTTTGGGTCCCGGAGCTCGTCTATGAGCAGCTGGATGGTCTCGGGCGAGGGGCGAACCAGGCAGATGCAGCGAAGATGGCGCATCTTTTCGCGGCTGGCGTTGTCCAGGCGGTCAATGAGGTAGACCTCATACTCAAGCAGCGAGGACTGTGTGATGGCCGTGGACACGATGGAGATGGTCTCCCTATCTAGCAAGAGGACCTTCATCTTGGAGGATGAGGCATCGCCCGAGGACAGCATCATCTTGGAGATGTATCCGGCGACGGCTTGTGAGACATCCATGATGACGTGGCTGGTGCTTTGCCGCTAGCTACATGGTATTATCCGTCGAGAAGCTTGGGAAAGTATTCGCGATAGCCAGAAAGGCTTGAAGAATCAAGCTCGGCGTCGGTTGACTGATGGATATTCCGTTCGTTGCTGTGTAAGATAACGACAGGCTGGAGACGTGTTACGGGAGTTTGGGAGTGACCTCACTGTGCACCTGGAGGTGAGTGCCCAATGAGGTAAGACGGAGGGCGGAACAACTGACCGCCGTAGGGGTGAGCTCGGCGGCCTAGTGCCAGATCGGGACTAAGACAAGAGCTGCGTGCCAGGTACCTACCTACATGAGGACATGCAACTTCACCCATCCTTGATAAGATGATGTGTAGATACATAGATACGAAGGCAGTATAATGAGCAGTCAGCTCCTCAAGTTCTTGTCCTACTTTCTCCTCTTCATCAAGCAGATGTTTGCAGCAAGGACAATGAGGCCCGTTGCAGCTTCTTTCTCTGCTCCATCGCTGATGGAGAGGTACCGCAGATTGTGGGTATTCCGCCACACCTGATTGGCTGCTTGTGCTTGGATGCGCAAAAGCTGTCCCCAGTATGAGTCCATCCGCCCAAACCGTTGATATCATGACTGCTTTGATCAGACTCAACTTCAGCAAATCCGCCTTCTGCCTTGCAGCCACTTCTATCACCAATGACTGAGCGGGTATCGCTGTGACTAGACCCTGCTCTGGTTTGCCTCGGTGAATACAAAAAAAAATCATCAGTCACATTGAGAATGGCGGATTCTTGCCCAGCGCGGCATGAACCAACGTGAGCTGTCCTCTGCCCTCAAACCATGCAAGCTTCACTTTTGAATGCTAACCTTTTCATCTCCCCCACCTTTCCATATAAAAAGGCTCTCATTCACCCAAGGGCTCATAGTAGGCCAGCTCTCCGTTGTCCTCATCCTAGCCGCCTTTATCAAATTCTTCATCTTCGGCGAGGCCCCGTCGCCCGACGTCGCCGCCTCCCTCCGGGCCACGGAGCGAAGATCACGCACCCTCGCCCACAAGCAGTCGCTGCTGCGCCTCCGCTCCCCCAGCCAGCGCGTCGGCGGCGGCGGCGGCGGCGGCGGCAGCCATCAGCCGCTCAACCGCAAAAAGTCCACCGTCCTGCGCAGCCCGCCGACGCTCACCATCGGCTCCATCCTCAGCAAGACGTACTACAACGTCGACAGCCACCAGCCCGAGAGCCTCGACTGGTTCAACGTGCTCATCGCGCAGACCATTGCCCAGTTCCGCAGCGACGCCCAGCACGACGACGCCATCCTCAACTCCCTCACCAAGACGCTCAACGGCTCCTCGCGGCCCGACTTTGTCGACGAGATCCGCGTCACCGAGCTCAGCCTCGGCGAGGAGTTCCCCATCCTCAGCAACTGCCGCATCATCCCCGTCGACGAGGACGGCATCAGCCTGGGCAGCCATGTCAAGTTTGATCCCGCCACGGCCGCCCGCGACGGCACTCGCCTCCAGGCACGCATGGACGTCGACCTCAGCGACATGCTCACCCTGGCAGTGGAGACGAAGCTCCTCCTCAACTATCCCAAGAAGCTGTCCGCGGTCCTCCCGGTGGCATTGTCCGTCTCGGTGGTGAGGTTCAGCGGCACGCTGTCCATCTCCTTCATCCCGAGCAATCCTTCTCAGTCCACCCCGACCATGATGGCGTTCAACTTCCTCGACGACTATCGGCTGGACTTTTCTATCAGGAGCTTGCTCGGCAGCCGCTCACGCTTACAAGACGTGCCCAAGATCGCACAGCTGATTGAGTCGCGGCTGCACAGATGGTTTGACGAGCGGGCGGTGGAGCCACGATTCCAGCAGATTGCGCTGCCAAGCCTGTGGCCCAGGAAAAAGAACACTAGAGGCCCAGACGATGCCATGGCAGACGGTGGTACAAATTCTTCTGGCCTTTCAAAGGGCAAGGAGAGAGATCCTTCAGTTGGGGCCGATAGCCGGGAACAGGCTACTCTACGGCACCGTCGACCATTGGGCGACGACGAGTACACCAAAGAAGGGACTCTCCGCAGCCTTAGCAGGGATACGAGGATCTAGAGTACGAGCATGTACTCTTGCTTGAGGCGCAGGCTGCCACAGGCTGTACTAGCCTGAATAGCAAAGATTTGCGAGACATAGAATGACAACATGGAAGTTCTACGGTAACGCTACTACATATGTAGCCTCAATTAGGAGTCATGGAATGGGTATGAACGAGACACCACACGGAGGAGTATTGAGACTTTTCCTGTTCATTGCATTTTTGTTTTTTGCGCCTTTCTCCATAGCGGGACGTGGGAGAAACAGCACGGATAAGTATTGTCAAAAGTAGGGATGCTAGAACACCGCCAGAGCAATTGGCGACTCGGTCAGCGAATAAAGATTCTTCCACCAAGCAACTGAGCCTCCGAAAAGCAACACGTAGTAGATGCCCGACCACAGCATCATACGGCCCGGCCGATAAGCGTCAGCCTCGGAAAGCCAATACGGCTGCACGGCACCCCAGACGCGAGGCAAGCCCATGGAGTTGCAAAACGCATGGACAAGAATGACAGCAAGCAGAGAGCCCGTCCGCAGGAAGAGGAAGTTTGCGTAGGCCCCGAAGATGGACGTGTACGAGAACTGGAGGACGGAGCGGGCGACGGCGGCCACCAGGGGCGTCTGCGGGTGGGTGACGCGGAATTCGTAGAAGTGGTGCAGGTGGGCGAGGCCAAAGACGACGGGGGACAGGAAGATGATTCTACTCAGGCTGGAGCCTGCTACCAGCAGCAGTGGGATGGCGGCGGAGCGGAAGAGGCATTCTTCGGTGACGGGGCCCTGCAGAAGACGAAGATATGAGCTTCAGAAAGCAAGACGCGGAGACAAGGGCGATGTAGGAGAGAAGAGAGAGCCAGTTGGCTGACTGGAGTTGCTCGTTTCATCCAACTGAGGTTGCGGGTGAAGCCATTGCGTGAATATACTTACAGCAACCAGGTTCCGCCAGGCCGGCCATTCAGCCCAAATGTCTCGCAGCGGCTGGAACCCAGAGATCCATTCTCTCCAACCGCCGTCAATCACAAGAAACTCATAAAGCGGCGCCGCAAAGAGTAAACCCGTCAGAAGGCAGCTCTTGAGCGCCTCAGTCAGCCCAATCGGCCAGTAGCCCATTAGATGCAACGGGCTGCAGCTGGTGGCCGCGGCCGTTTCCTCAGAACCGCAGACATGGGGCAAGAGGAGAAAGGTCGCGAGGGAGCACGCAGTCGTGGACAACGAGACGGCGAAGATCCTGGCGCGAATGGCCTCAGGCGCGTCTCTTGAGCGGCCGGGGGAGGCTCGCGTCTGGGAGGAGGCGTACAGAGGGAGCACGTAGACAAGGGTATATGCTGCCTGTTGTTTTCATCGAGGCCCCCCCGACGACGCCGGGAAAGCATAATAGATTAGCGACGCCCGCCGGAGTCAATGAGAGTTTCGCTGAACGTGTTACTGCTTACCAAGAGACCAAAGGCCTGGGGCTGAGTGAGGGCACCTGATGATGGAGGAGCCATTGGATGAGGCCAGAGCCAGTATGTCAGGTTCTCACAAGTGATATCAGACACACGCTATGACAGAATATACAGGGGATACACGAAGCACAGAGAGGTGGGAGGTTCAACAGCCGCGCGCCAGTCGTCGTCTAACCAGAGAATCCTCGCATGTGATGCCGCTTATTGGAAAAGTGAGCATTGGAAGAGACAGATTGAAGAGACACGACGACAAAACCATAGGAAAAAAAGAGGGGACGAAGGAATTGAAGCCCTATGCGGGGAATGCAATGACGCAGGACATGTCTGGGGACGCTTCCTGTGCAATTGGTATGCAGCACAATGGAGAAGCGGTGGTCATTGATGTCTCGAGAAAACAAAGGCTTCGTTCCCATTGTGGCATGTCCAGCTGCTGAGGCTGAAGAGAATGACATTTTTGTCTCGGCTAGACTCATGGAACAATGGGTTCCTGCATTTGGTGCGCAACACTAAAAACGGCGGTTAGTTGCATTCATGGCCGTTTTGGCCGGCTCTAACAAACTCTATGAGGTAACGGGGGTCAGGCCGGTATAGTCAAAGGGAGGGATCAATCAAACCTTGAACTTGATGATGTGTGAGTTGATGACTGAATCAGTTGTTGAGATCATATCCGAAGAACCGTTTGTTCCTTGTCATTTGTTATTTCAGGGTATCCGGCTAATGGTCGTCCAATACGTGGCAGAACGGAGTGATGAGTTCTGTACATACATAGAGCCGATATGGAGCTGGCAGGGATGTCGATAGAGCTCATACCCTGGAAGCTCGTAGATGGCGTCAACGGAAATCCATTGCCACATGAGAAGCAATTGATCAGATCTTCGGCCGCTTCAGGTGAAACAATCCCACAGCCAGACAGACGTCAAGGGTTGCAACCGCCAGCGCCCGTTTCATTCGCGCATGTCGCTCTCAACGTTCAACCTTGCGGATGCTTCCTAGCGTCTACCAGCGTCCAATCTCGTGCGCCCAAGTGTTCATGCATGGACACACGTCCATTCCGGAGGACTGCTTGTTTGCCTATCAGCATCATCATCAGCATCAGCACCAGCAGTGGATGGGCACGTCCAGTATCACGGTGTACATGAACGCAACCTCACCAGGCGCCTGTTTGACGGAGTACATGCCTGTCCGGCGGACACACGAGGCGCCAAATGGCCGCTGCAGAACAGAAGCAGCGCAGAGCATCCTGAAGCTGTTTGTCTGCATATGCATGTGCATGTGCATGCATCTGCCTGTGCCTGTAATTTCACGGCTTGCAGGGCAGAGGATGCCTGCGCCACGCTCGCCTTTGCCTGCCCTGCTCATACAACGTCGAGCCTGGCCAGTCAAAATTAAATACCTCAAGAGCAGAGCAAAGAGTCCGGTCTGGCTGTTTGTATCCAGACCAGTTGGTCGGACGCTGTGACTGCATGTACAAGCGGTACTCCGTAATCAATGCCTGGCAGTTTGGTCAACATTCCACAGCTGAGCAATGGCGAAACGGAGCTCATCTTCTAGCAAGCCGGGCCTTCCCAGGCACCGTTCCGCTTCTTCGGCCACGGCTCTCCAGCTCGGGATCCCTTCATCTGAGTAGTTCACCGCTAGCAGCCCACAGAGTTCATGCTAGCAACCAATCTGGTTTAACTCCGCCTCTGTGCCTGACGCCGTCCAAACCTGCGGTGATGGCGATGGCTTCAAGCCCTCACTCAGACGCGCGCGCCCTTTTCGTCCGGGCCCGTCGGCAGCGACAGTTCCTGGCCTCTCGTCGTTTGCTTCGCTGCTACTGCTCTTCCAGGTGCGTTTCTTCCGGAGTCTCTGGGAGCTCGGACCTGCGTCTCCCCTGCAGGTGGCCCAGCTAGCGGCGCTTCTGTCCTGCTTGTGCCTGCTTCTCTAGTCTGCGAAAAGAAGGGCACCCCTGCAGCTGCGCGATAGCGCCGGCCAGTAGGAGCCTCTGTTTGCGTTGCCTCGTCTCCAGCCAGAGACAGTCAGCGCAAGATCCTTCCTCTCTAGCAGCTTGACACACGAGGCCTGCAAGGGAGGGACAGTTGAAGACAAAGAGAGAGACAGAGAGGATGAGGAGGGATGGCGCTGCAGTCGAGATAGAAACACACTGCAGTTGCCTGGTGATACCCACCGAGGCAGGCGGTCAAGGTCGACGCTCTCGTCTTCTGTCCGTTTTGACAACAACTGCCAGGAACCTGAAGGAACCCAGCCGGAGATTGTAGGTACCTGACAAGGCCCCATGTTTGTGCTGGGGAGTCCATGTATATTCGCGGTTCGGCGCAGGTACGAGTACTGGCAGAAAGAACCGGGAAGGAGCCTTGAACAGTCGAAGCTCTTGAGTGAGAAACAAAGTTTATCGTCCAAACTCAATTCTATGGAAACTGCGATCACGAGAACTACCAAAAAGTCATCAACAACAAAACAAAAACAAAACAACAACATCACCATCATCAAGATCACCAACCGAGACTCATCAGCTCCACGTCTCACCCACGAGCGTCGCCTTGCATAAAGCAACCGCATCAGCACCAGCAGCAGCGCAAACTCTGCGGGTCAGCACCCAGCCCGCCCAATTATTACGGAGCCCCGAACCAGCCCCGGGCGCTGAGGCCAGGCCGAGCCAGCCAAGCTACTGCTGCTTCTGCCGCTGCTGCTGCGACCACCACGCGAATATCCCCTTTTCATGGGCCTCCCCCCGGGCCGCATCTTGTGCCCCGTCAACCGCCTTGCTCGGCTCTCTTTTCGCATCCTCCACACTCGTTTTCCTCCGTCCGTCTGTCGCTCTCTACCTGCTGACCGTCTACGCTCTTTTCTGCCCTGTCCATACTCGGCATACGCACGCCTTGGCTGGCATCGTTGCGCGCTTCGTCTCGCCAGTATTCCTGCTGCAGACCGTCTTGAGTCGTCCTCCTCGACCTACGAAGTACCTAATTGCCCTCGGCTTCACGTCCTTTTAATTTTTAATTCTTTCAATCGCTACATCGGATCGCTCCGTAAAACTCTTTGACAGCTCGACTGCAGCTCTCTCAGCGCGCTGCTCGTTTTTTGGTTACACTTCGATTCTCCCCTGGGTTCTTACTTTCATCTGCTTTGCGAACATAATAGCCGCCGACTCTTTAGACGCGACCAATCAGTTTCAGCTTCCTCTGTCCCCCCTCTTCGTACTTGCCATCGGACAGCCTTTCGTGTTCTGGTAGATTTTTGCTTCTGTGCGAGCATCGCCTGTCCAATCCCAATTGGCATGGGCCAGCAGCCCGACCTGCTCACACCACCATCCACGACAACGAATCGAAGCCGTCGGAGATAAAAATTGAGCACAATACAGATAGACAGCGTCGCCACCTCCGCACCAGACGATAGACTGGCCCCTACACAGGCTCACGCCCTGCAAGACCGAAATCCGTTCACAGCTGCGCCGACATCTCGCCATTTCCGCATCAGTTGGGCAAATGTTATGAGCCAGCCCTCGTGTTGAGTGAGCAGAGGATGTCCGAATCGCCCGACTCCGAGCGGTCCTCTCAGGGTGAGAAGCTTCAGATCCGACTGGTGCCTTACTCGCCGCCCCGACTCAGCGGCGGCTCCGAGCTTTTCAACCCTGAGCCTTCTCTCTCCTCGAGGCAGGACAATGTCGAGGTTCACGCCGCCGACGAATCGCCAAGGACCTCGAGTCCTCCGCCTTCAATCTCGACCGTCGTTGGTCCGTCTCGCTCCTCGACGGGCAAGCGTCGCAGTTCAAGCATTGGCGCTAGCAAGGTCCTCGAAAGCGCATCATCGTCTGTCGAGGCCCTCGAGCCCTCGCGGTCAAGGAACCGATCACAATCTCTGTCACAGTCCCTCAGAACCCTGACATCTCCGCCGTCGCCAGAAATCCAACCTGCAGCCCCTACAACTCAACGTCGCCCCAAGAGATTCATCGACATCAACCTGAATTCTGACAACAAGACCTTCTCGCTCGTCCCCTTGACCTCTCGAGCCTCCCGCACCGACTCATTTGTGTCAGCTCGCACCGATTCGAACCCCCATTTCTCTGTCGCTTCCAGTGCTTCCTATCGGCAACAGTCTTCAAGCATCTTTAGTGAGGACCGCCCCAGCTCCCCTTTGACGACCCTGGCCGAAGACAGCACGTCCGTGACCGCGTCCTTTACCCCCTCCATCCCTGAAGAAGACTCCGATTCCGCCTCACCATGGGACTATCGCCTGGTTGGTGGACTGCGCAAGGTTGACAGCCAACTGAGCGATGTCACAGATACCACTCCTACCCGCCTGCCTTCATTCCTGGAAGAAGAACAACAACAACAACCCGACCTCTCGAGCAAGATTGCGATCCCCGAGGAGCCTATCATTGCGTTCCCTCTCACCACCAAGCGATCATTCTCGTCTGGCAAGACTGGCAACACGGTATCAGATCGCACCAACTACAAGACGTATGCGCAAAGCTCTTCCGGCCCGGACACTGTTCGCGGCTCCATGGCATCGGATTTTGACACCTCTTCGCTCTTCCCCACCGGCTCCAACTACGTCGTTTACGATGGCGCATCAGCTTCTGATGAACCGTCGCGGCCGCAATCAGACTCGGAACAGAGGGAAGCCCCCAACTACATCGTCCACGGACACCGACGTACGCAGTCTGACGGGACGGATATCTCCCATGCGCAGTCCGAGTATTCGAGAGATAGCATGGTCGTTGCTCCTTTACGGCCCATGCGGTCAGGTCGTCTCTACTCCAACTCGACGATTGTGAGCGCCAGATCGCTTGAGCACCTGAGGACCGGCTCTTTGACGTCCATGTCCAGCGCCAGAGTCCATCAAGATGCGGATCCCAACGCGCCAATTGGTATGTCTACGCAGGTGGATTTGGAAGGACGGCACTCACGGAACCAATCAGGCTCTGGACAAGGCATTCACCGCAGGAGTCCTTCTCGAACACAGCCGTGGGGCACCGCCCTGTCTACGGTCCTTTCGGAGAGCGAACGGAGCGACCCGTCGACGCGATCCATCTCTCGACTGTCTGGCAATGCTCGTAGCAGCGTCTTCACGCTCAACCAGCTTCGACAGACGGGAAGCTTCTCCACGTTTGGACTCGAGGAGGCCCTGGCCATGGCATCTCGTTCTCGGAGCGGCTCTGTGGATCGGCCTCAGCCAGTCCACGGCAGAGAAACGCCTTATTCCACTGCTCGTCTAGTGCGCGACCATGACGAGGACGGCGATGGCCTTGCGGATCTGGAGAGCATGAACCGCCTTCCCTCTCGCGCCCGAGGTCTCAGCATGGTCTCCAACCACTCGGGAGACAGAAACCTCCGCTCCTCAAGCAGTTCCCGAAACAACAGCATAAGCTACGCGGCCATTCCGGCATGGGCACGGTGAGCAAGCTAAGAATAATTCATCAATCTGCAAATGCTAACTTGGACAGGGTCTATTACGGAAGTGGAGAGCGGCGCTTTCTCGCAGCGCAGCCTTCCAACGAGTCCATGTTTTCGCAATTCACCAGCAGCTTACACCGAGATTCGTCCCATAGCCGCTCGCCAAGTTATGAGCAGCACACCCCTCCCGAGATTGTCAATCCCCGTCGCCGACCCCACGAAATCTACAGGCGAGCAAGCGAATCCGACTCGATGGACATCAGGCCGGTGCCTCAACCCGAGCCCTACATGCCCGTCGACTCTGGCGTCAAGAAGAAAACGTCGAGCGTCTGGTCGCCGCATCTGCAACACGACAGACGAGCTAGCCGCTATAGCATCTGGTCGCCTCCTTCGTTGTCTGAATCTGCTGATTTTGGACTCTGGCGACGGAACATTCAGCTCGTGCTGTTTATTATTGGGTTCATCTGCCCATTGGGTGAGTCGCTCGTGCAGTCCATTTGCGAAGATCGCTTGATTAACAGATGGGAATAACAGCGTGGATGCTTGGCGCTGTTCTGCCGATTCCTCCTAAGCCGGAGCGGGTCATGACGGAGCGAATCTACATCACCGGCCATCTCGACATTCGAATGGAGGCGCGACACCAGAGGCAGTACATCCACGCGGAGCGCCTGCACGAGCGGCTCAAGTGGTGGAGAAGCGTCAACCGGCGCATGTCCATCATTGGCGGCATCATCCTCAGTCTCGCCGTCATCCTCATTGCCGTGGGCGCGAAGCAGCAGTGGCATTGATGAGGAACTCTTGTCGATTCTATCAAGCCTGGGCGGACATTATAAAAAGCGACGGTTTTTGAATTTCAGCGTTCATCTTTCTTCTTTTTTTCGTGGTGGGACGACATACCTTTTGTGAAGGGAACTCTTTCTTTCTCCCTTCTGGGGAACGGCGCCGATTCTTGGATATTCTTTTCCGACTAACATTCGATTTTTTGCGCAAAAGCTCTTACGAGATTACGATTCATTCTTCCGCATTACCATACACAACTTATTCCACATCCATACACATATAACATACACATGTACACGCACGACGACTTTTTATGCGTAACGCTTTCTTCAACTACTTTTTTTATATATATATTCACTTTTCTCTTCATTCGAAATCTGATGGAGCATGAGAGACTTATGATGGTGTTTTTGACCTGAACGGGGCGATGAGGGTTTTTGGAATCTTTTGGTGGGGTGGTTTTACACGCGGATACATTATGTACGATATACACAACATGGTGTTTGTTGAGGATGATTCACTGAGTGGAAGGGAATCTTTCGATGAGAGATGTTTGAAAGAGGGAAGCCGGTGATGAACGATGGTTGGCTTTGAAGAGGCTAGGATTTCGACAAAAGCAGATGAAATGAGACTATTTACTTGCTACATATTTTCATGTGATTCGTCTGTTGTTCATGACATCGTATGTAAATACTCACTTTATATGCTACGTGCTTCCGAAGCAACAAAAACTCTTGCGCTCATTCCATAATAGTAAAACAAAAGAATCTTCATAGACAACGGCTAGCATGTAGAGGTGAATAACACGTAGACAACTCGAATCTGTAGTAGTATAAGATGCCTTGTCCAAAACCCATCCACACGATCCCCAAACCCGCTCATTATGATAAAATATAGCCCATCCCCACATGTCTTGTCTATGTGTCATTACTCGTTCTCATCCCAAAAGGCACCCAAACATCACCCATTACTCCAGAACAGTTTTCTCCCCAGCTTTCACTCCCCCTTTCACCCCCTCTTTTAACATCTTTAGCGCGTCTTCCTCTTCTGCATCGAAGCAATCTCCGCCCTAAACTCATTGACAGCCTCGGCAATGTCTCCCTCGGGATCCTTGGAGATGCCCAAGATGGGCTCCTTGCCCGAGAGGCTCTCGCTGCTCGCCGTCCGCTTGAGCCGCGCGCTGGCCCTACCCTGGCGGCTCTCGAGCTTCTTCTTGAGCAGCGTCTTACCGGGGGACGCGAAGAAGGCGAGCGATGCCGTGGTCCAGATGAAGGCGTAAAAGTAGACGTGGGACCAGGCGCGGAAGGACTCCCCGAAAGCCAGGATGAGGAAGGGCAGCGTCGTGAAGGAAAAGGTGAGCTGGGTGACGAGGTACGTGGCAAAGTCGTAGTACTTCTTCTTGGGCGTGGGGTTGCCCGTGATCGGGTCGAGGAAAAAGGGGCGAACGTGTCGGCGGAAGTCTGTGTCACGCGGAAATTTACTTGTTAGTTATCCAAATTGAATGGTAGACGAAGGAGAAGTAAAAGAGAATTCATACTCTTGGCTGAAGTCTGAATCAGACTGGCCAGCATGAAGCTGAGATAGTAGCCCGGGTAGAAGCCGTGCCAAAAGGCGCTCGTGATAAAGGTGGTCATGCTGGCGCGGAAGCCCGGCTTCTTTCCCCGGGGCGTCACACGCAGGTAGATGTAGTTGCGCAGCCAGTTGTTGGTGTTCATGTTCCACCCGGCCAGGTACGCGCGCGGGTTCTGGGCCGTCTCGACCATCCAGGGGTCGACGTTCTGCAGGCGGTTCCACGAGACCTTGCCGGTGACGGGGTCGACGCCGTTGTAGCCCAGGCCGGCCAGGATGCAGGCGCCTTCGGTCAGGGCCCAGACGCCGTAGAACTTGAAGCGCGTGACCTGGCTGGCCATGTGGATGAGCCAGACGCGCTGGAGGAACGAGCGCTCGACAAAGGACGGGTCGGTGACGTGGGTGTGGCTGAACCTGCCGGACAGGGCGACGAAGAGGCCGATCCAGACGAGGCCCGTGATGGCCTTCTTGGTGGCGGGGGTGCCGCTGACAGGAGGCTTCTTGGCAGGGTCCATCTGGGCGGGGACGTCGAACATGGACGTGTCGATCCAGCGGCGGTACTCGGCATAGTCAAAGGCCGGGCCGGCGAAGAGCGACGGGAAGAAGAGGACGTAGGCGGCGTAGTCGACGAGGGGCGGCAGGTCCTTGAGGGCGCGGTTCTGCTGCAGCTCGGACAGCTGGTCGGCGGGCAGCTGGCCGTCGGCGACGTTCCAGCAAAAGGCGGACAGCTTCATGACGAGCACCATCTGGGCGCCGGTGATGTCGACGCGGGAGGGATTGTTTTCGATCTGGCGCTGGATGTGGCTGACGGACATGTGGCCCATGACGAAGACGAAGCCGATCCAGGGCATGTAGGGGCTGCCGCGCAGGTACTTTGCGATGGCGTAGCTGCCGCCGGCGCTGATGGCGAGGGTGAGGATGCCATCCCAGAGGTCGAAGAGGCCAATGAGGTAGAAGAGAGAGACGCTATTGACGATTGATGGCGCAGAAGAGACGCCGAGGTGGTCAGCTCAAAGTGCGGACAGGACGGGTCTTGAGGGCGGTGATTTACCCGATGATGAAGAGGTTCTTTAGAAGCGGCTTCGAGTCCGGCAGGCGCTTGAGGATTCCCGCGAGCGGATACGAGAGAAGAAACGAGAAAGTAAGCTTGACTGTTGAGAGAGAGAAGAAGAATATCCGATTAGAGCAGGTTCACGAATCGAGTTCGTCAAGGCGTCTAGAAGGGGTCCGTTGATCCTTACGTTCGTCGGGAGAAGCGCCAAGCTTCGGTGCCAGCGCCTCGAAAGCTGCAAGAACGAAACAACACACGTCAGCTCAATTCGGAAGGACACAAACAGATGATAGTAGATGGAAAGAGAACTCACGGCTGTGCAGGAATAGCAGCATCGCGAACGTCTGCGCCCTGGCCCAGGAAGTCGAGGGAGTTGTCAGATGGAAGACGAAAATCGATGATGTAGTTGGGGAGAAGGAGGGAAAAAAAGAGGGACAAGCAAGACAGGGTACCTGGCAGAGGAGCTGAGGAGCTACCCCAAGAAAATGGAGGGGTCGAAAAGCGGGAAGCTGGAAAAAAAAAGGTACGGGAAATCACATGGAAAGAAAAAGAAACACGACGATGTTGTAGCTGGAAGGACGGTTGGATTACAATTAGCACTGAATAATTGAAGAGTTCGTGAGAGTTAGGAGAGAGAGAGAGAAGAGGCAGCAGGAAATCGTTGAGCAAGACAAGCCGCTGTCAACTCTTTTTTGTTGAGGCGCGTCAAATGACGATGCATGCGCGGGTTTCCTGTGATTGAACGACGTCAGCCACCCTTGGATCCAATAACCTTGAAGGTACCTCAGGTATGATGCACCACCCATGCATGCACATGCTCAAAACCGGCTCTCTTTCAATACATGTGGTCTCATACAGTTTTTGCCCGACAACTAAAGTACATACTACCTCCTCGTCCACGGGACCCCAAATCATTCGATGAGACGAGACGCACGTGCTAAACGATTCATGCCATACTTTGCTCTTTTATCTCTTCCCATTTTACTTCAGATCTAGTACATACCATTACACACGTGAAAGCTGAAATTGTGAATGTTAAGCTGAAACTCTCTACCACGAGGTTTACATACATGGATATAGTCAACTCAGCACACATGGCTCTTCAACACCAAGGTATACCTCAGGGGAATATCCCCAAACTCAAACCATCTATTTACTGTTACTATCTAGACTACTTTAAAACTTTCTACAGCTACAGACACGTGAACCCAAGTATGGGACTATTGATCATCATCCCGGACCTGCTTCCTCAATATATATACCATCCAGCATAACATTCATGAGCTCAGACAACCCCATCAAGGCGGCACAGCTGCATCAAGTACAATACCACATACACATAATTCACGGGGCACATGTGACTGGAGGCAAGGTGGAGAGCAACAACTCATTGAAGAACTATAACGAAACTATCTGAGAGCAACAACTTTTTTTTTTGTGTTTTATCTTTTCAAAGCAGGTAATCAAACCAAGTCTCCATCCGTGTACCACTGCAAGTATTGCTGCCTCCGCGAACCTGATTAAGGAAGCCAAGCATTCCAACGTCCAAATCCCGTAAAGGCCCATCCCCAACTCAGATATTGAAAATTAAGATAACCCAAAGATACCGAAACAAAACCAGAAAAAGTCGACAAGGGGTATTAGATACTCCCGAAACTCCGCAAGGATAACCGAAATCCCCGTCCCAAAAGTCAACCGGAAACTCCATCCCAAAGCTCGCTCAACTGGGCCTGAGCCCAGCAAGGCCGTGACAAGTCCCCATGGCGAGCTGTGCCCGCGCTGAGTCTGGTAGAAAAGCGCAAACTTTTGCCAACGCCCAATGCCCCGTGACTCCCGTGTGATGCCAAAGCCAAATCCAATCTTGTGTGCCCCTTTTTTTGCCTGCAATGTAAAGAGACGAGTGTATTGATACAGTAAATGAGCAAACGCCAGGCAGCTGATCGCTCCCTCCGCCGTATTTGGGTGCGCTTGTTACAACGGGCCCCCGGGTCCCGGGTCAAACCAATTCGGCCACTCACCAGCAACGGTGGCAGCAGAAGTATGATACTGAGAAGTGTTGGCGGGGATCTGGTGGTCCCCAGGTACAAGTGCCACATTATCAAGGGCCGGTGTATAGGCGCCCCGTGGCTCGCGGCGTCTCTGATGTGACGATGGCCACAGCCGCGGCTGACCAAACTGCTGAGAGTGCGAATGTAGATGCTGCATTGCGGCGTTGTGCTGGTGTTGTTGTTGTTGTTGTGGTTGCGGTTGTTGCACGGGGCCGGGCTGCTGATGTTGATGCTGCACGGGGCTGGGCAGCGGATGCTGATGCTGCGCGGGACTAGGCTGCAGCTGGTGCTGGTGCTGCGTGGGACTGGGTTGCAGCTGGTGTTGTTGCTGCGCGGGACTAGGATGCAGCTGGTGCTGTTGCTGGTGGTGCTGAGGCATACCCAGCAGCTGCTGTTGATGCATGTGCTGTTGCTGAAGTTGCTGTTGCTGAAGCTGTTGTTGTTGCAACTGCTGCTGTTGCGCCTGCTGCTGTTGCGCCGGCTGTGGGTGACGCTGTAACTGCGGATAGTTGTGGACGTGGTGTTGCAGTGGACCATGCTGCTGCATCGGGTATTGGTGATGATAAGCGTGTCCCTGGTCCATAGGCTGGGCCGAAACGTCGGCTGTAGCAAACAGGCCGGGCATCCATTCGCCAGTGGTAAACGCCGGGTCGGCGGCGCTCACGCCTGCCATTCCAGCCAAAGCCTGAGTGAAGGCGACCAGATCGGGGGTGATTGTGGGAACGGGAGGGGTGACCTCGCCAGCGGAAGACCCAGGCAGGTAGAGGCCTTGAGCAGCTGCGGCGGCGGCGGCGGCATTGGGGTCATTGGGGTCCTGGAGATGTTGATGCAATATCAAGGGCATTCCAGGTACGGGTGTGCGGAAGTTCTGGTTGTGGTAGAGCTCGTTGCGAATCTGTACGTCTTGGAACTGGGGGTGGTTTGCCGGAGTGATGAGGTATTTGACGTCTTCGAGGTCGTAGTAGCTGACCAAATGATGAGGGACGCCACGGAAGTTGATGCTGATGGTCTTTTTGACCAACCCGTCGCCCTTGAAGTCGTATGAATCCGTCAGAGAACCGACCAATGATCTCTCCATTTCCGGCGTGACCGACGACTCCTTGGTTACGGGCTTATGTACTCCATGGCCGGCTCTCCTGCGCTTTAGGGCACGCTTTTTCTCGCCTGGCGGAAACGGTCGTTGCAACTCCCTGTATATAAGGAAATTGTCTAGGATGCGGCTGGGACTCCAGGATATACCGTCGGTCCAGCGCTTGATGCCCGAGGCATGCTCTTCGTAGATGAAGACGCTGCCGCTGACGATGAGTTCCTGCCGTTCACGGTCATGCGGGCGGCGTGGGACGTGGCTGATGATTCCGTCGAGGCAGGCCGTGAAGAGAATAAGAGCGTCGTTGGTGTCATTGATAAATCCACGGTAGGTGGGAGCCAATTTAGGTTGATCAGACATGTTGAGTCCGGTAAACGTCGACAGACGATACAAAGAGTATAAAGAGAGATAAGAGAAGACGAGCGATACTCGAGAGACACGAGCAGAACTCGATGATGTGAAAGGACGAGGTATTAGAGCCGAGACGATCGAAGGAGGAGAGGACAGGATAAGCAGACTGAGCAATCAGAAGTCCTTGAAGAGGACAGAAGAAGAACAAGAGTTAAGAGAGGATGAGAGGCGGCTGATTAATGTAGGATCTTTAGTAGATCCTAAATGGGAAGAGAAGATGGGAGGAACAGGATAGAAGGAGAAGTGATCTCAGAGGAGGATCAAAAAGGTAGATAGAAGGGAGTGTTAAAAGAGGATAGAATATAAGGTGCAGAGTCTATAGAAGACAAGGTACAAGAAGGGAAGATGGCACAGAAAGCCTAGACTCTCTATAGGAGGCGAGAGAATATTGCGGCAGCAGATTCTCTGGAGGGGGAGAGAGAGTATCAGAAGATGGAGAGGATATAGATAGAAGGACCTCGCAGGAGGAGTAGAAGAGACCTCGCAAGAAGGCGAAAGGAGATCTCAAAGGAGGACGAGAAGAGACCTCAGGGGACCACTGGTATAGACCTCGAAGGAGTCAAGGATAGACCTCGGAGGACACCAAGAATAGACCCGGAGGACGACAAGGATAGACCTTGAGGTTGATGAGGAGAGACCTTGGAGTATGGCGGATAGATTCCTCAAAGGCTGACGAGCAGAAGAATACCCCAGAGGCGGATGTGTAGACGGATACCTCAAAGGCAGATGTGTAGACGGATGTCTCAGAACCAATTTGTAGATTCCTCGGAGACAAACGAATTGGTGTATACCTCAGAACCAATGTGCAATTAGATTCTTCGGAGGCAGACGTGCAGACGGATGTCTCAGAACCTATGTGTAGATACCTCGGAGACAAACGAGTTGGTGAATACCTCAGAACCGATGTGTAATTAGATCCCTCGGAGGCGGATGTGTAGACGGATGCCTCAGAACCAATATGTAATCAGATTCCTCGGAGGCAAACGAATTAATGTATACCTCAGAACCGATGTGTGAATAGATTCCTCGGAGGCGGATGTGAAGACGGATGCCTCAGAACCAATGTGATTAGATTCCTCGGAGACAAACGAATTGCTGTATACCTCAGAAACCGGAGGGGAACGGTGAACAGAATACCTCGCCGGGGAGGAAGACACAAAAAAGGGTTTGAAAAAAGAGTTCGCAGGAGGCCAGTCCAGTAGCCCGAAGCGAAGACGAAGAAGACGAAAGTCAAGACCGAGGCGGCGATCTCAGGAACCGAGCAGTTGTCACGAACTCAGCAGCGTTGTCAAAGGCGGTTAAGCAGTTGATTGCAGCGTTTGAGTTGACCGAGAGCGAGCGATTGAGTCTTGACGAGACGAAAACGAGCCAGGCGAAGCTGAAGCTTGGTAACGATCCGAAGGTGGGTAAAGGGAAGCAGGAGCCGGGAGGGAGTGGGAGAAGCCGTGGTTATATAGCCCTGCCACAGCGATGGCCGGTCGAAGCACCTGTCAGGCAAGATCCCCCAATACGGAGTAGTCGGGCAGAGGCAAGGCGAGGGTAGCTGGATCTGGCTGGGCTGCTGGGAAGCTTTGAGGAGAGGAGCTTGTTGAGGAGGAGAAGTGGGAGAGGCGAGGACGCCGTGAGCCGCCAAGTACTCGTAGAGGCAGAGGGAAAGAGGGGTCCGGCCTGGTGTTGGCTTGCCCTGGGCTGGCCTGTCCTGTCCTTGCGCTTGCCGTGGTGTGTCTGCTGTGGCTTGTGGCTTGCAGGCCTTTGGCTCTCCTTCCTCGAACCCCCCCGCTTCGCCTGCCGGGCTGGCAAGGTACCCAGCTTCGAGGCCTGCCCCGGGGGTGTGCGGTACGGGCGTGTACCCGGAATGCCGGCGAGCGCAGGGCGGGCGCGCAGGTACCGGCACCTCTGGCGACGGCCATGTGAGAAGTACCGCCCTACCAGATGTGTTTCGAAACTTGCTGCAGAGATTCGCCGGGTGCTGTCCGAGAGCGAGAGCCACCAAGCATGGCAACGCCTCGAACCAAGCACGAGAAGTCCCAATGGCAATCGTCAGCCTTGTTTCGTTCTTTGCATCGGAGCCGCGGATCTTGCTCTTCAGTCTTGATTTTCTTCAGCGCCAGTAAAGTATGGCGGGAGCTGGCCATTCCCATCTGAGTTTTCAGTTTTCAGGAACCCGTTTAGCTTGGGCGGCCGATCAAAACGCAAAAAAAAGAGAGTTTTCGTCCCCCAGCAAGAGAGGACAATTCAAGGCTGTCAATGAGCCCTCAGCGGAATAGCTACTTTGGGCGACTGGCTGGGCAGACTGAAGCTGCAGAGAGGGGACATGCCACCATGTACACATCCCGATGGCCGCCTCTTTCGTATCGCAGCTCTTTCGCATCAAGGAGGAGGTCGGTTAGTTTCCCACGAGCGGGCGAACTGGCAAGTCGACGAGCAAAGCCACCCAGGTCAGCACCGCAGCGAGCCGGGGCTGTACCGGCCCAATTGCAGCAGCTGCGCGCGCCAGCATGCAGCGACCACAGTCGGGACTTGATCGATCAAATCCCCTTGCAAAAGCCTCGATCCTCTGCTCCCTGCTCCTCCCCCCCCTCCAAGTCCCCTCCCCTCCATCCCACACACACCACGCAATCGAATCACATCCCGTCCATATTACAAGGCCGACGAGATACATGCAGGTGCGGAGTCGCAGCAGCGTTAGCGCAAGTACCCCGGGATGGCCTGGGACGCAAAAAGCTTGGGCCTCTCGAGGGCCCGTTTCCCGCAACTGCCGGTGCTGCAGGGTCAAGGGTCGCAGGCGGAGGGAGGGGGAGCCTTATGGGGACCTAAGCAAAACCGGCGTCGATTGAGCAGCACCGCTGGTCTGGCTTATGGCCTCGCGGTTTAGTGACTGTATGAATCTGTCTGTATCTTCGTGTACTCCCTTTTAGCCGTGGTCTGTTTTCCTTGTTGAGCTCGTCTTCGTCCGTCTGTCTCTTCCCCTCTGTTTGACTCGTCCTCTGCAATGACGAGATAGATAAGAGCAATCCCGCTCGATGCCGAGGGCGTTTCGACGGTGCGAAATAGCTTCAACTGCGCCTCAGAGCCTCCGGTACAGAAGGATATCCATTGTACGTAGAATTAAACAATGAATATCTTTAATTTTGAGTTCTCTGCTGGAAGTACGCAATGCCAGCCACGGTGGTTGATCGCGCTCCCACCACACGTGCCGTGGGTAACTGTCAAAATCAAAGTATAAAGAACGCCGAATGGAAGAAATTGCTTCGATAGCGCGGCCAGCCTTATTTCTTAATTTTACAGCTTCTCCCATTCTGGATTACACGTTTCTTGATATGCCTTTTTTTTTTTTTTTTTGTTGAATACAAGAAATTGTCACCACGAAAAGAGGCGCGGCAACGCGGCATCAGAGCAAAGAGAGACAGACGGACACAAGGGGTGCGCACCTACTTGAGCCACCGTGTAAGAGGCAGAGCGGGCTGTGATTGGGCCTCTGCGGAGCACATGGAGTTCCCACGTTAGGTAATCTCGATACAGAATGGACAGCAAAGACGGCTTCCAAAAAGCCTTGACAAACACATGCTGCGCACATTTTCACCGCGCAAAATCCCCTCGGAAACGCTGCGCTTACCTTTCTCTTGGCCAAAGTCCATTGCATGTGTTTTCTCACGTCTTCATGCTGTTTCCTCGTTTCCTGGCGCCTGCACTCGATTATGAACTGCAACTGTGCCGCCATGGCGCGAGTGCACCAAGTTGCCCGCCGCCCGATCTAACGCTGCAGCCCTACGGAAGCTGCGATTGGCCCGCAGCAAAGTGCTCTCATCGCCGGATCCGGCCCCTCATTTTTCTCTGCCAGCGGCTGCAGTTCCACGTGTTTTTCTACTGCTGATGGGTTTTGGAGGCGTCTTGCCTTGCTTGCGGCAACTCTCAAAGCAGAGAGATCGCTTCACAGTGATGCTCAGCAGCGCCTGACAGCGGTCGACGACGGCTTCATGCGGAGGTCAATCCGCGCGTCCATGTGCAGGTTTGTCAAATATGACGTCTCTGTAGCTGCAGCTGTAGCAGCAGCTTCGGCAAATTCATGATCGCGAGAGACCGCACACGCCACACCACCAAGACTGTACCTACGCAGCTCTCTCGCAGTCCTGACTCCGACAGCAATGCTGCTAAAGGTGCCTTAGTATACCGCTACTCCTGCCGCTATCACAGACTACTGCGATTCGTCTGCTTTGCTAAGCAGAGCCCATCGTCGATTGGGGCCGCGCTCCCCCCTCTCCTCTTCTTCGCTCGCGCAGGCCGCGGAACCGGCTGGTTGCGGGAGCAGCGAGTTTGGTGCCTCACCCTTTTGCGGCCGTCAGTCTCCACCCACATCGCCCGAGTGCCCAGTGGCTGTTCGAGCACACTCACTCAATGGCCCGTAGCAAAGAGTCCGTTGTTGGGCGACGATGGGTTCGTCTGACAAAGCGGCTAAAGTAATCGAAAGGAGGGGTCGCTGGCACTCGAGAATCGAAGCGAGGGAACGGCAAAGATGGGGATGCTCGACCACCTACTTGTTTGCTGAAGCTATGGATAGGTAGGTAGGCAAGGTACGGTTAGGTAGGGAGGCAGATGCCTTGACAAGACGGTTGGCGCGATGGGATGGAGATTGAGTTCAAGGGTCTCTGGGAGTATCCGACAGTCGTGGCATTAAGGCCTTCGATGAATGACATTGACAGCCGTTGTCAAATCTGGGCAATTCATTGTGAGTCTCTGCGAAACATGAAACATCTACAGCTTACCAGGGATCTTTACCTGCTTCATTCGCTTCTTGACCGGCCGGGCGTGGGAATGCCTGCAGGTAGTGAAACTCGGCAGGATTAACCCATCTCACGTGACGTCCAGCTCCTGCAACAAGGGACAGGCAAGCACCAATAGGGAAAATGATTCCTCTAGCACGCAGCGAGGTGCTACTCGGCAAGCAAGAGCCACCCCTCTGCTGCCCTCTGACGTCTGTCTTGCCTACCTATGCTGTCTGTCTGTCTGTTCCTGCCTCCTCTGCGTCTGTCTACCTATTGCCGCTACTCCCGCTGTTCGCTCCTGCTCCTCTGCTTTGCATACATAACGCGTATTCGTATCGCCCACCGCTTACCCATTCAGGCAGCACATCATCATCTTTCCTTGCTCTCGTCAATTGGTCAACTGAAGCTGCTCACTTCACTCAACTCCTCCATCTCCCTCAACCAACGCAACTTGCTCGACATCCACCGCGGCGATGGCCGACCTGTGCCACACATTCTCCTCGCTTCTGCCTCCACCACCCATTCCACACACACCACACGCAGCTAGAGCTCACCTCACCAATCCTGCTGCCTGCTCTGCCATTCGCCCAGGAAATACGGTAGCCAAGAACTCCCTAGTAGGTACCTCCGCTAGCTCCACGCCTCCGGACCCTCACGGCCCACCGGTTCGCCGCGCGCCTCCTCTCGCAGCGGCGGGCATAGGGCTGGAGTGGCTAACTGCCTACGAACAGCAGTGCGAAGCCGCAGCCGGTGGACCAGCGGCAGCTTTCTCTGCTCGCTTTGCTGAGCGTTCGGGCACCTCGCACGGCCCTTCCTCGAGAGAGCCTCTGCATCTGCTCAGCTACGCACGGAGCCACTCTTCAGTTACGGGCCCTCCTGCTTTTTTATTTTATTTCCTTTCGTTCCCTTGTGAATATCTAATGCTAATACAGACGAACAGTTTCACCTTCATGAGTTGTCGTTTGATTTGAATTTCATGGTTCTGGCGGCGTCTGAACGGCCGCCTTCTGGCTGACATTGGCGTTGCCATTCTTCACGGGAGAAAAAAATCTCCCGGGTAGTCGTGCGGGTGCGCAAAAAATGAGGCAAGATCCATGTGGAAAACAGCGAAGAAACTTTGGGTTCTGTATGCCAAAGCCCGGGGCCGCCAATGCTTGCTGGAGGAATTCAATGCCACGCAACGCAGCCTGACCTGCTTTGACTGCTTGCTTCCACTGGTACCTGCATTTCCTGTCGCATCTCATCTCACATATCATCTTGCAGGCAGCTTGGAAATCTCACATATCATCTCAAGCTATCAATCTCACATGTCATGTCATGTCACATCGTCATCACATGCTGGCTCTGCGCAGGTGGGTTCGCTTATTATTCTCACCCCCCATGTCTGCAAAGGTGGAGGTACCATACCGAAGATACCCGGTACGTACTCTGTCTCTTGGACGCATTTGACTTTGGTACCTTGGGGCCGAGCCTCCCATCAAGGTGCCAGATGGTGTCCCTCGAATTACCCATGGATGCCTCGATGTCGACCAGCTTCAGACGCGCTGCTGCCATCATTTCTTTGTTGATCCTGCTGTTCCTCTGTGGTCAACGTTGTTTGGACCCTTGAACAGCTCCCGCATGATGACGATCGAGGTTTCAGCACAGACTGCCATGCTACACGGATTTCGTCGGGAGGAGCCAAGATCGATAACGCTAACGCGAGATGGAAAGGCATCTTGATCATCATTGGATGGGACGCCAGGGGCACCACAAAAAACGAGCCCCAGTAAGAGTTCAGCGAGAGCCAATCGGAAAGCAGCGCCGGGGCAGGCAGCGCTCAATCGCCAAAACCGCCAAACAGACAGCGATCGTCGTGGCGTTGCGGCGCCTCAATGCTTGTTATTTTTATACAGCGAAATCTTGCCTACGGAAGGCCACGACCTTGTTCTGCTGTCTTAGGGAACGCCATTCATCCCTCCGACCCTCCGGCCATTGTCACGATTCACAGCTAGCCGATTGCGTCGCTCTCTCCAAGCTGATTCCGTGAATATCTCGTCATTATGAGTGAGAAATGGGGTCAATATCCCCTTCCAACGCCCAGATCCTCGTCCCTCGTGGTTCTAAGCCTTGCCGCTCTTTATTTTATCCTTCTTATGATTTTAAGCATCCGCCGCCGTCAATTGAGAGTCTGGCGAGGTGAACAACGTGGAGAGACGGAGATTTTTCGGCGCGGGAGCCCCGGTTGAAGACGAAGATGAATGCATGCGGCGACTTTGCTGGAGGAGAATTCGGTGGGCTAACGTGTGCAAAGCAGCATTCAAAGGAGCACCCAAGTGGACTTCCCGGCACTCCGTCACCCGCCGTACTGGCACACTCGCCGGATCCTGGCCGAGACTCGAGTGATGGAGAAGGAACAGCGCAGCATGGCTTCACATCAAGCAACAGAAATGACTCCGCGCGCTGCGCACAAACACTTGGCCTCGCTTGACAATACTGACGCAGTAAAGGGGAAAAGCGAGCAGCATCTGATGACGAGCGGCAAACGGAGGCCGTGACACTGCTTCCAGGCAAAGTCGTGCCGCCCCTACTGCCTGCTATGTACCTACTGGTCTACCAGGGCACACGCAGTCACGACAACCCCTCTCTTGAATCCACTCTCTCTCTGCTCCTGGCTGACGTTACAGATCACTCTCAACGAAATGGCGGCTTAGCATCGATCTGACCAGCGCTGGAAGTACGTATCAATGGATTTCCTCAGGGCGCTATTTGCTCTCCCGTCCTCCCCCCTCTTCTCTTCCCCTCACACGAAAAGAGAGACCAGCGATGGGAAGACTCGATGCTTGCTGATGGTTGCTACCAGTCACTTCTTCTAATCATGAAGCCGTCCGTTTCAGGTCCAGTTGACATATTGATTCCAACACCCATACGAAGGACGAACACCTTGGTATGCATACCTGCTATCTTAGTATACCTTAGTAGAGTACTCTACAGTACTCCAGGCGCTTGATAGGCCCGTACAATACCTGCCTGTACACTACGAAGCTAAGCTACTACCTACCTTGCCACTACCTCATATACACTAGCCGCGAATCATAGTGCGGTCTACGAGTTATACTACCATTCAAGCCATTTTCATTGACCTCTGCAAGCGAGCCCTGGCGATGTTAGCATATGTGATCTGTCCGATTTGCCGCTACCTACCGGGGCTGTGCTGGATCTAAGGACTTGCGGGGCCTCAGTGGTGTTTGACTGTGGCTTCGAGGTGAGGTTGATGAAGTAGCCTTCAAGATGGGCAGGTAAGGTGGTAATTGCAATGCTATTCTGGCACCCCAGGAATAACTAGAACGAGCATGTAGGGCTGAAATACCCTTGGAAAGTAAGGACAAATTAACAAGAAGAGCAGATGATCAAAGGGGCGGGCGAGACGACAAAGGACGAGAGTTTTACGGATTCCCGGCCCAGATGATGTGTTTCGGCATCTCGGGTTCAAGCGCCAACGAAGTCATGACTCAGTTTCCGTTTCTGGGGGCTCAACGGTCTTTGGGTGGGAATAATGGGGGATCGTCACTCTGAGGGTATCTTGCGGCCATCGGAAAGCTGCTCCGATCGTACTTGTCTCTTGAAAGGAACTCGACGGCAACGAGCATGTCCGGACTTGAATCGGCAATTCCTCTTCTGGTTGCCTCGACGCCTCTTTTCCCTTCGCACTCCTTGTTTCTCTCCCGCACTTTTTTCGGAGAGTGGTCTGGAGGAGGAGGATTATTATCCGACACAGTGCAGGAGAGGGTAATCAAGGGAATTTCCTGCGTGTTATCCGAGTCGCAATAATCAAGGCAAGCAGACACATCCGTGAGAAGAGGTATTGCGGGACGGACAGACACTGTGTCGGGTACCCATGAAACCGGGGCATTCTGTAGGTATGAGTCAAGAACGGGATCCAGAATGGTGGCATAATTACCCTCGTTTCTGTTAGAAGCACTTTGGGCGTAATTAATACCCTCGCTCTCGAGTCCTAAGAGGTTGCACCCGCGGCTCGCCATGGAGGAGCAGCGGAGGAGCAGCGGAAGAGATAAGAAAGCTGTGGTGGGGTGCCCGGGCAAAGGAAAATGAAAGCCCTGGAGAGGAAACGAAACAAAATCTGTGAGTTCGACAGTCAACCAACAGCTCGTAAACACTCACACACGGAACAGGCACACTCACCACTCATCACCACCGCTCATCACCACCACCGCTCATGAGCCCGTTCGCGCTCACACTCACTCAATCACTCACTCACTCGCACTTCGGTCAGATCACTGTGGGGAGGGCCACAGGTCCATTCCATTGCTCCGTTGAAAATCGTCGCCTTGGCCCGGAACATCCCCTCAGTTCAATCCACATCCCCTCATCCCATTCCGCGTCCGAAACCTCCAGACGAAGCCGTTGAGCCTTGCGCCTTACGCCTTGCCTTGCCGCGGTGGAGCGCCTCCATATTTCCTTGCCCCTCTTCTCTCCCCCAGTCCGAGCCTTTGCCCAGTATCCTTGTCGCTCCCGATCCCTGTCCATCGTATCATTCTCCAGATCAATCGCCCTGGTCACAGCCGATTCCAGCCTATCAGCGCGCCGCCTCCACCAGCTTTCCTCTGCCCTGCCCCACCCCCTGCAGGCCGCACGTTATCTGCAAGCAAGCATGTCCCGCGCTTCTGACCACGGGGTGCCAGGGATCTGACGTTCTGTCAAAAGTCATGTTTTTGTTTTTTGCTCGTTGGTGGTTCGTCCGTTCGCCATGTGTGCCGGTTCGTAAGCCATCACCTCAGGTAGCATTGCGTGTTACCCCTGGTTTAGCCCAGTAAAATAAAGACGAGGGGAGGGGAAAGGACAAGGATCGCGACCGAACGCATGACCACTCAAAATCCGACATGTCCTCGTAGTTTGGACCAACGCCCAATTCAAGCTCCCATATAGAACCAGGGCCGGTCACTTGATGCGTACGCAGGCCCGGGAACTTGCATTGGAACAGGAACCGTCCCCGCAAACATGGCCATGTCGCTGCTGACTCGGGCCTTGTCAACTGCCTTTGACTCAGGCACAGGGAGGACCACTCCACACTCCCAGTTTCGACAGTTCATCTTGATGGCCTTGGTAGACCTGTCTCTCGATAGCCGGCCCCTAACAATTTCCCAGCGGCCGTCACGGCGGCGGCGGGCACAGTCAGCCTCTAATCACACTTGGCCCGGTGCATCAGCAGGCAACAAGAAAGAGAGAAAACGCGGGTGTGGTGGTAGAGATCCCCGTAAAAAAAAACTCACCAGGCGCTCTCGGAAAGATTGGCGCTCCCTACATAGGCCCAGCCTGGCCTTTGCTGCGTCGTCTGGCCTTGTCCGACCCGTCGCACGAATATCATTTTGCTGTGGACGAGGAGCCGGTCGCGAGCGATGACATCCCGCACCAGCTCTGTTGGAAAGGTAGGCGATCGCCACCACTTCGATTGCACGCAAATCGTGCCCCCGGCCTGTCACTCACGGTCAATTACCGTATTGCTTGTACGCGACTTTGGATAATATCAAGGCGCTGGTGATGCAGCACGAGACAGCGGGCCATGGCAACTCACATTGCGTCCGCCTCTACTCCCGGCTACCGTCCGCTCTGTGGGGAAGTAGATACGAAACCGTTCTTGGAGCTCCTTGGTCGCCGCTTCGTCCGGCTTCTTGGCTGCCTTCGACCTAGTGCCGCTGGACTTGTCCTTGAAGTCCTCTATGCCGTCCCGTCCTAGAGAGAATAGTGAATATGTCAAATGAGTATTACTTGTAAGCAGCTTAGAGGGGGGGATCCGTAATCTGTGCTCCATACCTCGACAGGCATTGTATATTGCCTCGATGAACTCGTGATTGATTGCTCCTAGAGAGGCAGACTATCCTTGACGGTTAGCACACCGTCCCGAGACACAGTGGAGATCAGAGCAACGTGCCAAGAGGTCGACCTCGACGGGCTCAGAGCTGGCTAGGCCGAGGGCTGCTACACTGGCCCCAAGACCGCAATACCCTGTGAAGGCAACGGTCAGCGACGATTATTCCAGTTCCACTTGTGGCCTCGGGCCTGTCACCAACCTGTGCGTTCTGCTGCCTTTCCCGTGTGGCTTCCGGGTCTAAATGATGAGGTTAGAAATCGGATCAGTATAGTCGTTCGGCAGAAAGGAGGGGCCATTCTCCTCTCTCTCTCTCTCTCCCCCTGCTCTGAATACGCACATGGTATGGACGAAAGCGATATCTGACGTCTTGGAGAAGTCGTAATTCGAGAGGCTCGCAGCCATTTTGTCGCCGACGCCCGTTGCCTGGAGGAAGTATACTAACTCCGTGTAGAACGCAGTCTGGCTCTGTGGAGTGGTGGCGGGATTTTCCAGTCTTGGGAGATCTATCAGAAAGACCATCTGTATGTAGGCAAAAGACGGAGATGCCCCTGGTTAGCCCGGAGAAAAAGAGAAGAGGTTAAAAGCCAAATTGGACCGGGGTGCAAGGCAAGATGATATCAGAGCAAGGGGTTTACCGACGTTTTCCATGACCCCGGTCTCACCCCAGTCGTACGGCACGAGGTTGCCCGTTGGAATGACGACACGGAGGCGGTTCGGATACTTGAGCAACTGCAATTTGGAATGCATGGCTCCCATCCCGTGCATCGGGGGGAAGCAGAACTTGATGTTTGCCGGGACGTTGCCACGCATCTGGGTCTTCTAATACGAGGTTGCCGGTCAGCGTTGCGCTCAACGACGGCGGCTAGATAGACAGGGGAAGAGTCTGGGCGGAGAAGACGGGCCAACATACCTGGGCTTCGTCTTTGGCAAATGCGAGCAGCAGTAGCTTGGTCTTGCTGATGTCGAGCTTGGAAAGCATCCACTCCTCGTCCCACTGAAAGGACGACAGCACGGCGAGTTCCAGCTGGTCCTTTTGGAAGACTTCCTCAATGGTGATGTCGTCACCCGTTCGTGCGCATCCCCGAGCCCAGGTGCGCTTGACGGTGCCGTTGGGGTACGGTAGGGAGCTCGTTGGACCTGCTAGTGAAGCCGATGCTGGCGCTGAAGCAGGCGCTGAAGTAGACGTTGTCGGCTTTGATTGTTTGCCCTTGGCTGCTGATGTTGATGCTGTGGCTTGTCTCTTGGGCGGTGGAATCTCGACGACGTCACCGTCTGTGTCTCCGTCTTCCTCCTTGACGGCCGAAGGACGCTGTCGCTTCGCCTGTCGCTCTAGACGTTGATGTTCCGGCGCTGATAGAGACGTTGTGGCTTGTCTCTCTGGTGGTGGAATCTCGACTACGTCCCCGTCTTCGTCTTTTACCTCGGCCTCATTGTCTTTCTTGGCGGTTGAAGCACGATGACGCTTTGCAAGGCGCTCCAGACGTTCCTGCTCCATGGCTCTGCGGTCGAGGGCACCAAACTGGAACTGAGACTGAGGCTGGGACATTGCCTGCGAGTGAGGTTGCGTAGGTTGTTGCGAAGTTGCCTGCGGTTGAGACTGAGGCTGAGACTGAGGAGGCCGAGACTGACACGGGGGCTGAGGCTGAGAGGGTGCTTGTGTTCGTGCCCGTGCCTGTGACTGTGAAAGCAGCTGCCGCTGCGAAGAGACCCAAGAATCCACCATTGGCGGCGGCATGGTCGACAAAACCCGTTCCTGGGCCGGTGGCGGCATCCCCGAGAAGACCCTTGACGGGGCCCGTCCTGGAACCTGCGATGGGTGCCGAGCTGGCCCCCGCGTGCGCACCTGCCCGGGCATCGGGGTTGGAGTCTCCAGCGTTGCCAATTCACTTGACGATTCTGAAGAGCCGGTCGTCTCGTCTTCTTCATCGTCATATTCGTCAGTTTCCTCTTCTTCATCCTCAAGTTCTTCCTGGACAGCGCGCATGGCCAGCAGAACCGCGTGCCGTATCAGCCTTTCCTCTGCCTCATGCCGCCGGATATCGTCTTCGATGATGCCCTGTATGATGCCGGTAGGGTCATTGCCGGACGCCATCATATTGATGAAGTGCTGGACATGGTCGTTGGACATGGCTCTGGCTTTGTCCGCCGTGACGAGGTTCGTCCCTGTCGCGACCTGAAGCCTTGAACGAGCTGAATTGAGTGCAGGATGTGCCGTCTGGGCGGTTGCGTGTTGTGCGTTTCGTCGTGCTTTCTTTGTGATGCCTGTCTGTCGTTGTTGCGTGAATGGGACCGGCGCGCTGTCACGTGGTTTGCCTGAAGGGAAGGAGCAACATGCGGTGAGATGCCGGCTTTGGAGGGAGCATCGATTAGATAACTGATGAAGGGACTGAGATTTGCGTCTTATTAAATACATATAGTAGATAGAGGTCGATGAAGTGGTTGAATTGCTTGATTCTTTGCATGCGTAACTTGATTGAATTACGATGTTGACCTGTGGAGAGGGTTGCATTCACGCTGAGGATGCTGGTGATGCACCTTGTATCGTGCGCTATCGATAACGAGACATGTCAACGTCAAGCATCAAACATGTGAATGATCAAGGTCAGAAGCAACTCATAACAGCCACCACTCTAACAAATGAATTATCTTCAAAGTCATCACAGCCAACCGTCCAATAGGGAGAAACAGAGAAACACAACAAGTCCCTCCCCCTCCCCCTCGAGAACAGAGTTTCCGATCATGGCGGCGACTAAGACGACACACGCATCGGACAATGACGTCCACGAGGCTGGTGTCTCAGTTTATATAAGGCCCTCCCCGGTTCTAACTGTACAACTCTTGTGCTTGGAGTAAACCTGAGAATCCAGACTCAGTTGTTCCTATCTCGTTCATCTTCAGACAGTCAAGATGGCTCCTAGTCAGCAAGCCAATCCACGGCGCCACATTGTCATTGTTGGAGGCGGCGCTGCAGGCATGGTACAAATCATCTATATCCTCCTTCTTTATATACATGAGCACAAATGCTAACATTGTCATATTAGTCCTGCGCCGCAACGCTGGCCAACCACCCAGATGAGTTCAAAGTAACCCTCCTAGAAAAGAACAGCATCGTTGGAGGCCAAGCCATGTCCATCCCCCTCGACCAAGAGAAATACGGCGCATCGTGGATGAACAATGGAGTGCAAGGAGGCTCCCAAATCTTCAAACACACCTTCCACTACTTCAACCAACACAACTCCCCCGCCCAGCCCCTCCAGCTCCAAGTCTCCTTCGGCAAGGGCCCCTCGGGCTTCTGGACAAACTGCTTCCCCAGCAAGCTCGTGGCCCAGCACGCCTCCGACATCCGCCGCTTCGGCCTCTTCCTCAAGGTCGTCAAGTGGACCATGCCCGTCCTCGGCGCGCTCCCCATCTCCCTCCTGCTGCGCCTCTTCTTCAGCCGCGGCTTCGCCGACAAGATGGTCTACCCGCTCATCGCCCTCTTCCTCGGCACCGGCAACCAGACGGCCCACGTCCCCGCCGCCATCGTCGAGCGCCTCTTCGACGACCCCAACATGAAGCTCTGGGACTACGACCCGGACACCCTGCTGCCGAACCAGCCCACCATGTACTCGTTTGACTGTCTGGACAGCTTCTACGGCAGGTGGAAGGACGACTTGGTCGCAAAGGGCGTCACCATCAGGACCGACACCGAGGTCGTAGAGGTTGCATCACGATCTAAAAGGGGCGTCGACCTCGTCATCAAGAACAACGGCAACGACGGCACCACGACAACAAACGAGCACTTTGACCACCTCGTCCTCTGCGTCCTCGCTGACGACGCTCTGCGCATCCTCGGCAAGTCAGCCACCTGGCGCGAGAAGCTCGTCCTCGGCGGCGCCCGCTTCTACGACGACCTCACCGTCACCCACTCCGACTCCGAGTACTTCAACAAGCACTACGAAACCCGCTTCAAGCCCGAGCTGTGCGGAGAGCCCAAGTCCGAGGCCCAGTGCCACCAAATCGCCTCTGCCAAGGGAGAGCCCGCGTCTTCGTCTTCGTCTTCCTCGCCCTCATCAGATCAGCAGCAGCAGCAGCAGCCGTTCAACCCCATGTATTACACATATACATACCAAGAGGACCCGCGCCTCATCGAAATGTCCTTCAACTGCAGCAACTACCAGCACCAGTTCAAACGCAAAGACGCCTCATCATCCTCCTCCCCCTCGTCGTCGCCATCGCCGTTGCCAGTCTACCAGACAATCTTCCTCGACAAGCGGAAGCGCGACCTCTGGACCGAAGGCGAAATCGACGAGAGCAAGGTCATCCAGCGCAACTGGTGGCACCAGCTCGGCCACCGCTGGCAGCACTATGTCCGCGTCGTGCCGGGCGTCATGTTCCTCCAGGGCCGCAACAACACCCTTTTCGCCGGATCCTGGACGTTGGTGGTATGTTTCCCTGTTTCCCTGTCTCCCTGTTTCCCCGTTTCCCTGTTTCCCTGTTTCCCCTCCTTTACTCCCTTGTTGCCCCGTCCCTTGCAGTGTTTGGTTCCACAAAGACCCCCATCCAGCTAATCATCACAACTCTCAGAACATGCATGAAGTGGCGTGCATCAGTGGCATAGCCGCCGCCTACCGCCTCGGCGCAGAGTACCGCAAGTTTGACGACTTCGCCCAGGACTTCTTCGTCAAGTATCTCCTAGTCTCTCACGGGAAGCTTTTCTCAAGGGAAGAAAAGAAGAGGGAAAAGGCCAAGGCCAAGGCCACCTAAGGGGGAGGTTGGATGATGCTGGTTGAGTAACTAAATGGGAGGGGAAAGGAAGAACAGCAGTGGGAAAGCTCCAGTACCCCTTGAAATTCAAAACACATAATAAACCATGACGAAGAATGTCGCAATAGTGCAAATGCCAAAACGATAGGAAACTATCTACTTTGCGCTATATACGCTGGGTACGCTACTCATACAAAGGGCTGTCGACACAAGAATTGGGGCAAACGCATTAGCAGAACGCGACGCAAAACGAATGTTGGGTCTGGTCATGCAGCTTGGCAATTGCACAAACATCAGGCTGAGAAGAGGGATATAATGAGAGACGAAACCATGTTAACGAAAGTAGAAGAAGATAAGAAGAGAAGAGAAAAACAAGAGACAAAAAGTAGTTGATACGTCCCAGTAGACGACAGATATTTGTCCTTCACATCTCCGCCCAGTTCCATGAGACCGACCACTCGTCGAAACCCTCCCAATGCCAGTATGAACAAGGAGAATAAACCGAAGAGACGGGCAAGATAGAACAAGCCCAAGCCGATGACCGCGAAACCGCCTAAAGAAACGCAAAATTAATGGTAGAAAGAAGAGATGGGCGGTATAGAACCGAAACTGCAAATCAGGACGAGAAAAGAAACCGAAATCGCAGATCAGGACGATGAAAGAAACCTCAGAGTAGTTGCCGTGCCATGCCATGCCGAAACATGTCAGAGATGCTCAGCCGGCACCAAGTACAAGTAGAACCAAAGGCCTCCAGCCGCAGCAATCGCCATGACTCATCGGGTATCATGAAAACCAGAACGCAGTCCAGCCGCAACGCGCAAAAATCGTCGTCCTGATGCAAGTTACAAGATATGTAACATCCAGAGTTCGTTTCCGCAACCGCAAAGTACCGTGAACCACCTAGTCGATATGCAAATCCATCTCCGCTTGCGCCCAACGCATCATTCGATGCATGTTCCTCCTTGGCCATTTGAGAAAAGAGAATGAAAAAAGAAAGGAAACTCGCAGGTCAAAACCCGGTGGGAGTGAACGAAATAGCACATGACCGTGTGCTCCCGAAAAACAGTTGCGTAGGCAAGGCATGGTGTAAACCCCCTTTCTAAGGTGATGCGAAAGACATGGCGAAGAAAAGGAGACGAGAACAAGAAATGCTTGGTACTGTTTCCCAATGATCCACAGTGACAACATGTCATCGGAGATGTAAAGAAGAAGAAAGAAGCAATATTTGTTGAAAATACATGATTAAAGAAATAGATTCGGACCACGATTAGCCAGTGAAGAGCCGTCTCTCAGTAGGCGGCCGCTCGCCTCCGACGTCCAGCTTCAGGATCCGTCGAAGATCGTTTTCCATGGCCTGTATGCTGCTTGCGCTGCCATCCACTTGGCGGTTGGGGAATTGTTCAGCATTGCGAGGCTGCTGGGGGAACGGGAATGCAGGAGGGCTGGCAGCGGCTGGCGCCGTTGGCGCAGACGACTGAGGGGCGAAAAGAAACCTCTTGAGAGCCTCAGTTGGATCCTCCATCGTCGCGCTGGCATTTGCAGATGGCAAGGGGCTTCTCTGAGAAGCATGCGGGTTGGTCGCCATACTTCGTGCAGCCTTGATTCGGTCCTGATACGGGGTCGAGAAGGCTGGACCCAGCGGCTGGCCTCCGGTCCCCTCCAGCTCAAAGATCTCATTGTCGCCAGAAGACTGACTGTTGTACGCGCGGCGGTTCTGGGCCGGGCCGGAAGCAGCTTGGGAGGGGGGTGTATCGGTGTGGTGAGGCGGAGACATGACGCCGGCCAGCAGCGACGCCGGGCCAGCAGGCTGGTCAAACTGCCCGCGGGCCGCCTTTTCCAGCCGATGAGCTCGGAACATGAAGTCGAGGGGCGACTCGCGGTGCTGGGAAGCAGAGACGGGCCGCTGCGGCGTGGGGGCCTCTGAGTCGGTGGCAGGGGGGGACGGCTGGGGGACGACGCCCCTCGGCTTCCGCACCATGGGAGACGACTCGCTGTTCGACTTGAGGAAGCTCGGGATGGGCAGGTCTGAGGGGGCGGGCGAGGCATGGAAGGTGGCTCCGGCAAAGGGCGTGCTGGCAGCCGCCTTGGAAGCTGGCGATGTCTGCGGAGGCGACTGGTTGTTGCTGAGCTGGTAGTTGGGCGACGTCGGGTCATGCTTGGGCTTTGGTTTGTTGTTTCGGCTGCGTTGCTTGGAGCCAGGCTGGGCGCTGTAGCCTTCCGCAGGGACGGGCGAGATGGAGAACGTCTTCTTGGGAGTCTGGGGATTCTTGCGGTGGCCATGATGGCCGGTGTGTGACGAGGAGGCGTAGTTGACGGCATCGTTCTCGGAGGCATAGGCCTTGAGAGGGGCAGGCCTGCCTCGACCCTGTCGACGACGACCAGGCGTGGCCTTGTCTGGTGATGCTCGGGCTTCCATCGATTGAGTAGTGTGGATTCTTTGTCTTGGGTTTTGTATTGTTTCCGTCAGGATCGTTTCATCGAATAAGACTGAAGCTGGATCGTGGGAGGCGTGCGAACAAAGGACCGACTGAGGCTGGTGTGGTTTGAAGAGAGGAGAAAACGCTGCTGGCAGGGCTCCTTGTCTGGCGAGTGATAAAACACGCGAGCGTCAGTCAGTGAAGAGCCGGGGAGGTCTGGCGTATCGGCAAGGTGGCGTGAGGAGAGGATGGGGATGATGTCAAAGAGGCGAAGGGGGAGAGTCGTTATGGTAAGGAGCTGGGCAAACAAGCAAGGCTTTGTTTGGGCAGTGCTCACGATATAGTAGGTAGTTGTTTGCTACTGGAGGAGAAAGGTAAAGACGCCCGTTCAGCCCCGGCTACTCCGTATCGGCAGTTAAGGCGGCGCATAGTGCGGTGTACCTTTGCAAGCGACAGAGGCCAACAAGGTACTTTAGGGCCTAACTGGGCGACCCAAGGCCCCGCATGCATGCGCCATCAGCTGGGAGAGGGTAGCGCTAGGTACCGGCACTCGAAAAGTGGCTGCGTTTCTACGGCGATGTACCAAAACAGACTGCCAAAACAGATGCAAGCCTTTGCTTCTCTCCGCTTTGACGTTGTTTCAGGCAAGGCTGACAGAGAGGCCGCGCTTGCAGAAAGGATGCTTGAGCAACTACAGTTGAGACCGATGGAAGACACACAAGAGCAGGCATTTTATGTAAATGAATCCTAAATTACATGGTTGAACCTAAGGTCATGAGAATCAACTGCCCGCTATCGGTAGGTAGAGATACAGACGAGTGACTGTCGTGCCTCAGCTGTTTTGGACGGCATTCCACAGCGTCCGTCGCTGTCGTCATTTCGCCGGCTTGGGCAACTGCAATGCCCCGAGGTACCCAAGAGGTCCCCCTACGCCAGCGGCCAGCGCTCGCTGTACGTTGGCGCAACCTGCAGGCCCAGGTCTGCTAGGCGCAGCAGTAGCGGCCCATCCACAGCGCCTACTGCTGGTACCACGTCCGCTATCAAAGCATGCCCCTCGCTCTGATTACGAACCTTGAGGGTCCCAGCCAGCTCGAGTTACTGGCGACTCTACTTGTACTATCCGTCTATCGGCTTGCAGCATCTGGACAAGCTTCGGAGATTCTCCTCGCTGCCGTGACTCTGCTGCCTTCTGCACCCTCCATTTTGGATCCCGTTTGCCAGCCTGTATCTTCCGTCTCCTCCCAGCAACTGTTAGATTCGGTGTCGGGATTTTTTCTTTTCATCATCAGCCCGTATCACCGACTGCGTGAACGCTAAGTAGGTGCTGAACAAGACAGGATTGAGACTCTGTCCCAGGACCTTGATAGCTAACGGGACTGCAGAGGCCATCGATCGATTCCCCGGTGCTCCAGCTGTTCCTTTCTCTCCTACACCTGCTCGCCCCTACGCCTCGTTTCGTCATCCGCCGTCGATACTAGAGGTTTCTCGAACAAGGTCGCCAGCTATCCCAACATGGCCGACGTTGAAATGAGTGACGCTCCGGTGGCCGCAAAGAAGGCCGACGGCGTCAGCGGCAAGGGAGCGGAGAAGAAGAAGTTTGAGGTGAAGAAGGTATGTTGTGTCGCTGGAGCCATGCCTGCACGCCGTAAATCCAGCAGACGCTGACGGGGAACAGTGGAACGCCGTTGCGCTCTGGGCTTGGGATATTGTCGTCGACAACTGCGCCATCTGCCGAAACCACATCATGGATCTCTGTGAGTCGTCGTCCATTGCCCTGCATGATGTGAAAATCTGCTAACTCTCGCCAGGTATCGAGTGCCAAGCGAACCAAGCTTCTGCTACGAGCGAAGAGTGCACCGTCGCTTGGGGTATCTGCAACGTAAGCCATACATTTACCCATCCCACGGCCCAACGGCGATTTGTAGCAACGAGGCTAATCATGTGTTGCTAGCATGCTTTCCACTTCCACTGCATTTCACGATGGTTGAAAGCTCGATCAGTCTGCCCCCTCGACAACAGAGATTGGGAGTTCCAAAAGTACGGTCGATAAGCGACATTCGACGGGGACGAGAAGCAAATGGGACAAAAAGAAAAGAAAGGGAAACGTCATGAAATTGGAAGAAGACTCGCGGCATAACATTTCGAAAATGAATTTAAGTTACATGCTATTCTAAACGGCATGCCACAACGCCGGGCCTTGTTGAGCCGTCATGTCCCGCCAGTGTTGAATGCAGACCCGGCAGGCAGCCACTTGATCGGGTTCTTGTTGTAGAAGGGCCATGGCGGAATGACGAGGAGGAACGTCAATGCCGTCCCGCCCAATCCGACGTATACGCATTTGACGATGTCTTGTAGGACGTATCCGACGTTGAATGCGATGAGCTTGTTCGAGCGTGAGCAGATGGAAACGGGTATTCGAGGCCTGGGGGGGGGAGGGGGGTTCATACTCCTGTCAAAGCAAGAAAAAAGGTTGCGAAGCCCTCTGCTCGCCGTTGGCCTTCAAAGTCCTGTTGCGCAGTATGCCAGTCAGCTCGATGTTCGCCGTCGCGAGGTGGGATCTGGTGTCCTGACTATTTGGCCCTCGAGCACGTCTCGCAGCTTGTCCAGCAGCTCCTCCGCCATGTTGCGCGATGCCTGTTCTCGTATTTATGTTTCTTCGTATATAATTATTTCGTAACCGATGCTATTAGTGGCTTTGGCGTGGAGAGATAGAATGGCGAGGATGAGGATATTGTTTCGGTTTCTTGCCGTTAGATGGCCATGGTCATGGCTCGTCGCTGCGACGGAGAGTAGACACGTCTTTGGAGGATGATGCTTGTGGCGCAAACATGTCTCAACAAGGAAAGGTGAGGCTTGGGGAATTCGAAGTGTGGCGGTGCAAGCACCTGTTGGCGCTTTGAGTGCGCAGTTAGGAAGCTTAACCTGGACTTGTTTGAACTTGGGGCTCTGGCGATGGACTGATGGTTCATGGGGGTGGTGTATCGATATGCGAGGGCCTCGATGATTTCGGTTGCGTGGCAGTTTCAGCGGCGTACATGCTTGATGTTGTGTTGATCATCAGCCAGAGTGAACCAAGGTACTAATCTATATCTGCTATCGTACCTATTGAAGTCGGACAGCATCAGTCAAGAGCGTTGACAATCATACTGGCAGTAACAGTCGAAACGCTGCGACAAGCGTTACTATATCAAAGGAGACTCCCATCAGCTCACCAGATCGTGTCATGGCAGGGATTCGACTCGCAGAGCGAAAGCGGAGATGATGCCGACCCTGGCAGCGGCGGTGCCTTGCGGTGGCAATCACGAACGCATTGACGTAGAGGATATTATGGGTTTGCTGCTGCAAGTGACAATCAGTCTCTGCTCGTCCATCTTTCAGAGACCATGCTTTGTAAAGTTTTGTGAGTGAGTCACCGAATGAATAGGCCTGTTGTCTCTCTAATCATGGCTACCTGTATCTTATGAAACTGCCCTGTAGAAATGGGACTTTCACATGCCACTTGTTGCCATGCCTCCACTGAAGATTGTGTGTGTCACCAGCCAGACTCAGATGCAGCACAAACAAATACGTGACTCTGGTCTCTCCAGCTAATACCTTACGGAGCTATTTACATTGAAAGTCACTATCTCATTTGATTCATTGAATCATTGCCTTCGCCAACTACCTATTTACTTGGCTTTTCTCTCCCATTGGCATCAACTGATGCCCGACACTACCATCATCATCTTGGGCCTGCTCCTCAATTTTAGAGTTAAAGGGCGCTGGACAACGGTGTCGGTACCGGGCACCTATCAGGAGAGGCCGATGGGCAAAGCGCTACCCACGGCCAGATAGAGATATCCGCTGACCAGTAGCGGTTCTCTTAACAGCCTAGAGGTACTCGATGACTCCCCAGCAGCTCGGACCCGTACCCCATACCTCGTATCCCCCAAATTCCCCAGCGCTCCTCTTCGGTCTGGCCAAACCAGTTTAGCGACGGGACCAGCAGCTGATTTTCGTACCGCTACTGCAAAAGGGAAAATTTCGTTCTCCTCGCCCCCCCAAAAAAAGCCAATGGGGGATCTTCCTTGCTTTTCCGCCTGAAACCTTTTTTTTTCTTGTCCTTGACCAAGGAAAACCTCTGCTGTGGTTTTCTCTCTTCTTCTTGCTCCATTCTGTCTGAATAACCAAACCAAAAGGCCATCTGCCGCCTTTTCTTCCTCCTCCCCTAATTCCAGCAGCCCTTGACGCGTCCCCTCGGGCTCTCCAGCGCTTCAGGTTCGTTTTTCGCTAAGCTGATAGCGTTATAAACCCCGTCGTTTTCTCCTTGCGGCGCACACATCAGCCCTTTGCCTCCGCCGCAAACGAAAAGAGACGCCCTCGCAGCATCTCCTTTTACTCGCACCTCGTCTGCCGCTCGTCAAATCTCTCGACAAGCACCGACTTATTCCTCGTCATTCTCCTCTTCCCCCTCCGCCATTCGATCGATCACCCCGACAAGCTTCTGAAAAAGCCAGCCGTCCAGCTTTTGCTCGTTGTCGTCAGGGAATCCCTTTCCCTCCCGAAAAGCCTCGCCTCTGCGCATCGCAGACTTGTCCCCGGAAAGCCTTCAAGTTGGCTCAACTCGCCTCCCCGGTCGTTGTCTTCCCCTCGCTCCTCGGGCCCGGCTGCTGGGTCTATAGCGGAGTCAACAAAGAACCCCCATAAGTTGGCTTGCTTGATACTTCATCCGTTACCAATCCGCGTCCGCTCCCTACCTCTTTTCCCGTAGCTCCCGCCAGCTACAAAAAACAAAGACGAGGGAATCAGGAGACACCCTGGTCTTCGTTTTGTTCCAAACCAACTACTCGGCGCGCCTCTGCCGCGCCGAGAGGACACTTGACGGCCTGTCCCAGGCTTGAAGCGTCAGAGAAAGCATCGTCAAAGCATGTTCCAGAACCCTTAGAGTTTGCCAGCAGGCTTCGTCCGAGTTGCGCGGTGATTATAGTTTCGATACCCCCAGACCGCTCTTTGTCTCTTGTCCCAACTGCGAGATCCTCGATCAACCGAAAAAACCCAAGTCAACTCCCAATCATGTCCGAGCCGGAGGAAATGTTCCCCGACGTGGGAGGGTACGATACCCCTGTTCCCGAGCTCGACGACCACCGACAGCATTCGTCCGCTCAAAGGGTTGAGCGGCCGCGCCGGGGCACCTTTGATAGCCTGTACGGCGCTCGCCATCTCGATGCCGAGTCCGACAACAACCCGGGAATCCGTGTCCGCGATTTCGAAGAGGCCATCATCGACGAAGAGGGCGACAATGTTCAGCCTCCGCCGCGCCATGGGCGCCGCCCAACCGTGGAGTCGTCGCAGGATGGTAGATCCATCTCGCCTCCCAACTCGGTCAAGGCCTTCGCAGAGGCTCGACGTAGGGAGCGCGAGATGTCCTTCTCCGAGGCCAAGAACGATGCTGAGGAGCCCCTGGGCCGGACCATGTCCATTTCCAGTCGGCGGAGCCACCGAAGCAGGGCCGGCGAAGACGCTGACAACAGAAGCTTCCTGACCAACAAGACCGCCGAGGAAGACGTTTGCTACCCTCTCCAGGAGAAGCACTCCAAGCAAAACGAGCTTCGAATCGACTTTGACTACCTCGAGGACTTCATCGCCGATGAGAGGGCTGAGCGGGCTGCCCGGGCGGAGACGGCCGCAGAGGGCTTCAAGGACCTGCGACGCACCTCTACTCTGCCCAAGCCGGCGCAAATGGTCACGGTGGACGGCGACATTCTCGATGTACCCTCGGACGACTCCACGGCCAACGAAAAGGTGTCGGCGCAGGCTACCGAACTGCCAAAGGCGCCGTCGCATCCCGTGGACAACACTCGCTTCAGCTTCTTCTCCTCGGCGTGGGAGTCGACGATTCACGCCGCAGAGATGGGCGATCTCGTTCTCCCGGGCGAGGACCTCCGAGGGCTGTTCGAGCTGCCAGCGGACGAAGGCGGTGTCTGGTGGCTCAACGTCAACCATGCGACCAAGGAGGAGGTGTACGGCCTCGGCAAGGCGTTTGGCGTCCATCCCTTGACGATTGAAGACATTGTCACGCAGGAGGCTCGCGAGAAGATTGAGCTCTTCCCGTCGTACTACTTTGCGTCCTTCCGGTCGTTCAATGTCGTGGACGAGCCTGATGGGAAAGAATACGAGCCTTTCAACATCTATGTCATTGTGTTCCGAGAGGGAACGCTGAGCTTCAGCTTCGCGCCCAACTCCCATGCGTCCGAGGTTCGTAAGAGGATCACGGCCCTCAAGGACTATGTCTCTCTCAGCAGTGACTGGATCTGCTATGCCTTGATGTGAGTTTCAAGCTTCGAATCATCTATTCAGGATGATAATTCTAACCCAAGATGCAGTGACAACATCGTGGATAGCTTCGCACCTGTCATCAACCAGATTGAGCACGAAGCCGACGCCATCGAAGACGAAGTGTTCGTCATGCGGTTTGACGATTCCAACACGTTCCTGCGGTCTATTGGACGCGTGCGCAAGAATTGCATGGCCCTGCTGCGACTCTTGGGCGGCAAGGCCGACGTCCTCCGCGGCTTCACCAAGCGCTGCAACGAGAACTACCAGGTGACGCCGCACATGGACATTGGCATGTACCTAGGCGACATCCAGGACCACGTGGTGACCATGGCCACGAACCTGGGCCACTTTGAAAAGATCCTGTCGCGCGCCCACAGCAACTACCTGGCGACGCTGTCGATCAACAGCATCTCCCAGGGGACCGACATGAACCGGGTGCTCAGCAAGATTACCATGCTGGGATCGATTCTCGTCCCCCTGAACCTCGTCAGCGGTGTGTTTGGTATGAACGTGCATGTGCCGTTTGAAAGCGTGGCGAACCTCGGGCCCTTTTTTGGCATAATCGGCTTCATGGCTGTCCTTTGCATCTTTTTCATCACCTTGGCGCGATGGAAGCGATGGATATAAAAAGGGGCAGTGTTGTATGTAGCAATGTGGTATATAAAAGGGGGCCTCTTTTGTTTTTTTTCCTTACTCTTTTATTTTGTCCTCTTCACATCAGGCTTCCTTGTTTGGTTCATTGCTTGGACAGGGCCAGGGTAGAATGGGCATGATAGACTCGGGAAGCATTCTGAGGCGTGTGTGGTCATGTTGATATAGTGTTTTCTGTAATGTGGTATACTGAATTGTTCAAGAAACCTGTATTTACTCGATCAAGAACCGGTGTTGAGTGAATAAGAAGAAGAAGAAGAAGCCTCATGACTCATGATGCACATGTCATTCCCCTCTTCTGAGGAATCTCAAGGCTTGAACATACTCTGCGTTACAGGCTGAAAATAGAGATTCCTACAGATTCAGTAAATGTCATGATAGAACGCTCCTCGCATCCAGCCTGTGGCCAAGTGGAGAACATTTCCCTCGCCTCTCATTCGCTCCAACGCATAAACACCCGACCCTTCGCCGGCCGAAAAAAACTAAACTATCAACAGACGACGACATAGAAAACACCATTACTACACCACTCCCTCCAGGAAAAAGCGCCGTCAACTACAATCTGCCACCTCGATTCATTCATTTGTCAAAGGAAGAAGAGGAAAGGGAAAGCTGCAAGTCGTCAAGATGAACGCCGCGCAGACGGGAATCGAGAACCTCGACCTCGAGAAGCTCAACGACAAAGATAAGACGGAGCTGCGCCAGTTTTTGGCGAATGAGCAGCAGCGGTCACAGATTCAAGCCCGTACGTCTTTTTTTTTCTCCTCTCTTCTCATTACTGATTGACCGTTTTCCGGACGGGGGGTAAAAAGAAGATGCAGCTGAGGGGGAAACATGACTTTTTGTAACCGATGTGGGTTTTTTTTTCGTTATGCTAATGGGGGTGAGAGGAAAAAAACAGAAACACACAACCTGACGCAGATTTGCTGGAAAAAGTGCGTCACGGGGAACATCAAGGGGGCGAAGCTGGACAAGGGCGAGGAGGGGTGCCTGGCGAACTGCGTGGACCGGTTTCTGGATATCAATTTCTTGACGATGAAGCATTTGAACAACATGCGGTCATGAGAGACGGGGGGTTCGCATAGAAGGGGTTTGGGGGGATTGGGGTGTTGTATGATTATGTGTGGGATGGATGATGATATGGTTTTTTTTTAGATTGGGGTTGTTTCTACTCATGATTTACAAGAATAAAGAAATAATAAGCAAACAAGATGGAGAAATTCGATGTGGAAACCCATTGGAGATAACCTAGGTATGGCATGGCTTCATAGCAAACAATATTCATTCAGATACGCACTCCAGAACCAAAGACGTCACAGATATTTCAAGGCATCAAATGTCACTCTCCGTCTTCATTTATTCTTTCCTCTTCTCCCCGCGGATCGGTACGTGGGACGGAACCGGCTCAATCTTTGCATACCCATGTATGTTATATCATGATATCGATCCGTAAATGACAAAAGCGTTCAACTCCCGTAAGTTTCCGATGCCCAATGCTTTTTTCCTCTCTCTCTCTTTGTCTGTTTGTGCCGTTCAAGACCAGACGAGACCGAATTTCCGTTGCCGAAGAAAGAAATTTTGAAGACTTGAAGAATGAAACAACCCTCTGCGCCACAAGAACATTGATCCCTGTTTAGACCAGAGACAGCTTGTTGGCGGCAATGTCGAGGGCGTCGACATCGGGGGTCAGGCGGGCGTAGGCCTTCTTGGAGCCGTCGGGGCTAAACACAGAGAATCAGCAACTTTTGGTTCCTCACAAGTTTTGTACTTGAGCGCCGACATACCGGATCAGGGTGTTGATCTTGACGGTGTCAATGTCGTAGAGCTTCTTGAGGGCCAGCTTGATCTGGGCCTTGTTGGCCTTGACGTCGACGATGAAGACCAGGGTGTTGTTCTCCTCCATCTTCTTCATGGCGCTCTCGGTGTTGAGAGGGTGGATGATGACCTTGTGCTCATCCAGGCGGGGGGTGTGGTTGATGGCCTTGCGGGGGTAGCGGGGAGCGCGCGACAGGACCAGGGTCTTGGGGCGGTGGAAAGAGGTGCTCAAGCGGACCTTGCGGTTCTTGGAGGAGTGAGTCTGTTTTTTGAATCTTGTTAGCCAAACTGTCGGATCATCTATTCACTTATATAAAAATCACTTACACCCTTGAGAGCAGCCTTGGCAGCGGCGTTGGCCTGCTTGGAGCCCTTGGCGGCAGCTACATGAACATATACGCATCAGCAATCGCTCTTATTCAGAACTCGCAAAATCTGCTGCTGCATGATGCTTGCGCGGAGATTTGTAGGAGAGCATGTTGTGTCTTTTTTGTGTCGTGTGTCGTCGATTCGCTCCGCTTCGTCTCGTTTCGCAGGTCGGGAAAATAAACGATGGGTTGCTTCGGCGCTGTCGACGACAACGACGACACAAGGACTCGCTCTCTCTTCAAGTCGTACCTTTCTTGTTAGCGGGGGCCATTGTATCGGCTTTGTTGTCGAGATTCTGCACTGGGCGGGATGAGGAGTTGTCGACGTAACGGAATACAGCAAAAGGAAAAGAAGAGGAAAAAAAAAAAGTTCACCAACGGCGAAGAGTGGTTTAATCGATGGTGTGGGCGAAATTGGGAAGAACGATTAGGGCTCCAGCAAGCGCGCGTTGTGATTGGCCGATTATGCACGGAAGTCATGTGACTTCTTCCACGAGCATTATCGCCAGGTTTTGGCGAGAGCGCTAACCGCATTCGGAACGAGTATTTATAAGTAAAAGTGTGTTCAATATCTATCTAAGGTATGGCCATACTCGACTGTGTTCGGACAGACGAACCCTTTTCTCTATCACGCCGAGGCGGCGGGACCCCTTCACACGAAGCACCCTCACGCGAAGCACGCAGCGACTCACCGGTCCGAGGTCGAGTTCACACGATGCACTTCCAACGTTGAACAGCCAGCGATGCGACAGCCAGACTCTCGGGCGTCTTTTCGTTCATCTACCACCAGCTGTCCGTGAGAATCTTGGATTCGCGGCAGAACACTCAGACCAAGTTGCGTCTCCTCGCCAGCAGCTTTGCCTCGTAGCCGGACTTTGTACTCTTCACCTTGCAGAACCGTCGGGTGTACATCATCGAAAGAAGGAACCATGGCCGCCAAGAAGAAGACGTTGACTCGTCTCTCCCAAGGACGTCCACCGCTTGCTACGCCCTCACGGTCCATGACGCGCAAGGCAAGCAGGACACTGATCAACAAGCACCACCAGCTGGAAAAGGCTCGGGCAAGGGCCGTCCAAAGCGGCGACGAGGAAACAGCAGCCAAGATCGCAGCCGAGCTCGAGAAGCTGGGAGGATTGGGTCACTACCAAAAGGCCAGTCTACAGGGACAGAGCGTCGACAGAGGGGGCGACACGTCAAAGGTGCTCATGGAATGGCTGCCGCTGGACGAGCTCAAGGGACGGCCTCAGCCTCTGCACATGCTCGAAGTCGGGGCGCTCAGCACCCGGAACGCTTGTTCGACGAGCAAGGTCTTCAACGTGGAGCACATTGACTTGAACAGCCAGGAGCCAGGGATCCAGCAGCAGGACTTTATGGAGAGGCCATTGCCTGAGAACGGCAAAGGGCTCTTCGACATCATCTCGCTGAGCCTAGTCCTCAACTTCGTCCCCGACGCTCATGGCCGCGGCGCCATGCTTCTACGGACACTGTCGTTTCTCAGGGCCGACGTCGATAACGCCATCACCGCCGAACCTCTCTTCCCTTGTCTCTTCGTCGTCTTGCCGAGGAGCTGTGTCGACAATTCGCGGTATTTCACGGACGACAAGTTCGACGAGCTGATGGCTGCCCTTGGGTACACGAGGGTGAGGAGCAAGAAGACGCAGAAGCTGGCCTACAGCCTGTGGAGAAGAGTCACGGGGGTGGTCAGGCCTGGCCTCACGTTTCCAAAGCAAGAAGTCAACCCGGGAAGGACGAGGAACAACTTTGTCATGACTCTCAAAGGACAGCAAACATGATGATGGGATCTTGCAAGACGGGGGGAAACGAAAGAATGCACTCTTCGAATCACGCCATGAGAGCGAAGAAACTCTTCGAATTACAGCAGAGCTCCCAACTGGGCACGGAGGATGCGCCGACTAGACGAACGACTCATGACGAGGAACGACTTCGTCATCAGTCTCAAGGGACATGATGGATTGGTCTTTGTTCGAGCAAGGGAGGGAAAATGAGAGAAAGCACTCTTCGAATCACGCCACGAGAGAAGAAATTCTTCGAATTACAGCAGAGCTCCCAACTCGGCACGGAGGATGCGCCGACTAGACAAACGAACTGATGCACTAGGGCCCAACAACTTTGGTGCGGAGCATCAGGACATACATACTATTCGACATTCATTCATCTTCTTTGGGTTGCGTTTTGGGAGAAGATGCAGCCACACTGACCGCCTAGGAGTGCTCCCTACCTCGCCCTCCACTCACCCGACAAGTCGACATACAGGTGCTACAACCTTCGCGTCGAGATGGCGGTCAACTGGCCGCCCCCGCATGGCCGATCCCACAAGCGACCCAGTCAAGCACATACACTGCGCTTCATGTCTGGACCGAATTGTCGACTTATCAGAACTCGGGCGCGAAGCTGCGGTCATCTAGCTACTAGTATGCGATGTTTGAACACCTGACGTCCGGATTCTTCCCCGCTACGAGTTGATTCGTGGGTTGGGCAGCGAGCAACTTGGGAGCCGAAAATCGAGCAACAATTCTACACCGTTATCATTATTTCACTCCCCAAGACCACTCCGTCTATTCATCTACTATCCTATGCCGACATTTTCGTCGCAATGGCGGCTGCGGCCTGGGCAACGGAGGCCGGCGTGAACTCGGAGAGGGCAAACTCGGTCAGCGGGTGATGGGCTGGCAGCGGCGCGTTGCCCGGTCTGACGGCCGGGACACTGTGCATGCCCGACTGGCGAGCAGCGTCGACCTCGTTGAGGTTGTCGCTCAGGAAGATCCAGCGTGCGGGGCTGATGTCGGGATAGTGAGACAGGATAGTGGTGTAGCTAGCCACGTCGGTCTTGGGCCCCGCATTGACGGTGTCGAACCAGTCAGAGATGAAGACGCTCATGTCGGGGGGTTGGGCGGTCGTGTGAGCAAAGAAGAGCTTCTGGGCCGGGACCGATCCGGACGAGTATATCATGATCTTCTGGCCGGCCGCGTGAGCACTGGTGATGAAGGGCGGCACGTCAGGGAACAGTGGAGCCTTGAGGACGCCGGACTCGTATCCCTTCCTCCAGAGGTAGCCCTGGAGCGCCTTTAGGTACGGCGCCTTGACATCTCGGGCCACCAGGTCCCGAACGTGAGCCTCAAAGGCGCCGCGGTCGTCACGGTACTCCTGGGGAAAGGCGTTGCGGTACTCGGCAAAGCTCGACTCGTCCCACTGCTCGGCCAGGAACGTGGGCAGGACATCGAGGGCATAGGGGAACTGAGGCCCATCTCAAGTCAGCCACGGCGGTTGGGACGGCGACTTAAAAGGACAGAGTGTGTGCACGGGTAACGAAGCAACACAACTGCAAGTACGAGCGCTACTCATACTTGTGTGTGTGTGTGTGTGTGGTGTGCGCGAATACAAGTAGTAGTGTGGTTGAGCAAGGAGCTAGGCATGTCGTTGTTGGGGAAAAGCAAGGGGTGGCTAGGTGGCCTGGGCTATGGACAAGGTCGATTGGCTGCCGGACAAGGATGGCCGAACCGCGATTAACGGGACAGCGAATCCCAGAGCAACGCTGCCGAGAAGTAGAGGGGGGGGTTGGAGACGAATGAGGACGGGCCAAGGGACCAACTTACCAAGACATCCTTGACAAAGGAGATGGGACAGACGGTGCCCTCTGCATGAGCGAAGGTTGCGCGATACGCATCAGCTGGAGGACAGGGACTTGAGAGCTTTTTTTTCCGATCGAGGCAAGCAAGGGGGGCAGAGCAAGACAAGACAGACAGCAACCCGTGATTCGAAGTCGCGCAAGCTCGTTTGCTCGCCACGTTGATCAGCCCGGGGTAGGTGGGGGAGGGGGCGCCGTACCAATGTCTAGCAGGATAACCTGGAACTGCCCAAAATCCGTCTCGGCAGCCATCTTTTTATTCTTCTCTTTGTTGCCGCGCTTTTCGTGGCTTCTCTTGACTCTGGCAGGGTTTGAATCAGCAAATGCAGGGAGCTCAGAGACGCAGGCGGTGAAGATGGCTGTGAAATGGCCGTGGAATATTCTGGTAATACAAGCATGTCCGATGCAGTGTTCAGGAGGAGTATTTCTTTTCACCTACCAAAAGAGATGGTAAAGTAGGGCACAGGTAGTCGGTAAGGCTGGGTCGCAACCTTGAATCCTTTAGTCAGAGCGCAGTTTGTAAGTGAGATTGTAGCTGTAGCTGTAGCTGTAGCTGAAAGAAGGGCCAGGTCCAGGGTCTCACAAAGAAAAGAAAACTTTTTCTTTGGGATTTTCCCCTCAATTCAGCGAGTTGGCTCTCTCACTTTCTCGGTTGGTGCCTTTGCCTGAATGCTTAACCGACTACCCTGGAGCCCCGATGCGCTGTAATGGGGGTTCGAAAATATCCGACAGTCCTGTTGTGTCACAGGCAGCAGCAGTTCCTGACTTGATCGATTTGGGGAGCGCTGTTAGATGTCTTTTTTACTTGGCCTTTCTTTTTCCCTCTGCCAAAATTTGAGACAAGGAGCAAGGAGGCATTGCATGCTCGTACTCTATCCATTCGGGGGGGCCAGCCTGCATGCATTAGAGGCGCATGGAGGTGCGTCAGCGTGCAGCCATTTTGACGGTCCTACTATACTGTACAGTGCTTGTAGTAGTCGTACCTAGCTTTGTGGAAGCGGTCAAAGAGGGAACGATCGTTTCGTTAGGTACCTTAACTTATAGAAGGTGCAGTGGTATTCTGTTTTGCTTGACTTTTTTTCGTTGTCGCCTTCTTGTACGAGTATTGATTTTCCCGAGGCATGGATGATCTATTACTTGATTCCACTCTCTTTGCGTTCTTTTCTTTCTTTTGGGGTGGATAAGCGAGGACGGGATCGACCTCATACTAGGCGAATGCTGTCGGCAGAAATGCCCTCTCGGAAGCTTTCTTGATCGTATCTACAGAGCTCATATAAGGTGTTATCACGTAGAGGCACCATACTGTGGCCGATGACACCACTCTGCGTCTCTGGAGCTTCGTCATTCCATCGAGACATACGCGATAGAAGCAGACTAGTCGGCAGCTGGCCAGTAGTTGGGCACAGTCATCGATTATCCGCCGACAGCGGCATCTTGCAAGTGAGTAATAGTGATCCCCCTTGACCGAACGGAGCCGAGATCAGAATGGGTCAAAATGCAATTGAATCCACTCCAGGTAACTACGTATGGGGAAGAGAACGGGGACCCGGACCCTATCTGCTCCGTATCAAAGCTCCGGTATCTACCATGACTGCATGTGTCGATAACGCAACGGGGCATCCACCTATCGGATTGTTGTTGGCAGTTTAGTATGTACTATATCTCGGTATTGATGGGCGTATGGATAAGGGGGATGATGAGATATGGGGAGAGAGATATGAAGATTGGAGATTGGGGAATTGCCACTCCGCGGACGACGCTCGCTGTGGAATCGGATGGAAAGAGATGAGGCACTGTCATGCCTTTGATTGAATCATTTCGTTGGGAACTTCAGGACACGTTGCGGGTTTGCGGCGTGTCTCTTTTTTTTGTTCTTTGCCTTTCGGCTTTGCGGATTGCGGCGGGTAATCTTGGAGTTGAATTGGGGAGCCTGGGCCTGGTAGGGGGACCCTTATGGATGGCAAATGGGATCGAAATTACGGAGTACTTCTTGCGATACAAATCGGCGTACTCGTACCTGAACGGTTGGGGAGGGGACGAAACGTTTCCGGCATTGAAACGTCAATTGCAGAGACCCATATGTACAACGGTGGGTACTCGTACTACTAACCCATCAGCTCTCCATAGGTACCTTCGATAGTTCATCCACTCGTACCGAATCCGTCTCTCCGGATGGACTGGAGGTTTGTTTCTATTCTTGTCAACTTGCTTTGCTTTGACTTGCACGGAGTGCCTCGTACCCCGAGCGCCTGCGAGTATACCGTACCGTATTGTACCGTCCAGCACGCAAACCGTCCCCCATCCATGCAAGTTACAAAGACAACGATCGGCGTTGCGAGCACAGCACAGCACAGTATGGATGAGCAAAAGATAGGGGACAAGGTGCATTCCTGATTGGCACCCCAAGGCAACCGTGCAACGCCAATCAAAACGGAGGGGCCGCCGCCGCCGTCTTGTTTACTTTAGCCGACGAAGAGAAAAAGAAGGGCTGGGTGTTGATGCCATGACGCCCAGTTTCAAGGCGCGGGAACCGGGCGTGGGGGATTGGTCGGGTGAATTGGGAAAGGAATCGACGGATTCGGATTGGATGGATGGATGGATGGATGGATGGATGGATTGGCGTGAAGGAAGGGGGGATGAATCCATGGGGCATGATGGTTTCTCTAGAAACGCACGTTTGCTGCGAGATGGCATTCCAAGCAAGTTTTTTTCTTGTCTGGTTGTCCTTCGTCTCTCTTGCTGACAAGTTGCAAGATGATGCAATTCTGTGGAAGGGGGCTCGAAGGACTCGCCCTTGAAGGCGAAGACACATCAAGAAGATCCTGTAGTTCAAGATGCTGTCAACAGCATTGTCTGAGTCTGGCTCCCCCTTCCTGGACATGGCGCTGAAACAAAGCATCTCGAACCTGCCAGTGCAAGATACTGTATGTACTTGTTCCAGGGGGAGACTTCCGGACTCGTGCACTACCTTAAGGTAATCAACGTCAATGTTTCAAGTCCTCCTTCTTGCCAACAACAAAACAAGCGCCCGCGCGGTTGGACGCAATTGCGAGAAGTCCTGAAACAAAAAAACAGCTGCTTTGGATGAGCTCGCACCAAGTTGAGTCAATGGACGCGTTCCTGTGCGGGCATACTGTGTACCGTTCCGGCAGAAACGACCCAAGCACAGTTTCGTCCTTTTCTCGGGGATGCAAATCAGGACTCGGGCATTGGATTGGATCGGTCGCCAGGACACTTGAAACGGGCTTCAAGGGTTTGTGCGACAGGATGGGAACAACAGGGCACGACAATCTTTCAGGTAGGTACAAATACAGGTCCTCATACTGTCCCTTCACTTCTGTAAGTACCCGATGCTGTTGTAAGCTGCAAATTGCCCAATCTCGTCAATCAATCGCGAAGCGGTTCTAGCAACAAAGTCTAATGACGCGCGGCACCCGACGTGGCTTCTTCGCTTGGGTACGAGCCCTCATGCGCGGAGCAGTATGGCGATCTGAAGTAGTCCGTTGGGAAGGGAAGGCATTCAGGTACAGCAACTTTCAACCTTTACAGCGGGAAGAAGGGGGGGGTGTCGATGGTATTAAATTGGGGAACGGGGAGGCTATGCCATGCCAGTATGTACATACAGTAGATGCCATCTCTGGATGTGTGAAGAGAGAATGTATCGGAACAGCTCAACACCCGGGAGGTGAAAGGTGTATGATAGAAGAGACCTCGACAGCTTCCAGCCATTCGTTCATTCATCAACCTGGTCGTGTGCCCTCGACGCTTCAGTCCAGCCGAGGCAGATAAGCTGCAGCAAAAAAAGGGAAACGCGGGGGGGACCCAAGATGCATGTCAATTGGTGCCACGCAGCACTGCTGTCATGGGTTTTTCTTCACCAAATCTGTCGTTGTTCGCTTCTTATTCTTGCTGCTTGCTTGCTTTCATCTGCGACGTGGACGGATGGCGATCCGAGGACCGAGATGCAGCGTCCACTGGATGGGGTCGACCGCCTGTAATAGGTACATAGCATCCAATGTATTCTATCTACCTGATATAGGTACTGCACTGTGCTGTAGTGCTGCTGTAATCCTGCGAGAGCATGACATTCCCCCTGTACAGTACGAGTACGTGTCTGTCTGTCTGTCTGTCTGTCTGTCTGTCTGCAGTGTCTACGTACAAGCACACGTCTTGCTGCGTGTTCCTACAGTGCAGCATGTACGTGGACGTGCCGTGAGACTTGGCGAATAATGGGCAGCGAGAGGCATTTGAAGTCTCTTGGTGCTGATGGTGTGTGTGCAACTATCTTAGGTAACTCGTCCATTTGAGCTTCATCTTCAAGGTGACTGTCATCACAAAGGGAGGCAAGGAGGGAGCCGTTCATTGTTAGGCTGTACAGTGTCAACACCCGCATTAGCACCGTCCAGTCACGCCGACCCTCGTCATTTCGTCGTCTGTGGGGACCGCCACCTGGCGTGACTGCCCAGGCGGACCACGTTTGTTGCTGCTACGAGTACGTACTAGATACTAGGTAGTACTACTACCAGGCAATAGCGGCGCCTTTGTCAGCGCCACCGATTGCACCTGATTGGCGGATTCGCTTCTCCTGTTGCTGTTTTGGTCCAGTACAGTGTCGCTGTACTCGTACCTGCGCGGTCTGGCTTGGGCGTTGGCACTGCTGCTAGCGTCTCGTGTCGCCATGGCGGCCAAAGCGCTAACAATTGCGACTTGCCTTTTAGGTAACTCGCACCTTGAATAGCATGAGCCTTGGAACTTGTCAAGTTCCCCGTTTTCCCCATCAAATTCCTCTCTCATTCCAAGCACTTGGACCAGCTCCATCTAGAACTCCTTTTTTTTCGTCATCGCGTTATGACTAACAGCACGTCACCCGCCAGCATCTGCCGACATCGCGTACTCGTACTTTTACGTGCTTTCAATGTTTGAGTTGTTGAACTTGCTCAGTGCTTGATGGAGCTCGAGGCCTATGTTGTAACAAGTCCCAGCCATTGCGTGGTCCCATTCAGCGCTCACCGATACGGCGCAAGTTGCTCGGGTGGCCGTCACGAGCTCTTGTATCAACAGTACGTGACCGCAGGTACTCCGTACATGGGTGTTCTGTTCTCTGCCGGTATTGCTACAGCTACAAAGATGGGTAGTTGTACTTGGACGAACTGCAACCGGCATGCAAGCCTGCCAATGAGGCACCGGCGTGGCCTGATCAGAAACACAGCAACGCATACCTACCTTGGCTACCAACCGACATGCGAGCTGCAGTGCAGGTTGCAACCACGGAGTCCTCCGCGAAGCCCCTCCGGTCGGGCCTACATCTTTCATGTTGTTATTCACGCCCAGCAATGGATTCACTCACTTGCGTTGCTCTCAGACAAGTTTGATGTGCACCTCGGCACGTACTCGGTACTCCCTACTGTAGTCGGTACGGAGCTGTACTCGCGCTACGAGTCCTCCGCAACGTGGCCGGGAACCTGCGCAACGCCTCGTGAAAGCAAAGCCCGCACCGTGCTCCGCTACGGGCCACGCGTGACAACTCGCACTTCACACACTCCCTCAGCAGACACGAGCCCAAAGGTCCAGAACTGGCTGGCTGGGCTGCTGCACACACTTCCTATGAACTCGGAGTACTCCGTAGGGCGACGTCGGGGGGTCACTCGTCGAATCGCACGGTGCTCAACAAAAATTGAAGAAGACGAAAGCACAAAGTGCTTGGAGGAGAGTGCTTTTACGGAGTACGGGAGTACATGCTACTTGCATGGGCCCCAAACACCGTGTTCGAAGACCGGAGCTCGTACTGATAGTACCCAATCTGTTGCGATGTGTGTGCTGTGGTTGCTAGTAGTTGTATGTAAGGTAGATAGGCAAGGTGGTAGGAGTACAGCAGTAGATACGTCGTATCGTCCCATATCGCATGCTTGGCCCGTCCATCGTATGTTCTTTGTGCTGCATGCCTTGAGCTGATTCCGCTGCAGTTTGCTGGAGATGCGGCCAGACCCGAGTCCCTCGTCTCTTCAGGTACCGTTTCCTGCACGCATTCGTGCTCGTTCTACGGAGTACATTGTGCGTGTACCCAAGTTAATTCATGCCGCACCTTGAGGGTCGTGGCCTTTACAAAGTACATGTCCCCAGTATCTTATTCTCCCCCGTGCCTCGGGCTGTATAGTACCTGTACGCTCTAGCGCTGTGCCCGGCACAGGTACTAACTGCACGGCGTGCTGTAGCGCCCTTTGGCAGCGCTTCGATGGGACGCTGGCTAGCGGGCTGGTGCGCTGCCCCACCACCCCCAGCGCCGCTGCTGGCAGGCTCTCGTGGCTGCTCCAGGCACTACTACAGACCCCAGGGTACCTACCGTGCCTCTCCAGCCCGCACTGGGTACGTATCGCACTGCACACACACGCCCCCCTGTGCTTCCACCCTCTTCCACGGCCTCTTTACTCATCCCCCCCAGTCTTCCCTTTTCCCTCGATCCTCTCGTCTTCTCTCCCTCACTACTTGTACTTCTTCATTCCCGTCCCCCCCATATCCTCCTTCCCCCCTGGCACCCGCACTGCTGTCCCCATCTTCCCTCCCAAAGGCCTTCTTTCTCCTCGAGCTTGCGTCCCTCTTCAACCTCCAGTCAAGTCTTCGTCGACTCTCTCTCTCTACTCCCGCCATTTGCATCGCATCGCATTCGCATCGCATTCGCATCGCAAGTCTCCAGCCAAGCCAAGCCAAGCCGCGACCGAATTCGCCACCTCGACGAACCTCGCAAGCCTCGTCCAGCCAATCCGACTTGACAGGCCCGCCGCAACCGACAAAGAACCTGCAGAAGTCGTCGAGAGAAAGAAGGGTCCCTTTGCCCTGCACCAATTCCCCCACAGCGGTCTATCCGAAGCCAAAGCCAGCGCCTCGCCCTCGATTCCCTCCTCATCCTCCAGTCCTCCTTTGACTAGACCTTGTCGTCGACAACCGCAAGCGCAGCTCTGTCAGCGTGTATCTCTCTGAGCACTGCCAGTCTAGTTCACTTGCCTTCGCCGTGCCTGCTGCCTCGGCCCTCCGCCCCGTGTCGTTCAGTCATAACCCGGCCCCGGTCTCGGCCCGTCTCGACAAGCTTCCAGTCAGTCTCAACCTTCGTCGAGTCACACCGCGGATAGGCACAACTTCTCTTGTTCCCCACAGCGGTCTTCACCAGCAAGCTTCTCTCACCGGCTCAACCGCGCTCGCGAACTCGTTGCATCTTCTTCGCCTTGGTTGAGTCACCCCCTTTCAGCGAGAGCTACGCTCCGCTTCCGGCCACCGCCTCGGTTGGTCCGCCTCGCTGCTTCACTCTCGACTACCGCTCTCCCCCATCCGTCCTCAACTCCTCATCTTCAGACTCTCTCGCCCACCTCTGCCTCTCTTGACGGACCCGACCCTCGCCGTCTCCTACTGTCAACAACCGCCATCACAACCAGGCAACAATACATCACCTTTCAACAGTCGTTCTTTAACGCACATCTCTCCTAACGCGACCTCGATGTCATCATAACGAATTCTCATCTCTTCCAACTTTCTTCTCTATACGCAAGCCGCCCTTTCGGCATCTTGGCCACGGTTTCACCTTTCCGCGTCTCCTTTGTCTCTCTCATCTATCTATATTTATTTTATCAAATGCGAACCTGATACAACAATCATCACTTTTATCAACACACCAAACTCGGCAACCAACCAACCAACCAACAATCATCACGCGTGGCTATACCTGTCGTCTACCTCGTTTCTTTTGTCTTCACGGCTTGTACATTTTCGTCGTCTTGTTATTCGACTCGCTCTTCTTTCTGCTGCCTTTGAGCAGTCGTCTTGTTTCTCGTCTTCTTTTCTTCCATCTTGCCTAGTCGCAACCTTGCTTGTATAGAAACGTCGAACGCTTCTTTCATCCCAAGGCTGCGTATTTCATCCACGATACAAGAAGAGGGCATTCATCGGTTCTTTTTTACATATCTTGTTACCACACAAAACTCCTGTATAAATAAGTTTGCTCTTGTTTTTGCGTCTTATTTTTTATCACCCTCTTGTTTCTTCTCATCATCACGGTTTTTTTTACGACTTTTTATTATTTTATCATCTTCAACCTTTCGTCAGCATGGAATGCTTGAGGAACAAGTTTACTGGTGGCCTCCTCCTTGATGGGGGTCGCTACCAGACCATCTCACCACTCAACCATGGCTCTTTCGGCATGGTCTTCATGGCCCAGGATCTCGTCTCCAACCAGGTCGTCGCCATCAAGTGTTTGACTAAGAAGTCTGCCACTTGCGCCGACACCGGTCTTGAGCTCGCCGTCGATGACCGATCCGAGGAGTATGCCCTGCATAGCAGCCTTGGATCGCACCCAAACATTGTCAACCTGCTTGATACGTTTGAGACCGATGCCCACGTCTTCTTGGTCATGGAGTTCTGCGCCCAAGGCGACCTGTACGAGGCGATTCGCAACGGCCACGGTCCCCTGGAGACGGAGCATGTTCGTCAGTTCATGCTCCAGTTGGTCGACGCAGTTGCGTACATCCATTCCAAAGGCGTCTACCACCGCGACATCAAGCCCGAGAACATCTTCCTCACCCAGGATGGCGCCATGAAGCTCGGCGACTTTGGCCTGGCCACCACCGACAAGTGGTCCTACGAGACCACCGTTGGCAGCGACAGGTACATGGCTCCCGAGCAGTTCGACTCGGCCGGCGCCGGATACTCGCCCGCCGAGGCCGACGTCTGGGCCATTGGCATCTGCCTCCTCAACATCCTCTTCTCTCGGAACCCCTTCACCACCCCCACCGAGGCTGACCCCCTGTTCCTTGACTTTTCCCGCGACAAGCAGAGTCTCTTTGACGTCTTCCCCAGCATGTCCCAGGACACGTACGAGGTCATTGTGCAGTGCATGAACTTGGACCCCAGGAAGCGTTCCCTTGAGGGTGCCCGGGACGCCCTCATTCGCGTCGTGAGCTTCACGACGGAGGACGAGAGCCTCGATGACTTTTGCGGTGCAGAGAACCCTACACTGGCATCCGCTCACCGTGAGCCTCTCCGGACTCCGTCGATCCAAACTCCGCACGTGGATGGAGGCGCGTTCCCGTGGACCAAGGCGCTCAATGAGACCCCTGCGCGCCGCCAGCTCAGTGCCATCCCCGACGACGAGAGCTATAGCGAAGATCTCTTCTCCAAGTCTGGGGAGACCACGGACTGGTGCTCTGCCTACGTCCAGACTCCGTCCTCGTCCATCATGGACACGCGCGCCATTGAGGCTCGTATGAGGAACTTCAACATCTCCCGCCCGCCCCAGCCCAAGGTGTCTCCCACCGCTGGCTCTCTGCCCATTGCCATGGGCAAGCCGTTCCCTTCCATGGCTTCCGTCTTCGGCATCCATAAGGAGACGGTCTCCAAGAGCTGGAGCGACATGTGGGACGAGGACGAAGAGGAGGAGCAGCAGCAGCAGGAGCAGCAGCGAGTCAACGCACTTAAGGAGCTCAACTCGCGCACCTGGAGCCACGAGAGCACCAACGAGCAGTCGGCGCAGAAGACGGAGCCCGTTCCCGCGGCTCACGTCATCAAGGGAGATGTGGACGACGACCTGGTTGCCGACGGCTTCTTCTTCCACGAGGCCTCGCCGCCGACCACCGCGCACCACGCCTTCACCATTACACCGCGCTACTCTCCTCCCTCCAAGCGCGGCAACGGCGGCGGCAACAACGTTGACAAGTGGGCGGCGCTCGGTGAGCGTCGCCGAGGCCAAAACACCATTGGCGTGGAGCCGGAGAAGAGCCCTGGCTGGAAGCAGCGCCGCCATCTTGGGCTTGGATACAGCTACAACAACAATGCCGCTCACCACCATCATTACAACAACAATCCTCACAACAACAAATCTTATGAAGCGGGCGTTTGGGAACATTTTTCTTCTTTTCACCATAGCAATTCTTTGAACAACCATTTCAACTACAACAACAATGGCAACAACAACAACAACAACAACAACAACAACAATGGCAACAACAACAACAACAACAACAACAACAACAATCACGGCAAGGGCTGGAGCAAGGATCGCCTCAAGGAAAATTCTTGGACAAAGGCCAAAGATTGGAACTGGCGCAAGGATAGGCGCACCGATCTGGGGGACGTTGAGTGGGTTGGCGGTTGGTGAAGGGGGGTTTCCTCCTTTTTTCCTTTTTGCGAGGGGGGGCCTCTTCAACCGTCAATCGTGGTTATCGCCGTCTTCGTTTTCGCTGGCATGGGGGGAATAGAAGGGAAGAAAAAAGTTTTATAGGAGCAGTTTGCTTGAAAAGCACTTTGGACCGGGATCATGAGGACACCAGACCGATTGTCTGCCTGCCGTCTCTGCATCGAGCCCTTTTTCTACTTTGGGTTCTGCATTGTAGACGGGGGTTGATTCTCGTCTTGGATTTCATGATTCATCTTTTTTGAGGAACAATCTTTGTTTTGGTTTAGAGTACTTGAAAGGCACTGCTGCTTTTGCTTTTTTTGTGTGCCAGAGACGAAGGTGGCCTTGACTCGCTTTCTGCGTATCAATTATTTAACATAATAATATACCAGAGGTTACCCACTCACAATATTGTTACTGGTTCCATTACATGTGACGTGAATGTTTTTGTTTCATGGACTCTATCTACTAACTTGGGTCGTGACTTGTCAAGGTAAGATGTGCAGTGAAAGCCCACAGGACTTTGCACGAATCGGCTTTGCGTCGTGATTTCCTCAAGAAGATTTGCATTCAACTGACCGGCAGGGCCTTCGACATCGTGTAATAGTATTGTTGAGTATGCATATGCTGTGTTGATGCGTTTTACTTTAGATTCTTCCAGTTCCATCTCTACCAGCTCTTGATCCGTTCCAGTCGTGTCTGTTACGAGATCCTTCAAGTCATGACGGGCTATGAGTTCTCGAACTTGCTTCAAGTGGTTACTGTCTGAATTGATCGGATGCTTCTTCAATTAATTCAAGTTTGACGTGAACCGTATATGCTGAAATTCTAGACTTTTTTGCTTTTGAGAAAAAACAAGCCATGGATGTGATGTAAATGCCACAGAAGAAATGCCCCAGCCAAGTTTCGCCCATTAAGCTAAACCATGAAACGGAACATCAACTCAAAAGTGAAATTCTCCCACAATGAGAGGCAAAAGATCCCATATGATGCCCATGTCAGAAATCCAGGCCCAAGTCCATCAGAGCAAAAGCACAACTCAAAGAGTCAAACATGAAGAATAGAAACGAAACGCAAAACACCCCTGGTAAGATGCATGTATCACTCCGCCTCAAACGCCAATCAAGTCCTTTGGCAAAAACGTCCACACGGTGCCGACGAGGCCCAGCACCGAAAACACCACCAGCAGGCACCGCAGCACGAAGCGCTCCCTCGGCGCCACGTCCTTGGCGTAGAGCTTGAGGTAAAAGGCAATGGGCAGGACGATGGCGATGAGCGAGCAGAGGGCCGCGCCGAGGAACGCGCAGACGGAGTCGAACGCCGGGAAGACGATGGAGATGAAGAGCAGGACGAGGACGACGGCGATGCGGACGAGCAAGCGCTGGCAGGTGAAGATGAAGCCGGCTGATGACGACGACTGCTGAAGGTGGGGAGGAGGGGCATGCAGGCCGCAGAGGACGTCGCCGGTGGTGATGAGCGGGCGGGCGTTGAGCGGGATCTTGGTCAGCGGGATGACGGTGACGCAGATGCACATGAAGATGGTCAGGCCCTCGGGGAAGCCGGAGCTCTTGAGGATGTTGGAGGTGATGGCATCGCTGATGCCGTCGCCAAACATGAGGATGCCGACGATGGCGAGGCACGTGTCGAGGACGTACTGCGAATCGTTAGCCGATGCGTTTGACGAGTAGTAGTACATCAGGAGGACAAGGGGCGACGTACGGAAAAGGAAAAGGTGATGCCGACAGCTCGTCCCCATTTGTGAGGATGGCGCATGTCTCGATAGATCTGGCGGTTTGTACGTTAGCAGCAGATCTGGAGCCACAAACTGCCCTTTGGCCTTCTTACCGAGGGAAAGACAGAGTGAGCGCCCCACGGACTCAGCATCAGGCCGTATGCCAGGGGCACCGCCAGCCAATTCTTGGGCAAAAGGTGCGTAGCAGCAGGCTCCCACAGGGAGCCAGGGGTCTCCGTCTTGAGGAGGCCATCAGCAATGACGACGCACACGACTAAAGGCGAGCTTGTCAGTTCTGCTTCATCTGTCCTAGGGAGATGAGTAGTAGAAACTCACTGCAAAAAGTGGAAAAGATGCCAATGACGCTGGTGTAACTCAGCCAGCGCAGCGGCATGGAGTTGAGGACCAGGACAATGGCGGCGCAAATGCACTTCCACGCCTCGACGCTCGCCATGCCGGGCAGCAGCAGCGCGAGCGAGTCGGAGAAGAGGATGAAGAGGGCGACGCAGGCGGCGACGAGCTCGAGAGTAAAGAGGGCCGAGACGATGATGCGGGCCCTGGCGCCAAACGAGATGTAGGCCAGGTCCGAGTACGTGATGAGGCTAGCATCGTACTGCATGCACTTGGCCAGCAGGTTGGCGGTATGCGACGTGACGGCGGCCGTCAGCGTGAGGATGCTGAGGCCGAGGATCCAGCCGCTCATGGAAAAGGCCAGCGGCAGGCTCAGCAGGCCAATGCCGATGAGGGCGTTGATGGAGTTGAAGATGGACTGCGGCAGGGTGCTCTGGCCGTCGACTGTCAGGACGACCTTGTTGCCCTGCTTGACCTCCTTGACCAGGATGGGCTGCTCCTCGCCGTAGGCAGCGTCCTCTTCCTCCACGACGGCCACCACCTCGTCCTCCGCCGCCTGGCCCGCCGCCGTCCGGATGATGGAAGGTCGGCGTCGAACCACTGACGGCCCGCCCATGGTGCCGTAGCCGCCGCTGTGATACGAGCCGTAGCTGCCAATGATGGACTGCGTCGCCAGATAGGGAGACGTCCCAAAGATGCTGGAGTTGGCAGACACGCCGGGCACTACCATCTCCTCGTCGACGACAGGCTTCCCCTCCCCCCCATGTCTGCCGTGGTGCGAATCGGCGACATTGTTGCTCGACCCGGCGGCAAGGGGGCTGCCCATGCGCGGCGACTCGCCAGCCGCGCCGAAGCCGTCGTGGCTCGTCGAGAAGTCGGCGTCGTCGCCGCCGCCGGCCATCTGGTGCTGCTGCTGGTCCTGGCCGGGGGCAAAGACGAGGCTCGGGCGGCGAGGGAGCACCTCGGGAAAGGCGGCGGCGCGCTGCCAGCTGCGGGCGAAGCGTCTGAAGCTGTTTACGCCGCCCACGTCTGCCATGGCGGCGAGACGGTCGGTGACGGAGGGCCTGACGGCAGGGCTCGATTATTTCAGTTAGCGATCCGTCTACTTTGAGCGGCGAGGAAAAGAGAAGCTCACAAAAGGTCAGCTTACTTACCGTCTGCCGCCGTCAATGTCTCGACCGCCGGGATGCGCGCCTCCATCGTCAGCGTCATCAGCGTCATCGAGCAGCGGCCGGTCCTCTGCAAAGGGGCTCGACGAGACGCTGCCGGTGGGCGAGGGCATGCCGTCGTACTGGTCCCATGTGGATGGATTGTTCCTCGAGGGCGGCGCCATTTGGCTGCCGGGACCGCGCTGTGCTGTGCTCGTCGGGTCTCTGCTGTAAGCCGAGTTTGTGATGGCGGTGGTGTGGCGATGGGATTCTTGTCAGCCTTTCTATTTGGGCGATGATGATGACGATGATGAGGATGAAGACGCAAAGACGCTCAGTCCGGGCCGTACGAAAAGCTGAGAAAAAAAAAAAAAAAGGTCCTCAGAAGAGCGGCACCTCTTTAAATCGAAGCTGGCATGGGAATGTGATCGACGTTGCGGTGAATCCAGGGGAGCAAGGGGATGAAGCAAATGACGAAGAGAAGAGAAGGGAAAGGAAAAGAAACGGCGAGAGGTTGCCCGTGATGCGATGCATGCAAGATCCGATCCCAGTACAAGTCAGTGAGTGAGGGGTGGCCACCACCATACAAGTACCTACCAACCAACCTCCCCTCTATCTCTATCTCTCTCTCTCTCTATCTATTCTCCATCTCTGCCTCTGTCGCATTGACCGCAAAGCAGCCCATGTCGTCTATTCTATCCATTATCCGCGCTAGACACGGGAAACACAGACACACGCGATACTGAATAATACCGCAGTCTCATGATAAAATCGCAAGCAACGACAGGTCAGGGTCAACAAGGCAATGAATGCATCGTTACCCAGAGACAAAACACACCGAGCCGGAGCTTGCAGTCAAGCTGCAGCCGAGCTAAGCTGCAGTTGGCATCTGGGCTCATGCATCATGCCGCGAAAAGAGGAGCGAGCTTATCTTGCTTAATCTATGTAAAGTATTTATTCTTCGATTGGGATGGACTGCTTTATCACCTTGCTTGTTGAGCCTCGGTGCATCTACAAGCCCATTTTCAACGTGAACCTCCTACGATGCATCGCCATCATCATAGCAGACAGTATTTCGACACTGACATTCAACTAACAATCGATACCGCTTCAAGTCCAGGTATAATATCCATCCGATATACCGTCAAAAATACATCGACCTCACCATCCATCAACCATCTCATCCTCCCCCACGCTAAAACCATCCCATTACGCCACCCCAGCCAGCTCCCTTATCAACCTCTTTATCTTTCAAAAACATCAACCACATCTCCATCATACATACAACTCCCATACGCACACCACAAACCCACAACCACAACAATGGACATACAACAACAACAACAACAGCAACCCTCCCCCTCCTCCCTCTCCCCCCTCCTCCCCATCCTCAACGCCTTCAACCACCGCCACCACAACCAGCACCGCCTCGCCCACTGGTGGCCCGTCTTCCGCATCCTGCGCCGCACCCTCCGCGCCCTCGTCCACGACCTCTCTGCCTCCTCTACTTCAACACCATCATCATCTCGCCCTTTTCGTCGCGAGGCTGCTGCTGCCGCTGCTGCGTCGCCTTCACCTCCTCCTCCTCCGCGCGCAATCTGGCTCAGCAAGCACTTTATCCCCAGAGCATACATGTACGTCCTTCCGCCAAGTCAAGACAATCCTCATCGCAAACTAATGCCCCCGTAACCAGCGCATTCTCCCAACTCGCCGCCGACAACCAACACGCCCCCCTAGGCCTCCTCCTCCTCGCCATCCTCGCCCGCGTCCACGCCGTCCTCGCCCAGCTCCTCGACCACACAACAGCAACAACTTCCACCTCCACCTCCACCACTCCCTCAACAACGACAGCAAAACCGCTCTCCAGCTCATACAATCGCTCCATTGACGCAGCAGCAGCAGCAGCAGCAAACCAAGACAAAGGCATCGCCATATCCCGCGACGCACATCATTCTCGGCCGGTGATACAGTCAACAGAGCGTCTACGAACAGTACACCAACAACAACAACAACAACAACAACAACAACAACAGACAGCCAGCAGTAGCAGCACACGGCATTCTTCAGATGAGCCGCCGCGCGGCGAGGTCGCGCACGAGCCAGAGGCCATGACGGCAAAGCCTTCCAGGACGAAATCAAAGGAAGCCTCATTGAAAGACGACAAGAAGAAGAAGAAGAAGAAGAGGGGGAAAGGAGACGAACTGTCAAGCCTCTTTGGGTCATTGGCATAAACTCCAGCCGATTGAACAAGATTGAACGCGAGAAAAAGTGAAGACGCCTTCATTCTAGCAACACTTGCGTACTGTTATATTTTATCTATCCAGCATTATACCCCCACGTTTTCTCAATACCTAGACATCATACCCGAGATCCAGCCTTGCAAGACGTCCAAAGAGGTAGATGACACAAAAACAAAGTGTCAAAAAAGGCATCTTCATTACCCGAATACAAACTAGGCGGATTTTCAAATTAAGACCAAAGACAAATAATACCAACGAATTAGTAAACCCTGCTTGGCCTCTCCTCATACCCGTTACACGTTCAAAAAATTAAAAAAGAAGGGGCTGTGCTTTCCCGCCGATGCGCCAGCCTCCCGTACGTTAAATAATAACCACCACCCCGCGTAATCTTGCCTCGTAAACACGTATTCCAAGGTATTAAGACCGGTTTGGGCCAGAGTTTGTCCTATTCCTAGTCCCTCCCCGGAGCCCTCCAGTCTTGCCCAAACTTTCAACATCGACTCCATGCTGCTCATTGCCTCTTCGCCCTTCTCCGCGTCTTCACGCCACCACCTAATAAGGGCGGTAAGACCAGATGCGAGCCTTCATGTCACCGGAACCAGTCGCAAAGTAGCCGCCCTGGGGGCTAGGAGCTACCGAAATAACAGAGTTCTTGTGTCCCTGAAGCATGAGCTGCGTCGTGCCCGTGCGGGGGTCCCAGAACTGGACACCGCGGTCCTTGGAGCCGGACAAGACCCAGTTGGCGTCGGGGGTCAGCGCAACGGACAGGACAAAGTCTCGGTGGCCCTCAAACGTCTTGACGCACTTGCCGCCCTTGGTACCGGAGCTGGGAGGGCCGCGAGGCGAGCTAAGCTCCCACATCTTGATCGTGCGATCCAGACTGCCGCTGACCAGGTCCTTGCCGTTGGGCGAAAACGCCACCGAGTACACGCTGTCCTTGTGCCCATCGGGTCCCTCCAGACGCTCGACCAGGAAGCCCGTCATGATGTCCCAGACACGAACGCTCTTGTCCAACGAGCCGGCGGCGACGAACTGCGTGTCGGGAGAAATGGCAACGGTGGTGACGCCATCCTCTATCGTCAGCGTCAGGGTGTTGGTGCCTTGCTCAATATCCCACAAACGGACGGTCCTATCGCCACTGCCCGAAGCGATGGTGCGGCCGTCGCGCGCAAAGTCAAGCGAGTAGATGTCCTGTTCGTGGCCCGAGAAGTGGTTGCGGATGGTTCGAGTGGCAATATCCCACACCTAAGAAAGAATATTGACATTAGCAAGTCTTCGTCTGGGAACTGCAAGGGCGCGGACTTGGGGCAAAGGCATATATCTGCCAAGCCCTCCTGTCTCCCTTTAGACACTCTGGTTTTGCTTACCCGAATCAACTTGTCTTCGGCACCGGTAGCCAGATATCGGCCGTCGGGGCTGAAGCAGACGCTGCGAATGTAGAGGTCGGCAGCCATGTCGGTGGCGTTATGGTCCTCCAAGACGCAGACCTTTTCGCCCGTCTGGACGTCAAAGATCTGGGCCGACTTGTTGCAGCCCGTGGCGACATACTTGCCGTCATGGCTGAAGCGGACACAGCAGACGACGCTCTCGTGGGTCAGGGAATGGACCAGGTCGACGTCCAGGACGCGCTGGACCTGCGGGTTGAAGATGGCGTACCAGTCGTTGCCCGTCTTCTTGTTGTGGGGGGCGACGGCGTCGACCTCGAGATCACCGAGGGCATTGCTGATGGGAGGGGGAGGGGCTCGGGGGCCGCCCATGCGAGCGTGGTCGGGAGTCGGGTGGCTCACTTGCGGAGACTGGGCATTGCCGGGATACGGCACGGGGGTGTTGATCTGGGGCGTCGCAGGCCCGACAGCGTTCGGCGGGCGGCCAATGGCTCGTCGGCCCGGACCAGGCGAGGCCGTGCTTGGCGGAGGCTGAGGGCCCATGCCATTGGGGCCTTGAGGATAGGCCTGCTGGTACGGAGGCTGCTGCGGCGGCTGCTGCTGCTGTTGCTGCTGCGGCGCGTTGGGGTGCGGGGGGGGAGCGGGCAGTCCCGGAGGGCCTTGGGCCATCTGGTGGTGGTGAGGGCCCATCTGCTGCTCCTGGGGAGGAGCCTGGGGCTGAGGCGGCGCAAGGCCTCCCGGGTTGCCAATGATGCCGCCAAAGAGGTTGTTCCCAGGCGCAATCGAGGGAGGCTGCTGGGAGGGCCCAGCGTGCTGAGGAGGGCCCTGGAGGCCTGCTTGCGGAGCTCCCTTGCGAGCGACCTCGAGCTGATGCCGCAACATGTTGATCTCCTCCTCGTATCTGTTTGCACGCAAAAGAGAGACGCTGTTAGCGCGCGGCCCGCGACGACGTGCTGGCCATGTAGAGCATGCTTACTTTTGTTTGAGCGTCATGTGGGTTTGCTCCATGGCGTAGACCTTTTCTCGCACCAGCTGCATTTCGCTGACCTGCGCTGAGACTGGAATTCATCAGTTAGCCAACGAGTCCAGTCCATAATGTATCTGCTAGCTGTGATGTGTGAATTTCCTCTCCATCCTTTCTTCTTCTTCATCTCTTGTTCTGTGTCACAACGTCCACCTCTTCACATGTATATGCGTGCGTGCGGTGTATGCACTTGGTTCAACATTCCAAACGGCCATCGCACACCAGTAACCTTGCTCAGACGACATCTGCGGGGAGGGGAGGAAAAGGCGTACTCTGATGCTCAAAGTTCTCAGTCTGGCGCTGCTGGCTGTCGAACTCGGCCCTGATCTGCTCCAGCAGCTCGTTGAGGCGAGCATTGCCGGGGGGCACAGCGCCCATGCCGCGATGGGAATACATGGACATGGCTTTCGCGGGTTTGGTCGATGGGGGGATGATCGGGACGCAAGCTCGTGCGAAGGGGCCTGGGTGCGGCGGGAAAAAAAAACTTGCGCGACGTCTGCGTGAAGGTTTCCGCTGTCGCCTGGATCCGGAGACCAGCGGGCGTGTGAGCCGGATATTCGAGATTTCGACGTGGCTCTATCGAGACCGCAAGTCAAAACACCCTCCTAGTAAGAGAAGTAGAAAAAAATTGACCCCCCAGAAAAGGGAAGTGACGAAATTCGAGCTTCGACCGGCCGAGGCTGACGATGGAGGCGGTAAATGAAGACGAGCGGGCGGGATGGGAGAGTGACTCGCTCGTAGCTTGGGCGCAGGATCGCGTGTCTGCGGCACGGCGGACGTGATTTCGATGCTGGTGGAGGGTTTGTATCAAAGGAGGAGGCAGAGGAGAGAGAGAGAGAGAGAAGAGAAAAAGGTGAGAAAAGGAACCTTGGAGGTACAGCGTCGCGGCTGGGGGAATAAGGTAACTTCGGTGGAGCACTAGAAGCGAGCAGGCGTCTCGTCTCGGGGCTCGTAGCCTGACCACACAAGCAGAGCAGAGCAGCTGGGGGGGGAGGGGAGAAGAAGAGGCGCTGGCTCTAGGGGGGGGCGCCTCGTTGTACATGCAGCCCAAGTCCAGACGACCGCCGCGATGTACCTGGCGGTACTTGTTGTGACGGCGCTCCACTGCACGCGCCACAGCGGACTGGGGGTTTACTCGGGTTCCTCTCTGCTGCTGCGGCACCGCCCACATGTACCGCGCAGTACAGGCGACAGGGGCGTCAGGTCGTCCCGGATAGCCTGGCCTCGGCGTGAGTGTGTTCTGGCACCAGCCGGACAGGGGCGTGGGAGGTGGGACATCCATGGGTTTTAGCGGGGACTTGAGTTGCACAGAAGCTCGGGCCCTTCTCTCTCTCTGTGTCTCTTTTAGCTCTCTTGTCCTTTCCCGTCTCCGTTTAGGGGTGTTTCTGGCTTCTTCTTGGGGGTGTGCAGCAGGGCGGGCCGACAGCAAATCGATACCGCGACAGCCACGGCTTTGGTGCTCGGGGCACGGAGTACCGCCTGCTCGTCGCAGAAGTACCTCTACGATTCATCAGTACGACCACAACTACTACCTAACAGCCGGGCAGACAGCGATGTCGCACGGGCTGGCTGCGCTGGGGACGGGACACGGTCGTGGGCACGCCTCTTCACCTGGGGTCGCACACGGACAGAAGAGATGCTGTGATACCATACCGTGCTCTGGACGAGTGGAAACCGGTAGCACAAGCAATGAGGGCATGCAATGTGATGTACTCGTAGAGGCAGACGCTCATGCATGCAGATGCACGCGCACAGAGACGCTTGTCAACTACGAGTAAGACGGGTACTGTTACTTAGGTAAGTCGCGATAGAAAGATGGATAGCCTTCTTTATATCTCCTCATCTTGAGGTCTTACGAGTTCTAAGTAGGTAAACTAGACTATATCCTCACTTTGACTCCTTGCTCCAGAAGCCGCGTCCGTTTCAACAACCGTCGTCTTTCTCTCTCGCGTCATCACTTCTCTGCCTCTGCATGTATTACGGCACGTAGTATTTCCCTGTCCTCCGTCCTTCCGTACCTAATCAATGCTTCGCAACCTGCATGTACATATGTACCTGTAAGCGCCTCTCAGCCCCCTTCAAGCGCGACCCCCCTCTCGTCTTCCTTCCTCGCCGTTCATCCTGGTTCCAAATCCGCCGCCCGTTCCCCAGCAGCAGGGCAGGTGCAGAGGCCCAGCCCGGCACGGTGGAGCGTCTGTACGTTAGAAGTTGCTCTAATCGCCGCTTCGGTCGCTTCAGGTGGCAGCTCCCACATAAATCCACCATGCTCGCTAACGTGCAGTACCCTGCTTCAGCTAAGCAAATACCTCACCAGCACTGCTGTCCCGGTCTGGGAGCGGCTCACGCAGGAAGCAGGGATGCAGGGTGGGCACCCAAAGTGGGCTGCAGCAGGTGGGGCGCCCAAACCCACCCAGCGGGTCCCCACTCCGGTCCCAGCGCTGGCAGGGGGTTAGTGCGGGTGGGGCGGCCGAGCCTAACACCAGCCACAGCCCAGCCTGTTCCCCATGCTGGCTGTCGCTCCATCGAAGCTGGCTAAGCAAAGTACTTGGCACTTGTACCTGAGGACGGGCTCCGCTCTGCACGCTATCCGATTTGCGGCCTAGATCCGCTCGCATGCTCTGCTCTGTCGTTTTGGGCGAAGCTGCCACTTTGGTACCTTCGTACGCGTACAGGGACGAGAATCCCGCACACAACTTTCAAACGTCGACGCCCATCCCGATATCCGAGCGAGGAGACGGGAGCCATGTGCATCATCCGAGCTGGACCTAACAAATGCGATGCCACTGCTCGCTTAAAGGAAGACAAGCGGTAGTAGTACTGCTCAATCGAGGTACCCGGTCACTTTCTCAACTGCGGCCTTGAAGGCTCGGGTTGACGTCAAGATAATGACGTCGAGGCTGGATTCAAGAGAGTGATGCTAACCCTGAAACACACACACAGAGGAAGAGAGAGAGAGGGGGAGAATCCAGTCCGCGTTTGCCTGTAGGCTTGAGGAACCACGAATCTTCTCGTTCGTCTTGTTTTTTTTCCCGTTGTACCAAGCATTGCTGCCCCCTCCCATCCTATTTGGCCCAACTCCACCATGGCCGTTTGTAGGCAGATGCCACCGTCCTCGTCCTATTTGTCAACCAACGGCACTACTAGCTCTCTCTTCTTGTCTCACACACAATATTTTCCCCGGCGAGCCACATGAGGCTGAGGGAGCCAAATGGAGAATTGTCTTGGCAGCCTCGTTTGCTCATTCTTTCAAGACCGTATGTCCTTGATCGACCTTCCAGTCGGGTGATGCCGATAGATAGACCTGCTTCGCCTGCTGTTGGTTCGTGTGTGCCTGTATCTCACATGCTCTTCGTCTTCCGTCTACTGATGTATGGATTGCTTAACTTACTATAACTATAACTACGTTCTCACTTTCTGCATCCACCGTTTGCCATTGCTGGGGTGTCAACCCTCCATCCCGTCTTTCGGTAGGAATGGCCATCTGCGGCTTACGGTAGCCGCGCGAAAGGGGGTGCCGTCGCCGAGCGATTCCTCCAATGCAACGAGGTGTCAGGTGAAATGTACGTCTGTCTTTTTACACACATGTCTTGGAAGCTCATCCACGACATGCGTCTTGTATCACACCTGTGCTCTGGAAACGTTGTCTGGGATATAATTAGGTGATGGAAATGGTTCCTATTCTAGGGTAATGATGTCTCTCTTTGGGGGGGGGGGCGAGTGGCCTAGTGGCAGCGTCGAGCAAGCATCACACACGCGTTCCTTATACTACAAGTACTGCCACTTACATACATACCAGCGTGTGGCTATACCGAAATGTTCTCTTTTCTTTCCCTGACCGAGTAAAAAGAGTCGCCAGGATGCTGGACAACCCAGTCAGAATGTGACAGTGGCTTGCATCTATGGCTTGCAGCATCCGAACTTGTGGTGTGCCGATAATACCAGCCTCTGTTGATACCAACCACCAGGCAGGAGGGAATCCCTCACCACGCCCCTCTCACGCGTACTACCATACCATTCTTGTACACACCTAAACGCTTCTGTGCCAAGTGCGCTGTGGTTACATGTGCAATGTAGTATGTATTGCACCACAGCCGTGACGTGGTTATCGGAAGCAATCATCTTTACCAGGTGATGAAAGCCACCGACCTGTGAGATGAGCAAAAGCAAATGCGCGTCCTGGGATCGACGCAGCCACCACTTAAACCCCCGCATGTGCACGGCGACAGTTACAAGAGCCAATTGCTGATGCTAAGATGGATAGTAGAGACTTGAATATCGAGTACTGTAGGTCTGTTAATAGTACCTTGGCTATTACTAAATGTACCTTACCTTAGGGTAGGCCCGGCCGATTGTATCAGAGAACAGCATGTAGTATCACCACATTAACGTCACTGCCCATTGTTTGCCAGTTCGTGCTGTACTCTGAGCCAAGACACCCAGTCAGCTCCATTCCGATTACATCAAGTCGCCAACCGAACCACCCCCCTAGCACAGGCGCTATCACTTGTGAGTCGTTCCGGCAAACTTTCCAAGAGTTTTCCAGGGCTAGGGCCGGGAATCTACCCGCAATTTAAGACCCCAGGGTGACAGCACAGAAGCTGCATCCCCAAAGGCATGGGGGACTGGATTGCTAAGCTTGTCAATTAACTCCGGCATAATGCCGACCGAAAGTTGACCGGATCGCGAAAGGGGATTTTGTTGCCACGATCTCTGACGTTCGGCGATGACGGAGCGGAAGCCGGGCTCGGATATGGCCCAAGGGAGCTGCCAGGATCCATGGATAGTAATAATACAAGGCATCATCCGCAATTAGACAATAAGACCATGATAACCGTACGCTGTCCAGGAGCAGTTGATGCAATATCTATGGGGCATTTGCATCCTCTGCGATGGAGAACAAGATGAAGATTGCCGTCTCCCACGAACAAATGTCCGGATCCTATCCCTTTTTTTGCTGGTTCAAATAGCCCAACAGAAATGTCTGTTCTCGGGCGGCAATTCCTCACAGGCACACTGTATTGTACACATTAGCAGCGGTCAGAAGGCAGGACGCAGTGTGGGTGGGAATCGCAGGTTGGATGAATGACGAGCAACAGAACCGACGACGAACGATCCGAATGCAGCAATTGATGACGGGCCTCTGATTTGCCGCTCAATCTCGCACAGCAAGAACGATGAACACGTCTTTTGTGGATATTCGCCGCAGAAGAATGGGATGTCACGCATGGATGGAGAACGGGAGGTAGTAAATACCTGTAGGTGCAGCGTATTCGTGTTCTTATCGATACGAATGCGACCGCCCGTCCCGCAAAAGGCGCGGCTTAAGTAAGGCAAACCGGCCTATCCCGCGCCGCGCCTCAGCCTGTTCAGGCACCACGCCCGCTTGATTATCAGCACATTTCAGCTCCCTCTCTGGCCACTTCGGCTCCGCTCGGGGGGGATCCCCCATTTCGACGCGCTCGATTCGGAGAGCCGTAGATGTTCGGACATTTCGATTGCTGGGAGCGAATCACAAAACATCACACCACCAGCTGGCGCCGGGTCGCTGCTGCTCCGTGAAAGGGGCGGAGGCGGGCGAGCACTTCCACAGTGTCGAGTCGATCCTGTTGGTCGGCATCTTGACAAGGTATATATATGCGAGAGAAGCAGTATTACTGCAACGTCTTACTTCCATTGTCTTTTGTTCCCATTCGAAACAACCGGACATCACCCTGCCTGAAGCTACACGAAGTTGCTAGCTTCAATTTCAAGTTGTTAGTTGATAGGTAATCACCAGCCTTCCGCCTCCTTGACATCTGCTCTCCAAACTGACACAATTCACCATCAAAGCCAGCATCAGCATCAACATCAACATCAGCATCAGCATCGCCGGGCGCGACGGCGGTCCATCATCAAACAAGCAACGCAAAACAGCCCCTCGCACGCTTATCTGATCGATCTCCCTGCCACTGAACCTCGCTCTTCTTCTTTTTGCGCCGAACCTCAATCGGGATCCGCGTTGCACCCCTGAACTCGCGCCCCAGTTTTTATTTTTTCTCGCTCTCTTTCAACGTCGAATCCCTCCCCCCCCCCCCGGACCATCGACTACCTTTAGGCTCAGTATTTAAATTGGCCCTCTCTCGCTGCCCGCGACTCGATCGCAGAACCCCGTCGCCTCCGAATCCTGCGAACAAGCGGCACAACTTCTTGTTCAGCTCTCTTTTTCCTCTTTCTTCGCCTTTGCCCTCATCCCTCTGGTCTGCCCACTATGGACGTCGTGCTGGAGCTCACCGACACCTTCATCGCCGACCACGTCTACGCCTGGCTGTTCCCTCTGCAGCCGGCGCCGTACGACTACCCCAAGGCAACGGCGACCAATTCCTCGGCCCAGGCCTTTTCATCATGGACCTACAAGCCCGCGACGCAGTACTTCCAGGTCGAGCCCTACCAGGCCGCGTACATGAGCTCCTTGCCCCGAGATAACGTCTATCGCCAGGCGGCCACGCTCTTCTTCATTACATGGTATGCGCCCCAGATAGATGTCACCCTTCTTCCTGCGCGCTGGACAGTCTGGCTAACAATTGGACAGGATCTTTGGCCTCATTGTCTACTTCATCTTCGCCACTCTCTCCTACGTCTTCATCTTCGACAAGCGCACCATGAAGCACCCCAAGTACATCAAGAACCAGATCTGGCTCGAAGTCATCCAGACCAACAAGTCGATGCCCTTCATGTCTCTCCTGACGGCGCCCCTCTTCCTGCTCGAGGTCCGCGGCTACGGCAAGCTCTACGACACCACCGCCGAGGGCCCCGGCATGTGGTATAACATCCTCCAGTTCCCGCTCTTCCTCGTCTTCACGGATTTCTGGATCTACTGGATTCACCGATACCTGCACCACCCGTCGGTCTACAAGCACCTGCACAAGCCTCACCACAAGTGGATCATGCCCACGCCCTACGCCAGCCACGCCTTCCATCCGGTCGACGGCTTCGCCCAGTCGATCCCCTACCACGTCTTCCCCTTCATCTTCCCGCTGCAGAAGATGGCGTACGTCTTCCTCTTTGTCTTTGTCAACTTCTGGACCATCATGATCCACGACGGCGAGTACCTCACCAACAACCCGGTTGTCAACGGCGCCGCCTGCCACTCGCTGCACCACTCTCGCTTCGAGGTCAACTACGGCCAGTTCTTCACTGCCTTTGATCGCCTGGGCGGCACCTACAAGATGCCCGAGGCCTGGATGTTCGAGAAGGAGGTCAAGATGTCGCAGAAGAAGTGGAAGGACGAGGCCGAGGAGGTCGATGCCACCGTCAAGGAGGTCGAGGGCTCCGACGACAGGACCTACGTGCCCGACACCAAGAAGAACAAATAAGCGCCGGGTGCTCTGCGTCTTTCTCTTCTTCTCCTCCTTCTTCTTTTCAATAAACGTTTTACGGCCACAAAAAGTCTCCATTCTTTCGGCGTAGCAATTACTTTGCGCTACAGTGAAAAAAAGGTGTCTGCGCCGGCACCAATCATTTTTATATAATCTGCCGCCAATACTTGATTTGTGTACATATTCGTCAACAGTTCTACGGGTGGATCATGGAATGAGCCAACCATGACGCCGTGGGGGTTTCAATACTGGATTTTGGCTGAGCACTTGCGGTGGCAGAGGCGTTTATGAGGACACGGCATCATGAAAAAGAAAACAAGAGTCTGCTGAATGATGTGTAATACTATGGTATATTTTCATTTGATGACTGATATCAAGCGCACCGGCATCTATGTATAATCCGGCAATGTAATAATAATGATAATAGAGAAGCGACTTCCAGACTCCAGCTTTGGACCAAAGAACAAATGAAAGTGACAAGGACAAAGGACACGCTATCAACTGACGATGCGTTGAAGGGCAGTCAAGTGGAACAAAAAGGAAAATTAGGAGAAGTAAAGCAGTGAGCGACTATTGAATAGAAATGCATGGCGACCAAGCGCGCAGAGGTGAACAGAACAGGCTGACGCAAGACAAACACACTAAAGGAAAAAAGGAATGAAGGGAAGGGACAGAATTGAAGAGATGAAAAAAAATGACAATGTGAAAAAGGCTTCCCGCAGATGCTCCAGATCATGGACAGGAATAAGGGCGGTTTGTTTGTAACCAGAGTTCGAAACAAAAGCTGTGCCAGACAAAGCAGCAACAGCATTTTAGAAGGCACTGCAACGGCGCATCTCACAAGTACAAAGAACAAGGGTAAAAAAGCTCGCTTCTCTCCGTAGCATCATGAGAAGCTCACAAACTTGGGATCCCTCGGCCGCCCGTCAGGCCCGATGCCGTTGGCCTTGAAGCGGTTCTCCATGTACACCTTGCGCGCCTGGTCAAACGGCAGGCGCCTCTTCTTCATGATGCGGAGGACCTCGGCCTTGGCCTCGTCGTCGAGCCCCGCGCGGGCGTCGCCGCCGTCGACGTTGCCCGTCAGGTCAAACGTGCTGCTGGACAGGCCGGCCTCGATGTCGCCGGCGAAGGACGAGGGCAGGCGGTCGTAGAGGTAGTCGGAGCCCGGGAGGCGGAGCTCGTGCAGGCGGCGGAGCCAGCAGGAGCGCGTGAGGAAGAGGGCTGTTGCGAGGACGACGAGGGAGACGCAGAGGGAGTAGAGGAGGTAGGACATTGTTGCTGTTGGGCGTTGTGTTGTTTTCCTTTTTGTTGACAGTTGCGGTCGTTGTTGATGATGGCGTCGTCGTCGTCGTGCTTTTGCGGGTGGCTCGGAGATGAGGGAAGAATGTGGTGTGGTTTTATACGGTATGGTTCGTTTTTCAGGAGTTTGCGCGGAACGGAAATGAGGACTAGAGGCTCAAGGAAAGCGACGAAAGGAGGATTAAGAAGAGGATAGCGAGAAGAAGAAAAGTGTCGTTTGAAGCCAAAAAGCGCTCCCTGGAGATGTTCGGCGGCTAGCAGATGAACCAGTTCATGGCTAGGCCTCGTTTTGTCGGGCGGGATGGCTGTTGGCTGGCTCTGTAAAGAAAAAAAAAGTCGAGAGTTTCTTGGTAATACGATCGAAGCGCTGCTGCTTGGAGGCTGTGGAGGAAAATGCGATGCGCCGCGACGGATTTGGGTGAGGCCTCAAAAAGAGCTGCCCCGTCTGACGTGTTGCAACCTGGCACCGATGCGGCTTGAAAGCAGTGGCTGTGCGGGATCCATTCCAGCTTCCCCCTCCCCTGGTCGCGCACCATGTGGTCTGATGGGGAGGTGGCCGGTTTGAAACCTGATCCGATCCGGGAACACCAGCCACAGGGGAGAGAAAGAGGAGGATGGGGAGATTTGGGGGTGACGACGCCGATAAGGAGCGATAACGAGTGCGCTGCTTGCGGCCTGGCTGCGCTAAGCCGTAAACAGGCAGCTAAGCGAGCCCACACATTTCGGCTGGTCGAACTTGTTTCTCTGCGACGCCGGGCACCAGCTTCTGTGAGGTCTAGCGACAAAAGAAAACGAACCTCGAAACCCCGTCGTCGCGAAGACATCCAAGTCCATTCCTCGACAACACACAAAATCCGACACAATGGCCGCCGCTCTGCCCAACATTTCCTCGGACCTGATCTGGGAGGTCGTCCGTGAGTTTTCTTTGCTCTCTCTCCCCATTTGAGGGGGCCCTCTTCCAAGCTGTTTTCCCTCTCCGAAGGGAAGGGGGGGAACAGTTCAGAACGAGGCAAACCATTTTTGCGAAAAAGAGGGATTGGAGGCTAAAACGGCGATATTATCATGGCATAGGAACCAACAACAGCTACCTCCACAAGACCGGTGCTTCCAAGAATGGCGGCGTCCAGTTCTCTCGCGACCCTCTTAACCTGAAGAACGTCCACAGCCGAAAGGTACGCGAAGCTCGAGAACCTTTGTATGTAAACTGGGCAGAACATTATGAGGGCTAACAATGTGGTCGAATAGTACGCTGGCTTCGTCAACGACAAGGTACGACGCAATTTCCCTTTATTCACGAACGAGCAATTGAGCAATCTACCGAGTCCCAACCGATAAAACGAATTGAACGAGAGGTGTTTTGATACTAAGACATGGGAATGAATAGGCTGTCGGTGTCCTCCCCAACGAGAAGGGCGGCGTCGTTGTCGTCACCAAGAAGGCTTCTGCCACCGCCCAGCCCGCCAAGTCTGTCGTCAAGACCACCATTGGCGGCGGCAAGTCCACCCGCAAGTGAGTTAGACCTGGAGGATTTATACAAAAACAGCCGTAACTCGGGGAGGGAGTACTTGTCATGCTAATGACGACTGGATGGGATACAGGACCTACAAGGCCGTTGCCAGCCAGGTCGCCAAGACCGGCTACCGCCCTGACCTCCGCGCCGCCGCCGTCGAGCGTGCCTCTGCCATCCGCCACTCCCAGCTCCCCGTCAAGGCCGACCCCGAGCCCAAGCTGAGGGGCAAGAAGGCCAAGGCCGCTGCCGCCGGCGAGTCCTAAACAGGATGGAAGCGAACGAAAACAAAACAAAACAAGGATTTCTTCGGGACCGCTTGAGAGGATGAGATGAGGATTTTGGAGGGGGGGGACGAGGGAAGTTGCAGTTGGGAGTTGGCTGGGGCTGGGAGTAGGGATCTGATAATGGCTCATTCTTACGACTTGTACATTTTGGCCTGTGCTTGGTATGCGACGGACCTGTTGAGGGGAGGGTCGTCCCGTCGAGGGTTGTTTTTAAATGTCATGACCCTTGGAGGTCTCGCTGTTCACGGCCGGAGCTGCAGCCGAATCCCGAAACCGGTCGAGCTGAATCAAAAACACAAAACTTTCTACCACCATCTGCCCAAGAGGAGGAGCCACTGGCAAGTATAACTAGAAGGGAAACAATTCCCATGGCTTCTCGCATTGGACTTGTGTGTGCGAAATGAGAATTGTAGCCGTGCCTGCAGTGACAGATGTGGTCCCGGATGCCCCAAGGCCATTACTCAGTAATGGCTGACGTCTAGGCTGCTGCGCTGGGAACACAGCCTCGGCAATTCGCTGGGCTTGATTGCTCCATAACCCCAGGATCTATCTTACCATTATGCTGGCCGCCATGCCGCCATATGACCGGTCTGTGTTGGTGCACTCCGCCCTCCCCCGAGTGCCGCCGGGGAATCCCAAAGCAAACGCGGCTCATCATCCGGGGCCTCGTCTCATATTATCAAACTGATACTATTAGTATCGTATTACCAACTCACCCCAACAGGTTGCAAAATAACCAAAGAAGCCTATGCGTAATCGATAAATAAGCCGTTGGGCAAGCGTAGAAATTGCAGATTCATCCCCTTTGTTGAAAAAATACAGGTGCATTCCGATCGCACACGAACACAGCTGGGCCAGCTCGGCTACAGTCTCAGGCTTCTCAAGCCAACGCCAATCCGCTCCGGCCCGGCGAACCTCGGAATCAGCGGCCCGACAACTTATTGTGTCATTCCCTTGTTCCGCTTCCCTTGTTCACAAGCAATTCGAACCTGGGCTTCACAGGGCACTCGGGATCAACAGGCTGGGTCGGAACATGACGGGGAAAAGGGAAGAAAAAAAGAAAACAAAGAATAGGGGGGATCCGAGGTTCATTTTTTTTTCCCCCTCGCGGAGGCTCGGTGATGCTCGTGGCCTTTTGGTTTCTGAGTGCAGTTCTGGTTCTCGGCTTGTAGATCTGATAGCCCTACTACCTAGTAGGGAGACGCTGCCGTTCAACGTGCACATGATTATAGCAGTAATAACAGGATTTCCTTGTAATACCTTAGCAACTGGCCATTCCAGCATCCCGATTGGCCAACCCCAGGCTCATCCCATGCCAGACAAGCAAGCACGAGCAGTAGTTGTACTCGTACTTGAGCTACCAGAGAAGGGCTTCTCTATTCTTTTCTGTTACTTGTAAGGTATTATCATATGATTACCCCTCCCATTAATAGGTAAGGGTAGAATAACACAAGGTAACAAAGCAGCCGCAGTCAAAAGAGCAGCGAGTGGAGGCGTCTGGTTTCTGTCTGGTCTGAAAATATAGCGCGATCAACCCCCCCTCGCTTTGCGTTGGGCAAGAGCCATCCCGCTTCCGTCCAAGCAACGACCCCTTCCCGTTCTTACGCAATTCCCTCTTTACAACAATAACTAGATAATCCATCCTCTCCTCCGTTCCCATACCATCTTCTTTACCTTCACACAAACCTCACCTCGGAGCTCCCTCTTCTCTATTCTATACGCTTCACAAATCCCTACAACCGCCACAATGGTCAAAGCAGGTACGCCTCTTTCCTTCTCCCAGAGCCCAACTCAGGAATTGCCCCTCAACCCCGCACCACCAGCGACGGGGGGGCCAAGCCGAAGCTGGTGCTGTGCGAAACAGAGCTTCGCGTCACCGAGGGCCGCAAAAGCGCATTGTGAAGCGGTCGTGATGGGATCCCAAGCTGACCGTTTTCTTGTGTCGCGATAGTTGTTGCTGGTGCCTCCGGAGGCATTGGACAGGTATGATCATCTTCCGAAGACCTCACAATCCGCCTTCCGTGGTGTTTCTCTGTCGCTGACTCGGCGCGTCCTCCGCCATCTTCGCATAGCCCTTGTCCCTCCTCCTCAAGGGCAGCCCTCTCATCGACGAGCTGGCTCTGTACGATGTTGTCAACACCCCCGGCGTTGCTGCCGACCTCTCCCACATCTCCTCTCCCGCGGTAAGCTCCCAACTCCAGCTCCAGCTCCAACCTCGTGCACCCTCGACCCTCCGCATCGCCGACTGCCGCATGTCGAGTAACCTCTGCAGTACCTCCTAGATTGCTAACGCCGCCCGTGGTTGACAGAAAGTCACTGGCTACCTGCCCGCCAATGACGGTGCCAAGGCCGCTTTCAAGGATGCTGATATCATCATCATCCCCGCTGGCATTCCCCGTACGTATCCAAGGCTACATACAGTCACTTCATGTGGTTGAACATTAAACTCCCCTTGTTGGCATTGCTAACGCTACGACTGCTCAACAGGCAAGCCTGGAATGACCCGTGACGACCTCTTCAACATCAACGCCGGCATTGTCAAGGGCCTCATCGAGACCATTGCCGACGTTGCCCCCAATGCCTTCATTCTCGTCATCTCCAACCCCGTCAACTCCACCGTCCCCATCTCCGCCGAGGTTCTCAAGGCCAAGAAGGTCTTCAACCCCAAGCGCCTCTTTGGCGTCACCACCCTCGACATTGTCCGCGCCGAGACCTTCGTCGCCGAGATTGTCGGCGAGTCTCAGCCCCAGAAGCTCACCATCCCCGTTGTTGGTGGCCACTCTGGCGAGACCATCCTGCCCCTCTTCAGCAAGGCCAACCCTGCTGTCCAGATTCCCGCCGACAAGTACGATGCGCTTGTCAACCGCGTGCAGTTTGGTGGTGACGAGGTTGTCAAGGCCAAGGATGGTGCCGGTTCCGCCACCCTCTCCATGGCTTATGCTGGCTTCCGGTGAGATGCCTAGTATTTCTCTTTTGATGCCTGCATACATTGTTATTGACATGGTATTCCTTTAGGTTCGCCGAGAAGCTGCTTCGTGCCGCCAAGGGTGAGAAGGGCCTTGTCGAGCCCAGCTACGTCTACCTGCCCGGCGTGCCCGGAGGTGAGGCCATTGCCAAGGCTACCGGCGTCGACTTCTTTTCCGTCCCCGTGGAGCTTGGAGTAAGTTTTTGACAAATCTTCTCTTCCATCGCAGAAGAAGCGTGCTTTGCTGACCCCTTACGCAGCCCGAAGGTGTGGAGAAGGCCACCAACCCTCTGGAGGGCATCACCGAGAAGGAGAAGGAGCTCCTGGGCAAGGCTGTCGAGGGCCTCAAGGCCAACATTCAGAAGGGCGTCGACTTTGCCCACAACCCTCCCCAAAAGTAAATACTTTCCTCCTGAAACTTGCAGCCTCTGGGTAGCTGTTCTAGTGTCGAGGTAGCCGGTCTTGAGGGACAATAGCTATATGACTACTGGGTATAATATATACGCGCGCGCATAAGCAGGGTGGCTGATGATTTGCTCTCTTTCATAGGCTGTAAAATTGTCCCAGAGTCTCTTTTCCCCCACGCGGACCCATTGTTGTTGGGATAGTCTTTTTCGTTCCACACTGGTTACAGTCCGCTGCTCGTCGCGCAAGGTTGGATTGAGCGGTCGTCCGGGGAGTTGATGGACCGGGCTTGTCTTCTCTTTCGCACAATGGCGCAGATGATGTATCCCTTTCTGCCTCTTGAGTCGACGAGATGAGTTGATTCGGAGTTCGGTCACTGAGGCTTGGCGACGACGGTCTTGATCTGGAATATAGCTGCCGGTAGCTCGTTGACCTCGGCTTGGACGGTGGCGCTGATACCCAGGGCAGCCAGAGCGCCGCGGATGATGCCGCAGGGAAACCAGAGAAACTGGAGAGTTAGAGACGTAGTCAGCAAAATACAACCTCTGAGCTCTGAGATTTCTTTTCTGTATCGTGTGTGCGTATGCGCAGGACAGAGTATATAACGTACGGGCTGTGCGCGGACAACGGCTTGGCTGCCTGTCTCCGTGCTCATGCGAGAAAACGGGCGGAAGGCATTATCGGTCAAAACGTAGACTCCCTAGAGGCTGTTCGTCAGCCAGGATTATTTTCGAATGCGACTGCGCAAGTTGCACAGTGGTAAGAGGGGGGTGGGGAGATGAGCTCGGCGTACGCGGTGGTTCGTCTTCAAGTTGTCAATGTTCTTGCCAAAGACGAGGGACCAGAGGTCTTTGCAGAGGAACTTGATGACGTCGAGGGTGTCGTTGAAGCGCGGGCGGTCGCGGGAGAATCTGCGATGAAGCTTTGTTAGACCTTGCTTTTCTTTTGCTCTGCCTTTGTTCTCCTTGCCGTTAATCTCAAGGCAGGCAGCGGGAGAGCGTTGGACAGTGTCGAAGAATGGAAATGGTCATGGTCATGGGTATGCGATGTCGGGGAGGTAGGTAGGCACCTTTCTACGAGGCCCTGCCCGACGCGGTAGCCTTGCGCCTCGAGCCGGTAGTGCACCGCATCGAGGTGCTCCTCGTCGTCTATCCTCTTTGCGGGATGCTCGACCGAAGGGGAGGAGGTTTGCGCCTGCGCCTGCGCGGCGGTGCTGTCGTTGTCGGGATGTTGTTGCTGCTGGTGGTTCGCTGGAGGGGAGAGCTGCGTGGACAAAGATGAAGTGGCGGCGGGCGAGGGAGAGGAAAAGTCGCGCTGGGAGGTGACGCGGTGGGCGAGGGGCACGAGCTCGATGAGGAGGAAGTCGAGGGCCGAGGTGGAGAGGAACGAGGCGCTCGGGTCGGAGGAGTTGAAGGGCGGCATTGGCGGGGAGAGGGACATTTTCCCTCTTTTTAATTGGGATGGCCGTGTTGTGGTTTCTGTGGTTGTGCGGTTTTGGTGTGTTTGTGTGTGTGTGTGTGTGTGTGGCGCTGGAGGAGGGGGTTTAGGGGGGATAGAAGAGAGGAGAGGAGAGAGGACGAGAAAAGGTGTTGGCGATGTGTATGTGCGTGGAGGTTGGTGTTGAGATAGAATGGTGAGAGGTGTATGGAGGATGTAAGGGTATCGATTGTGGCTTGCGGTATGAGGTACATGTACGAGCGTTGGAGGTTGGAGGTTGTGGGGGTGGGCTTATTGGTGGGGTGCGTGGATGTAGCTGTACATGCCTGTGGTATGATTTGAGACGGTTGAGATTACCTATCTACTTGATCAAGATGGCAAGATACATTACTCTACCGCTTCATGTCATTGTGATTGCAACTTTCACCAGAGAATACAGCCGAGTGCTTCAAGTCAGGCAAGACTCAAACGAAGCGACTTGCAAATCGACGATACGCAACCTGCAAGAGAGAATGTCCAAGATATCCAGTCTTAAATACAGCCCTGCCAGCAACCCCCTACTTAGCTACCTATCACTGTCCTATTCATACATCTTTGTCTTTTCCCGATGACGGCTATGCTCCTCCGTCCTTGATCGTAGGATGAGAAGGAGAAAAAGAAAATGGAAAAAAAGCAAACAAATTGGCCCTGTACCGACCTTTAAGGGGAATCATCCTTTTTTGTTCCTCGTCACCCTGAACGCCTCTGCTGACTTGATAAATCAAACCCCTTCTCTGGTCTCTAACTTCCCCCTTGACTCTCGTGCATGGAAACTCTTTCTACAGTTCCCTCTCTATACGTAAAACATTCACTCCTCTCGCCTTCGACGCCGTCGACCACGCGGCTCTTTCGGCTGACGCCTCATACCCTCTATGGCTTCCATACTTGCCTCCTAGGGCGTATAGTTGCTGGGAGACTCGCTGAGGAATGGCAGATTCGACGAGGAGCCGCGGTAGCTGCTCGCGCCCGTGTGCTGGCGCTTGTTTGGGCGCTGGATCGGCTCTTCATCGTCAGACGATAACGTCAGGTCGATAACTGCTGGCGCTGGTCGTTTGGCGCTGTGCGAGCTGCCCCGCGGTCTCGTCGCCGAGCCTTCGGTGCCGGCAGAGCCAGCGGTGTCCGTGTATAAGCGCTTGGGCGTAGCTGGCTGACGACCGCCAATGATGATTTCCGACACCTCGACATCGTCATCATCATCGTCGTCGTCGTCATCATCATCCTCGAGTGCTGCGCCGTTTGGCCTGGATAGTGACTCCTCCCTCGGTGGTTTGCTAGACCACTTGCCATTTGGCTCAATGGTGACAGTCTCCAGGCTTTTGGGCGTCTTTTCCAGAATCGCCTTGACATAACTAAAGAACTGGGTCAGTGCTGGTTACAGGCTGCGTAGCGGCGTCAATGTAGCGATACGCACCCATCAACGGCCAGTTGTTCAAACGGCGCCGGCTTGTTGCAGATAGGACACAGCCATTGCGGACCTTGCTCCTGAAGCTGCAAGTAAGAGGTCGCGTCAAAGCATTGGAGATGCGTGCATCTCACGCTCCGACAGGGAACTTCTAATCTCATGTACGACAGAGGGCACTTCAGAGACAAGACCTGAGAGGTTGCCACCACATCCGGGTCTTGTGCTATCTTGTTCACTGTTCATGTTCGGGTCAGCAATCGTAGCAGTAACGGTGCTTGCAAAGGTGAGACTTACGGTCTCTTATGACCGATTCTTCAGTGATCTTACTGCGGCTTGCGATTGTCGCTACCAGTTCCGGAACTGTGGTGATCTTGCAAAGGTTGACAATGAGGTAGTATTTCTGCAGAGGTAGATAAACACGAGATATTCGTTAGCGATGATGATCGAAAAGGATGCGAGTAATGGCGAGAGAAAAGAGAGAGAATGAAAAGGGGGAGATAAAGGGTCGGCTCCGGCAACCGGTGTTCAAAACTTACCTTGGTCGTCAGCGCATACGTAAACTCGATACTGTTCATGTAGTCTCGTTTCAGGCGCAGAGCGCTGGTGATGTCGACCGGCCTGGTGGAGCCGGGCTTGTTCTTGAGGCCTCGCAGGTTGGCCTTGATCTCGTCGCCGTTTACCCGGAGCTCGGATTGGTGTGGGAACGCAACATCTTGTACGCCGCTGTTGTCGCTCGCACAGAAGACCATGATCCTGTAAGACTTGTCGTCGATGCATCGCTGTGCATTTTTGGGGCAGTGGCTTAGCTTTAGCGGGATGGTGACAGAGTTCCTATGCTGTGCCATGGCTGGGGATGGAGCGACACCGGTCAGCGAGGGCTTCCTTCCAAGGTCAAGGGGAAGTTGTACGGGATATCAATACTTGCCTTCGCAGGTCCGCAAACCGCTCACAGGGACTTCGATGGTGTAGAAGGGGCTCGGCTTGAACGAGAAACCGGGCGTTCCGGAGCCATAAGGGGAGGCTGGCAGCCCGTCTGCAGAGGCTTGCCCATACGCCCGTTGGCTGCTGTAGCCCGCGCTGCCGTACGGCGATGTCGAGGACGCGGAAGCAGGCAGAGATGGCTGCGCCAAAGATCCGTTACTCCGCGCCGCCGTGACCTTGGATGGACTCGCTCGCTGGGAGGTAGCCTGCATGATGCTCTGGAGGACTTGCTGGAATCGCGCGTAGTCGTTGTTGGCCACCGTTTCGTTGATGACTGCGGTTTGTGAGAGAAAGAGAGGTTAGCAGTCTGCACGCGCAGGCGCAACAAGAGCACGCGACTGACTTCGCGAAAGAGACAATGTGGATGGGGAAACTCACGATTCACGATACGCCGCTGAAGCTCAGCCTTGACGCCGGTGCTCTTGAGGCCATTCACCTGGCAGATGGTAGAGAGCTGGCGATTAAACAGAGAGTTGCCCTGGACCTGCCGGAGCAGCGCGCTCACGTCATTCCGCTGAATCAAGCTGGACGAAGCCATGGTTGGGTTGGCGGCGCGAATAGTCGATCGAGAGAGGAAGCGCCTCGCATGGGCATCAAAGAGGAAGAGGAAGAGTCGAGGGCGACAGGAGCGGGCAACGAGACAGCAGCGTTGGGCCGACGTGGAAGTGACTGAGACGATGCGATCGAGGCTCTGGGCTCTATATCGAGCTCGGGCAAGGGGGGGGCTGCGGACGGAGCGGACAGAATCGAGTCCGAGATCGCAAAGCAGACAGCAAACGGGTCGAGGCCGCTGGGCGGCACAGGCGGTTGCTGTGGCGCTCGCTATGAAGTCAGCAAACGGCCGTGATGGTCGCTGGTGGTGCGAGGCTGAGGGCAGTGAATCGACCGAGTTTATCGGCGTACGGAGAAGAGGTACGTGCGGATGCAGTTGAGGCGTCGAGTCGCCAGCAGCGAGGCTGTGAATTTGGATCGGATGGGGGGGGGGGGGGGGTCCCAAGGGCGAGAACGGGCGAGTGATGCAGCGGCGTCCTTCACATTCACTCTCTCCTTCACCCCGTCAGCCTCGGGTCTGCGTCTGCCGTTATGAAGGAGACATGCTCATCAGCAATCGGCGGTCCAAGGCAGAGAGATAAGACTCGACGCTATCGCCACTGGACTTTTGCGATCGGGCAGGCGGCGGCAGCTGGCAGAACTCGGGACTAACCTTCCAGGCAGGTTAACGCGAAAAAAAGGTTTGAGGCAACTGCAGGAGCGCTAAGCCACAAAGGAGTAGTATGTACTTACTCGGATGCGCCACACTGGTTGTACGGAGTACCTATGAATGTAAGGTCTCTGGGCTATCTTATCTCTTCCCGCCCGTTATCGTAAACTTTCTTCTTTCTCTCTGTAGGACCGATTCGAATATCGCAAGCAAAGTCGAGAGACCGTCCGTCCGTCACCAAACGAAACAGAAACGCACCGGAAACACCGCAAAAAGATACTACGCAACAACCGCAATCATGGCAAAGAGTTCTCGGTCGAGCAGCAAAAAGTTCAACAACCAGCGCAAGGCTGCCAGCATCTTCGGGCCCGCAGAACTTGCCAGACAAGAGCGTCTGTCGGCCAAGCTGCTCGAGCTGGCAAAGCAGGCCAAGCCCGAGCCTGCGGAGATGAAGATTGATGGTTCGTTGAATCCTATGGGATCTGTTTCGGTGGGGTATGCAGAAATTTGTGTTCATTTACTAACGTTGCTGGGCAGAAGACGAGGGCGACAATGCGCAAGAGAGAGACGAGCAGGCTGCAGATGAGACCTGTACGATTTCCCATTCTCTCCCCTCTGACGAACCGGATGCTAACATGCTGCGATGCTCAGCCATGGATGTGGACTCAAAGAAGCCGAGCAGACCGCAAAGCACCAAGAAGCGCATCGAGAAGAAGCGGAAGAAGTCGAGCATCACGTTCCCCAAGTACAGCGACAGACTAGCCGCCAGGAAGAAGAAGAATGCGCCGAAGAAGGCGTAAACGAAAGACGAGGTCCGATTGCTTTCAATTGTTTCTTCCTTTTAGTTTCGTTCCATTTCTGTTATACGGAGTACGAGTCATTATATATTCATATTGTACTGTCCTGCATATCAGCTCTCAATTGACGATACCCATGACCATCCCTCAAGAGTAAAAAAAAAAAAAAAAAGTAGAGTAAAAAAAAACAGTCCACGTCCTGCAGGCGCGCCCCTGGTGCCTGTGGCGCAGCAGTCGCCCAACTTGGACCTCTGCATCGTCCCTTGGCCAATCAATCTTGCACTTCCCGCTGGCTTCGTTATATTCTATATCCCTTCAACAACACTCATTCTAGCACCAATAATTGGGACGCTCAACACCAGCACTGCTTCATACACGCGTCTCTCTCGTCTCCCATATGGCTTCCACTGTGCATCGTCTTGGTGAAACACTGTTGATCCCGGCCCCTCGTCTCGTCTCTGCCTGGCTCGCCTAATAAATCCGTCAGAACATGGTGGCCTCACGAACCGCATCGCTTGCAGGCTCTCTCCTGCTCACTGCCGCCAACATTCTGATCCCGCTGTCGATTCTCGTCTTTGGCACTGGCTTCTTCCCGTATAAGCCGTTTCTCCCCGGACTGGCCGAGTTTGAGCCTCTCGAATATGGACCTCCGCCCAAGGCCCCCTTTGATAGACTTGTATTCATGGTAGTTGATGCCTTGCGGAGGTATGAATCGAATATCGTCTCTTCTCTCGTTAATGGCTCGTCCCCATACTAAACCGCAATGGCAGTGACTTTGTATACTCTGAGGGCTCTGGATTTCAATACACCCAACGGTCAGTTGCGTACATGGGTAGCTGCTTGCTTCATTCTCTCATACCCGAGTCCGTATAGCCTCATTCGAGATGGCGGCGCCGTTCCGTTCACCGCAAACGCTCGGTCTCCGACGGTGACGATGCCTAGAATCAAGGCCATCACCACTGGATCCATCCCCTCCTTTGTCGACCTGATTCTCAACTTTGACGAAGCCGACACCTCTTCCACGTTGGCCGCCCAAGACACCTGGTTGTCCCAGCTCAAGGCCAAAGACACGGGCAAGCTGCTCATGTACGGCGATGATACGTGGCTCAAGCTGTTCCCCGAGACGTTTGACCGGCACGACGGGACCTCTAGCTTCTTCGTCGCAGTAAGTGATGATTTTCCACTCTGGAATATCGTTTGATGGCTCTCATTCGCTTACACGCGCTCCCGCAAAGGACTTTACAGAGGTGGACAACAACGTGACCCGGCACATTCATCATGAGCTCGAAAGGGACGACTGGAGCTTAATGGTTCTCCATTACCTTGGCCTCGATCACATTGGCCACAAATCGGGACCCCGAAGCGCGCACATGCCAGCCAAGCAGCGTGAAATGGATGGCATCATCCACCAGCTGTATGAAGCGCTAGAAACCAAGAGCCACCTGCAGTCAACGCTGCTTGTGCTCTGCGGTGATCACGGCATGAACGATGCAGGGAACCACGGGGCGTCATCCCCTGGAGAAACGTCGCCCGCCTTGGTCTTCCTGGCGCCCAAGCTCAAGGAGATATCGTCCGGATACGCAGCCCCTGAGCGGCCCAAGAGCGAGTATGACTACTATTCCATGGTTGAGCAGTCTGATATCTCGCCCACTCTCGCCGCGCTTTTGGGGTTTCCCATTTCAAAGAACAACCTGGGCGCCTTTATTCCGGAATTCCTGCCCTTTTGGCCCAGCTCGAGCGACAAGGTGCAGATTCTCATCCGCAACGCTAGACAGATTCTCAACGTCGTCACGGCGGCATTTGGAGGCGAGCTCTTTGACGCGCGGGCTGCCACCGACCCGTGCGCTTCCATGGCCACGGACGTTGATGAGTTGGCCTGCGAATGGCGGAGCATCAGTTTGGACGCGGCCTCACAGGCCGATGCTGCAGTCGTTGACCAGGCGTGGCTGTCAGCGACGTCTGCATGGATCCGCAAGGCCCAGGACCTGATGAGCAGCATGGCATCCAACTATGACTTGTCGAGACTGGCTCTCGGCCAGGCTTTGGCTGTCGCTGCCGTCGCTGCGAGTCTTGTCGTCTTGGGCTTGCAAGGCTTCCAGCAGGCAGGTTTTCCCTTGCCGCTGTTTATGCTTGCGGCGTCCTACGGGCCAATGATGTTTGCCAGCAGCTACGTGGAAGAGGAGCATCACTTTTGGTACTGGACATGCACTCTATGGCTGGCTTACCTCGGTATTCGAGAGGTTGCAAAGTAAGCTGACCTTTGCATCGAATTCCTATCTATCAACGTTTGGTGATACTAAACTCTTTCCTTCTTTCTCATTCTAGATCCTCGCGCCTCTCCTCGATAGCAAGTCATGTAGCGTCCTTGGCTGCCCTCAGACTCATCCGAAGCTGGAACCAGACCGGCCAAAAGTATGCTGGCGAGCCGGACACTGTCAAAACTTTCCTCATCCCCCATCCCGAGCTCCTCTGGGCCCTCATCACCTTGGCGTACGTCGTGGTGAATTTCCAGACGCTCCAGAGCCTGTCTGGTATGCCTTACGTCCTGGCTACTTCATTGCTGCCAGCTCTCTTCTTGGCGACATTTACCTTTAAGCTGGCGTTTACTGCCGAGGATGCTCCCGAGCTGGTTGTGGGATTTGCTCGCAGCCTACTGGACATTTTCCAGGGCCCGACCCTCATCCTGCGAGCAAGGATCGTCTTTGGGCTGCTCGCAGCCTTGATGGGATTCGCCGTATACCGAGCAAAGTCTGGAGGGCCTCGAGCCGCTCAATCATCCGGTAAGTCTTCATTACGCACGTCACTGCCACTTCTATCGCAACTTACAACTGACAATATGAGACAACAGCCGAGCTCTCCCACCATCTATGCACCCTCCTCGCCATGACCCAGTCCCGCGCCACCAACATCCCCCTGTTCCTCCTCTCCAGCATCATCCTGCAGGCCCTCCAATCCGCCAACCTCTCCGTCGCCGAAATCACCACGTCCTCCATCATGCTCCAGCACACGACCTTCTTCGCCTTCGGGGGCTCCAACGCAATCTCCTCCGTCGACCTCTCCAGCGCGTACAACGGCATCAGCGGCTTCAACGTCGTCGCCGTCGGCGTCCTGACCCTCGTCAGCAACTGGGCCGGCCCCCTCTTCTGGACGTCGGCGACGAATCTGCTTCTCCTGCAGAACCGCCACCAGAACCAGCGACAGCCACAGCACACGACGACGGCGACCATGACCAAGGCGTACCGCAGCCACGTCGTCCTGCTCACCGTCTTCGCGTCGACGAGCGTGGCGTTTGTCATGGCGGCGTGCACGGCGCTGAGGACGCACTTGTTCATCTGGACCGTGTTTTCGCCCAAGTACCTGTACGCCATGGCGTGGAGTCTGGGGCAGCATTTGTTGGTCAATGTTGCCTTTGGGGGCTTTTTGTTTTGGCTGGGTGCATGAAGATGTCGAATGGATGTTTACATATTGTCGTATGTATTCAAAGAAGGGGGTCATTCCGTTGAGGTTTCCAAATTCCCAATACCCAATAGCTTAATATATCCATCTTTAGCAGTAGTAGAGCCAATCTACACATGTACCCTTTTAGCTCAATTCATAAACACGTTATACACATGGACCATGACATCCCCCAACAAGCCCGATCCTTCACACGTCCTCCATCTTGGTATCCTCGCCATCAGACAACAAGTCCTCCACGAGCGCGTCATCCCTCCCTCCGTGCTCCGGCACCACCGTCCCCTCGCTATCGCTATCATGCTCAACCTTGATCTTTGTCCTTTTCGCTCCCCCTTGCTCTTCCTCTTCTTCTTCTTCCTCCTCCTCCTCCTCTTCGTCGTCGTCGTCATCGCCCGCGCGCGACCCGGCAACAGACTGCCTGTCTCCCGTAGCTTCCGACACGGCCACCGACACGCTGCGGCTGGTGCGGCTATGCGCAGGTCTCTGCTGCTGCTGCTGCTGCTGCTCGTCGAGGCCGTTGACAATCTTGCCCAGGCTGACGTGGAGCTTGTACAGCGCGTTGCGGCCCGTCGTGTCCGTCACCAGGCCCTCCTCGACGGCCTCGCTGACGACGTTGTACGTCTCGCGGAGCTTCTCTTCCGAGGAATTGGGCGAGACGAAGAGCTTTCCGAGGAGGCCGGCGACCAGCTTCTTCTCGGCTTCTGTTTTTGGGACAAAAGCTTGTTAGCCATCATTTTACTTTATGATAAAGGGGGGAAGCAAGGGGAAGGGTATTCGGTTTCGAAAAACGTACTGCTTATGTTGCCGCGGAGCCTGTCGAGAATGTCGCAGGCAAAGTCAAGATGCACGTCGCCCTTGGGATTCTTCTTCTCCCCATCGAGGACGAGCTCGGGGCTGTAGCACTTGCGCGGGTCTGTCCAGTCTACCAAGCAAGCGCCAATGGTCGTCATGCTGACCATGTCTTCCTCAACGTCGACATCGTCGTCCTCCAGACCCTCGCGAAGGTTCAGGAGAGAGTGGAGCGCCAGCAGGGAAACCTTTCTCATGAGGTCCTGGTTCTCTAGCCGGGAGAAGCAAAAGACGGGTAAGAAGTAGTTGAGGGCTTGCCGGACCGTCTGGTTGGCCGAGGACGCGGGGTCAAAGTAGGCAACCACAAGCGACTTTAGCAGCTCTTCGCAGGCCTCGTCGTCCGTGATGACGCGCCCCAGGAGCAGCTTGGAGGCCGCTATGGTGGCCGCAGCTTGCACCTCGGACGACCTGCCGCCGCCCTTGACCGCCTTGACGTACACCTTGAGGACGGCCGGCGTGGTGGCAAGCAGCTGAGCTCCGTGGACGTTGAGGATGTCGGTCAGGATGTGCAGTGCTGTGATCTGCAGGGCAGTGTGTCCCTTGGTGAAGAAGTGGATGAAGAGCCCCAGGTTCTCCTCGGCCAAGGAGCGGTCGAGGAGGGCGCACAGTCCGAGGCAGACGAGCCCCCTCTCACGGACGGGCGCTTCGTGGCTCCGCACAGCCGGCACCACCAGATTGTTAAGCATGGATACCAAGTCTGTGTTGTCCTTGAGGTTCCCAGCGACGTGCGTCAGCATGCACTGGACGATGTGGAGGCACTTCAAGTTGACGACAATCTCCCTCACTGCCTTCTCATGAGCCTCCTCCTCGCTCATCTCAGGCTGACCCTTGTTTGAATCGGGCGCTGGGGTGTTTTCCCGGCTCCTCTGTTCTGAATGGGCAGAGACAAAGCTCTCGTCGTCTTCCCCGGGCAGGTCCACAATCGTATCGTGTACATCGGCAACAGCCTCGAGCACAACGCTGATGAACTCTCGTTCTCCAGCGGCATCGGGGGCGCAAATGTATCGGAGGGCTTCCATGGCAAGCTTCGTTACTTCGTCTGGGAGCTCTGGGATGGCGAGAGATTGGCGAAGCAGCGTAAACATCTTCCTCCGGCCGACCTCGTCAGAGTAGTCGAGGGTCAGCGCTATGTGGAGCATCTGCTCAAGGATGAACTCCTGTTCAACCGTGTCCTCCTCCTCCTCCTCATCGGCATCGTGCTGTGAAATTCTCTTGATGGCGTCGATCAGCACCTTCAGGTAGCGCTCCAAATAGAAAGCCAGCTTGGTGACTTCTGGCAGCTTCTCCTCGATCAGGGACTCGTACCGGCCCTCCCCTTCGGTGCGGCAGAAGTCGTTGAAGCTCCTGGCCATGAAGACAGACTCGGCCGACAAGGTCTCCCAGAAATGATCGTCCAAGACGACCGCCTCGCGATAATCCGGACGACCCTCCCAGAAGCCCTTCATCGCCTCGAGAGCCACCCCATTCTCCATTCCAGAGTTGATGATGTCGATTCTCTCCAGAAGCTCCAGCAAGCCATCAAAATTCGGCGGCGCCTCTTCTTGGGGTGCCACGCCGGCACAGTCCGCGATCCATCGCTCTCTGAACAGTCTTCCCGCCGCCTTTCGCACGTTCTCGTCTCTGTCGCGAAGGCCCCAGCGGAGCAGCTTTTCTCTCATCGACAGCGACAGATGGCGGAAGTCTCCCAGGGCTGGCAAGAGACGAGAGTAGACCGCCCTCCGAGTCGCGGCATCCTGGTCCCTTGCGCGCTCGAGAAGGTAGGGGAGCGTAGCGGGCACGATGGGAAGGTTGACGAGGAGAGACCGTCGGACATCGGCGCTCGGGTCGTTTTGTAAGACATCTAGCAGTTTCTCCAAGAGGCCAACTGATTGGTTGTCGCTGTCGTCCGAGTTGTTCTCGCCTTCGGGCTGGTTTCCGGCCAGTCGACCGAGGCCCAGCACCGCCTGCACGCGGACCATGGCCTCCTTGTCTCGAATTCGCTTCAACAGGTTGTTGCGAAGGCTGTGGAACAGGTCGTCGTCGATGGCGTCGAGGGAGTTGATGATGTGGGCGACAAGCTGGGTCGACCGGTACCGCACGTACTTGTCCTTGGCCTGCATCAGCGAGAGGGCGGTTTGAAGCACCTTGGAGGTGAGCCGCGTGCTCGGCGTTTCGGGCATCAGGCTCGCGTCGGGATCGGCGTCGTCCAGAAGCTCACTGTCCTTGTCCGAGGCATGCCGCAGGAACAGCCCAATGAAGCGGATCAGCTTCTCGCCCACGCTCTCCGCCTTCTTCACCGGCATGATGCGCAGCACGCATCGGACAAACTCGTCGTTGAACGCCTTCTCGTCGAATTCGTCGGCGGCTGGTTTCTTCGGGTTTATGGGCTCGTAGCAGCACGCTTCCTGAATCTTGCGGAGGTTGACGGCCAGCTTCCGATGCGTGGCCGTTGTCCGCTGCGCATCACGGAAGATGGCGCAAACCTGGGTTCGGAGGGCGTTGTCTGGTGTGTCGGGATGCTGCAGAGGGGCCGCGGCCTTCTTCTGGGTGGTGGCTGCCGCTCTCCCGGTGCGCGTCCCTGACCTTGTAGGCATCTTGTCTGCCTTTTTGTCGCCCTGCAGACGACAGATGTCCTGCGCTTGAAGCCGCAAGATACGGTGAAGCTCGAAGGAGAGAAAAAGGTGAAGTTGAGGTTGATGGTGTGTTGTTTAGGCGGCGCGTCGCTCACAGGAAACTGCCATCAACAATTATCCCGTTTCGGCATAACGCGGCGCTGGAACCCCGCCATCTGTAGTTGGCCTAGCGCCAAACATCTATTTACCGTAAGTACGGAGTATGTACATGCACATCGATAAGATAAGCTGAAGGTCCAGATTTTTTTTTTCCCTTAGCAGAGCATATTCGTGCCTGCATGGCGCTGCCAGAACTTTTATCTGCATCAACAGTCGAACAAGCAGCAGAAGCAGCAATTGGCTTCGCCTGCGGCAAAAAAGAAAAAAATCATGGCGCCTCCACAGAATGATCGAAAGCGCAGGAGGCAAGACAGTGAATCCTCTGCTGCCACAAGATCGCACGATCCGGATGGCGGAATCTCGCGGACGCCGAAGAAGGCAAAGGTGGAAGACCGACGGTCTGTCTTTGTGCGGTCATTGCCTCCCAGCGCCACGAACGAGAGCCTCGCGGACTTCTTCTCGCAGTATTTCCCCGTCAAGCACGCCACCGTGGTTGTTGACCAGAAGACGAAGGAGTCGAGAGGGTTTGGCTTCGTTGCGTTCGCCGACGCCGACGACGCCAAGGCGGCCAAGGAGGCATTGGACAAGAAGGAATGGGATGGCCGGCGGATTCGAATCGAAGTGGCGGAGCCCAGACATCGAAATCCCGACCCCGAGTCAGACGCAGTAGTCAAAAAGGCTGGAAGGGCTGGGTACGAGCCGCCTTCCACCAAGCTGATTATTCGAAACCTGCCATGGAGCATCAAGACATCAGACCAGCTTGCAAAGCTCTTCATCAGCTATGGAAAGGTTAAATTTGCCGACCTGCCCCAGGACAAGGGGAAGCTCAAGGGTTTCGGCTTCGTCACTCTCAGAGGCCGGCCAAACGCAGAGAAGGCTCTCGAGGCGGTCAATGGCAAGGTCATAGATGGCCGAACTTTGGCTGTGGATTGGGCTGTTGATAAGGCGACTTGGGACAAGCAGCAAACAGCGGAGAGCAAGAACAACGACCAGGAGCCCAAGGGCGGCAATGACGAAGAACAAGAAGATGAGAAAGCAGCAGCCGGAGGAAAGGACGGTGAGGTCAAGAACCGCGACGACCAACTGCAATCAGACCTTGCCAACTTTATGAAGAACTACATGCACAACATGGAGGACGAAGAAGATGAGGATGAGGGCGAGGAGAAGGACGACGACGATGAGGAGGAAGATGACGAGGATATGAAGTTACTGGATCAGGACGAGGAGGAAGAGGAGAAAGAGCCCGCCAAGCCGAAGCGGGAGCTGATGACGGACAATTCCTCCACTGTCTTTGTTCGAAACCTGCCCTTCACGACGACGGATGAGCAGCTTCAGTCCTTCTTTGGCCACTTTGGCAAGGTCCGCTACGCCAGAGTCGTCATTGACAAGGCCACGGAAAAGCCGGCCGGCACAGGCTTCGTGTGCTTCGTCGACGCGGCCGACGCAAAGGCCTGCATCGTCGGCGCCCCCCGCCGCGCGCAACCCCCGGCGGGCGGCGTCAAGCACTCCATCCTGCAGGACGAAAACGCCGACCCCACCGGCAGATACACGCTCGACGGCCGCGTGCTGCAGGTGGCCCAGGCCGTCGGCAGGAACGAGGCCGCCAACCTGGCGGAGAACTCGCTCGCCCAGCGGAGGCAAAAGGACAAGCGCCGGCTGTACCTCCTGGCGGAGGGCCAGCTGGGCGCGGGCTCGCCGCTGCGAGGCCTGCTGACCGACGCCGAGGTGCGGATGCGGCAGGCGAGCGCGGCGCAGCGCAAGAAGCTCGTGGAGAAGAATCCCATGCTGCACATCAGCCTGACGCGACTCGCCCTGCGCAACATCCCCACCGACCTCGGCTCCAAGGATCTCAAGGAGCTGGCGAGGAAGGCCGTCGTCGGCTTCGCCAAGGACGTCAGGGAAGGGCGCCGGCAGCCGCTCTCCAAGGAGGAGAACGCCCGGGACGGCAAGGACGCCAAGGAGAAGGAGAAGGAGCGCAAGCTGAAGCGCAAGGGCATCGTCAAGCAGGCCAAGATTGTCTTTGAGGACAACAAGGGGTCCAAGGTGTCGGAGGCGAGCGGGGCCGGCAAGAGCCGCGGCTACGGCTTCATCGAGTACACGTCGCACCGCTGGGCCCTGATGGGGCTGCGGTACCTCAACGGCCTGCAGCTCGACGCGCCCAACGGCAAGAAGCAGCGCCTGATTGTCGAGTTTGCCATTGAGAACGCGCAGGTGGTGAAGCGGCGAGAGGCGGCCGAGAAGGCGGCCAGGGTGGCCAAGGCCAAGGGCAAGGACGGCGCAGATGCTTCAGAGTCGGTGGATGACGAGGACGAGGACGGAGAAGAGGAGGCCCCCGAGCCAAAGAAGAAGACGACGAATGGGAAGCAAAAGGGCAAGAAGAACAAGGGGAACATGAACAAGGGCCCCATGGTGAAGAAGCCCGCCAAGGAGGAGGACGGCGACAAGGAGAAGCAGAAGGAGAAGGAGAAGAAGCCGACGAACGCAAAGGAGGCGATCCAGCAGAAGTTGATTGCGCGGAAGAGGCTGATGCGCAAGAAGAAGGCCGTGTCCAGGGGGAAAGCATAGTTTTGGGTTGTCTCTCTGTAATATCCAATGGCATGTGGGACTGATTGTTTTCTTTTCTGTTTGTATATGGATTTTTTGCTATGGGCTATACAAGGATTTGAGTTTCTTCTTTGTTTTTCTTCTTGAAATTTCACTGTTACTGCATACAGGCAGGCCTTTGAGCTGAGAGGTATCGAAAAGTTAAAAGGAATGAACAACGAATCAAGGAACCCCCCTATTTCCAAAACCACCCCGACTTCTTATCCTGCGTCTGCTGGTCATCTGAATCTGTGTCCCTTCGCTCAATGACATTGGCATCGCTGGAGGGAGCAGCGTCGACTCTGTGCGTCCTGTCGGCGGGACGCATGGAGAAGTGCGTCTCCGTGCCAATCTCGTTGCCATTCTTGTCGTACGTCTTCTTCGTGACCGTCGTGGTCAAGTAGCCGAAACTGTTGACCTTTTCGTCTCTCGTGACGACCTCTTTGACCCCATTGTCGTATACCTTTTCCTCCCTCGTGCTGGGTGGCAGAGAAGCTACTACTGAGCTATCGGTAGATGCCGGCTTATTGTCAGCCTTGGTGCTACTGTCCGTGATACTCTTGACGAATGCGTCCCACGTCTTGTGGCCCTCTGCAACGCTCGAGCTGATCGAAGAGAACAGATCGTCAAAGTGATCGGGGAGGCTCTTCTGATGCTGGCCTTGACGGTCTTCTCTGTGCGGCCTGTTGCGGCCGTGGAAGCTCTCTTCTAACTGCTTGAACACCTGGTGCACCTCGTCAAAGAAGCCGTGGCCGTGAGCTTCGCCGTTTTGCGGTTTCTCCATTGACGCGGCGCGGTTCCAAACCTCGGCTGCCTTGCGATCGAGCTCCTCATGGAGCCTGGACCAGTCGCTCCAGCCCGACTTGGACAATCCCCATTCGGCACCGGCATCGTCATCGTCTTCCAGCAGACCAAAGTTCCGCGGCCTGTAGTAAAGCTCCTCGCGAGTGGGCCGTCGAAGCAGCCCCTGGGATTCCAGCCGTCGAAGCCAGAACCAGGTGGGCTCGCCGTTGGAGAACATTTGCCGCAGCAGCTGCCGCTGGTCGTACCTGGACCTGATGTCAGGCAGGGGCTGCCCCTGCGAGACGGCGAGCAGGTCCTCAAAGGCATCCTCAAACGTGAAGACGGACGAGTCGCATTGCGGCGGCAGGTCATTCGGGACGGGCTGCTTGAGGTGGCGCAGGTTGAACGGCGCATAAGGCCATGAGGCGACTGAGACCGTGTCGAGAGCCAACGGGCGCGACTCCGAGTTGTCCATTGTGACCGGAGAAGAGGGCGGCGGCGGTGTCTGAATGTGATTGTTGCGAGCGTGACGATGGCGGGAGCTGTCGCAAACGGGCGTATCTGTATCTGGTGATGGGGGGGTTGACAGGTCAGATTGACGTAGTTGTATGTCTGGCGGCGGCTGTGGCTGGTGTTGAGCTTGGGATGGAGATTGAGATTGTAACGGAGCTGCGAAGAGAGAGTGAATGGCTGAATCGACGTGCTGCTTGAACTGGACAAAGACGTTTAGCATGCCGAGGACATGTTTGGATTGGCAATTCGTGATGATGGTGATGGTGAGGTGAGGTGCATTGAAGTTGAAGGTTGGTATAAAGGAGATAAGATAGCGGCGTGTCGAGCCTTCTAGACAGCTCCGAGTCTCATGACGGGGCCCTGCTGAGCCCCCAAGGTCTGGGCCATGATGGCGCACTGGCAGGTATCTGGAGAGTCCGCGAGAAGTACCAGGCAGCGCTAGACTGCGTGCATATGTACGCACTCTAGACATGGCGGTACTGCTGTGGCGGTGCATGAGGCGCAACTGCGAGCTTTCGGCTTTTTGGTAATGGTTCGTTCAATTCAGTGTCACTCGCCTTGATACGTGTATTGGAGACTTGTACAGTAGAGACGATAGAATGATGACGATTACGGAGGTTGAAGAGGTACAATCTCGCTAATACATAAGTACCTATACGATCAATGCAACTGTTCGAGTTACGCTCCTCGTAGGCACTGAGGTCTCCCGTAGCAGAGACAGACAAAGCAGATGATTCACCCACCAATTACACCTGTCAGATGCCTTCTTTGTCCCTTCGATCCACGTCCATCCAAGTTCATTCTTCAGTGATGACATAGCGTGGGGGTACGTACCTCGACGCTCTCCGTCATCTGCCTGCCAGCGGAAATTCGGCGCCAAGCCCGCGAACCAGCGAATACCTAACCAAGAACAAGTACCTTAATGACTGCATTTGCAAACCCGCATGTCCAGCTCCTTTTCGCACCATCATGAACCTCGTCTGTGCCTCGTGTCTGTCCGTCTCTGCTCTGCCTCCGCCGCTCGCTCCGATGGTACCTGGTCAGGCAATCTGCCTCGGCGTCCGGCGACTGTAGCTGCGCGTTTCTCCACCAAATCTCCGATCCTACCGTCACTGCTCTTTGCGTCTTCAACCTTCATATAACTATAGCCTTACCTTACTCTTTCTTCTTCTTCTTCGTTTCTTTCCCCCCCCTTTTTGCTTCTGAGACATCTCCCCTCCAGCCTCCAGCTCTTTCTTCTTGGCGGCGGCTGCGGCGACGATGAGACCACTCTCCACAGAGTCGACTCTGCCGACGTGGACCACCCTTATCACAGCGACAGTTACAGCACCACCCATAGCGACGGCGACAGGCGACCCCGGCCGAGGCGACGACGAAAGATGCCCTGCAGCGCTGGTCGTCCTTGATTGGCATCATCACGGCGATTGTGGGTAACGTCCTCATCGCCCTCGCTCTCAACGTCCAGCGGTATGCGCACACGCGGCTGCACAAGGAGCGCAAGAGGATAAAACGAGAGGCTCGGGCGGCCCTGAAGCGGGCGCAAAGCGGCAACGGCAACAGCAACAGCAATGGGAGCACCCAGGTGGGCGTCTACGGCACCATCCTCGGCGGCGACGGTGAACATCACAACGGCCATGCGGGCACAAACGGCAGCGGTCACCACAGCGGCCTGTACGATGCCCACTCGGACGACGACGACGACGAGCACGACTATCAGGAGAGCGAGCCCCTGATGGCCTCGTTCCAGTCCAGCGCCACGACGGCCAGCTCCGGCTCCGACTCCGACTCGGATTCCAACCCGCACAAGAAGCCATCCTCCAACTACCTCAAATCGCCGTACTGGTGGCTCGGCCAGGTCTTGATAACGTTGGGAGAGGCTGGCAACTTCTTGGCGTACGGCTTTGCGCCCGCCTCCATCGTGTCTCCCCTTGGCGTCGTTGCTCTTGTGTCCAACTGCATCATTGCGCCCGTCATGTTTCACGAGATATTTAGGCCTCGCGATGCCTGGGGTGTCCTGATTGCCGTGTCCGGTGTCGTCACCGTCGTCCTGAGCGCGAATCAGAAGGAGGAGAAGCTGAAGCCTGACGATGTGTGGGGGGCCATCACGACGATGGCGTTTGAAATCTACCTTGGCGTCACCACGCTGCTCATTATTATTCTCATGTGGGCGAGTGCCAAGTACGGCAAACGGACCATCCTCATTGACCTCGGCCTCGTTGGCCTCTTTGGTGAGTAATGAGTGATGCCTGCTGTCTTTTCCTGTCTTTTCTTGGCTGAGGCTAACGGTCACGCTTCCAGGAGGATATACGGCCCTGGCCACCAAGGGCGTATCGTCGATGCTCTCCACCAGCTTTCTGGCCGCCTTTACAACGCCCGTCACGTATGCGCTGGCCTTTGTCCTCCTCTCCACTGCCATTATGCAGATTCGCTATGTCAACAAGGCCCTGTCCCGCTTCGACTCGACCCAGGTCATTCCCGTCCAGTTTGTCATGTTTACACTGTGTGTCATCACTGGCAGCGCGGTGCTATATCGCGACTTTGAAAAGACGACCAAGAAGCAGGCCGCCAAGTTTGTGGGCGGCTGTCTGCTCACTTTCTTCGGCGTCTTTCTCATCACCTCCGGCAGAGACCAGCATGACGACGATGACGACGAGGATAGGCTGTCCGAGACCGACGGCATCGAAGAGACGATTGGGCTGACGCAGCACGACGGTGGCGTCTCATCCTCTGCGCTTCCTCAACCGCAACGTGAGCAGCAGCGGCGCCCCAGCCTGCCGCCTCCCAAAACGCCCTCTCGACGATCTAGCAGAATGTCGCGAGTCAGCTTTGCCGACGCGCTCAAGTCGGACTCGGCCCACGGCGCCATCGAGCCACCGTCGACGCATGAGTTTGAACCGGCAAACTCCCCGGCACACCTCAGCGGCGACGAGGCCCATGTGCTGGTAAGCAACCCGTGGCAGGGCCTGTGGGTGAGCCCGGATCCTCCCCGGGGTCCTCGGACAATCTCGGCAGAGTCCGTTCTCACACGGTCCGGCTTGGGGTCAACGCCGGTACAGCCGCATCCCCTGGCGTCTATCAAAGACGGCCAGGAGATCCCAACACACTCCACCGATAGACCAGTGACGCCTCGAGCGGCACACAGTTCCAAAGCGGCCAGCCACCGGTCGAGGCCGTTTATCTCTCCCTCTCCCTTCTCTTCCACAGTCACGACGGCGGTCAAGGACGTGATCCTTCGGGAAAACGACAGCCCCGAAGCCGCCGCCTCTTCTTCTCTACGACGCATACGATCGAGCATTCGAGCGAGTCTCTTCTTTAACAGCGATGACGAGGATGCCGTCATGCCGCAGCGCATCGCGGAACAGCCCATCGTGCCCTTTTCAGACGACAACCTGCCGCAAGCCTTGGGCCACGACGATGCCGGGCCAAGCAGTAGTACAGCCCCCACCAAGGTGTCCAGGGGGAGGTCGCGAAGCCTCAGCGACACGCTGGGGGAATTTTTCCGCCCCAGGAAGCAGAAGAAGCAGGAGGCGTCCGATGAAGACGACACGCAGTTAGACGGCGGCGACGAGCAGCCACTGAATCGCGATTCATAATTGTAATATTCACTCACATGTCATCTCATTCGCGGGCGGTTTACAGTCATTACATATTAATTCACGCATTTCCACCATTCACGACACGTCTCCTTGTCCGAAGATGGCCGCTCAAAAGATATATAGGGGGGTTCCGCACGGTATGATGCACTTACCGTGTCTGGCGTTGTTGCTTTTCTTTCCTTTTGATCATCTTTACTTTTGGCATCATGTTTGTTTGGCCATCATATGAACCGCGGGCCAAAGAGCTCGAATGACATGAACGAAGGCCCGGGGAGGGGTGGGCGGCAATCGGGTTTCTATTTTTGTGTCTGCCTATGGGGGGGTGGCTTGTTTTATTTCTTTCTTTGCTTTCTTCCTTATTCCCTCGTTTGCATTGTTTTTTGCGCCAGGTTTCATTGGGCTTTTGACGATAGTAAAATGAAGATATGGCTGTGTTGGCTAGGCGAGATGAATTAAGATGGGGTTCATCAGCCCCTTTTTCTCCCTTTACCTGAGCATCTGGCCATGTTTCTTTTATAGGTGACGATATCATTAGTGAGCAGCTGCTTAGTAGACCTGTCTCGGTTTCTGGGCTGAATTGGCGGCGTCGCGATTTACAGCCACAATCAATGTCCAAGAGAGATTGTATGGTGTATGGTGTGATTGAGCATGCTGATCCAGGCCCTCCTGAACGCCTCTATTACAAGTCTCGTTGGGCGGCCCTTGAGTATTCTAGATCGAGGATTGATTTGAAATCTGGTTGTTGACGGACAAATCCGTTCGCAAAGCCCTGTCTGTCTCTAGGTATACCTACTCGCACCTCACTTACTATTGAGGTAGGCAAAAAAGGCAAAAAAGTCAAGTTATGAAGGGCATTGAACCCAACCCGATTCGAACGGATAACCTTCAGGAGATTCCAAAGAGAACTGGAATCTGACGCGCTACCGTTGCGCCATGGGTCCCTCGTTGTGCTTTTTAGGCTTGGAAATTCAGTCTAGAAGGCTTTTGGGGCGGGGGAATATCCGCGTTCCGTTTTAGACGACGGCGTCTTGTCTAGTCCAGGAGATGCAATGTCAGAAGGGATTCTCTTCTCTTCTATCTCTATAAAGTGGACTTATGGCGTGCGTTGCTACGGCTGGGCTTTGCATTGGCAGTTTGGAGTCGGTATTGCCAAAGATGTTCTTTTTTTTTTTCTTCGAGCGATCTCGTGGGATTTGGTTCTGTTGAAAAACTGTACTTGTTTCGCTCGGCTGCGAGACAAATCAGGTAGTCAATTCTTCTGAGGCTCGAGGTGAATTGCTTGAATTTGAGAAGACGCAAGGTCCAACTAGGAAGTGTCAGAAGGTTGCAAGATGGTTTTGAACTACCTATCTATGCTACAAAGCTGATGTTTTAAGCAGATACCCATAGATCAATAGCCTTTTCTATACTTTCTAAAGCTAGCGGGAAGTATGCATAGCTTGCGCAGTTGTAGTGAAGAAACTGAACGACGCAAGATATGCCCTTTTCCCGTGTACATAGGATAGCGGTGAGAACCGGCCAGGTGTGATAAAAGTCTCTTTCATCCTACACCTCTTTGAAACGGAAAAATAGGCAACTAGAAGCCTATTTCACAACAAAATGCGTGTCTCACTCTCACATCGAATCACTTCCTCGGTCTAAGCTCTACAACTTTCGTAGAGGATCAGGGCTTTCTCCATGTTGTTCCCCATTTGGAGGCGATTTTTACCTTCAACTGCCATTCTGCCAGATCCTTGTAAAGTCGTACCAAAGCCCAGAGTTTGCATCCGTCCAACGAAAGCGAGCATGCTGTATTGCTCACAGTCCGCACCAGCTCTTCTTAATGCACGCATTCAAAGCCGAGGTTTTTTTGTCGAGACTTCGAACCTCAAAGGACATGATGATGGAAGGCAACAACTTCAGCCAATCAGCCAGCCCCCGACCTGGCGCAAGGCTTATGGGACGTACTTTTTCGGTCGGCATTACACAGCGGACCCATGGCGCAACGGTAGCGCGTCAGATTCCAGTTGCAATTGGAGTCTCCTGAAGGTTATCCGTTCGAATCGGGTTGGGTTCAATGCCCTTCAATCTCTTTTTTTTTTCTTTTTGCAAAAACATTGAAAGGGCAATTGTCGCCTGGACAACAGTTCGTATATCTCGACGAGTTTCAAACACCATCCCCAACACTTGATGTTCAACCATTATCCTCTGGAACAAAGAGAGCAATAACAGAAGCAAAGGGCCTCAAGATCACATATCTAGTCTCCACGCAGTCGTCAATGATGGCCTCAAAGTCGTTCCAGCAGCATGGAGTTTTCATACTTGGTTTTGTTCTTTTTGTAATGGCTCGTATAGAATCATGGGAGCTGAGTTGATGCACAGGACTTGGGTAGAGGAGGAGGCCATCTGCTTCTATAGACCTGGCCTGTTTCTGGCACACATATTGTCTTTGAACTCTGAGGAATCTATACGCAGCATGCCAACTGGGTAAGATCGAGAGCTCGCTCTGGCAGCTGTTTTATGACAAGTTGCGCGAGTTGTACTCGAGTTGTGCTCGAGTTGTTGTCCCATTCACCTTCAAGGCCCATAGACCAGAATCGTATGTACGTACAGTCGCGTTTCAACCTCAACATGCTTTGAACAGGTTCTGTAGTCTTTCTCAATTGTCTGAAAACTGCAACTTCCAAAAGAGCGACTGTGTCGACTTTGGATCATGATCCGCCTTGTTCATGTCAGGCATATGTATGTGTAGTTACAGTTTGCTTGATGAGCTGCCAGTCATGATTGCCCTATACCTAGTAGGTTAAACTCATCCACTCCGCTCGGAAGCCATGGCGCCGGAGTATCAATCACTAGGCATGTAATCGAGAATCAAAGAGGGGGACTCATAACGCCCCCACGACTGCTGCGCTGTATACTAATCAGGGACCTTCGTTCTATGAAGTCACTCTCCTCAGACATGTTTGGCGACTGCTGAGCGGTTGTGCATATATACCGTATTGTAGCCCACACATATACCCTTCTAATTCAAAGCCTTTTGACGGCATCTGCCTCTGGATCGGGCATACGGATAAACTTCTTTCATATGAGTTTTCGATACTGGCAATGCCAGGGAGCAACCCATGACTTTTGCTTGACTGATGCTCTTCACATCGTTTATAGACAAGTTTCTAGAATGAGAATGCTCTTGTCGTGTATGGAGTGAACCGAGTCCGGTGCAAGCACATAGTAGGCATCTCGTAGCTGATCTGATACAAAGATCGATAGGCTGCAGCCCCATACCAGGAATATCCAACAAGTAGCCTCGCCTCACAAGAGTCGCCGACTTCGGTATCTGGGGTGAAGCTTACCGTACTCCGTTTCCATCTCGTTTCGGCACATGGACCTGGATGTGTAGGTATTGTAATACTAGTATATTGGAGTGACCAAGACCAACAACACGTGCTCGCAAGCCTGATCATGGGGGCGGGAACAGGTTGGCCTGTCGGTGGAATAGGTAGGTAGGTATCAGGATCCCAACAACTATTGCCAGCCATACCGCTGCTCCGTAATGCTATCAGGACAGATGGCAGCCAGATCTGTCTGGATTCGTCTCATCTGCACCAGCATGCGCAAGGGCTCGTGCATGTAGTACCATAGAGCTGTCCCGGCTAGGCGGTAAGTAAGGTATACATGGACCACCGTGGTAGAATTCCCAAGTAAGGTAGGTAGAACAAGGCTGGCCACATGAGTGATCAAGGGTTGTCTTACCTTGCCTGAGTGGTGATCAATACATAAAGTACCTTGTCCCACGAGAGAGGCGAGCGAGGCGGTGACGGCACCTTAGGTCTTACAACCGTTCCACTAATGAAGACGACGTCCCCGGCCGGCTGGAATCACAAAAGACGAGTCACCTTGAGCGGAGATTTTGCCATGCCCTTGACAGCGATGCTCAATGCCCGTGCGTGTACATACAGTAGGTAATACCTAGTACTGGCTGTGCCTTGTAAGAGCAGTGCTTATACTACCTTACCTTAGATAGCACTACACAGGTGCCGGTAACACTAGCACCAAGGATGAGGGACGGCCCGTCTACGGCGCTTTCCGGGAGGTCCACTGGCATTCGGTGACGATGTTGACGATGGATGAGAATGGCGGTGACGGTTGCCGGGAGAAGCACCAAAGGTACGATAAAATGCAGTGAAATACTGGTTCGAAATTGGAGGTTGATGCTAGGCATACTTGGGGATACATGCGGGCAGGCCACACAGCGATGGGGGCCTCTGCAAGATGACGCCTCACTCTGCTTCCCACAAACAGCGAGCAGAAAAAAAGAAGAAAAAACGTGGCTGCAATCCCTGCTCTCGGATCCTCTGCCCTGCGAATACGAATAGCCAAAATTAGTCGAAAGGAAAGACGAGATACGAGATCATGCGGAGTCGGTATGCATACAACTACTACTAGTAGTACTGCAGCAAGTACTACGTATGTGAAAATTGTATGTAGATGCGCTTATGATCGTGCCCAGGCCCCATTTGAGCTGGGGCGCTAGATGAGATGCTCGCCAGAAATCGGCGATGTGAATGAGCAGCGAACCACAGAGCCCCAATGCATTTGTAATACTACTACTACTTAGAAAACACTGAATCCAAGCTGCGAAGGAAACAAACCAGCTGGCGGCGAGACGGCACCTTGCTTCCTGGGCCAGACCGCATACGGGTGGGTGATGCTAGTAGCCATCGGTAGGCGAGATGGGTTGAAGCCGGGCACGAACCCCCCATGCAATCTCGTGGGGGATATTTTTAGGTTCCGTCACACCGCACGAATCTCACGTCTCTTTTTGGCCTTGTATAACAACGGGAGTCCCGTACATGCGAAGAGAACCTGCAGTAGACGTTGTGAGCATCAACAAGTTAGGTACTATGAGGAAGTGTGTGTGTGCGTGTCGTGGTCAAGCTCGAAACATGTTCAGATCCCATGATCAAGACGACTCGGTCAGGAATGCAGTGCAATGTAACCACTTCCACCCGGCCGCAAAGAGTCGTCCGTGCAAGTGCGCCGAAGCGGCAAGCGATCGCCGGGCCCGGCCATCAATTCTCGGACCCGACAATTCCACCCCCAACACGGAAGTTGTAAGCACGTTGCCACCTTGCCAACAAGAGTCTACGAGTACAGTAGGTATACGAGTTCCCTTCTATAAGGGACCCCGGACATTTGCCCTTGCCCCGGCCCGTCTGTCACTTACATACATACCTGTACAGACACCACCCCGCTTCCGTGCAACTCTGACCGTGGCTCCATGGTCACTTAGTTATAGGATTGCCACTGCTACAGTAATGGTGGTCAGGAAAACAAATCAAAAGCGTCCATACGAAGGGTCCTTTGATGCTAGGGTATTTGCAACTGGCTCGGTGCAGAGACGGTATCCATTGGTGGTTCAAAGGAAAAGAGAAAGGTCAGGCGGGTTATTATAGGGTAGGCAATGAATTACCTACCTACGAGAAATGCCCAAGATCTGGAGGCATACGCAGGCAGCATTTGCGACGTGAAAAGACAAATACAAACCCTTTTTTTTTCTTTTTCGTTGTTTATTCCTCGGGTCTATGGCATGACGAGACAATCCATGCCTATATACCTAGGCATTCCACCTCTGCCTCCGTGCTCTTGCATATGCAACCCAGCGAGTCAATGTCTATGTCTTGCAGCTTGCCTGCATGGAGCCATTACCCAGAAGCTCGAGCCAGCTGGTCACATGCGTGCTTCACCACGGGGGGCTATCTTTTGGTGGCAAAGGTAAGGAGAGCTGAGAATCTTCAGATAAACGAAGCTAAAAATAGACCTGGAATAAGATACTACATGGAAAGAAGGCCTGTGAAACTGCCATGCCATGCCGGTCCCCTTCTCGAAACTCGCGAGAAACGGCTTGTCGCATGCTCTTTCTTCTCTGCAAAGACATCCAACATCAAACATAAGGCATATGTAGGTTAATACATGAAACGATGCCCAATGCGTCATGCTCCCGTGTTTCAACGTCTTCATCAATGCAATGCTCGCATCGGCCGATCCGCAACGATGCGTGCGATCACCTCCCCCCTCAACGTGGCGAGCGGAGTCTTCGTTTCTTCCCCGGCTTACCTACCCGTGCATTGAGCATCGAGCTCAAGGTCAGCCAAAGGATGCGACGTGCATTCATCCCGTCTGCCTGTCCACCTCTTTCTCTGTCGCAAAGAGATCCTTAGATGGATGGATGCTGTTGGCGCAATCCTGGCTCCTCTTCGTGCCATCATGCCATATCAGGAAATACGCTGCGTGCCCTCTTGCCGGCGCCGTAAATAGCCTCAACTTCGTCCTCGTTCCTGTCCTAGGGGAGTCTAGTCCCGTCTTCTTCTATTCCTGCATTCTTCCTTTCTTCTTCTAATCTCACTCAGGTAAATTAGAGCCAGGCGAATTCTACCTGTTTCTGTACCTTTACGCAGAATGGCATAGCGGCAACCCGCGATGCGCCAATGACACGGCTCAGCTGAGATTCCCGCAGAACTTAGCCGGAGCAGCAGCTTCTCGTTGCTGGCCCTGGAATATCACCTTACCTGTATTACTAGTACGACATCGCAATAAAGGCCCAAGGGCAGCAGCAAATGAAACGGCCCAATCGCTGCTATCCGGGGTGGCGGACCCCCTTCGGCTGCGTTGCGAAAACCGGCCTAGTCACAGAGTAGCACGATTTGCTTCCAAAGTTGCACGATGTGCTCCATGTACTTGTACGACTCTGCGACTCTGCGTCGTCGCACCCTCTGCTTCTCATTCCCGTCCTTGCACGCTGGCGCCTCGGACGCTACTCCTCCCTTCCGTCGATTGGAAAGCAAGAGAGGAAGAGAGAAGACGACGAAAGGACAGGGAAGAGGGCAACGGGGAAACCAGGCTAAAACCGCATTCATCTGGTGGCTAACATCACCACCACCACCACCACCACCAAGTCAATCAAACAACCGATCTTATATGGGTCGCGAAAGTAAATGAGCATAGCAGAAGTTCCTCGGATGCGGCTGCCCTCTCCGCGCTGTTAGGCTGAGCATCAACATTATGGCTATGGCAGCGGCTTCGGTCGGAAATTTGACCAGCTGGTGATTGGGGGAACGGCTCGCCGACGGGGATTGGCAATCACAATCGCCAAACAGCCTGATATCGATATTCATCGTCCCCTCGTAGGCAGAATCCTGACGGCCGATATCCGGGGAGATTGGCTTCATCAACAAGTCGGCCATCTGGTACCTAGGTCACAAGAGATAAGCGACCAGATGCATGTACTCCGTGTTCCGCACCCAGCACTCTAATAAACTCGACATGGAGATTAGAAAGTTGATGCGGACGACTAGTAGTCGTAACGTAGCACACAGTACTCGCTCGTCCTCACCACTAGCAGTGACACGCCGGTGTGCTGTGAATGGCAGGGATCAACCAAGTTCGCAGTACAGAGAGTGGCCAAGAGCTGCTTGTTTTCGTGATGGGAGCTTTAACAGGTGCCTCGAGCAAGGGCCTTTGCTTGGTGTTGCCCTCCCCCAGGAAGTGCGAGTTTGCAATGATATCGTGAGACAGGCAAAGTCGGTGCTGGGACTTCGTATCGCCTCCCACCGCGTGTGACCGCAGCAGCCACAACGCAAATAATATAGAACAGCATTCCGCATCTTGGGTGATGCGGCCAGAAGCACGGACTTTTCGCCCTGAGGCTGCGACAAGTACGAAGTACCAAAGACGATGTACGCAAGCAATCGGGCAACGGTGAGCAGCGTGCCGCTGATGCAGGGGGGTAACCTGAGGCTGAATTCGTACCTGGACACTTCCGTCGGCCTGGAAGTGTTGAAGGCACGAGCGGAGCTGCGCTGGGGGATCCCTGAGTGCTTCACCATGATGGAGATGCGACGGAACGGACCCATCCCCGCCTTGGCTTCATGCGAAGACGCGCACGTACAGTAGAGACGTACAAGTGCGGTGTTGTTAGTAGTACAACTACTAGGTACTCGTAGGAGGCATGTACTCGTATGAATGCAGCTTGTGCGAGACGCGAGCGCTAGCAATCGTGCCGTGCAGCGCGGTCCATGTATGTCCATATGCGATGGCCTTCAAGTGGAAAACCCCTCAGGCAAAAAGAGGGACCAGAGCAAAGAAGAGCAAGAAGCCGAAGCCAATGCAGAGACGCAAAGTCTCGGAGCCGGACGGGGAGAATGAAGCCCAGAGTAGCAATCGGCCGGAGGTTGAGGCAATCCATGGGCTCCGGATGAGACGCCGCAAGCTGGTCGCTTCTTGTTCTGTGTAGCGGTCACAATTGATCACCACTGGCTGTCTTCCCCGTGTCGACGAGACGGGTGCTGCTAATCACGGACCCTTGGGCACCTCTGTCTGGCAAGGCCCTACCAAGATTGCAAGGCTCTCGCTGCAGCAGGGCCTGGCCACGCCAGACCGGGGGGCCATGCCTGTCCCCCAGGGCCAGACTAGGCCTCAGCCAGACGTTTCACGACTGCTGTCCGGCCCGGAGAGCCAGTCCGTGGTGATCAAGAAGGAATCCCAGGGACCCTCGCCCGCTGTCCTCTGTTGTTTCTCGATGGCCTCAAACTCCGTTTCTCTCCAGAGGGGGAAGTGGATGGTAGCGGTATTGTACTAAGCAGGGCAAGGTGCAGCATGGGCTTCCCTGCCGAAGCAATCTCGAGCGAAGTTTTTTTTCCCGTGTCGCCCCCACACATGTTTCTCGGGTCTGGTAGCACAAATAAACAATAAGGCAACCTCACGATTTCGACCCTGTTCCCTGTTTGTGCTCGTAAGAGCTAGTCGGCCGTACAAGGTAGTACATGGTAGTAGTATCTCCATTGGTTGGTGTTGCTTTTGAGAACAGTTCGTCCCCAAGAACAGCATCCTGGTCGTCACAGTAAGGTGTTATCGCCGGGCTCGCACTTGCTGCCTTGTTGCGTCACTGTACATACGAAGCCATGCAGCGGACGTCAGCTTTGTACCCGAGCAGCTCTGCAGGGAGGGTTTCACTGCCACTGTCGGCCTGTTCGTGTCTGCGTGCGGTCGGAGAACGAAGATGAAGATAAAGTTGCAAATGCCAGCAGCACGATTGACCTGTACAGGCAGAAGAGAGGAACCACCCGATTGACCTCTGCACATTGATGATGTGGAGGCTGAGCGAATAAAAATTCTTCAGCAAGAGCCAAGGGCCAACGTTCGCGTTCGTTCCTGCATCTGCGTGCTGCATGTTGGAGGGGAAGGTGACCGCATATCGCCGATGACTAGTATGCAGGGCACTTGCCTAAGTTAGGAAGAGAGCGGACGTATCTGTACGAGGCTGGCCTTCGCGGGGACTCTGGTAAGGCACTGAAGTGTGGTACAGTACCTACCTTACTTGGGCTTTGCCCTTGTACGTGTAATTCCATTGGCTCCCTGCATGATGGGGAGGATGCTGGCCTGATGAAGCGAGTATCAGTACTCCGTACTTCCACTCCAGGTTCGTACCTGCCACCACCTTCCTTAGCGTATTACCTCGGGGACAGGTTAAGGTATTGGGTACCTAGGAGGGTCCGTGGCAGAAGGAAGCTCATACAATTCCATGTACGAGTACTCGTAGTTGTATTATGTAGGTGTCGGCACTAAGCTTACATCTCCCAGTCGCAGGAGTGGAAAGCCTTCCTCTCAGACCTAAATTATCACATCACTCACTCGTCTTGGCATTGAATATCCCGTTCTGGCAAAGAACAAGCGTAGGGGAATACGACGAATGAGGTGCCGAGAGGTCAAGGGCAAGCACGTTATCGGATGCAGCTCCTCCCGACCTACATAGTACATACAGAGGCAGCAAGCACAACCTGAACGTCCAACCTGCCGCGACACACCGAGTGTAAGGTACGTACGATAAGGTACATGCACAGCAATGCCACCTGCCAAGGGCAAGAAGACATCTCGTTGCTCCTGCAGCGCGGACCCGATGCAGCGGATTGGGCCATTGCTCGGTTAGCGCCACGCAGATCCTTGCCCTCTGGCCTCTCCGACGCGTGGATGGGGTCAGAACTGCTCTGGGCTCCTGCCAGAAGGATTCACTGGGCTGCTTGTCCTAGTACCGGGACAGACACGCTCTGAACATGACATTTTTGCTGTGGAACTTGGACGAAATGGCCCTCCACTCCGTGCAAGCCCCAAGCTTCAGTAACTGACTGCGCCCAAGTCAGACGCTTTCTTATTAATCACCTACCTTAGGTACCTGCACAGATACCTGCCTCTGTGATATTTCAAACTGACATACAGGAACACTTATAAGCACAGCGCAGCAGTACCCTTCTGAGGTACCCTATGTATACGAGTACTTGTACAGGTTGACAGGCACCGCCAACTTGGAAGTGCCAGCTCCTCGCCGTGCCTGGGCGCCTTGGCGTGTGCTAGCGCAGTTGTGCCTGCCACGCCAGGCACGGAATCCTCCCGTGTCGTCGCGCGTTGCTTTGGGCTTAGTGCAAGTACCAGTACTTGACGTCGGCAACAGGGTTCCTGGACTCGTGCTCTGCAGATTGCGACTCTCGCACCGACTCTCCACGATCCATCACCAGAACCCGTCATCTGCCATTTATCGATCGGGCTTTTTCACTAGTCGCTCCTTTGTCTGGCTGGTAGTACTATCACTATCTTCATCTTCGGCTGCGCAGCTAGACGAGAAGCGCTTCAAATGCCTCGGATCCAGCTGGCGAACCGTTGCCTCTCGCCTTCTAGAAGCACCCGCAGAACGCCGACTCGGATATTAACGCGGCTGCGTGCCTTTGCCTACGGCCAGGGACCGACCGATAGGGCACGTACTCGTACAGGCACTACATCTCCATTACTCGTATCTCAGGAGCTCGGAGTACGCCGTGCGATTCTGCGCCAACATATGTACATACGCGGGCGGTCCTCGCTCATCTCGCAATGGCGTGCCTCGAAAACAGCCGGTGTGCGACACGATGCGGTGCGATGCGGTGCGCCGTTACAGCTGCTCGCGATTATACGGATTGAATGTTCCACTGCGTCCAACTATTCGCTGCCTACCTCACCTTACTTCTGCGCTCCGTGCTTGGTGCTTGGTGCGGGCACCGCGTTCCTGCAGCGCAGGCATTACACGCTCTCTTAGGCCACGACGCAGCTGCAGGTTGCATCACGCTTAACTGCTGCCTGTGTTGTTGCATGGCACGCATATGCTTGCTTGCAGCCTTGTCCATCACACGAGCCTTGGGGTGCTCTCCAGCTCCTGGTCCGCACGCCATGCTACGTACCTGCAACCCTGAAGTGCTGGGCTCAGTCATTCCGTTCTGTTCGTGCAACTCTGTCGGCCATTCGTCTGCATGCTGCGGGTGACAAGAGTGCGTCCAGAGATCCATATCAAGTACATGTACTCCATACGGACGTACAGGGTTGCTAACCATCCCAGTCATCGTTAGGATGCAGTAGTATCCTAGTCTCTGTCCAGGGGGACTTGGGAGCCCTGTCCGCCGAGGGACCAACACGGAGCTATTCCCCAGCACCCATCGTCTCCATCAGACCCCTCCCTGTTCTGTTGACGACGCTACGAAAATCCACCCTCGAAGAGGTCCCGCGGTCCAATCTCCTGAACTGACCTGGGGTCATGGCCAGACCCCAGCCTCTGGGAATTCTGGTAACAAGCCTCGTCCTGGGGCCCTGGAGGAAAAGCCCTCGTGCTGCAGTACTCTCTGATCCCACCCAAGCACAGCTCCCAAAGAACCAGAGAGTATAATAATACCGGCACCGCTGCGGTCGCGTCTCGTGCTGATGATATCCACTCCAACGCCTCGCCTTGGCCGAACTGTCGATTGCGTTCATCATAAGACTCCCCTGGGTCATCTTCATACACTTATGGAGCACGGAGCACCGCATCCTTACATGCACTCATACGAATAAGCGGAGCCCAAGCGCAAGACGAAAAAAGCAAAGCAGCCCAAAAAAGAAAACAAGAGGCCCCTCATCGCTTTGCTTCACCCTGGAGCAATCAGTCTCGCCGCAGATCCCCAGAGGGCATGGTCTCTTGTCGCCCTCGTCCGAACCCTTGACTCGCAATGTGGAGCATGAATGCCATAGCCTTCTATTCTGGCCACCCGGCGCCGCAGCAGGTTCCCAGGGCCAGGCCTCAGACGTCGTCCTACTGGTACTTGAACAGGTCGTCGACAGCTCCCTCTTCTCCTAACCTCGACCATACACCATCCGAAATGTCTCCCATAAGTGCCGCCGAATTCTTCGAGCCTGCCATGGACAGGCCACCCTCCCCAAGCAGACTTCGGCAGCTGAACTCGCAAATGAGGCGAGCATCGCAGCTGCGCCGCCAGAATGGACACCGCACCGCCGCGTCGGCATCTGTGGCTTCCAACGTCGACAATCCCGGGTGGGAGCAGACCTTGGAGAATCTGTCTCTCGGCAGACGGTCCTCCGTCAAGTCCACCGGCAGCAGCGCCCACTCGCGCGAGCGCTCAGAGAGTGTCTTCGGCAAGAACCCTTTCCATCGACGGGTGAGATCCAAGCGGGAGAGCAGCGCCAACTCCTCGTCGGCTAGCTCCATGTATTCCGCTGAAGTACCAGCGGACAATGCTGCTGCCGCGCCTCCAAAGGAATCTTTCATACAGGCTTTCGCCAGACGACGAGCTTCGCGAGACGACGCCGCCGCAGCACAGAAGAAGCTGCAGATATCGGGTCCTTACAACTTCCAACATGTTCTGCACACGAACCGCGACGAACGCCCACTGCAGGAGGCGCCCGAGCTGCTAACCATGCGGGCGACCGGCCCGACAAGCGCTCCCCATGCTGCCGCCTCGACCGAGGAATCTGGCCTTCTGTTCCACCCCGACGCCTACAACGACTCTGGCGCCTTCTTCTCCAAGCCCGCTGCCGCATCGCGCGAGACGCCCACTCCGCCTGTCGGGCCTCGTCGATTGATGAGGCGAATTCGATCGCAGGATCAAATGGGAGGCACGCCTTCCATGTCACCACCGCCCAGACCACCGAGGTCTCCTATCCCTCCCCCTGTGTCGCAAGCCGACTCTCCAGTTTCGCCCTCTCGCAGACCGAGCCTCCAGGTGGCGTACGAACATGGAGAGCAGCTTCCGATTGTCAACATCGAACGCCCCAAGACCAGCGGAGGCTTCCGGCATCCGTTGCCGTATAACCCCGACGAGCAGGTCGAGCCGCTCCCGCCTATGCCCATCTTGACTACCCGCGAAGACTTCCACTTTTCTAAGACGATGCTTTCGCCAATCCAACCTTCACCTACTCGCGAAGACTTTCCTGTTTATAAGCCAATGCTGTCGCCAATCCAGCCTTCACCTACCGAGCCCTCTTGGCCACTCGCCAGCCCTACTTTGGCATCATACGAGACCCCGCTTGCCGATGTACCGGAAGAAGACGAGCAGAACGGTCCTGCTCGGCGGTCTATTCGGGCCAGCCAATCCGTTCCCATGCTTCGCAAATCTCATCGCCCGGTGAGCAACGCGTCAGAAACGCTTGGCAGCCCCCTTCCGACGCCGGTACCGCAGCATGCTGCTCCGGAGGGTCACGGGTTCGACTTTGGGCTCGGCGACGAGAGCTGGGAAGATGATATTGACTATTGCTACGAGCACGAGGCGGAGGCGGACTGTGACTACCAGTGGGAGCGTGAATCCATTGATACCGCTCGCGATAGCGATACCCTCCCGGTGGATGTGAGCTTTGCCCCCGAGGAGGCCGTTGTGCCCATTGGGACCGCAACGTCGTCTCCCGGCATGCTTTCCGTAGCCACATTCGACGTTCCCGCCCTGAGCCCCATCAGCCAGACATCGACACCTACTGTCCAAGAGGCCATCACGCCTGTTTTCGCCGCTCCTGCTACCAACAATTTTTCTCTCCCCCGCCTGGACAAGAAGAAGATTCGTGCTTCGTATGCTTCGAGCTTCAAGGAGTCCCATGGCTTCACCTTGTCTCCTTCACTGCTCATTCCTGGCGACTTCCATCAGCAGATGCTGCTGGAAGAGGGTGCCCGATACGAGCACCCCGACGAGGATGAGCCGACATTGCCATACGCCCAGGCGGCGTTGTATGACGAGACCAGCAAGTCAATGCAGTGGTCGCAGCAGCGAGCGAGTACCTCCACGACGGGAACTACTTCCACTAACTCGGATTCGACTGCCGACCGTCACGTCTCGACCAACTCCACTTGGTCGTTTTTCACTCGCTACACAGCGAGCAGCAGCGGCTCGGTACACAAGATGACTGAATCCTGGACCGAATCTGCAGAGCCTCTGCCGGCATCCCAAGCCGAGGTGTTGCCGCCTGCTGATATTGCAGACGAGGCGAATATCACCAGCCCGCAAGACACGGTTCCCGAACTGGTCTCATTCCCACTCGCCCCGTCCAGGAAAGTTGCTCATCACAAATCTCACGCCAGTGAGTCGATCATCCGCGAGGATCCTTCTGCTTCGTTCAAGCAGTTCGAGGCAGGCCAGAGACGGGCCTCGCGATCCAGGACTGCCAGTCTGAACAGCCAAGCGCCGCCAGTTGGACAGTATGCCTTGTTTCCCCGTTCGTACATCAAACCAACGGGCGACCGCATTTAGAGAAATTGCACCGATCCAAAACGCACCTACTCTTGCCTGACCCACGCGCACGCACGGCTCAGATTCGAAGATGACACCCCTTAATCGACCCCTACCATTCGAAAGCACTCGCTATTCGATTTTCCTATGTACCTTTAGCGATGTACACCATCTGGTTATTTCCTTGCCTGGCCTTTGAGATTCTTACCTATCGTTCACGGCGTTTTTTTCGTTCCTGTATAGAGTATTGGGGGCATGGCATCGCCAACGTTGGCCCTACGCTGGGCTTTTCCTTAGATATGGCGGGAATAAAAGGAAAAAGAGAGTATAAAATCTTGCTTGAAAGAAAACAAGAGAGAAAAAAGCAAGACAACACACAGCTGACGGAGTCTTTTTCTTTTTTGTTCTTTTCCTTTATCTTTCTCTCTTGTCTGGACAGACTGGAAATTGGAAATCCCGGGATGGAATTGCGGATTTTATGACGACTGCGATGGAATTTATGAACTGGATCTAGACGGAGTTTTTACATGTTCCTTGCTGTTTTGTTTGGGTTGCTTTCTTGTGCTATCCTCGTTTCGGTTTCTCCCTCTCCCTCTCTTCCTACACCTTTTCCTTCTGTTTTGGAATCTGCTACCCCGGGGAAATATCTGCGTTGCGTCATTATTGCTGGTAATAAGTGTGGCTTTGGAATATATGGCTTGGTCGCCGAGGACATAAACCTGTGTTTAGCTTTGCACTACCTTTGAGAATCGAACAGATAATAAGTAGAAAAAAAAAGAACAGAACTAAAAAGAAAAGAAAGAGAAACTCGAAACAAACATGTAGGATGATATGGGTGTGAAAGTGACAATGCTGACCTACCTTACCTACAGTCATATATCTCCCTCTTTGCTTCTCCTTTCTTCTATATAAAAGGTAGGTTGTCAACATCGATTACGTGGAGGAGTTCATTTAAGTAACCATTGAACAGAATTTACACAGTGTTCCCTATAAGGATATTAACCTCGTTGAGACATCAGCGGAGTCCTTATTTTTTTTCCCAACAGTAACGCATACCCGGCTCAACCGACATACAGAACATCGAGGAAGACAAGAGGGAGACGCAAGCACAATGAGCTTTGAAATCTTGAGATGAAGCGAAATAAATCACAATACAGAAACCACGCGCCTCCATAAACGCCATCCCTAGCTACCGAGAGAGGTAGCCATTTCTCCTATTCCTTTCCCTTTCCTACTGTCCATTCGTACAGATCTTTTCTTCGTGCAACCTTGCTTGCTCTTCATCTCTTTTCGAAACTAGCCCCCTTCCTTCACCATGTAATAGAAGAAATGGAGAAGAAGAAAAAAAAAAGAAAGAAACGGCCCGCTTTGCTTAAGTACCAAGTGGAAAGGCCTAGTGCTATTTCTTGGACTTCTTCTTGGGCCGCTCCTCTTCCTCGTCATCGTCGACATCGTCCATCTCCTCATCGTCGTCATCATCATTGTCCACGTCGCTCTCGGCGCTACCGGAGCCGGAACTCTCGTGGTTGCTGTCGTACTCCTCGGCGACGTCGCTGTCGCTGTCGGCCTGGAAGTCCTCGTCCACGCTCTCCTCGTCCTCGTCGGCGGATCCGCGGTCCGCCTTGGGCACGACGACTTCATCGTCCGAGTCGTCCATGGCCTCCTCGCGCAGGGCGGCGGCGAGCAGGTTCGCGTCCTCGTCAATCTCGTTCTTGACGCGCAGGCCCTTGAGCTTGAAGAAGGACTCGAGGGCTTTGAGATCCTCGCGGTTGATGTTGCTGAACTGCGATGATCCGGCGCCGTTCTTCATCACGACGGTGATGTCGAACGTGGACAGGGCGGAGACCGCGCCGCTCACGCGGGAGAAGGTGACGGACTGTGTCTGCTCGTACGCAATGTACGTAGCCGGCTTCGGCACGAACATGAAGGCCTTTTCTAGGCAGTACAGGAAACCCTCGCTGGCTTTGATGGAGCACTTGATGCCGTACTGGTTGCGGTGGCTGTGGCAAAGGAGTGGAAGAGGCCAAGGTCAGCATATGCATCTCATACATACAAAATAAGAGGGGATGAAGCGGGGAGATGGATAGACGTACGTAAGAAAGTCTTTTGCGGGCGAAGAAATCTTCTTGTTGCCGAGGCCTCGGAAGATTTTGGCAACGACGTGGTGCAAGGGTTCTTCGTAGTGGGCTTCGAGCTTGTCCTTGTACTTGGTCTGCAGCTCTTCCTCGTCAATGTTGAGGTCAATCGTCACCTCCTCGTCCTTCTTGAACTGCATGACGACAAACGGGTATCTTGTCTGGCCCTGGCGGAGAGGGGGGTCCAAGCCGATGCAGAGCAGACAATGCATATCGTCGGGCTTGGGGAGCACCATGAACTTCTTGACGGCCTCGTACTGGATCTTGTAGTCGTACGTCTTGCCGCGGAGTCTAAAGGAGGCTTCGTACATGTCGATATCGAAACGACCTCTGCATCGCATTTGTCAGAACATATCTTCCAGCTAGGGGGGGGGGGGGGTGCGTTTGAGGGTGGGTGCGAGCCAACGCAAAACATACCTGGGAGTAAGGTGTAGGACATCGAGGAACGTGGCAATCGTATCGCCGGCCGTTTCGCCAATCTCTGCCTTCTCAATGAGCGTCTCGTAGAAAAAGGTGGCGGCGTTCTGCTCCTCCTCCTCGGCGTCGCTGCCGGCGTCGTCGCCCTCGGTCTCCTTCTTCGTCGTCGTGCCGGGGATGTAGAAGCGCATTTCGACTAGCTGATCCTTGCCGGCACCGGCCTTCTTGCCCTTGCCTCGCGCGCCGCCCAGCTGGCCATTGGTGCCTGTGTCGTTGGCGTTGAGGGGCAAGGCGAGCTCCACGGCGACTTCGTTTCGGCCAGCCAGGTTTGTGTTTCCAATCTCGGAGTAGGGCAGCTCAAAGGCCGGACGGTTCTGGACGTTGAAGACAATCTCGGCTTTGGAAAACTCGGCCTTGCCCCAGTTCCAGCCGCGCAGCGCATGCTCCTTGTTCTCCAGCGCGGTGCTGTACCAGTTCTTGAAGATCTTGCTGAGGCGTTCGTAGTCCTCGTGCTGGAAGCCGTCGAGCTGGATGATGCCCGAGTTTCGCTGCAGGATCCGGATCTCGTAGCCCCTGGCCGCCCGACTCCATTGGGCGCTGCCGATGTTGCTGTGGTCGAGGGTAAAGGTGTCACCGCCACCGGCAGGCTTCCACCCGAAGCCCGTCTCTGCGAACCTACACTTGCCGCTCTCCTTGGAGAGGTCAAGGTAGATGTTGTCGAAGCTCTCGCTGTATAGAAGAAGAGGCTGTAGTCAGCATGTCAAGTTCGGATGTAGGAGGATCAAGGTCATGCATGGGTAGGGTTTGTTGGATGGCCGTGACCGAACCACCAGAGGAGGCTGGATCTGGCTTCTCTTGGAGGGGCGACGAGAAGAGCAGCAATGACGCAGAGAGTGGAAGAGAGAGAAAAGAGGAAAAAGAATGAAAAGAACGACAGAGCGAGAGAGATTGCAAGTCACTTACATTGCAGTCATTTTCCTTTGCTTTGGCTGCCCAGATGGCTGGATAATGAATGACCGGATGGATGATGGAAAATGGAGGCGAGGCTGCTCGGAGTCTCAAACGGGATTAAGCTGGAGTGAAATTTGAGAGCTGCGGCGCGACAAGTGCAGGTGCGAGCGCGCTGGGAGACGCGCCACCTGCCGTTTGCGCCTCAGCCATTTCTGCGCCTCAGCCACAGGTGCAGCGCTGCTTTTCCCAGCTTGGTGTGGCGCATGCGTCAGAAGGCTGGAGCTTAGGAGGCATCTCACATGCATCTGATCTCAGTCGCTACAAAAAGGAATGCATGTATCATGACAATACTGGCGATATGTATGTGCATCAGTTGGATGATGTAAACAAGACGGCACGGAACAGTATTTGTGTCGCTGTAAGGAGCAGCATCGGGGTCATTCTTTGCACTCCCAGAACTACGATCGATCAAGGTAGAGGCTTGAGAGGCTACAGCTTCTATTTGTTGAGCTGCTGAGTATACTTGACAAAGTCGCTACGCAGCTGGTGAATGTTGATGAAGCCGCTCCGAGCTTCCAGGGCGTTGAAGGGATTCCCCAGCGCTTCCTTGTCCGCATCCCCCGTCTGAGAGCTTTTGCTGTCGGCCTCGCGCTCAATCTTGCCAGCCCATGTGTGCCACTGGATTGGCTCGGGCGCTCCCGATCCCAGCACAAGCCCCAAGCAGATCATGAATGTTGCCGCAATGGTTTCGATGTAGATGTCCAGGGGAAGAGCGGCTGCGGATGCTGATGCGGAATGCTGGACTGAGGTTGAGGCGAGGAGAGTGTGCTCATACGCGGAGTAGCATCTGGGCATCGTCATGTCAATTTAGCATTCATAGGTACCTTAACGGACAACAAAAAGGAACAAAGAGCAAAAATGGAAAGAAAAGAAGGATGGAAAACACTCAACATACCCGTGAGCAAGAATGACCAGCCCTACAAGGGTCAGAGGACGGGAGAGCCACGCCATCTTGAGATTTATGTAGTCGCTTCGGAAGCATCAAGTGAGAAGGCTCAAGTTGAGTGAACAGATCCGGCCTGGAACAACTTCTCCGTGGCGGAATGCCGGTGAAGGCACAGTGACAACGACACAGTGCGTCTGGGGGCAAGGGGGAAGCCTGAAGGCATGGGAGAGTGTCCGCCAGATCACTGGCGCATTCCCCACGAGCCGGACTCGGGTGGAACAGAAGCTAACAGAGCGCGCTAGGAGATGTTTTGAGACTGAGTACAGATACTGCACTTAGCTGAGCATGTATACTTCAACTTTCCTCCAAACTAATCACGTCTGTTACTGCCGTCTCCAGAGACGCTCCCGAGACGGCACAAGCGCAGGCCTGGGCCTGTAGGAACGGCTAGCGTACACAGTGCCAAAGGCCCCAAGGGACGCGATAACGTCAGTCATCTGCGATGCCAACACAACCTTGATGCTCCATGACAACCAATGCAACTCCCATCACCTGACAGGTCGCTCCCTATCTTCGCCTCTCGCCTCTGCCACCTGCCATCTGCCATCGTCAAAAAGCGCCCTCTTCTCATCGTCATCATCAGCTTCATTACCAACCTAATACAGCAACCGTCCACGACTCACAGCCTCTCCTCTCTAGATGGAATAACCCCATAGTTCGCCCCATGGTGTCGCCCAGTTCCAGATGCGGTCTCCCCGGCAGGGTCACCGCTGCTCTGCTGCTGGCATCGGCCCTCGCCATCTCGCCGGGCTCGGCCAGCATCATCGGCGGCGACGTTGGTCTCGACCAGCACGTCCTGCTCCCTGCCGGTCCCGGCCCTGTGCTGCCCTCGCGCCCCGACACCGTCCATCCCGCTGAACACACCTTCACTCTCCGACACATCTACCACCACGGCACCGACCAAAACCCAAGGCTTCATCGGAAGCTGGACGTGGTCCCTGACCAGTCGCGCGTCTTCCTCGCCGCCGACGACGAGTATGCCGAGCATACGGTGCCGCAGCTCAAGGCCCGCAGCCGAGCCGAGACGATCGAGCGACTTGCCGACAGGCGTCCGTCTGTTGTCGACCCCATAGTCGCCGAGTCGCGGAGGCAGGGGTACGCGGCCGTCTTGGACGCCTCGGCATGGACCATGGACGAAGTCTCGTCCCCCGACATCACCGATAAAGATACCGTCCTCACCATGGCATACGTTGCTGCCGATGCCTACGTGGAAAACGATGGCCAGGCCGACTGGCAGGACATTGGCGCCCCCTTCAACCGGAGCCTTGACTTTGGCTGGGGGACGGATGGCCTGCGCGGCCATATCTGGGCCGACGAGAACAACTCGACCGTCATCATCGGCCTCAAGGGAACATCACCCGCCGTCTTTGACGGAGAGGGCACCACAACGAACGACAAGGTTAACGACAACTTGTTCTTCAGCTGCTGCTGCGCTCAGCAGGGCCAGTGGACTTGGCACCAGGTCTGTGACTGCGCCACCGGCACATACACCTGCAACAATACTTGCGTGCGAACGGCTCTTCGAGAGGAGAACCGCTACTATGCCGCGGCGCGTGAGCTCTACTCCAACGTTACGGAGCAGTATCCCGACTCCAACATCTGGCTGGCGGGCCATTCGCTGGGAGGCGCCGTTTCCTCCTTCTTGGCCCTGACATACGGCGTTCCCGCCGTGACGTTTGAGGCCGTGCCCGAGGCGCTGCCGGCTTCTCGACTGGGTCTCCCGGTCCCTCCCGGAGCCGACCCCGAGACGCCGCAGACGCGAGCGTACACGGGGACGTATCACTTTGGCCACACCGCAGATCCCGTATACATTGGCACCTGCAACGGCGCAACTGCTACGTGCTCTTTCGCCGGCTATGCCATGGAGTCGTCCTGCCACACTGGCTATGAGTGCGTCTATGATGTGGTGGCAGACAAGGGGTGGCGAGTGGGCATTGGCACGCACAAGATCCGGTCCGTCATCCAAGACGTCATTCTCAAGTACGACGAGGTCCCCAAGTGTGCGCGGACGCCCGAGTGCCGCGACTGTGGCCAATGGAAGATGTACGAGAGCAACGGCACCGAGACGACCACCTCTGCGGTTCCCACGACGACGTCTCGCACACGGACACGGACGTCAACGTGCCAGACCCCTGGCTGGTGGGGATGCTTGGATCAACCGACAACCTCGGGTGATACAAAGGTGCCGGCCCCTACTCCTACGACCACAACTACTACTACCTGCAAGACGCCTGGCTGGTTTGGCTGCAAAGATAAGACGACGCCGGCCAGCACCAGCGAGTCTACCACCACCACCACCACCACAACGACAACCTGCGAGACCCCCGGGAGGTTCTGGGGCTGCAATGACGAGGTTACGCCGACAAGCTCTGTGTTCACCACCGTCCCCGCCAGCACAACCTGCGAGACGCCTGGCAGGTTCTGGGGTTGCAAGGATGCAGTGACATCCACGAGTACGGGCACAGGGGCTGCTGCTGCTGCTGCCGGGAGAACCGCCCCGACCATTACGTCGGCTCCAACGGCGGCTCCCATACGGTGATGGAAGATGTAGATGACGGGAGATGGAGTGTCAGACTGTTACACTTTTTTTTTTTGATTGGATAACATGGCGTTTGGGTAGCTTGTTCCTGTTGATTCTTATTAGACTATTGCTAGGATGAGTGGAAAGACTCTTTCGTGGCTTCACATTATGTAGCGATCACGAGTAGAATGCTCTGTAATACCAACCTCATGGTTTACCATCTCCCTACCTACCTATTACCCAGAGCTGCCTGGTCGAATTGAAGCTGTTCTTGACGCATTAGAGTCTTGTTGCGACATGAAAAGTGCATGTACTTGATTGTCTACGCATTATCATTACACTCCGTAAGTACCTTTACTGTACGGCTCTGAAGTGGAGATGATTGTCACTTTTTCATAAGGTACCTACCTTCACTTCAGTAGCACGTCTCCCACACGCGTCTCTACTCATCTTCACCCCTCCACACCCAAAAATTTCCTCTCCCACTTTTCATCTTCTCAGAAAGCGCGGCTCCAATGTAGCCACTCATCGTCAAGCGCTCCTCAGTGCTTCCAAGCAGCAGACAATCGGCTCCTTCTGCTCCTCCAGCAGTCGCAGGAACAGCGAAAACGAAATGTCGGCCGTCGACTCCGAATCGAGGCTGTCCGACAAGGACGAGTCGCAGCTGTCGGCTCCTCCTCCTCTCAGCGACCTGGACAGCTCCGACAGCGCCAGCGACAGTGGCAGTGACAGCGAGCCGGCATCGTCCAGGCGGGAGCCCGAGCCTGTAGAATGGCTCGCCACCTCGCGGTCGCGGCGGTCCACGGCCGGCAACCGCATGAAGTCGATGCTGGCCAACGAGGAGCCCGACTCGGACCTCGAGCTGCTGTTCGCCGAGTCCGACAATGACCAGGGCTTTTCTGACGCCGGCGACGACGCCTCCGACGTCCAGATGGACTCGTCGTCCGACGACGAAGACGACAACAATGCTGCCGCCGACGAGCTCGAGGGCGAGCGGGAACTCGAGCGCCAGGCTCGCGAGCGGCGCGCGGCCCAGCGGAAGCGAAAGGCGCAGGACGGCATCCCGGCCAAGTTCAGGAAGCGAGTGCGCATCAACACCAACACGGACACGTCGACGCCCGCGCCCGCGCCCCGGCCCAAGAAGAAGTCAGAGCGCGCGTCTTGGCTGCCGTCGCCGGCCGACCTGCCCACCCGGGCGTCGTCGCGCAAGACGACGCGCATGTCCAAGGAGCAGCTGCACCAGCAGATGATTGAGCGCGAGGAGCGACGGCTGCGGCAGCTGGAGCTGATGCAGAAGAAGGCCGCCAGGATGGAGGCGCTCAAGAAGCCGCCCATGACGCAGGAGGACCGGCTTCGCGAGGCCGCCATCGTGGAGAAGCGCAACAGCAAGAGCCTCAACCGCTGGGAGGTGGCCGAGAAGCAGAGGGAGGAGGAGCGGAGGGCCAAGCTGGCGGCTCTTAGCCAGAGGACGCTGCAGGGCCCGGTGCTCACCTTCTGGACGGGGCTGGGCGAGGCGCGGCGCGTCGTCATTGAGGAGGAGAAGCCCAAGAGGAGGCGGGTAGAGAAGAAGGACAAGGCCAACAAGGACGCCGAAGCCGAAGCCGGGAAGGACTCTTCTGCTGCTGCTCCTACATCCAACGATCCAGCAGAGAGCCAGCAGGACAAGAAGGGCCAGCAACAGCCGGATGCCTTTGTCGAGAAGGCGGCGACGGCGAATGGTGATGATGTGGCGAATGTCTCTACGCTTCAGCCGACGCCAGATACCGCCGACAATCCCCCAGCGGCTGCCCCAGTGGATCCAGTGAAGAAGGAAGAGGACGACGATGGGAAGCCTAGAGAGGACGGGCTCCTCTCAAAAGCAACTTCAGGAAAAGAAGAAACATCAGCGTCGGCTACTGTTGCTGCAACCACCACCACCACCACCACTACTACTACTACTGCAACTGCTGTCACGAAGCCACCTGAAGAACTGCGTCAACCACCGACGATTGCCTCGCCTTCTCTGCCTCCTCCCCCTCCTCCACCTTCTCATAGTGGCCTGGCTGCACCGGTCGCCGCCTCGCTCTCCGGACCGCCTCGCCAGATGTCTCCCTTGGCAGCGCCCGCCGGCATTGGCAGCCCGCGGCCAACAGAGGCTGGCAAGCCATCGGGCGTGCTCGCACCCCCTATTCTTGCCCCGCCGCCAGCCATGAGCATGGACTATCGCCCCAGCCCAGCACCAAAGTCCAACGTCCTCGCGCTGCCATTGCCCCAGACGACTCTGCCCCCTGCGCTCCACGCCCAGACGACGACGCCCGGTTCTTCCATGGCCGGCCCTGCTCCCGTAGTGTCGACGGAGCCGCTTCTTCGGCATACCGTCCTGCGGCCCATCATCCCCGATCCCGACCCAGCCAGCAAATCGGCAAGCCCCAGCCTCCCGGAACCGCCCTCGCAGCCTGTCTCTGGCTTGGCTGATGCCCCTGAAGCCCCCGCGACCACGACTCGAAATGTCATCATCTTTCAAAACTTCAATGAAAACGCCCTTCAAGACAAGAGCATCCAGACCCAGATCCTCTTTGGCCGCAAGATGAACAAACTCAACAGTATGGCCTTTCCCCTGTCATTTGTTTTTCCCCCCCTCCAGAAAAGAGTCCCGTCACTGACCCAGCCTTGGCCTCTGCAGAACCGTCACCCACGCCAAACTGCATCATCACAAACCTACCAGCCCGTTACCGCGACCCAAAGACCGGGCTGCCGTACCACAACGTTGCCGCGTACCGGGAGCTCCAGCGTCTCCAGCGCGGGGAGCTGAGCTGGAGCCGCATCCTCAACGCCTGGGTCGGCAGCCAGAAGGTGGCCGCCGACGGCGTGCCGGCGCGGTTCCTCGATCCGAACGCGCCCACCAAGTCTGCCGAGGAGAGGGAAAAGGAGAGGCTGGCCCAGATCAAGGCCGTCACGCCCACACAGTCGCAGCAGCCCCAGCCACAGCAGCAGCAACACCATCATCAGGCGCCGCCGGCGGCCGTCGTGGCGGCAGCCCACAAGTCTCCCCAGGTTCAGCAGCATGTGCAGCAGCTCCAGCAGCAGTCTCAGCAGCAACAGGGGAGCAGCAGCCAGAGATTACCAGGACCGCCACCGCCGCAGCAGCAGCGAGGAGCTCAACAGCCTATGCAGGCGCATACCCAGCATCAACAACTGCCAGTCCAGCAGCAGCAGCAGTCGCAACTCCAACCACAGCAACTGGCAGGGCCTCAGCAGCTACCTCCTCAGCAGCACCAGAACCAAGCCCGACCAAGTCCAATTCTACAACCCCCGCAACAACAACAGCAGCAGCAGCAGCAGCAGCAGCAGCAGCAACAACCGCCTGTGCCAAATACTACAACCTCCACCCATTCCATCCCTCCGCCACAAGCACCACTTCCTCAGACAACATCGCCATCTCCCGCCGCCGTCCCTAACAAGAGCCCCGCTCAAGGCACGACTGTACCTCTTCAGCCCCAGCAGCAGCAGCATCCTCAAGGAGCCCAGCCTCTTCTTCCCCCTCCCCTAGCTAAAGTACAAGCTCAGCAGCAGCCCCAGGCTCAATCTCAATCTCAACCTCAGCCTCATCGGACTGGGAACGAAGCTGCAGGGGGGGCACGCGGGTCTCCTGGACAACAAGAGCAACAAGAGCAAGTGACGCAGGCGGCAGCAGAATGACGGGAGGAGAAACCAGTCTGGCGCCCTTTTGTCGTCATTGTATTCATAGTATCGATGCAAAAAGATCGATGTATGATTATAAAAAGGCGAAAAAAAGAGAAGAAAAAAAAATCAGAATACTCACGATGGCAGAGGATCTGAGAAATAACAAACTTGGAAAGCGGATGGGCTTTGTATCTTATCGCGCAATGTAGAAGAAAATGGGATAAAAGATTCTCACGAACAAACAAAGAGAAGCATGCTCATTTTGTTTCAAACAGTTCCTCATGATCACAAAGATGCCTTGGCCATGCATCAATCAATAGGTGTAGAGTGTGATTATCTGTGCAGTTCATCTCGATCACAATCCGTCACACATCACGTATGTAGTATGAGCACCTACAAAAGAGCTCTTACACCAGCAATACCACAAGTCACCACACGGAGCAGAAGTCAACAGGTTGGGTCAATAAATCACTTGCCAATCTGCTATTAAGATCCGCCCTTTTCCATAGTCCTACACATCAAATACAACGAGAATGACCCTTCAAGAATAAAGTCGTCCCTTTTTTTGGCTTTCACATCTCGATATCCGCCGCACCCCCATGTTCTTTTGAAATAAGAGACCAAAGATTCCCGTAGCTCACTCTTCTCTTCCAAGTGCCAACGCCTGCCATAACTCGCAACATCCTCCCCTTTTCAACTGAATAATGCAAAGGAATGAAAAGTAAGAGACAAACTCGTCCACCACGACAAACACAACCCCAGGGGTATTTTCCATCTTGCCCATCTCGCAGTTGTTAACTCATTAGGCAAAGTTGTCAGGCCGATCAACCCAGATATCCTCCAGCTCGGCAAAGCTATGGAAGTGGACCGGTCGGTGCTGGTCGCTATAGAAGGGCAGCGGCGTGTCCAGCTTGACGTGGATAGACTTCTTCTCCATCCCTGCAAACGCACTGCCCATGAAGCTATAGTTCCATTTGCCGTCATCCGGCACGAGGAAGAAGCCTCTGAATCTGGGACTCAGCAGGAGCTTGCGCTTCTCTCCCATGGTAGTCGTGAAACCCTGGGGCTGGTCGCTCTGCAGGTCCTTGTTCTCAACACCCCACTTGTAGCCTTGAGGAGTCAGTCCCCAAGCAGACAGGGAGACGCTGCCAGGCGTGAACGACACCGACACCGTCACCGTGTTCGTCTTGTCCCACTCTTCATGTGCATCCAGAAGCTTGGCGTGCTCCGTCACATCTGCCGCAGACATGTACGGAAGCTCGCTGCCCGCCTGTGTGTGGATGACACCCAGGGGCTCCATGCCATCCAGGAACTCGCTCTGGGGCAGTTTCTGCGGAAGCTGCACATTGCGCAAGCCACCAATTTGGGGTATCATAACGATACACTTGATTTCCTTGACCTGATCATTGTCAGGGGCCGAGGCGCCGTAGAGATAGCCCGCCACCTGGACTCGCAGATCTGCAATCGTGATGAACTTTTTCAAGATGTTGTTGGGCATCACGTAAGTGACATCGTCCAGATCACTGTCCACCGATGACACATAGATGTTCTTGGCTCGCGTTCGCAGGTTCGAGGTTGCAATGGCTCGTGTTCGCCACTCCGTCTTGGAAGCAAACGTCTGCTGTTCGAACTGAGACGTTGTCGTGACGATGATGTCCTCACCGTGGACGTTTTGCGTCTTCGTCGTGACAGCCGTCAACTGCTTCTGCTCTTCCTGCTGCTTCTCAATCTCGGCAGCTTGCTGCCTCTGCATTGATGGCGCAGAAATCTCCATGCCCAGAATGATATCTCGAACTTCCGTGCTCGTCAGACTGGACACGTTGACGTTGTTCTTCTTGCCGTAGTCGTTCAAGATGAGGTCGCGGAGTTGCGTCTCGACCTTGATCCACTCCTCGTCACTCAGCGATGGCCAAATGTGATGGTCCAGCGTGATGACAGTCTTGTCAGGCCGGAGGATGAGCTTGGTCTTGTCGGGGTTGACGTGGAGCGCGCGCAGGATGAGAATGAGACGGGAAAAGGCCGTGTACGAAGAGATACTCTTAAGCCACTCGTCGTACAGGTTGAAGAGCACCATCTGAGGCTCCGTCGCTCGCAGAATCATGTCACCCAGCTTCTCCACCTTCATGGCAGCCTGGAAAGGAAGCTGCAGCTCGGACGCGCGAATGGAGATGTTGGGGAAATCAACCAACTGGACCTCGAGGGGATCCAAGAGACCCTTCCTGGTAACAATCAGTTGCTTGGGCTGTTCCTCAACAGGGAGTGACCGGATCAGCGCAGCCACTTCTTCTGCCGTCTTCCATTTGGCGAGCTGTCCGAGACGTTTCTGACCCGCCCAAACGCTGGTGTGGATGATCTTCAGGAAGAGCTGGCCAGTGCGCGGGTTGAAGATGAAGATGGCGCCGTTGATGGGTTTGGTGGTCAGGTTTCCTTCAAACGTCTTGTGAATGGTCACTCGGTACACATTGGTGTCGTCGATGAACAACTGCGTCTGGTTGCTGAAGAGCTCCGAGTAGTTCTGCGAGTTCAGGAATTCCTGGTTGCTCTCAGAGGCATACAGCTGCAGGCCCTTGCGGATGCGCTCTCGCAGGACGTACAGAGCCGGGTTTGCCTTCATGATCTTGGCCATGGCCTGCTGGATGAGGACCTTCAGTCCCGGGAAGTACATTCCGTAGGCCGAATACAGGTTGTACGCCAAATCGATACCAATCATGATACCAGTAGCAGAAGGATAGATACTGGAGCTATCGGTCGTGTAATCAAGGTACTTGGCACGAGTATAGCGCTCAATATCGTGAGAGTCGTAGTCACCGTAACGCAGCTGCACATCCACCCAGAACTTGTTGGTCGTGGTAGGCTCAATGACATCTTTCGTGTCATACAACAGCGAGGGGCGGGTGACGTTCCATTTGTGGCTGGCAAAGAGAAGAATATCGGCGCAGGAGCTGTTCATCTTGTAAGATTTACGGGGATGAATAGTCTCCTTCTGCACAGTCTCGATGCCGAGGGATTCCAGTTCTTGGTCAAATACTTGGCAGAGATCCATGACCACTGACTCATGGATCTTTTGCCACAAGTGAGCACGGAAGATCTGGATGAGGGAAATCTTCAACGTGGGAATCTTGCCGTGCAGGAAGATGCCGGTAAGATCCAGCTGGACCTGGAAACCGACGTAGACGTTGGCTCTGTTGATTGTGGGGGACCACCAGAGAGTGAAGCGACGGTTCGGAATCTGGTTCAGACCGGACCGCTGGGCGTTGGTGAGCTTCTTGAACTTCATGGACTCTTCGAAACCGGAGGCCTTTTCCCAGAAGAGACCCTCCCATGAAGGGAAACCGGTGGCCTTGAAGAGCGTGTGCTCAAGAATGGTTTCAACACCACCCAGAGCCTGAATAACGTCGGTTCGGTAGGCATTCAGATTCCACAGCTTGCCATCGTGTCGCTGGCTCGTCCACCAGAACGGATTGCTCTTCATGAGCTGGTAAATCTTGAACTCGGCTCGGGCGCGGAACCCCTTGTCGAAGCTGAGTGTGCTTCGGTCCTTTTGGAAGAGAGTGTTGATTCTCGGCAATCCGCGGTCCCAGCTGTCCTCCAAATCTTCCAAGGTCAGACGTCGGTTTTGCTGGTTCGCCTCCAGGCGCTTCTGAGAGTACTCGGTCCAGACACGTTGGGAATCAATGAACTCCGCCTCCCACGGGATGATGTATCGGAAGATGTTGGGGATCAGCGTCTCCTCGGCATGTGTCATACCAGCTCTGTAATGGGTGACGCCCGTGTCGGTCTGCTTGGACCAACGCTTGTCACTGGCCGGGATGAGAATGTGAGAACCAGAAATCATACCCAGCCCACCGAGCTCCTTGGGGGTGTAGAAGACGGCGGGGGGGAAACGCGAAGGCATCTTCGAGTTCAAGCCGATCTTGACTCGCGTCTGAATCTTGGTTTCACACTTGACAATGGTGTCGAGGAGCTCAATCGTGGAAACAGCAGCCTCGCGATAGTACGTGAACAGGGCGATCAGAGCGGTGTTCCACTTGTTCGCAATCTTGGTAAAGGTCGTTGAGCCAGACGACATGAGAATCTGTCGGATCCGGTTGTTGAACTTTTGGATGTCTTCTTCGGTGACTTGCAGGAAGGCATGCGCCGTTCTCTCTTTGGTTGTGTTATCCACCAGGGACCAGACGCTGTCCTTGACGGGGAACTCGTCGTTCTGGTTTCGGATCTTTGGCAGAATGCGGACCTCGAATCCACACATTGAGAAGAGCAGGTTGGGGTTATCCCGACTGTAGACACTGACAAAGCTGTCATCCCACTCAATCGTAGTGACAGATCGCGGCAGACGGTTCTTGAAGTCCCAGAAGACAGCTCGTCCAAGGTTCACATCGTGTCGCATCAGGCGCATACGAGAGTCTCGCGGCCAGCACTTCTTGCTCTTATATCCAATGACGTTTTCGAAGTTGGGATCGGGTTGCTCGGTAAGGAATCTTTGGATGAGATCTCGCGATTCTTCTGCTGTGAATCGGAGGAAGATCCAAATCTTATCGATGTATCGGCTGTAAAGTCTGATTGGGTGTCTGGTCTCCGTTTCCCGATCGCGGAACTGCAGGAAGTCGTTGGGACTCTGCGGCGGTCCAGCAATTTCGCTGGCTCGTTGAGGGCCGAGGAGCAGCAAGTCGAGGACAAGGCCATAGTACTGGAACACGAACGCAGAGAACTGAAGGCCACGAATCATGCCGTAGCTGTTGACGTGGTTCATATCCTTGTAGGTGAGTTGAACATTGTTCTTTGCCGTGATGTAATCAGCAAGGTTATGGTCCATGATCAGCCTGAGCAGAGAGTTGAGGAGCGTCAACTCCATCTTTTCGTAGACCTTTGACAGCTCAGTCTCAATCATGACATTGCACTCGCCATTCTCAGTTTCCCAAACCTGGCTCAGATTGTTGATACCCTGAGCCCACTTGTAAACCAAGAGAGGGGGCACCTCGGAGTCGGAAGGTTTGATCCAAGCGGGGAACAGATGTCTCTGGTCAGCCTGGTACCACAGATATTGATCGAGATAGGCATCGCTAATCTTTTCAATGGGTTCAATATCGTAGACGGGGTTGATGGTGCTATAGTTGTCGTTCATGTCGATGTTGACTTCCTTGAACGCTCGCTGGGTGAGGAGGAATCGTTTGATGCGCTCCAGAGTCGTGCCAGGGCTATCGTAGGCCTGCTCGATCAGGGCCAGCTCCTCACGCTGGCTCTGGTTGAGGCGGCCCTTGACTGAGTAGGCCTCTCTCAATCGCTCCAGTGCCAGGATCAGGATCTTGGTGTCGTGCTTGTAAGAAACACTGGGGAAAGGAATGGGAGAGAACTTGCGAGACTCCAGCCAGTGAACAGTCGTGGTGTAGATGGCAACAGCCTCTTCCGATGAGACGTAGGGACCATCCTTCATGTGGTTATGCTGACGCTCTTGCTCTGCCTTAAGCCAGAGTCGGGTCAGACGGCCAACGTTCTTCTTGGCAACGGTCTTGTCAACGGTAGCACCACGGCGGATACGCTCGCGGTTGTAATGAGCAACGGAAACCCACCAATCAGCCTTGGATTTCACGTAGCGAAGAATGATGTTCTCGATGGGGGCGGGCAGGCCAGGCACCTTCCAAGGAATGTTACTTTTCCAGCAGCGCCAAGCCTCGGAAAGATGCTGAAGCACAGTGTTGACCTTGTTTTGCTTGATGCCCTCGGGCATCATGTCCAAGAGGTCGGCCATGACAGAGGCACGAAGCTCGAGGTCAAAGTGAGACTCGACACGCTGCTTCGTCACTGTTTTGGCGACACCTTTGCTGTGCCTACCCTCGAATTGACGAGAGAGCAGGTTTCCAAGCCATCTCTCGAGGAGAGGGATGATGCCACGCATGAAAAAGAGCCATACCCTCCAAGCAGGCGCCCAGAAACCACATCCAGGACCTTTGCCGACAGGACCAGAATTGAATCTGTAGTAGATGAGATGCTTCAGATCCTTGCAGGTTCGAATCTGGTGCATGAGCTTGTACTTGTAACGGTACATGCCTGTGAGCTGCCCAACGTGGTTGAAGGCATAGAGGATGCCGTCCGCCAGCTGGAAGGCGTCAATGTTGCCCAGTCGGTATTGAACTTGCGCATCGACAATCAGCTTTGTCAATCTCAAGATCTCACGCATCAAATGGAAAGCGTTTCCGAACCGAGACTTCTTTCGCTCCTTGGTGGTCAGGGTCTTGACGGGCTTCAGATTGAAGTTATAGTCGAGGTGGAGGTATGTAAGATTCTTTCGATGAATCAAAAGGTTGAGCATGTTGAAGCCTTGGCGACAAACCTGCAAACCAGCCTCCACCCAGTCAATGGTGGTCTGCTGGAAGAACTTGGTCTGCTTCAGGGATCGGAGTAGATTCTGGTTGTTCTGGGCCTTGGGCTTCTTCTTGTGTAGCTCATTAAGGACAAAGTTCTTGAGCAGCTTCTGGTAGGAAACGCGGACCTTTACGGGCGGTCGGTTCGAAGGAGGGTGCTCGAGATACCACTGCTTAATGAGGGGCACATCCTGAGCGCGAACCATCTTGCCGGATCGTCGGTTGAATGGGAACGGCGCCCACCAGAGCTCGATAGCAGCAGACGTCTCGTCATTGTCGAGATCTTCGTCAGCGAGGAACGGCTCTACGCCATCGGGAAGCTCGAAAGCATCGTCCTCCGGCTCCTCGTTGCTGCCTGGACCGAACAATTCGTCTTCGAGAGACACATCCACATTCTTGGGCGCCACGTTGCGTGAGGAAATGGGGTTGATCCGGCGGTCGAAGTGGAAGGTGGGCAGATCCGGGTCATCGACACGATTGTAGACGACCTGGGGGTGAGAGTACCAGGCAAGGTGGACACTTCGGGGTAGAGAGTTGTACAAGTACGGGAAGGCCACCCGGAACTCGGTTCGGATAGGATTCCTGAAGATGATCCGATCAATGGCGTTGAATTCGCCAAAGTCCTCATCGTTGGGGTTGATGTCTTTGTACAAGGGCTCGAATCGCGGACCACCTGGCAAGGCAACATTCAGCGCCTTGGCTGTGAGAAGACTCTTCAGATCGAAGAGGTAAAAGTAGTTCTTGTCCACAACGTCTGAAATCAAAGGCCGACTGAGACGGAACAAGGCAGCCATCTGAGGCAATGTGAGATTCCACGCCTTGTAGCTGGGTCCGTTGACGTGGGGTGTATCGAGTAACGGCCGGTGGTCATAGAACCACTCGTAGACTGCCTCATCCTCGTCTTCGTTGAGCTCCATCTGGATGGGCTCGAGCGGCTCCACGTCCTCGATGTTTTCAGACCATGACAAGGGCGGCTCTTCGTCGTCGAATGGCGGGAATCGCATACGCTTGAACAGCCTTCGGTCGGCCTTTTCCTTTCGCATAAACGTCCACATCATGGCCCACTGTGCAAAGAAGACCGGCTCGATGACCCTCGGGATTTCGTTCACCAGGGTAAGACAGCCGTTGACATGGTACAGAACCTTGACTTCTCGCGCAGACTCCCAGGGCATGGGCATGTTCTCCAAAAGCTTGAGAACGGCATGGGGCATAAACTTGAGAGCGCCAAGATAGCTTCGCTTGTCGTTGGTGTACTTCTTCTGCGAAACATCGCCGATGTCCTTGACGATCTTGCGCAGATGCTCGGGGGGCATGTCGGCCTTTTGCGTCTGGACGAAGCCGGCCTTTCGCTTCTCGCCGAACCTGTTCCGCTGGTTTCGCAGCCATTCCTTCTTCTTCTGGGCAAATCTGGCGATATGGGCATCGGCGGGCGGTCGGTAGCCGGGCGGCGGCGGGGCTGGAGGAGCAGGAGTCGACGGAGGGGGTGGGAGCGATGACGAAGGGGGAGGCGGCGGAGGAGGAGGAGGCCCCCAGCCTGGCGGCGGAGGCGGCGGGAGTTGCGACATGGCGACGCCTTCACTCGTTCAGAGGCAATGCGTGAGGTTGCCTGCCTGAAGGCCTGGAGCCGTGGCGCGTGTCAAAGACGCGCTGGCAGCTGTGGAATTGCAGACACAGAATCGCGGCCACGGTAGAGTCTGGTGTGTGGCCCCTCTATTCTGACAATGCGGATGCCGGCCTCGCTGGAAACAGACGACGACCAGGGCGGAAACGATGCAGAAGGTCGGATTGGTGATGAGGTTCGCCTTCGAAACAATTTCTTGATCAAGATCCCGAGCGGCACTAGTTGAGTCTCGAGGCTAGTTTGTCACGTGACTCTGGCCGATGAGAACGGCCGTGCTTCAATGATGAGCTTGTGGTCTCTTTATTCTGACGAGGCCGCTCTTTCAAAAGAAATCTTGCGGTATAGATAGATCAAAGGTGAATATAGTTGACTTGGGCTGGGAACCTCACATGATATCTGGTAAAATGTGCCTTTTGGGTCTTCTCTAGGTCCCTGTCAAGATGTCCAGTAGCATGATAGTACTTGGATTCTATGGCGTAACTCATCCCACCAACAGGTACCTACATCAGAGCACATGTCCTTTACGTTGACGGACACTGCAGAGCACAACAATAGGCTATAGACATTCTTCAAGAGGAAGGCTACCTATAATATTACTCTGCAAAATTCCCCTTGAACTCTTCGAACATCGTCACTCGTGATGGTTTTCTTCTCGGAACTTTTGTTCCAGGGTACATCGATCACACAGAAGTCGAGCCTTCCAGGAGCTAATCAAACCCGCTTCGAAACTACTTACATAATCACTTCAAGGTTCAACGATCTTCTCCCGCTGCCGGCAACACCAGAGCCAATTCGTCGCGACAGCTCGACTCTACAAGGCCCAAGCAGACGCCGTCACGACTCAATCAAAATGGCGCATCTCAGTACGCTGCATCCCTATCACCCATTACTGCCTTGGCCATGCTGACCGTAGTTCCACAGACGTCAAGCCGGACCCGGCTCTTCTGAAGCTGGAGGGTGCGTAACTTATCAATCCGCAGCAACATGCACCGAGATCCTCCCCCACCATCTAACTCGAAGCACAGCGATGCAAAAGAGCCGCCACCGTCACTTCCGATTCACGCCTAGAACCGCCAGAATTAGCTTCATGTACATTGCCGTTGTCCCCGCCATCTTCGGCTGGGTCGCATACAAGACGGACGTGAGTTGGAACCCGAACATTGCGGAGAGGAGGAGGGGAGGAAGGAAGGAAGGGGAAACGGGTTGAGAGAATACTGGAATCTTTGAATGCTGACTTGGGATAGGGCCTTTGGGACTTTCGAGCGAAGCGAAAGGGCGACACCATCTACGAGAAATAAACCATCAGGTGCTGGGTGGTGGAGAGGTTCTGTATAATTCAAGAGGTTCGACACGGGATAGAGAGCCTAGTGTTGGGCGAATACTAGGGCAGGTATTCGACATATATACCAAAAACCAAGGAAAGAGAAGTAAAAATTGAAACCAAAGTCCAAGCTTTGTACCACTGCCTGTTCAACATCCTTTTGCAGTCCTGGCTAGGTGCTGGCCATCCCAGCCGGCGAAACACGTCGTCTCTCGTCTTTCAAGCTGAGATCACAGTGCCGGTGATCAAGCTTTGCAAGACTGGTTGAACGAGCCCGCATTCCGCCTCCGCCTCGCGCTGAATCATCTGGGTATATCGCATCATCAACAAAATCTCAACCATGCCTGTCCTTTCCCCTCCAGCCAAGCCCCTGTCTGGTACTCTACCAGCGTCTGCCGCGTGATGACCCCGGTGGCCCATCCGGCAGCTCCTCTCCTCTCCTCCACTCACCTGACGGAATCCTACCCTCTCTCCAGCCCGTTGCCCTACCCTGGCGGCCGGAGCCGCGGCCAAAGTTGCTGTCCCGACCATGGAAGCCACCCCTGAAGCCACTGCCACGACCGTCCCTCCCGCTAGGTAATGATGCTCTCCTGGCGGCCGATGGTGGCGCTACAGAGCCGTCTGACAAGGGAGGAAGCACCGCACATGAGATGTAATCACCAACCACAAATCTCCAGTCGGCCAGTGTCTTATCTTTAGCGCCATCATCCTTCATCAAGGTGTCGGGGCCGGCATCCTCGTCGTCTGCCGAAGGATAGCCCTCGCCAATGACGATGCTTCCCAGATCTTTGACGGCGAACTTGGGCTGGGCAGTATGAGTGACACTTGTGGCGCGCAGATCCGGGCAAACGAGCTGGAAGGAGAGCCTCGTGCCCACTGCGGGAGTAGGTATTGCGCTGGGTTTCGCTGCCGCCAGTTCAAGCGCGAGCTCATGGAGGGTGCAGGTGGACCATGTGTAGATGGAAACATGTGGCGGTAGAGACGGTGAAGCAAATTCGTCTGGTCTGGAAAGTTATGGATGCTGATTAATTGTGCTCTCTCAATTCTACATCTGGCGATGCCGTGGGTTAGAGGCGCGCGTACCTGTGAAAGCTGCCGGTTCTATGAAAGAGACGAACTAAGAAAGGAGATACACCATGACCATCCCCTCCACGTGCGGTTGACATCGTGGAACAATCAGGTCAGGCAAATTGAAGGTCGTCTGGCCTTTGAGAAACTCGCAATTTCAATTTTCTGGCGCTTTGATTCGATACTCGACTTTCTATGTTTGCTGAAGGTGAAAGGCCGTCACTGAAGCTGTAGCGAAACAATAGCTGAGGTATCGTCGGATTATCCGGATATCATCCGTAATCGATAGCGCAACCTCAGCCTCGGTGAGCTCACCGGACCATCTCTTGCCAACCTCGATTCTCTCGACGTCCCCTTATACTTTGCACCAACGGACCAATTACTAGACGCCTTCCACTCGAGTCTTACATCTCTCCAGGATTCAAGCTCTCGGAGCGGGAACATCGAATTTCTGGACGACCGAAACCATCTCCAGCTCCCCAAGGCGCTTACAGAGCGCAACTACCCGACCTCGACCATGGATTTCGCGGCTCTCATGAACAAGGAGCTGTCCAAGTCGAAGAAACCATCTAGCAGCAGCCGCAGCAGCGATGACAAAAAGTACATGAAGCGCTCCGAGATCGAAGCGGAGCGCAGAGCCGCGTACCTGGCCGAGCAGAAAGCCCTCGAGGCCGAACGCGCTCGCAAGGCCGAAGCGAAGCGCAAGCGCGAGGAAGAAACCGCCGCGGAAAACGCGCGGCGGGAAGAGAAGCGCCGCAAGCTCGCGGAAGAGCTGCGCAAGAGGCGGGAGGAGAAGGAGTGGGAGGAGGAGCAGGCCAGGAGGAGGAGGCTCGGGCTGCCGGAGCTCGTCAAGGGCGAGGAGAACGGCAGCGGGAAGGAGGGCTCGCCCGCCGTGGACGACATTCCTGATGACGAGCTGATACAGAAGCTGAGGGAGCTGGGCCAGCCGGCGAAACTATTCGGGGAATCACACGCGGGGCGGCTGAGGCGGTACAAGAAGCTCACCACGGTGGTGACACAGGGGCCGATACCCACGACGCTGCAGCTGGTGGACGAGAAGGACATGAAGGTCGATGGCACGGTTCCCAAGGACAAGGAAGGCCGCCAGTGGCTGTTCAGGCAGCTGGCGAGCTACTTCACCATGGTGCTGACCGCCTACGAAAAGGCAATGGAGGAGGAGAAGCGCGACACGAGCGCCAGCAAAATGGCCTACAGCGCCATGGTGCAAACGCGCGAAAACATGAAGCCGGTAAGTCTTATTGATCTCCCCCGTTCAAAGCCGAGACCATCTCCAAAAGCCCTCTTTTCACGATACAAAAACCCCCACGTCCTTCACACGTTCATTGCACAAACAGAGAGAGAGAGAAGGGACTGCTCCTAACCCGCCTGCCAACAACCACAGCTCTTCCGCAAGTTCGAATCGGGTGACCTCGACGACTCCCTCCTCCAACCCATTGTCGAGATCGTAAAGGCCCTCCAGGAGCGCCGCTACGTCGACGCAAACGACGGCTACCTCCGCCTCAGCATCGGCAAGGCCGCATGGCCCATCGGCGTCACCATGGTGGGTATCCACGAGCGTAGCGCCCGCGAGAAGCTGCACGACGGTGAAAAGGGCCACGTCATGGGCGACGAGGCCACGCGCAAGTACCTGCAGAGCATCAAGCGCTGCCTGACCTTTGCGCAGGTGCGCTGGCCGCCGGAGGACCTGAGGCAGCTGATGGGGTGAGCCTTGGCTGTGTGCCTGTGTCTCCTCGTGGTCAAACATATTGGGGGAAGAAAAACGGTAAGAGGAAGAAGGGAAAAGGGCGACCTCTGCGTTTACAGCATAGAGCTGCTGGAATGCCGATACAACCTGCATGATGTGATATGATACCCGGTCTCAATGGGACAAGAATTAAGACAAGAAATTGCATACGAGAACCCCCTGATTGAATGGGAAAAGTCACCAGATTATATTCACTTTGCTGCACGTCGTGTTCTCGTCATGATTTGATAAGACTTGGGACAAGGTGAAAGCCAATGACAAGGATAAGAGTAGTTGGAAAGACAATGGAGGAGATGTGTAGAACAGACAAAGCTTTACCTAGGTATATGCAGCTGGGGCCTTTGGAGCTGAGGGGGAAAAAAGAACACACACACAAAATCCCTGTATCTCCTTGCGCCTCCCTCTCTAATGCACATCAGATGCAAAAGTTCAAGTCCAGCATTTTCCATCATTGTCTTGAATCTCCTCCGTCCTTGCCTGCTTCATGATTCCAGAAGAGCCCTTCTCATGCCGGTCGTCTGCGGCTGGATGGTCAAAGTCGCAGCTTCAGTTGTAAGCTCACTGAAAGGGAGGTATGATTTCGTTCCTAATCGTCGTAGCGCACTCCCAGAGTCGTGTAGGAGCCCTGTGTTTTCTTTGAATTGAAGTAGAGCTCTGTGGCACCAATTCCAAAGCAATCCGCGGAACCTTCTACCCAACGCTCCTCAAGAGACCTCAATATCAACCTCGGTAGCTTGGTCAGTCGCAAGAGGGATATTACCCCCGTCTTCGTACCAAGCTTCCTCTAGTTCAGGGCCTCCAACGCCGCCAGATGGCTGCTTCCTGGAACTGCTGACTTCGAGCCCTGCAACAACAATGTTCATACGCCGCAGTCGCTCTTTGGCCTCCTGCTCGTATTTGCGCGCCACGGCCAGTGCATTGGTCTGCACAACCAGCCGTGGATCGGGAGAAACGGCTACCAGAAGCTATATGCAGTGTAAGCAAAGGCAGCTATCAGAGAATGAAGAGAGCAGCAGGCAGTGCAA